TAAAAATTCAGTAGATATTGATGCTATCCAGCAGGGGTTATCATTCCAGAGAACCTGAAGTTAGACGAAACAGGGGAAAGTTAAGAATAAATCCCATAGAAACGAGCAAAAGACTCGTACTTGGAGCTGGGCATTAATTCGGAAAGAAATCACTGATATACTTCGCAAGAAACTAAGACTGTCAAGTCGATGGGTGTTTCCACAACACTAGCCTAAAAGGGAGCGAAAAAAGGAGCAACGCAATGGGCTGTTCCTGATTTGGTTATGTTGACACAGAGTCCTTGCTTGGAACCAGCCTCGCAGGAGGTCATTGCACAATCCCAGCTTCTTCGAAGCAGATTCAGTACTCCTCGTTCCGTGCAACCGTCATGGATGTATCAGCAATATCTCCGTGGCTTATGCTCCGTTGAGCGCCACTATATTCTAGCGTGTTTCTGTCCAGAGTGGAGTGTAACTAGCTCGATTGCAACTGCCAAATCCCTTAAGCGAAAAATGGTGTAGTAAGTATGCAGCCTGCAGCACGTTTGGGTGTGGAACGATTGGTATCTGCTGTGGAAAAAGATGCTGTGATGGAAGAAGAGTATGCTGCCTCCTCGAGTATCTCTACAGCGCATCGACATATATAATGCACCAACATCTCGCAGGAAAAAATTTTCACACCCATCTGCTATCGACGAAAAATATCAGACTCATCCCCATCTCCTTAACCTCCATCATGACAGATAAATCGATGACCGCCACAGTCGCCGTGGGTGTGGTGACGGGCATCCTCGCTATTCCTCCTTTTCTGATAGGAGGCAAAGCTCTACTGCAGCGCTTTAGAAGATGGAGAGGTCGTATGTCTCACCAAGACCTACATTACATAGAGACATCCATCTTTGCCTCTAACATAGTATTTTTTTCTTTTCAGGCACAGCCGATGAACCTATTTTGCCAACATCCTCTCATAGAGTGGACAATACCGATTCGCATTACGAAGCACAACAGCTCCACTACAACTATGTGTCCGGTGAGTCTTGGCTTTATGGGCTTCCATACTAGAATGAGCACAGCTAACATACGCGTTTTGCCTTAGAATCGATTGCACTGACTACCGTTGCGAATCTTGATCAAGCTATTACAACTCATTGATTTGGTTCTTCGGTCCGAAAAAAGGCGCTGTGAGGACGAGACGACACTGTGTACAACACTGGAGGGCTCAAGGCACTCTCAAAGTTATTATAAGGGCTAGGATATAAATTCTCAATTGTATTAATATTGGTTTAGCCAGTCACTCGAAGGCTGGTGACCTGGATAATGGTCTTCTGTTCAAGCGACGACAACCATTTAAGCTTACAAACGGTAGCATCCTGGGCATCATCACCTCTAGGAAAAGTATTATTCCGATCCTAATTAGCATTACGGGCCAACGCTTTGACGCATCAAGCGGTACGTCTGTAGCAGCCTCCTGTATCCAAACAGCAAGATGGCCCCAATGCTACCCCGGCAACCGAACCAACCGCAATACCGGCGCAGACGCGAGCTACTCCTTTGCAACAATTTGTGGTCATTGAGTCGGTAGTAACTTCTTCGGAAGTGGTTGTCGGGACTGTGGTGAACTCATCGTAACTACGTGGATGCAAGGCACCTGGTAGGTAAATCCGCTATTTGGCACATGGACATTTTCAGCACAAGCACAGCATGTCTCGCTTTGTTTTTATGCCTCCGTCTTCATTCGATGTGCACTCGTTCTGGAAGTTTGACCCTGCTTCCCTGCTTCGACATGCCCGGACACATTATCTACCGGCGGTGAACGGCACGGTTCTGAAATCGGTATAAACAACGCGTAAACCCTGATGCGTTGATTGCAATTACGGAGCGGGATGACTGACCTCTCGTCAAAGCAAATGCTGTCAGGATCACTATTCATTTGCGTGCCAAAGCCACTACCGTAAGAGTGGCTTGGGGATGAAAGCACTACCTTATTAGGAAGGCAAACCAGGGCTCGGATCAGATAAGATAAACGATGAGATAAGATAATTAGTGGGGCAGGCCGATCTTTGTCGATCCATCATCGTCCTCCGCGCCCACTATGGCAATGTACTAGTCCAACACAAGGTATCCACGACTAATTCATCATTTCCCTTTAAGTGGGTGAAAATATAGACTGATTGGCGATGTGAGGCATGACTGGTGGTTCTGCATTAGGACGATTTCAAAGGTTTGCCGAAACTCAGGCCGTCTCCAGCAGCATCGTGGTCTGTGCCAAGCTGGAGAGCCATGGTGCATTTACGGAGGTTCTTATTTATATACAAGGCACATCGCAGTGTCTACCGGCCGACTCGTAATCAAAGCCTCGTCATTTGTGGCATACTCTTATTAACTTCCCCTAGCGAAACTATAGTAAATAATGCATCCTGTAGTCATTGGGACGACTCTATCCGTTGTGATCGGTGCCAGGACAATCCCATACCCCGAAACTGTCCCTTTGCACCGGCTCTAAGAGCAGGCATTCCGGAATATGACTGCACGTCAATTGTGGTTCGTGATTATACGCCCGGGTACCTGCTACAGCGCTCATCAACAGGTATCCCTAGGTGGTGTCATTGTCGCCAGCCGCAGCGATGGCCACTACGCTTCTGACACACTCAAATCTGATCTGAACAATTGTCTGACTAGTGCTCTAAAATACGAGATTTGGCAATACTACGGTGATTCGATGTCCAAGGCTGGCACCGCCTGCGGTCTTGAGAGCAATCCTGTCGAAGTGGCCTCCGCCGTCGCTTGGACACGTCCGCTACTAGGTAATAAAACTGGAGTGTTCTCCACTAAAGCGGAGGCTACTGCGAGTTTAACCGCACGGTGTCCGAGTCAGCCTGCCCCGTCGCTGTATTCTCCAGGAAAATCGATTCTGGTATCGTGTTCTTCGCTGAGGAGAATCAATAAAGCGTGCTAACCTGTAGTCCAGGCTTCAACTCAGACACTACCCTTCGAAATTGGCGCGTTGTCGTATTCTGATAGCTGGCCAGTGCTGAATGTCATTGCTTGTGTTCTCGTAGCGGCCATGTTCTGGTAATCCAATACAAGGAATAAAACTAGTAGAAAATAGATGGTCGGTGCCACTTGTCTATGTACAGGTTGAAGTAATATTACTAATTAGATGGTTAACTCCTTTCACTCTATCTGGGGATGTGCTGTACAACGCAGTAAATCACAGTGTCATTGATTCCTCAGTGTATAACTATGTATATATATATACGGTGGATAGCGATGTAGTGCGTTTCAGCCAACATTACCACTGCGTATTGGAGTTCATTGGGATTTGATCTAACATAGGGAACCACTACCGTGATTACCTCCTCAATGAGGCACCAGTTTTCCACAGGACAAGAATACCTGGAAGGTACTGGTCAGATTTGATTGTGATTGACTGTATTGATTCTGATTAGCTTTTGTAGCTCCTCGACAAAGACAAACCAATAATCAGGTGCTGTGGTCTAGTGGTAGGACGTCACGTTGTGGCCGTGCCAGCCCCGGTTCGATTCCGGGCAGCGCCACAAATTCCAATCTTTTTTTTTTCGCGTTTGCTCACCACAAACATAATCAAATCTCGGAATCAAAGGGGTGTTTGAAGAAAGAATCTAGATCTTTTTTTGCTTCATGGAACCCAAAGTAGAGGAATATCCCATACTTCACCTCACTAAACAATGAATGATCAAGCCAGCATATAAATTGTCGGGCTGGCAGCAAGTTCAACTTGCCCGAGGTCTTATTTAACTGCTACCAGACGCCCAAACCTCAAGGTCATTTTTCAAACTCACCTCTGCCCTTGGACCTCCGCAGAACGCGAATCTTTGGTATTTGATAAGCAATCCGGATGCTTGACCTCTTTACTCCGCGTCAGGGGCTTCCAATAGGCATAGTTTCCAACGTCTACTTCGAGTCATGCATATTAGATACATGTGCTCACCATTGTTTTTACTTGCGTCATCGTTAGCCAATCTCCTGTGAAGGCTCGACCGGCGAGTCGTCACCAGCTGGGCACACGACCTCTGAGACGCTACAGTTGCAGCAAAAATATCCCTTAATCACGCTTCCAGATGCAAAAAAACCGACCTCTGCATAGCTGGTCATACGAGGAAGTATCCTAGCGCCAGAAATTCCGCTTACTATAAGGCCTCACAGTCGGCCTCACTGTGGGCATCATAAGGATGAATCCCTTACCTTATCACCCACTAATCCTAGCCAAAGGCGACCAATCAAAGACAAAACCCCTGTATTTCATGTCGCATCCCGGTAGCCCACCTTACAGGTCTCAAAAGAAAACTGCCAGGATTTCTAAACACTAGGCCAGAAAATCTTGGACGTCAGTTGGTCCTTCCACAAGTGTTCCGTATTCCAACAGGGACCCGTGAGGCCCACGTTGAACAGATTATAGGCAGTATCTTTTCCTCCGTGACTCGTTTTTGACCGCTTGTTTCGTACCTTTGAATGTCAGCCATTTCATCCTTCGAGACAACCTCACAAATTATTAAGAGGAGCTTCAAGTCGCTGCTGCCCGTCTCGACAGCAATCACTGACGCAGCCGTAATGGCTCCAGAGCCAACACATGTGTTATTTGCTGTATCTACAGTCTCTGCCGCCATATTTCTGTTGATTCTCCCTCTCAGACTCTGGGAACTTCGTAACTCGAGCATCAGCCGCACTTCAACCTGGAAAGGACTCTTCAAGGCCGTCAGTATTCCTGCTCTCCAAGATTCGAGTTCTACATCTTGTAACAATGATGACCTTAGGCTCTTGGGGTATTGCTATCGGCCATATTGGCCTCATATTACATAAAGCTCTCAAGCTTGGATTTGCAGCACAAGACCTTGTTTTCGGCCTCACTGTTTGCTTCTATACCTGCTGCCTTGGGCCTGAGCGTTCTTCTGCTGCAGGAGCAACAGCGGTCCCATATATCCTCAGATCTCCCTACACTATATCTTCTCGCGTCTATACTGTGCGATGCCATCCACGTAGCCATGCCTTCAAAGATTGCTAGACATGCGGATACCTCGCGTCCAGTACTTCTCCGTTGCTGCATGCACTTGGCGCTTCTGGTACTTGAATGTTGCACCAATGGAGGCCCAGCATTCGGTGATCTCAACAAGCACCAGCCTCCTGAAGAACTTTACGGCGTTTTGAGTAGGCTCCTTTTCATATGGATCAATCCAATTCTTCTTCGAGGGTACAAGAGTATCCTCGTCAACCGGGATTTGCCAACCCTCAGTCAAGACATGAAACCAGAGTTCACAAGAAAGGCAATACTGCAAGCGTGGTCTCAGCGAGGTTAGTCAGGAATATCAAAGCGCCTGTCATCTTACTTCTCACAACACTAGCCAAACCTGAAACCAAGAAGAGTCTGCCTATCGCTTTGATGGAATGCTTGTGGAGACCGTTTCTCGGTGCTGGGTTCCCCCGATTATTATTGATCGTCTTTCGCTATTCTCAGCCTATCTTGATCAAAGAGTGTATCAGATATGTCGCGGCATACCATGCCGGTGCGGAAAGCAATCATGGGTTCTGGCTTGTTTTGGCCGCTGTATTCATCTACGTTTGCCTTGCCGTAAGCTCCAATTCCTCTGCTCTCTAGCTTGGTGCTGACGTTCAACCTTAGCTGTCAACCGCTATGTATCAACACCGTCTAAACAGGCTGAAGCTTATGACTAGGAGTGCCCTCATAGGGCTTATTCATGACAAGATTATGAAATCACCTAGCAATGCTTATGACAACGGTGAAGCAACAACACTCATGAGTACTGATGTAGAGACTCTCGATGGGATTGCAGAAATGATCCACGAAACATGGGCACAAGTCATCGAGGTGCTGATTGGTACTAGACTTCTAGTTGGCCAAGTTGGCTGGATCTGGCCTCTTCCGCTCTTTCTGATATATTGTAAGTGTATTTCCATAGCGTTTTGATTTGATCCTAAGTTGTGTAGTATGTTCATACACTAGTCGATTTGTTGCAAAGCATTTACAGCCTCGCCAAAAGGCCTGGAGCGACGCAACCCAGAGCCGCATAGCAGCTACAAGCTCCATGCTGAGCACAATGAAAGTCGTCAAAATGCTCGGACTCCAACACAATTTCACCCGTCGCATTCAAGAGCTTCGGGAGGCTGAGCTCGGGGCAGCGTCGAAACTTGGGTGGATGATGGTATTCTATAATGCTTCTGGTATGCCAGAGTTTAAATGATGTTGACAGTTAATATTAGCTGACGTGAATATAGCCAATGCCCTTGGAATATTCTCCCCAGCTATCACGCTGGTTATCTATGCTGCGATATCAGTTGCTCGTGGTGACAACCTGGATACAGAAACTGCATTCACTACCGTGGCAATCTTAAGCATGGTAACTCATCCTGCAAATATGCTCATGACTATTGTGCCGCGCGCAGTGACAGCATTTTCCGGATTTGAAAGAATCCAATCGTTTTTGCTCCGCGAATCTTTACAAGCTCATCGCGGGACATTACTGAAAGGTTCTACTGCTATTCAAATACGACAACTGAGGATTGGCTATAAACCCCTTGTCTTGGAGGATATCAACACCGAAGTAGCTGCAGGATCTCTTGCCATAATATCGGGCCCTACTGGCAGCGGCAAATCGACTCTGTTGCGTGCTATTCTTGGAGAAGTACTCCCTGTGCAAGGGTTAATTAGCCTGTCAACACGACAGATAGCATATTGTGCTCAGAAGCCGTGGCTTCCTAATGGTACCATCAAAGAGGTTATTCACGGTGCTACTGAAATTTACAGCGCTAACGACCCAGATAATGAAAAATGGTATCATGAGGTAACAGCTATGTGTTGTCTTACACATGACTTCAAATCCTTCCCCCAGGGAGATCTAACGCGGATTGGTAGCGGAGGGCTCAATTTGTCTGGAGGACAGAGGCAGCGGGTTGTATGTGTCTCAGAAGAGTTACGTATGGACTGAGCTAATAATTGCAGGCACTCGCGCGTGCTTTGTTTGCGAGATACGACATACTTCTGCTGGATGACACCTTTAGTGAACTGGATGGCGAAACGGAGAAAATTATCTTCGATAATCTATTTGGGGCCACAGGTCTAACCCGGAGATTGAGGACCACAGTAGTCCTCGTTTCTAATTCGTGTACGGCTGTCCTTGCTCAGTCACGAGTTTACTGACTTACTCCGTGATAGCTCAGTACTTTCATGCTGCGAATCACATCGTAGTTCTGGGAGACCATCGAATCATAGATCAAGGGAATTCGCAGGATATCAAGACCAAAGCTGCAACTATAGCGAAGTTCTCTTCCAGCCACCACACCAAGGACAACGCCGTCTTGTCGGCAAACTTTGATGAACTCAGCGCCAAATGGCGAGCAAAAGATGAAACTGAAACAGACCTGGCCCGACAGACTGGAGATCCCGCTCTATATGGTGATTTCCCCTCTCATATATATGGATGCGACTAATATGAGCTTAGGCTACTATTTCAGTTCCATTGATTTTACGAACATTTTCTTCCTTATCACCAGCACTGTATCATATGCTTTTTTCGTCACTATTCCGCAGTACTGGCTTCGGTTGTGGACAGAGTTAGGTGGCAGAAACACCCCGTTCTATGTCGGCGGATTTCTCTTTCTATCAACCTTGTCTTGGATATCGACCAGCGCTCAGATGTGGTGAGTTTCCAAGAGATGCCAGTTGCACATTATCATTGAAAGCCCAATAGGTCCATTCTTTCCCGACTTGCTCCGCAGGCTGGGTTGCGGTTACATCACCGTCTATTGCACATCGTAACGAGGTTTCTATGCCCTATATTGAACACCCAGACAGGCTGATCCAAGAGACGGCTAACAATCCATAGCGCGCCTCTGTTATATTTCTCTAAAACCGACAACGGCTCAATCCTAAACAGGTAAGAGTGCATGTTCGCATGGTCGTATCCATATTAATGATTTCTAGATTCAGTCAAGACATCCAGCATATTGATAAGCAGTTACCATCAGCGCTTCAAACTGTTCTAACTCGTAGGTATCAGCTTTCCCTATTTGAATAATCATTGGGATAACGAGCTGCCAGAGATCTTCAAGCTGCTCATGCAGATCATACTTCTTTACATGGCCGAAAAATGGCTCGCAGTATCTTTACCGGCCTGCATGCTCTTGGTCTATGTCATTCAAAAGGTTTACCTGCGGACGTCACGACAACTCCGATTCTTGGAGCTGGAGTCTCGCGCAGGGGTGTTCTTGAGCTTTTTGGAATGCGTAGGTACTCCACTCAATCAATGTCACCCAGCTGATCTTAATTTCCAGATCGAGGGCCTCGAAACCATACGGTCATTTGGTTGGTCTAGGGCTGCAATACGGGACAATATCCAAAGCATCGACAACTCTCAGCGTCCAGAATTTCTCCGTTTGTGTCTCCAGAGATGGCTCAACCTGGTCCTAGATCTTTTGGGTGCGGCTGTTGCAACGAGTGTTGTTGCGTTCGCTGTAGCATTTCGGGGGCACGTCAGTGGTGGACAAGTCGGAATCGCGCTCAACGTCATGCTCGTAGCAAACTCGACCTTACTGAAACTTGTGGAGAATTGGACTACACTAGAGACTTCCCTTGGTGCCATTGCTCGATTGAAGAAGCTTGACGAAAGGACTGCGGTTGAGGGTGGAGGAACCTGCAACTTTGAACCCCCGGAAAACTGGCCTTCCAGAGGACATATCAACATCAAAAACGTCACTGCATTCTACGAGTATGTATTCTGCCTAAAACTGCTCTTCCAGTAGCTGACAGGCGTACAATGAAGGCCCGGGTCGGTTGCTCTACAGAATCTGAGCCTGAATGTTACAGCAGGTCAGAAACTCATTGTGTGCGGGCGTACAGGCAGGTGAGTCACTGCATGGAGTACAAATTATATATCTGAAGGCTCACCGTTCATGCCAGCGGTAAAAGCACGCTACTCCTCTCGCTCCTACGGCTTCTCGAAGTACAGTCCGGCCAGATCGAGCTCGATGGCATGGATATCAGGCAAGTAAGGTTGGACTTACTACGGCGACGGTGCTTCGTCTCGGTGTCTCAAGACCCGTTGTTGTTGCCGAACGAGACCTTGCGCTTCAACCTAGAGCCAGATGAGTTAATGCCGGACGACGCCCTCGTTGATGCACTTAACAGAGCAGGACTGTGGTCACATTTCTTGGAGGGCCAAATGCACTCTGGGGGAGATCCAACTACCGTCCTCGAAATCTCAGGCTCTGGTGAACATGCAATCCTTGACCAGAAGCTGTCAATATTTCCGAAGCTCTCCATAGGACAGTGCCAACTGCTCGCGCTCTGTCGAGCACTTGTCAAAACCAACTCGTTACAACGTTCCGGAGTGAAGCCTGTAGTTCTCTTGGACGAAGTTACATCCTCTCTCGACGAAGTTACGGGGTCCACGGTTCATCGTATCATTGACGATGAGTTCACTGAAAAGGGCCACACTGTCATCATTGTGGCTCATAGACTCGGCACTTTGGAGAAGCACATGAAAGCTGGAAGGGATGCCGTGACAATGATGGCAGATGGTCGATTAGAGGAAGTGATTGACGATTTAGGACCGTCGACTTTCCAGCGTTTCAGGCAGATGGGCCAGCGGTTCACTGGTGCTTCCTAAAGGTTCCAGATGAGTTTTTAAGATGAACCATACTCAATGCTACGTATAGTGATACCCTCTGTCAGATCAGTTGGATGCTTATGGCTTGTAATTCATCTTCTATTCACAGTAGGTTGGAGCTTATTCAACAAGGCTGAAATTAGGTACATCTAGTTGACTAGCGGGTAGCAACGTTTTGGAGTAGTCCTGCATGACAGCGTACATCTGCTGATGACGAAGTACGAAATTCAGCGAGGTTGTAACATCTCTTTGATAAGATTCTCGACTCGACGACGGATTTCGTCACGGATAGGGCGTATAGCATCAAGGGTTTGCCCGGCGGGATCATCGAGTTTCCAATCAAGGTAGCGCTTGCCTGGGAAGAAGGGGCAGGCATCGCCGCAGCCCATGGTGATAACAACGTCGCTGGCCTGGACAGCATCTGTGGTTAGGATTTTTGGTTTTTGGTCGGTGATGTCAATGCCTTCTTCACGCATGGCTTCGACAACGAAGGAGTTGATGGAGTCTGCAGGGGCTGAGCCAGCAGAGCGAACTTCGATAGCATCGCCTGCAAGGTGGGTAAGATATCCAGAGGCCATCTGTGAGCGGCCAGCATTATGGATGCAAACGAACAAGACACTAGGCTTGCCGGACATGATTCCTCGTGACTGCTTGGTGGTCATTGTTGTGGTTCTCGATGGACAACTCGTCAGGAGGTTGAAATGTCCTTAGGCCGTCTAGGGCACTAATTGGTAGTATTTCCAGAAGCGAGGCGACCCTTTGGAGCGGTATTTAAATATTGGATAGTACCGTGGTAGGTAAGGGAAGAAGGATGGAGAGAGTAGGAACACAGCGGTGGGCTCACAAGGTTACCTTAGGAATAAGATGGCTGAGACCTACGGTGATATGTAAGCTAAAAGGATCTGGGTCGCACTTGCACTTAGCATTGCTTGGCCATTTTGATGACGTTTCAAGTCGATGCTTCTGGGTTGTTCTGAAGCGATACTAGACACTTACAGGCTTGTTATGTGCCACTAGAACTGACTACCTAGTGCGTATTGTTTAGCTGGGCAAAGTCTGTCCAATCAACACTTGCTAGTGACAACTTGATGAACGTCCGATAGATTGATAAGCCAAGGTAATATTACACTGTGGTGACCATACAGTGGACCCCCTGTATACAGGTATTCTTCCGCTGAGAAACGTCCAATCAGCATTTACCAGTGACCTTCAACCGAGAACTTTCCGCCACAGGAATATCAAAAACAAATGACCACAGTGTTCAGCCATATATCTTGGACTGCGTGTCCCGCTAATTCAATAATAGCACCTCGAATTCAATTCCACAAGACATCAGATGACGGCAGATTACCATGTCTCAATCACATCCGGAAAGGATACCTGACATTGCCAGCCCATCCCCAGGGCAAGCGGCCGACGTGGAAAAGCAGGGAGAACCGAGTTTACCAGATGGGCCCCAATGCAAGCAATCTGCGTTCAAAAATCTCGGGATGCTCGACAGGTTCCTTGCTTTGTGGATTTTCCTCGCCATGGCAATTGGAATCATTCTTGGTAACTTTGTACCGAACACCGGGCCCGCGTTGCAAAAAGGGAAATTTGTAGGCGTCTCCGTCCCAATTGGTGAGTATTCCTGGTGACAAGTAGTTCCCTCCCATGTACTAATCATCCTCGGCAGCTATCGGCCTTCTCGTTATGATGTACCCTATTCTGTGCAAAGTTCGATATGAGAGCCTGCATTATGTTTTCCGTACACGTCAGATATGGATACAGATTGCCTTTAGCATATTTGTCAATTGGATTATAGCTCCGTTCTTCATGGTAGGTCGATACTTGGATGCGTCGCTCATAGGCATCGGCTGACCTTGAATCCTTGTCAGCTGGCATTGGCTTGGGCGTTTCTGCCTGATGAGCCAGAGCTGCGGCAGGGGCTCATTATTGTCGGACTGGCTCGTTGTATTGCTATGGTAAGCATTTCCAAGCGGTCCACCAGAGTTCTACCCATCCCTATGCTTATTCGCTTATTTTTTGACTAGGTCTTAATCTGGACCGGATTAGCTGGAGGGGACAGTGAATACTGTGCCATCCTTGTTGCTGTCAACTCGATCCTCCAAATGGTTTTATTCGCCCCGATGGGGGTCTTTTTTATTCAAATCATCAGCGGCGACTCCGTCGGATTTGAATATGATGTTGCCGCGAAAAGTGTGGCTGTGTTCCTCGGGATCCCCTTAGGTGCTGCAATCCTCACGCGCTTCACCCTCCGATGGGTTGCAAGCCCAAGGTGGTATGATGAGGTCTTTCTGAAATGGGCCAGCCCCTGGTCATTGATCGGGCTCTTGTTTACCATCCTGGTACTGTTCGCTTCTCAAGGCCGTCAAGTGGTGCATCAGATTGTCTCTGTTGTCCGGGTTGCAGCCCCTCTTATTGTTTACTTCGCTGTCATATTCTTCGCGACCCTTTTCATTACATATAAGATGGGTTTTGGGTATAAGTTGGCGGCGACGCAGAGTTTTACTGCAGCTAGCAACAACTTTGAGCTGGCTATCGCTGTCGCCGTTGCGACATTTGGAGCGGACAGCAACCAGGCTCTTGCATCCACAGTGGGACCATTAGTTGAGGTGCCAGTGTTGTTGGGGCTTGTCTATGCTGTGAAAGCTGTGGCAAACCGATTGGGTTGGAAAGATTAGATCTGTTGATGATAGATATTGCTTTCTCCTAGCTAGAGGAACACTTCATAATAACTGAAAATCAGGACGATGGAAGAGAGAAAAAAAATTAGATAATCAGCTTGAATCGTTCGATATCAAATCCGTCGTGCTCAATTGCAGACCCCGGCAGTTTAAGGCCCGTCCTACACGACGCTGCTGTCTTTGACAGTATAAATCTGAAATGAGGCTGTACAGATGATTAACATCTAATGTAAGCAGTCCTAAATTGAAGGGAAACTTACCAACCCATTCGTTGAAGTCCATCTCAGCATATTTAGCTGGCCACTCTTTGCGGGAATCTGCTGGGCCACAGCAACTACTTTGACCTAGATAGGAGGACTGTTTATAGAGATTGAGGTCTGCTTTAGTATCCACCATCAGAATATCTGAAGTCGTGTCAGTAACGGAACGGCAATATGAGTGGAATCTAAGAATGTACCTTTGAATCCAGCGCTTTTGAGATATTCTTCATACTCCACAACCTGGCTAGCGCCTGCAATGCACCCTACATGGAGAGCTATATCGTTGACGATCTTCGCTGGGAGCTCCTTCCTGGCGAGGATGTCACTGATAGCAACTCTTCCACCCGGCTTCAGCAAGCGAGCAATTTCTTGGAATACTGTCGGTTTATCCTTTGATGGGACAAGATTGATAACGCAGTTGCTGATAATGCAGTCGACACTGGCATCCGGAAGCGGGATCGAGGTGATGGACGCCTCAATAAACCGAGTATTGGACAGACCAGCCGCTTCAGCGTTTTTCTTCGCGAGATTAATCATGTCCTGGTTGAGGTATTAGCCGACAGCTCCTCAAGGGACAGAATCGCTAGCTAACCTTCGTCATGTCAATCCCAATGGCAGTTCCTTCTGGTCCCACCTTGCGAGCCGCGAGCAGAACATCGATGCCGCCTCCACTTCCGAGGTCGACAATCGTCTCTCCCTAGTTCGATTGTCCAAGAGTTAGAATGTGTGAGTCTACAACCGCATATCATGTACAAGGTACCTCCTTGATATTGGCATGTGCCACTGGATTGCCGCAACTTAATCCTAGGTTTGCTTTATCTGGAAGAGCACGTAGGTCCTTCGCGCTGTACCCAAACGCTAATGCGATGTCGTCTTCCTTGTCATGGACCGTGGTGCCTGTGCTCTTAGCGATGTCACCATAGCGGGACCGCACGTGTTGATAGGTGTCCTCAGCCATTGCAACAGACTTGGGTGCTGGCGATTGTTATCTGGCGACTTCAATATTCCTGGACGGTTAATAGGTGAAGCAAAACAAAGAGACAAGGCGACCTTTGACCTGGATCGATTCGAAACTACGAGAGAGAACTGATAAGAGGAAGTGGGACCGTATTTATACCCTTAGACCAAAGTATACAGCTATTAAAAGTCAGAGATCCTGTACATTGGAAGCTCAAGTAACACGGGCTCAAGCATAAGTATGTGTGAGGCACGGCGAAGTTAGGAGATGATTGGGCAGCCGTATAACTGGTATGTCGCCACTATTCCTTACCCCTCCTAAAGCGTTACCAGCAACGATGACTGATATGTCACCGGCTTCATATCTACTCCTATTATTTCCACAGATCCTTCAGTTGGTTTAGCATGATTGGCTATCTTCCGTCGATGATACTTGTAGGAAAATATGAACGACAGGCAAGTCTATTGACATCAATAATCAAGGCGAATCACTCAACAGTGGTCATCGTGTCGTGGCAATTTTGAACAGATGGGTAAAAGAAGAAAATGGCCTATTGTATAATTTCGGCAAGGACAGACAGTAAAACCCAGTTACTGACCCTACAACCTTCCAGAGGCGACCTAGCATTCCTATACCCGTGACGGAGCTTAGCATCCAGCTCCATCATGCTTAGATCCTTCTTATTACAGTGACGGACAATCTGAATGGCAACAGCGCACAATGTCGTGTCTTGTAGAATAGGATCAACCAATCCTATGGGGATATCAAGACCGGTTGTACTTTGGTTAGTTGGAGGCAGGAGCTCAAGCAGACGGGTTTGCGATTCTCTCTCCGGTACCATTAGTTCATGGAAACCCGGAACCGGAAAGTCCAGGCAAGTGCTAAGATCTGTGGATTGAGGCGTAAAATCTACGCTCGAAGGCGCCACAAGTCCAGTATCCGCAACTTCACGTATCGTAGTGGGAGATCCAAAGCTAGGAGTAACCTGTCATATGTTTGGTCAGTCTTGGCTTCTGCGAGAGCACCGCACACCTCGTGCACGCGGTGGATAGTCGGATAGTCATACGTTCGGCAACTGGAGGGCCATCGAATCAGCGTGCAGTTCAAGGGTGGTCGGCACAGTATTTGCCGCGAAGCTGGGACTCATTTGTATATCGTCTAAGATAGCTTCTTGATGCTTCTGCGCGGTATTAAGGTCCAGGACATTGTGACCAAAGCCACTGGAGGCCAACAAGGTCCGCAGTGCCTCGTTCTCTCTACAGAGGTTCTCTTCCACAGCCTGTCGCCTTCTATCAGCCTCAGCCGCAGCCTCCGCATAAGCTGTGATTTTGCTTTCAAGTTCGGCGACGTAGTCACGCCTTCGTTGCCGACATTTGCGCTGGTTTTCACGGACCCGCTTAAGGTCCTCATCCTAGGGTGACGGTCAGATGTTGTAACAGTAGGGAACGGGCTAAGAGTGTTCTTGGCTTCTTGCCTTGGTCTTTCGTTTTACACGGGGCATGGTAGATAATGCAGATCTGGTAATGGAGGATCTGTTTGGAGATTTCGATAGAAATAGATGGCTGACAAGCTCCGGTTGATGCTTGCAACGGTGGTTGTGCGGAATATTTGATGTGTTCTTATCTGATGACGATGATCTCCGGTCCCAGACCAAGAGGCGGGGTGCTTGCTTAAAAAGATCCACTTTAAACCACTCCGTATTATTTACTGGTACTATCCAATAGAAGCAATGTGGTGACACACCAGTTATTGTTTACTAACCCTTTATTGAAATATAATATCACTAGGCTAAAAAGGTGTCCGGACAGGATTCCTATCAGTCTAGGGTCTCATATCCATAATTATATTTTTCAACACCCTTCTTGTACACCATTTCCCATGCCGCACCCTAGCCTCCTAGTTTCTGAAGCGATCGATATTAAGAAATGAAGTCTTCTTAGAAATTTAGTAAGCGAATAAATGCGCATCGGGAAATAGAGGATACAAGGTAGTAAAAGGACGAACTTAGAAATGCAAAGTTGGTCTGTCAGACTTGAGAGTCACCCTCCTCGCCTATAGGTACGGCGACAAGCCCTCATCCCTCCGCACCTCTCTTCTTGATAAGTTCAATTTGGCAAAAGGGCTGTACCAGTGTGTGGGAGACCATGAGCTCCTAAAGGGTCAAACTACATCTAAATTGCTCAGAATAACTGCCAACGGACCGTCGACCAGATTAATTCCTTCGCCTCGCTCCATGACAATCTCCAGTATCCAGGTGTAGTTGCGGTGCTTCGGATGGGCCTATTGGCCAGGACCAGGGTGAGCAAATAGAACAGTGGATGGAAAGTCTTCATAGTGCCGTTGGGCTGGAGGTGATGGCGATCATGAAACCGAGAATCTGGGGGGTGACGGATGGCCGTTGCTTTGTGGATTATGGTCGTCCTAATTGCGCCCGACTCACGGGTATAACACCCCTAAAATGCGGCCCGGAGTTGGTGGTCGATCCCCGGCAGACAGCCGCTGCGGGCTCCCAAGCCAGGCGGTGGACATGGTGTCTGACATGGTGGGTGCATACTACCGATTTTTCATTGAAAAGGAAATATATTTATGCCCTTCTTATTCCTTTATTCTTTGGATCATATGGACAAACAAACCCAGACTACTAATACGAGGGGTTCACAGCAACCACTGGTCAGACAAGGTGCAAATGCATACTGATGTAAGCTACCTACAGGGAACGCGTATGCTTGCCAGATTCGGCATAAGCAGGTGTTGCATGTTGTCCGTTCTAGCCATCCATAACAGAATTCTCCGCATTTATGCGAGAATACTTTATAAAGAACACCTCCTCCCTGTGTAAACGTCCCTCGTTACCAGACAAAATCTGCTTCATCATGAAAATCTCGCTTGCTCTCTCTGCTCTTGCCTTACTTGCTTGCCCTGCCACTGCGGTCGACCTTAATCCAACAAAAGACTGTGGCGCGCCCTTTAACGCCTGGTGGACCCAGTGCACCCGATCTGCCTCCAACTGCTGCTACTACGCAGCCGAAAAGGCCAATACAACCTGTCCGATGACTCGTGCAAGACATTACGTCTTTCTAGGACACTGCAGGTCGCTCTTCGAGGGCAGCGCAAGACCCTACCACAAAACTGACTGTGTCACCGCCACTCTCGCCGGCATAGCTTTGCTTATGGGGGATCGTGGCCTTAGCTTTCCTGTCAGTTGTACTATTGATGACATCAAGGACATGCCCTAGGGATTCCGGCGTTTCCCTGTAGGAGGCTTCGTGGAGAACCGTCCAGGAAAAGTCAAGATGGGTATATTGGCAATGTTCGTGTACAATTTGAGCGCTCTAAGGGAGGAAAGGTCCCGACCGCGAATCGGCAGAATCTCCCTGTGGAGAGGCTCGACTGGTCAACGAAAACTGTCTGTCAATACCTAAGGTTTATACGGGGTCTGACCACGCCTCTTCTGCACTCCGGATCATAGTATATCAGTATACTCGTACCCTGATAAGAGAATATGAATATGGATAGGTTACTGAACCTAGTATCTACTTAGAGTAGAACTGAGCAGCTTAGACGGACTTAGTAGTAGATTAACACTCCACACGGCTACTAGTAACCAGCATCATCGGTTCGGCGACATCCCATACCTCTCGCAGGAGGGGCAACTGCTATGATGGCGCTCATTCGAAGTGAAGATGCTCTTCATCTCTCAACTATCTCGGCAGCGGTTCAACGGGAATAACAGACATGGGGAAAAGGAGGAAGAAGATAGAACTAACAATGACTTTCATAATCAACTGTTGAGTCACGTGAGCAGTCTAACATGACATCACAACGGTGCTCAGTCAGTCAGAGCGGAATTGATGAAAGATCAACCTGTTTCTATCAGAGAAGTGGGAGAGAAGAAGAAAGAGATGTAAATTTTCAGATGTCTGGAAGTCTGCCTAATCCCAAGGCTTACATCAACCAGCCTCTGTTTCTGACTGGTGTTGGTGTGGGGCATAGATATTGCTTCGTCCCTTGCCCACATCAGACGGTCTGAGACATTCTGGATTGCACTCTTGCCCCAGAAAACAATCTCCAATGAGTGCTAATCTTAGTAGCCCCATCCTCTATATTCCCTCTGATGCTTGGCACATCTGTCCAAGGCGGAAAGACAAATTTCCAACATGAAGTTGAGAACCACTTCCAAAAAGGTGCCGTCCAATATGGGATTGTCGTTAGCCCTCAGAAGCAGAAGGTTATCCGTCGTCATCTGGACGACAAGGTCCCTGAGCCCTCGGTCGTGGCCTTCCGTCGAGCCGTACACAAGCACCGCGGAGGTGAATGATTCTCGGTCTGGAAATTTCATGAAGGACTCCTGGAAGTACTCCTTCGCCCTAATCGTCAATCCCTCTATTTGAAAATAGGCACCTTGTGCGTACATTTGGGCGTGAAAAAAGGCCTGACCGGTTCGTGGGTTTGCACTGCTAGTTTCTCCCTGTATGTCTGTGAATCCTTCTGTCCCTGTGTCTGCCTGGAGATCCTTATCTAGGTATGTGTATGAAAGCTCCCCGGAGCTATTCTCGGAGTCAAAGCTGCCCCTTGCATTTGAAGCTTCATAGGTATACGTGTTCATGGTCAATTCCCAGACTGAGCAACTTTAATCACAGCCTTTCCAAGGCCTCCCTGGTTGCTGTACACAACATGACAGGCGGCTCGCATGGCCTGAATATCGGACATATCCACTGTAGTACCCACGACTGTTTTCAATTTACCCCCTTCAACATATTCTCGCATCGCGTCCAAGTCCTTGCCGTTCTCATGCAGGAACATGTATGTATAGCTAACACCGTAGCGTCGAGCACGCATCTTGCGGATGTTATCCAGTAGATTCAGGACGAGTTTGACATAGATTGGGACAGAGTTGCGGCCTTCAAGAAAGTCCTGTAGCTGGTTTCCTGAAGGGGATGTTGCAATAGACACGACCCAACAGGTCTTTGGTCGCATCAAACAAAGGTATTCCATGGCGACACCTGCTGTGTCAAACAAGTAATCAACAGTACCGTGCTCAATCGCAGTCTTTGGGTCGACCTTCTTGTAGTCAATTACTTGCATCGGGTCAGCAGTCATTGCATGGTGAGTCATGGGATGGACTTCTTACTCTGATCGACGGCTCCCTTTCCTAAGAGTTCGTCCACCTTGGCGACTTTCGATGTCGAGACGGTCGTAATCACCTTCCCGGCATTAAAGACGTGTTTTGCAAGTTGGCAGGCGTATAGACCGGTCCCGCTCACTGCCATGTGTTAGTAGAGAACGGAATGTAATAATCACGCAAAGCATACATCCAGCCGGTACAAATACAGTCTTCCCAGAAAGATCGCCATCATATTTTCTCAGCGCCTGAAGAGCCGTCATTCCTGCTAATGGAATCGACGCTGCGCTCTCAAACGACAACGACGGTGGCTTGAGAGCGATGTATTCCTCTGCACATTTGGCATACTCACTCCACGAGCCTAATTTGATTTTGTCAGCTCAAATACGAGCATCTCTTCTCGATTATCACAAACCTCGATCCGTCTCCGGTAATCTAACGTAGACTGCGTCTCCGACTTGGAACCGCGTCACGTCTGCTCCAACCTCAGCGACTGTACCGGCGCAATCATAGCCAATCTTATATGGGAACCTGAACCATTCAGAGTGAGTCACCTTCAGGCCATCTGGGTGGGGTGTACATACGCGTCTTTCTGCACGAACTATAAGATACCATCGGCCTTTTTCACGTCGATTGGATTTATACTGGCAGCGTGAACCTTGACAAGAACATCTTTCGGGTCCTGAATTTCCGGCTTCGGGAGTTCAGAAAGCTGGTAGCCGGATGGTTTTGAGTAGGCAGGGATGTTGACCGACAACATTTTCGTTTGGTTGCCTTTGAGATGGAGAGTTCTGGACTTGAGGACCCGGAGTTGAGGAGATATATAATTTTTCCGCTGAAATTAAGTCTATTGAAGAAAAGCACGGAAGATGATGCAACACCGTAGCTCAATCGGACTAGCTTCCTTTTCTAGAATGACTTAGAAATGTAATGGTTCAATGGAAGCATATGTAACCCTGAACCACCGTTAGACATGCAGGGATCCACCGGACCACCACTACGGATTTGGGGAACTTGGGAATTGGGATTTCTGCAACGCTGTCGGTGACGGCGTGATTAAATTATCCGTCCGGATCCCCACCTGAAACTCCCCCATTTCCAACCGATCACTAAGGCACCTCGGTAAAAGTCAAAGCTTCCATTCATTGACCGTTGTCCCACCACGGTACCCACAGATAGCCTGAGCTCTAGACGGTCCGAGCCCGGAACAACGGGTAGGTAGCTTTGAACCTGTGGTGGGGACGGGTTCTGCAGGCCGCATATGACCTTGGCTTATTCTCTTCCACATCACTTCAGTGTCAGTGTGAATGACATTTATAATAGTGGCTTCGCTGATTGCAAACTCATTTTGTGCAACTTTCCTAGCGCCGTATGACCTCAGAAGACATTCAGGGGAATGCTTTGCCTCGTGTGACTTGATGGGATTTCTTTTTTCAGAGGAAGAGGAATCGAGGGAGTGGGACAACGAGGAGGTATTGCTGAAAGCCGCAGCCGAGAACGACAAAACTACTGGCAAATTGAAGGTTGTATACACGCTAGAGCTGAATAATATCGGCAAGGACAGCGCCATACGCACGCAGTGGAGCCTGGTGAACTGGGTTAGCGATGCCAACTGGAATCCTCAGTGTCAGATATAGCTGATTTCCTGACTACTGAAGAAAAGAAATACCTAGAGGAGACTAATTTTAAGGAGTGGACTCGTGACATGGACAAAGAAAGCGTGAGGCTGTGGATGCGGGAACAGACGTTTCTGCAGCGCACCGAGAAGGGATATGAATATATTGGAGAGCATCCTAAGGATCGGGTGGACTTTGACGACAAAGAATACCTTTTGCATCCTACCACAATCGTCTCATCCCCAGAGGATGACAATTCTGCTGATGCTGTGGTGGCTGGCAAAGTCGCTATTAAGGCCACCCGAAAGTACGGCCTGGGTTGTCTTCCACATATCACGCTTCGCATTAATGTCGACCAGCTTCATCTTGTCCTTGCGGTGCCCTGTGACGGGGCTAGAGAGAGGGACGGTGACGATAGCGAGCAATTTGACCTGTACCAAGAAAACTTAGTTCTTGCCTTCGCCCGCGGAGGAGGTCAGGATCCATAAGGACATCGAGACTAAATCAAATGAGGCTTCAGAGAAAGGAGAAAAAACAGTTCGAACAAGATTACCCAATTCGCGTGGCAATCAATAAAATATAAATACCTTTGGAGGCATCCACCCGGAACCGTCGACAGGAAGCCTGGGACAAGAACCCTGTGGTGCCGGGGTGCAGTGGGTTCTTGGATCTAGCCATGGCCATCAATTTCGACGCCTTTAATTACGGTGAATACGGAATACAAACAAAGACGGAGCAAAAGAAAGATGATACCTTTCATCTCATAAACTTCCTCATCCAAATGGCCTCCATACTTGCAGCAGAACGCGGCCGCATGGGACCAGCTCTCGGCTGCGCCATTTACTTGACCGGTGAAGCGAAACTACAGGAAGGGGACGACTGGATAGCGGACTACGACAACTACCTCCCTCCGATCCTCGGAGCTGCGGTTGGCGTCTAGGAAAACAATTGTTAATGTCCTGAAGGTCTTTGCGCGGGAGTTGGGCGCAATCTCCAAGCTTCGGGGTAGGCGTCGGGTGGCCCCAAGCTGAATTCACTCTTCAGTATAGCACAATACGGGGGGAGGGGAACTTGGCGAAAAAAATGTTGAGTAATAGGTAATGACAATAGTAAACCAATTTTGCTTGAAAGAATTATTCTAGGTATATCTACGACATATTCGCGTTTACATGGTGGCTACATACAGCAGACCATCTGACGTACAGAGGATTTGTGAGGGACAATATCCGTAAAATACATAGGAAATATGACACATCGTCGCATTGTCGTCCTTGATATTATATGACCATAGGGAATCTGACGAGTAATGATGATCCATGGATTACACTGGACTAGGATTGACTCGCCGACTTCGTTCGCTTGAATAACAAGCAGAACTACAAAAGAGACATCGGAATTAGTGACTCCAGGTAGGTACTATTGCTATGATTATCTGGTTCGGCTCCAGTCCAGAGAAACCGTGGGTCTAAACTCTCCGCCAAAGATCCTCCGCGGGGGAACTCAACCCTATCCACTGTTCTACGGACTATCTTCACTAGGAGCCGAGGAAAGATAGTCCCCGTCTATATTAGTAGATCCAGATTTGTCTGAAGCTTTACTATCTCACTTTTCTATACTTCCACAAGACCTTGTTTCCCTCCTGAGATCTCCTGCATTCTCTGTTCACATTAACCTTCGCCCTAAATCCCCAAGAGAAATCCGGCCTCAACAACAGAGACAACCGAAGAAACAAAAACACTGCAAATGGCTGAGTTCAAGTATCTGATCCACTTTGAAAACGAGAAGGGAGACAGGTTCTTTGCCGATATCGACTCTACGGAGCCCGTCATCGGGACACCAATCAATGCACATCTATCATTCGAAGACCTGAAGGAGAAGAAAAATGGCACACTTACTACCATTGCCAAGGTATTACATGCCCGTAAGGATAATATTTATAGATGAATGCTGCTCACATCGACTACAGCTCCTCCCTCCTGTCCCTGCACACGATCTGCCGATCTACTGCGTCGGGCTTAATTATAAGAGCCATGCAAAAGAAGCAAATGTAAGTTGGTCACTAAACAAGGTCCCCAGACAGAGGCTGATAAGAAATTAGCTGAATGTCCCCGCGAATCCACCGTTGTGGACAAAACCCGCCGCCTCTCTGGCCGGTCCCAACGAGACAATCGCAATGAACCGATTCTGTGCGTCCCATCTACCAGACTGGGAGGTGAGTGCTGTCCTCATTTGCTGCAAAGCCTGCTGGACAAAAGTCTGATCACACCCATAATCGAGGATAATAGGGCGAGCTCTGCTTCGTAACCTCGCGCGAGTGTCGAGACCTCGCCATTGAAGAGGCAGGCTCGTGTATTCTGGGCTATACCATTGGGAATGACTTATCCTGCCGCTTCTTTCAGCTCCCCGAGCAGTCCGGCGGGCAATTTTTCTACGCCAAGGCCTTTGATAGATTTGCGCCGGTTGGTCCGGCGCTGGTTAATCCATCCGTGTGGCACAAGGTTGAGAAGACGGCTCGGTTGATTACGCGCCTCAATGGACAAGTCAAACAGGATTCTCACCTCGCCACGGATATGATCCACGAGCCGGCGAGGATTCTGAGTTGGATGTCACAGGGTAAGCATCCCTTTTAGCGGTCCTTAAATTGAAGTCTCTGAGGAGAATGGCTTAATCCTCTGCTTAGGCACCACAATTCCGGCGTATACGATTGTTATGACAGGGACTCCCGCCGGTGTGGGTGCCTTCAACACCCCTCGACAGTTTCTCAAAGATAAGGACTCGGTCGAAATTGAGATTACCGGCCTCGGAGTGCTAAAGAACCGGATTGTGTTCGAGGAAGGCCAGGATAATATGCTGTGAGATGACCTTTCGCCTTGTTTGAAGACTGTTAGCATCACCTGGGGTCTTTGCTTCGAGTGGTGGACGCTTGTACTAATATGTCTTCTCTTACGAGATGATTAGGGCCCTTGTATGGAAATTGATCAAGTCTAAATTGTGGTATAGGATCAGTCTGTGGCTGGTGTAAGGGTTGAGCGCCCGGGTGCTCTCAGCGGATTTATCTTCTCCGTTCCGAATCTGTATATTTTTAATCGTCACGTAATAAAGAAGACTTCCCATTCTAGAAGTCGACTGCTGTAAACGGCTCGCTATAGTGAGTCGGGAATCTTGATAAGGCACTATAGACTTGTCAATCTGTAGCACTCTGTTGCTATCTGGCCCTGTCCCCTGTGTGTCCGAGTAAACAAGATCTGGAATAGTCTCAGGGAAATGCAAAACAAAACATGACTTGTATATTATAATCTCAGAATTTGCAGATACTGTACAGCAGGATGAAATGAGACAAAAGAGCAAGCAGTGACAGTAACAGGAAAATTTGCAGATCAAATCAATCAGTTTTAGGTCAGAGTCTTTTCCAGCGCGTCCAAGCTATTCTTCAGGCCACTTAGGTCTCTGCTCATGGCAATAACAATGTTATCTGGCCTCAGAATCACGTATCGAGCGCGAGTGTCACCCAAACGACGCATGAATTGGTTGGAGTTATATCCTGGACGGACGGGGTACCCAATAAGCAGGTCCGCAGGTGCTACACGGCAAACCGGCCACCGACTCGCATCAGAGAGGTGATCTAACGAGTTAGAAGAATCGAACTGCACAATCGACTGCTCCGATAACACAGAAGGATCTATTCCAGATTGCTGAAGCACCTGAAGCAGCCCGTCTAGTTCCTGCTCCATTTCGGGGCACTGCATGGGTGCGACGACAAGAAGAGTGAGAATGGTGGGAACACGGCGAAGCGCCTGGTCAGACAGCTCAACCCTCAGGATTGGACTATCAGGAAGACGTATCTGCACGTAGACCTGGCCCAACTTGATGCCACCACCGTGTTCGGTAGTGAATCCACCCCCGACACAGCCGCGGTACCCTTGGCTATCTGCTCCAAACGGCCCCAGACGTATACCCAGTGCCCCTAGAAACCCCTGGACAATATTCAGACAGGCGAGCTGAATTGATAACGACCATGAACCTTCTTTATTGCATAACTCGCCGTTCTGCCAGGTTAGCCGGGCGGAATTGTCAGTGCCCATTCGACGTTCATCCGCCCAGGCCTGAAGAAGAGATTCCCGCAGAGTCCGCGAGTGCGCCAGGGAGTCAACCTTTGTGAGAATGGCGAGTCGCCAGGCTAGCCCGACCGCATCCTGAACACCACATGCCACCCCTTGCCCGCCAAATGGCGGGAAGACGTGCGCTGCGTGATTCCAGCTTCTTTGCAATGTAAACATAGGTCATAGTCGTTGCCGTTGCAGGCGCAGTTGAAAAAGACATTAAGCCTCTCCCGGTTGCATGCATTGCAGCTAATTTCCATGACTGCCTGGCGGTCACTAAAGGCGGTTGTAAGAAGGCTCAGTCTACAATCCTGACTGATCAGCTCGAGCGGGTACGCCTTTAGAATCGTCAGGGCGTCTTTGGAACATAGGTCGAGCCCATCAATGACAAGGTATGTTCTCTTGTGCTCGTCTAGCAGTGCCTCGAATGTCTGTTTAAGTATCGTCTCGGACCGACAGTGGCTCTCGTATGCGTTCCTGAGTGTTGTGGGTATTTTGCAGGGGTTCTCAGGAGTGGTGTTGAACAGGAGCAGTTGCTTCACCATGCTGCCTAGAAGGTTGACTCCCGTCTGGAGCTTTTGACTGTCTTCATGGTCACTCAGGGAGATGTGGATGACTGGCGAGAGGGGGCGATCCAGTCGTAGATGGTGCACTATCAGAGCGCAAAGATAGCTCTGGTAATATGATCAGAATCCTCAATTCTTAGCAGTCAAATTCGATGTTATACCACGTACCTTGCCGGTACCTGCTTCTCCATGACATCGAAGCTGACAACGAGCCCCATCGGCCCAATACTCAAACACATCTGAGTTGATCAGCCACTCCCCCGTGGGCACGCTATCCACATAGACCCTCTGCTGTTCATCGTGGAAATCAAGAGGAGTGATCCAATCCAAGATCTTCTTGCGGTAGCTACTGTCAAGCACTCCATTAATTTGATCAAGCCTATCAGTTACTGCACCTCACGTGTCTCATTAGCATAGCCTCCGAGCACATTTGAACTGTCACTCAACTGATATCCCAACATCCGATCTTCTCTAGCCCCTACTCCTCCCAAACAAAGGATAGACATACATTTATCCAGCGCTACAATCTCCTGCGGCTGAATCAGCGCCAGGAGATCTTTCGCGTACGCAGCCGCTGTAAGAGCCGCATACGGCTGCCATAGATCATTCTTGTGTGTATCAGCATAGTCCGAGATGCCTCTGATAACAAGGCACGGAAAGTTATTCATTAAACCAGCCGCCTCCATATCAAAGCATACAACTTTGTGCTCGCGTCGCATGGTGTCCCGCATGTGCGCGTCCCGAACCACAGTGTTCCCAGATGCAATGAGCCCATAGTGGACAACTGGGTCATTCCGCGGCACCGATGTTCGAACAACTTCGGCCCTATCGCAGTTCCGACAGTCATTCTCGGTCTTGTTGGGATGGTTGTACCTAGTCGCAAACAGAAGGTCATGATGGCGGCCCGGAAAGCTGAAGTGGCTCATGCCTAGGGCTTCGAGCTTCAACTGCGCTTCTTCAATATACCCCGCCATATTCCCTCTCTTGAACCTGTGATCCCGTGAGAGCTTGTCGGTAGCAGAGATGAGTAGGTTTCCAGGGCTGTTCAAGTGCGACTCAATCTCAAATTTCCCGGGTCCTCGTCTACCCTTGTCGTACTGTAGGATCCCGCCTATATTATATCAGCCTAGGGCCAACTCATTATCCAAAGGCAACTCACCATGATTGCCTTCTGGCTTGCTAACAACGACATCCCCCAGAAGAATATCCGTTGTTGACCTCCTCGGGTCGTGCGATCCAGGGGCATCCGCAGCGCCACCGCCAATGCCCACCATCAATCCGAAGCGTATTTTGTCAAAGGTTCGAAGCATGTGTGTAACGGCTGTTGAGGCATTGGTTGTCCCTGCTCGGGTACATTTGGCAATGACGACGTTGTGTCCTCCGATTCGCCCAACGGTGTAGGAGCTAGGATCGTCATGAGGTTTAAATGGGGTGTCGTGCTCTTCGTCGAGAAGAGCTGTGGAGACATCGTATTCATAGTCTAGGACGCAGAGCCAGCCGACTGTGTACTCGTCGCAGGAGAGCTTGGCGCGGGCTTTCGAGAGAGCGGTCATGGTCACCGTCGCGGGAAACGATTCCTCGGCGGGAGCGGGATTTGTGTCGAGGGCGTCGAAATCAACCTCAAGCTCGGGGAAGAGCCTCGATAAATCAGTTCAGGGAGGTGGGCATGCCAGAATGTAACCCAATCATGCAGAGTAACCCCGCGAAACTCAAAAGTCAAACGGGCAAACCAGATTGGGAAAGAAAGAAGCTGGTCTCAGCCTTGTGGCGGCTGCCAAGAAGAAATCAACCCCAAACGCCATCCAGACTCAGTATCGATGGTGCGGGTGTCCGGGAAACAAAGGGTGCCTCTCTCAGCATGACTTCGTATATGCAAAATAGTTGGTGTCAGCCCAATTGAGAGGATGGAATCGTCCATAATGAGGCGGGATAAAGCTAGCCAGAAATGCCGTCAGAGCAGGTACCCGTCGCAGATCTTAATTTCGAAGTCGGTCCGGCGAGGCTTGATAGGTTGTGACTCTGCTTATTCTGCAGCCAAGAGAAGGCTGAATGTCTTGGGTCACACGCATGTCTACTCGGACAGTGAGGGCGGCGAAGTGCTGGCATAAATACCTACAGGAGACCGGTGGTGGTAAGGAGTCAGTGGCTCAACAGAGTCAAGATGCAAGGAAATACTAACCTGCTTCTGCTGATCGTGCAAGCTGTAGTGCTGGCGTCGGCTGCGTCTCCTTCCACTGCTTGCGGTGACATTGTCAACCATGAGGGCACGTATACCCCAAGCGCTCCTGAGCTCGTCGCCCCTCGCTGACCATTTTCTCTCTTATAGACGCTGCCTTCACCATCTTCAACGCGACCCAAGCGTACAACTGTCTGAGAAGCGTCCCCTTCCATCCTGAAGTTGCCAGTCGTCTCCTCAAGTATCTCAACGACACGATTCAGTTTCATAGTCCCCTTGCCTACCTTGCCAACCCGCCGCCTACCTACCAGCAGCCAGCGGTCGATCTCGTGGCCGGTATATCTCGGATCCAGAGCAGTATCGACAATGGGGTCTTCCAGAATGAGTATGCGTTTGAAGCCGCGCTTAAACAACTGCTTAATGCTGCCCATGATGACCATCTTGGTATGAGTGGGGGCATCCTGTCAGCCTTTGCCTTTGGTTCCCCATATGATCTTGTATCTGTGTCGCTGGACGGGATTGAGCTGCCCAAGGTGTACATCGCGGGTGAACTGCTCGCCAATGAGACAACGGGACTACCATGGCAACCATCGGCCATTGCCACCATAAACGGCGAGGAGGCTGTCAAGTATCTCACAGGGTTTGCGGCACGAAATTCTGTAGGGAAACTCGAGCCTCATGCAGATTGGAACATGTTGATGCGGAGTGGCGCATTAGATGCCCAGGGATACCTGGAGGTCTTCTATGGAGGTGTTTCATTCTACCCAGGCGACACAATCACCATCACCTTTGAGAACGGCACAGTGCGCGATCCCGTCCCGTGGCAGGCTATGTATCTTAGCCCAGGGTACACTGGACCGGTACAGACTGGAGGTGACATTTATAACTTCTTTGTCTTGGGTCTTTATCCGGCATCGTATGAGGAAGCTTTGCAGCAGTTATCCTCACAGCAACCCCCAGAGACTACTTCGACAGCAGCCCCGGATCCTCCCACATGGGACAGAGCATATCCGTCCGAGGCTGATGTCAGCCAGCAAGGCACTTCCATCAGTGATAACGGTCTGCTGAGAGGGTACTTTTTGACGGCGCCCTCGTTGGCTGTTCTCAGCATCCCCCATTTTGCCTCATACGGCGAAGTTGATGCAGCGGCCTTCGTCCAGACAGTCAAGGAGTTCCTCAAACGCAGCAAGGAGGCGGGTCTGAAGCGGATAGTCATCGACGTGCAGCAAAACATGGGTGGACAGCCCTTGCTGGCCATTGAGATCTTCAAATTGTTCTTCCCTTCCATCCCCCCGTTCGCAGGAAGCCGTAGGCGGGTTCATCCAATGGGTGCGGCTCTGGGTGCGGCTCTGACACCCTACTGGGAGACGCTCACACCCAATCAGAGCCTCTATTACCATCTCCTCACCAACGAATGGGTGTTGACCAGTCGGTTGGACGCAGACACGGGCCGTGAGTTCACGTCATGGGAGGAATACTTCCGTCCAGCAGCCTCGTATCACGGAGACGACTATTCCAAGACGGAGCTATACAACCTTACAAGCACAGTATTCACCGAAGAGGCAGCAAGCATCACTATTGAAGACATAGACGAGCCACAGCCCTATCCTGCGGAGGACATAATCATACTTAGTGATGGCCTCTGCTCGTCTGCCTGTGCCCTCTTTATGGAGCTGATGCACCACGAAGCCAAAGTGCGCACTGTTGTAGCAGGCGGCCGCCCAAATTATACCCCCATGCAGGCCCCCAGTGGAACGCGTGGGGCAGCATTATACGGGACAGACAAGATGGATCGGGACATCCACCGTGCACGGCAAGTGGACAATTCCACTCGCAGAGTCCTCCCAACCCGGGGAATTGATTTCTTTATGTCCAGCGCTAGTGTCAATCTGCGAGACCAGATCCGTCGCAATAGCAGTGACATCCCGCTTCAATTCCTTTATGAAGCAGCCGACTGCAGGATCTTCTTTACACCCAAGACCTGGTACAATTATACCAATCTCTGGACGTATGCGGCTGAGGCAGCATGGCACAATCCTGCGCTCTGCGTCGCGACGTCAAACTCGACAGCCAGCTCTAGCTCCGACTCCAATGCTACCGCACCATTCCAGGTTGATGTTAATGACAATGACCCAATCCCCAGCCCACATGACTACCACGCTATCGACGACCCATCAAACGATATCCATGACAAAGGTATCCCGGCCGGAAGTTTGAGAGGAACAAAATGCGAGTCAGGCAATTTTTGCCCTGGTCCACTCGTCTGCGCGAAAATCGAGGTATGCCAGAAGGGAGAGGTAGTTAAAAAGGAGCGTTGTGTCCCGTCCTGCTCCAAATCGTACAACTACCAAACCTGTGGTTCCGACTCGTTCTGTTTCACTGAAGAACATGGAGCGACATTTACGGTGAAAGATCGGCCGGACGTGAGACGCAAGAACTGGATTTCCTTGGGGTACTGTTTGCCCATATCTCCACCCAGGTGCACCTGCAATGAGGATTATGATCCCGATGAGGATACATGCTTTGACGAGCTGGACCCGAACAGATATGCGCTTGACTGTTTCGGATACGACCTTTATCTCTATAGGTGCCATGTCTACGATCTGTCGAGGGGCCGCTGGGTCGATGAACCCGAGCTCCAAGTCCCTCGCTACTGCTCAAGGACGTATCTTAAGCGCTGGTGGGAACAGGACAAAGTGTCTTCAAGCTGTTATGAAAATACAAAATGGGCAAGTCGTGTCTGTGGCGTAGGAACGGACTGGCCCATTGTTTATCTGCACCATAACGAGGAAGAGCATTATTTCCGCAATCCTGAAACCGGCGAGCCCTGGTACCGATAGACGAGGCGTGGGTATGGCAGGAGCGTAGCATCGACCGACATTCGTCGATCCGTGGTATAATAGGGCACTTAAAAAAATGCATTCAGATGCTGGAGAAGCCAATGGAGAATGGATATTAGGGGTCAACTGGGATAACTGTGACGTGCGCAAGTTCCGATAGTGATGTACTTCCTCCTTCTGCTTTGAATGGCAGAAACATGGCTACGAGCGGGACTACCTCGAATAACGGAATTGTTAGAAGAACCAAAGGAACGAACCATTTCTGTTGATAGATGGGACCTTAGACGCTGCTAGGAGGAGTCTCGGACGGCACATTAATACGCATGTACTAATAAACCTGGGTGCGCATGATTGTTTTGGATGCTCTTCAACCTGGTGGCAAGGGCAGAAAGAGCACCTGATAGGCATCTAGCAACTAGTAAATCAACAAGCAGGAGTGATTACAGGAATAATGCAGTCAACACTAGTTGGGCTATTACTATGAGAAGCAGCCCTCAAACCAGCAGAGGTAATGCTAGATCCATAACAGCAAGGCTATGCTGCTAGGCTACTAGGCCTTACCAGAAATCATCCGGCGAAGCTGATCCTCCCAGTCAGCTTCAGAGAAAGATATCTCCACACGTAACTAGGAGAACAACTAACCAATGACCATAACTGGGCTGTGTTAAATAACGCTCAGGGCCCTTGGACTCTAGGATAGCACCTCGCCCGCAACCTTGCAAGCATGATAGGAACTAATCCATCAGCAGGTTTTGAGGAGGTGGTAGAGGTACATCTAAGTACTTTCCCAGGCACTATAATAGTTTCCTCTCTTAGTAAAGTGACTGAAGCTGCTGAAAGATGTATACCTAGGCTCATGCTATAGTTAGTCAGATGGCTCCAGACTTAAAGATGGCTGGGTAGGTGCAGGAATAGCATGGCAAACTCCAGAGCAGTGGACCGCGCGCGCGGAGGAGACCAGTTGGCGGGCGCCTTCGAGGGCCAGTCACCCAAGACTACGAAGTAAAGCCCCCAAATTCAGCTTGATGGCCATCCGCAGTGAGCGTGCGTCTCGACTGACTCAATTTTTGCAATTTGCAGTTTCGGCAGCTAAGCTGCAATTTGCGCTTGAAGTCATTCTTCTTTCCGACAGCTGAGAGACGCGAATTCATAATTGATCTGGATGGAGGACGGCTGGCCGATAAATTTAGCGCACGTAGGAATGTTGACTTCCTGATGCGCTGTGGACAGGACTCGTGTCGTAAACGGCCGTGAGACGGCTTTTAGGCTCAATGCTATCTCCGACGCTTCTCATCCGTATCTCCGCCTGTCTAAACTTAAGCTAATCTGGACGTCCTAGCCTCTGCTCGGAATTGGGCTCTGATGATTGGGCGCCACTGGCTACCATAGTAGACATGTCGGCCCAGTCAGGTCACCATTGACCAATCAGGGCGGGTCAGGCTTGTATGCAGTCGCATATGAATACAATGATATCCATAACTACTAGAGACGGCGTACAAGCGATAGACATATAAATTGCCAGGAAAACCCCAGGGACGAAGCAAGTACACCTTCTACGAATCACCGCGATCGTTTTAGAACAGAAATCTTTCTATCACATTCAAATTCCTATTCCATTTCACTTCACCATGCGTGTCTTCGTCACTGGCTCCACCGGCTTCGTCGGCTCAGCCGTCGTCAAAGAGCTCCTCTCTGCAGGACACAAAGTCCTCGGCCTGACTCGCAGCGAGAGCGGAATCAAGCAACTTGAAAACCAAGGCGCCGAGGCCCTACACGGTACCATTGAACAGCTGGATGTCCTCAAAAAAGCCGCCTCCGAATGTGACGCTGTCATCCACCTCGCCTTTGTCCACGACTTCGCTGACTACGCCGGCTCCTGCGCCACGGACCGCGCCGCCATTAACGCCATGGGGTCCTCCCTTGCCGCTGCAGGCGGAGAACGCGCCCTGGTCATCACCTCCGGCACGATGCTGCTCCCACGCGGCAAGCTAGGCGACGAGGACGATGCCCCCGACATGACCAACACGATGGCTGCGGCCCGCGGCGCCTCGGAGAAGGTGTGTCTTGACTTTGCGAAGCAGGGTGTGCGGGCTAGCGTTGTGCGGCTCCCGCCTACGACACATGGCCTCGGATTCTCGGGCTTCACGGGTTCGTTTGTGAGCGTTGCGCTGCAGAAAGGTGTCGCAGTGTATCTTGGCGATGGGCAGAACCGCTGGTGTGCCGGTCACCGGGACGACGCGGCGAGGCTGTTCCGGCTGGCGGCGGAGAAGGCCACACCTGGGTCGGTCTTCCATGCAGTGGGTGAGGAGGCTGTGCCGACGAAGGAGATTGCGATTGCAGTTGGGAAGCAGCTGGATATTCCTGTTGTCAGCATCCCGCCGGAGAAGGCAGAAGAGCATTTCGGTTGGTTCTGGTTTGGTGCCGTGGCTGATAATGTTGCCTCGAGCGCGAAGACGAGAGAGCGGTTGGGTTGGACTCCTGAGGGGGCGACGTTGATAGAAGACATCCCGGCTATTGTTGACTTTATGAAGTCTCAGGCAGAGTAATTTGGGGAGCCAAATGTTTGTAGTCAATTAGACCAGGGAAGTAGCTCAATTACATTTCGATGGCGACTGTCCAGTTAATCAATAGTAGAAGAAAGCAAACTGTCCCCCTGTAGAGACCTCGCCGGCCTACTCTATTCTTGAAATAATACATCACATGTCTCTATATTTCTTGCATTTTTAGCAATCATACCATGAAATCCCCAGCTACGGGTTATATGCTCTTCGAGTCGTCTTTCTTTACTCGACAGCGCCCATGGACAAATGCAGATCTATGAAAACCCAACTTCAACTTCAACACCCAATACGTTTGCCTCTATGGTGAGCCCCTTTTCTCCACCTTAATCGTCGTCATCAAAGGGAGGAAGTACTCCCGGGTTTATGCATGAGTGAAAGCGGTTGAACTGTGGCTTTAAAAGAGTCAATAATCGAAGCAGGGTTTCAATGAACTATATGGCATCACGGGGCCATTGACCAGTATTCGGTGCGGTCTGCGAATTTTATATTGGCTTGGAAGATTGATCCGCGGCTAATGCATAGGATTCATCGGCTGGTCGGTCAATAGCCATTGGCCACGTTCCAAGGCGTACAACACTCCAGAAGGTATGTCTTTTACCTGCATCAATAGTCTCACTAGTGGACAGCCCGTGTACCAGCAGAAAAGCTGACTGACCACTGTTGCTGCAGCTGGCTAATATGCGTCTCTGATAGAAGGACACTCAGCATTAAGATATTAGGGTACATAAACCTATGTCTCACTTGACCTCAAAATACACTGTTTTTGTAATCTTATTTCCCTCCGTTGCGCCACCAACTAGACCCTCGGTACTTTCAGAATCGTCTCTATGTTTTTGACGTTGCCCATGTACCGATGCACGAGATCCTAGCCCTCATTGATAGTATGATCGCGTACAAAGTGGCCCGAAACCGATGAAATGGCATATTTGTCACCCGAGAAGCCATGACGCTCTGTAATAGCGAATGCATTGTGACTCGGTTGGAGTTCGATCATGAGGCGGCCGAGCGATGGGATGGCTGTGGTGATGATGCTGAGGTTCATCATTACTCTGCTCCGGTTAGATTGCGGTCTCGCCACGGTGTCGGGTCTTGTTACTTACTGAGCCCATATCGTGGAGTTGATGTTCGCCCCTATCCATGATCAATATGTGCCAGGTATACAGATAGAGCGGATAGATATACTCACATGTCCGGTCAGGCGAACTAACCGCAATATTCACGTAGTGCATTTGGATCCCGGTTGCCACACATACACTGGATACTGTCAGCTTCAGGGGCTAAGCGGAGTTAGAGACTGCGTTGCGTACATCAACCGAGTGGCGAGCATGGCCATGATCCGTAGCCGTTTCAACGCGCTGATCTGGACTTTCTGGAGGACGACACACGGGAGGAAAACCAGTGCTGCGTCGGAGAGTATATTCATAGTCCAGATGTAGTTTGAGAGCGCTTCCTGAATTGGTTCTCAGTATCCATTCGAGCGTTTACGTGGTATGATTCCCACTCACTCGGTTGACACAACTGCCTGTGATGTCCCACGGATGAGGCAGAGAGCATTGGAATGCCAGAGCCACGATCGAGGAAGATGTCCATAACCCAATTACCACCATCAAGCCCTGGCTAAGCCTTAGGACGTTGCCCTGGGCTGTCAAACTGCGGAAAAGCAGCGCCACGGAGAATTTACTGCAGGCGACAGTTGCAAGCAGGAGGATTTGCGTTCCGTACATGTACTGGGGAGCTATTAGTCGGCTTCATGGAACACCTTTGCTATTTGGATGAATCGCCACCTTATCGAAGGACGTCAAGTCGTTGGTCGAAACCACGCGTATCTTCTTGCCGAGACCATGATCAATGGATAGTTGAACAAACGCGCTCTGGAGAATTCCTAGTCCCTGTTATACGCGATCAAAGTTAGACCTTGCAGGAATAAGCCGTGGCAAGGGGACGATCATACCGTGGCGCCTGCGAGCAAGATATCATCCGAGTAGACATCCCTTGCGATATACCATCTTGTAAAAAGTCGCACAAAGACAGTGGTCACAGTCAAACTTAGCAAAGTATAGACAGTGACAGCGACATACCCACTGTGGTCTTCAACTGAGAAGGGGAACAATGGTGGTAATGTGCCTGCCATGTCAGTTTATGAAGCACATATGCAAGCCGACCATCAGCGGAGAAATATATGCAAAACCGGAAGGATATCACAGCGCACTGACAGCACCAGCGAAATAGTCAGTAGTCCGTGGCATGTCTGATTGGTCTGGAGAGGCCGATAACAATAGGGAGAGTCATGAAAGCACGGCCCAATCAATAATGTAGAGTATGTCGAACTTGGCTCCAAACTAACCCCTTCTGTACATTTCACAGATTCTTTGCCAATGCTTATCCTTGAAGCTTTAATCTACTTTTAGTGGCACGTTCTACTGCCTGGGATTGGTCTGGAGTCCGCCGGACCTCGGCCGTGTCCACAAACCAAAGGATGCGCCTACGCAGTCGACGTTACATCGTGCATCTGGACAAGCTTTGTATTTGACACGAGCCAATCTCTGACAGTCTGGACAGCCTATTCTAAGAGGTATCTGTAAGCGTGCTCACACTTCCACTCAGTCCTCAACCAACAATTGGTTGGGCCTTTTGATTAATACAATGCAAACGTGGGCTAAGCACATTTGACAGGCTTACGAGAAAGTCAATTAAAATGATATGGCTTGACAGAACCATACTTGCATCCTGTTTCGTTAATATTACCAGCTGCGTATCGCACAGGACATTTCAAACTCTAACAGCACCAGTCTAAAGCTTGACAGACATGGGTATCTCCGGAAGGCCTCAAGGAGCCTTAACAAACTAATTAATGGTGTCCTCCCTTTGAACCAACCAAATTACAGTAGACTTCGGCTGAAATTACTTTCCTTTCTTTTGCCGGCCATCTTTACGTGGAATGCATTTCCCCTGATTATCCCTCATCCTTGTTTGTGATGTACATATGCATTACTCCTGCTTCAAGTTGATTACCTCGAAGGTCCGATGAAATTTAGGAGTCATTATGCCGGGGGATACAATTGAGCTGTCACCCTTTGGGACGAAAGTCGCCCGTGAATATGCACTGGAGCTGAGAAACCAACATGAAACGAGCGACAGGAAGGCCTTTCGCAACAGTGCCAGTGGCGGGGGATGCACGTCGTCGAACAATACCAATGGAAAGCAACGCATGGAGGTACGAATGAGCATTTCACGCTGGAAGTTATCGTTGCTAATTTGATACTAGAGAAAATTCGGCTCGCTCTCCATCCTGGCCTTGTCAGTCACATTGTTAGCATCATGGGAGTCCATCGCCAGGTACGTCAGCAGTCACCTATGCCTGAGCTGCCAGTAATTTGTCTTTATCTAGTGGATTCGCTCCAGGTTTGATGAACGGAGGTCCTGCGGCTTTAGTTTGGGGGATGTTGCTATCAATGACAGGAACGATGGCACTGGCCTTGTCGCTGGGCGAAATGGCATCCATCTGCCCACTTGCGGGAGCACAGTACCACTGGACCGCGCTGCTGGCGCCGCCGAGAATCAGAGCATTCAGCACTTGGATGCAAGGTACGAATCAAGCAAAAGCAGTCTGATAATCACTGACTTATTACGCAGGTTGGATCACGGTATTTGGATGGCAGGCTGCCGTCACCAGTATCAGCTTCCTCGTGGCCACGCAAATCCAAGGCCTTATCATCCTGAACCGTCCGGAGTATGAACCGCAACGATGGCATGGGACCTTGCTCATGTGGGCGGTGATGCTCTTCTCGCTGAGCATCAACGTCTTCGCCGTTCGAATCTTGCCTTTGCTTCAGCTGTTAGGCGGCCTCATGCATGTCGTATTCTTCATTGTTCTGATCGTTCCTCTGGTTCTGTTGTCTCCCCGGAGTACGCCTGAGTTTGTTTTCACGGAGCTGTTGAATCAAGGCGGATGGAGTAGCGATGGAGTCTCCTGGTGTCTGGGAATGTTGACTGTCACATATTGCTTTACTGGTAAGACATTCATTACTGATATGAACTTCCACTGACATATGCAGGATTCGACGGAGCCATCCACATGAGCGAAGAAGTCCACAACCCGGCCACCGTGATCCCTCGCATCCTCATCCAAACCATTGTTATCAACGGCACTCTAGCATTCAGTTTCATTTTGGTCATGCTGTTCTGCATCGGAGACATTCACGCAATCTTGAACTCTCCAACCGGCTTCCCCATCATCGCCATGTTCTACCAGGCCACCGGCTCCGTCCACGCAACAACAGCAATGCAATCCGCCATCACCCTTATCGGCTTCGTCTCCAACATCGCAGTCGTCGCATCCGTCTCCCGCCTCACATGGGCTTTTGCCCGCGACGGAGGCCTACCCTATTCCAAGTTCTTTGCTCACGTAGATGGCAAATACCACATCCCCCTCCGCGCCATCTGCCTCGTCTGCTTCACCGTAATCCTGCTCTCCCTCGTCAACATCGCTTCAACCACCGCCCTCAGCGCTATCCTCGCGCTCACCACCAGCTCGCTTTTCATCTCATACATCATCCCCGTGGCCATGATGGCCCGGAAGCGTATCCGGAAGGAGCCGATTGCGTTCGGCCCATTTGCTCTTGGCCGATGGGGTCTGGCGATCAACATCTATGCTATCGTCTTTGGTATCTTCATTTGCACTTTCGTGTCATTTCCGACCGAGATTCCTGTAACGGCAACCAATATGAATTACAGCGGGCCGGTGTTTCTCGGGGTGAGCGTCCTGTTGATTTGTGATTGGGCTGTAAGAGGGAGACGGAGGTTTACAGGGCCGTTGAAGGAGTTGTTAACACAGGGTGCTCGCGAAATGTAGTAACCTCATTAGTTCTGAATATATCCGTCCTCGAGCTGGCTCTTCCAGATGGCACGGATATCAGGCATAACATGTAGTACAATACTACAAACACTGGGAATACCAGGCATTGACCACCGTGCAGGTATACCCACTCGCACACACCGTAGGCCCCGTCCACCCATTCCCTCCACATTGACCCCAGTGCGCCGCAACACCAGTGCCGGTCGACGACCCCCCAGACGATGTCGTCGTGCTCGTCGTAGTAGGCTGCGTAGTAGTCGTCGACGAACCCCCCGCAAACCCAAACCACTCCATATCCTGCTCCCCATGAATAGGAACTGTATGTCCGACGCCCGTTGCAAAGATCCCCTGCAGATTTGGCCCCCAGATGGTAGTCTGGTAGTTCGCCTGCGGGGTATTGCTCTGTGTCGACTGCGGCGAGTTATAGTTGTACCCGAAGACACCCGCCCACTGCTTGCAGGTTTCGTAGTAATTCTGCGGGTAGAGCGTCGTGTCTGTGCTGCCGTGGTAAATCTGCATGCGGGGACGCGGGCCGGTATACCCCGGGTACATTGCTTTGGCGATGCCGCCCCAGACCTCTGGGGTGCTGATGACGTTGCCCTGGGCGCAGCTGCTGTTCCAGGCGTCGACTTGGTTGGAGGAGGAGTAGAAACAGCCGGCGGAGACGCCGGAGTAGACTGTTGCGGCGGCGAAGAGTTCGGGGTATGTGGCGGCCATGACATTCTGTCATTTCGGTTAGTGTGCAATTTACTTTGATTTTAGCGTGATGCTCACAGTCATCATGGCTCCAGAGCTGGACCCAGTCACGAAGACCTTGCTGGTATCGGCGTTGTATTGGCTGATGGTCCAGGTAACCATGTTGGCGATTGAATTGCTGTCGCCGCCGCCATTGTGGGTCAGGGCGGATTGGGAGCTGACGTCCCAGCAGGTACCGCTATAGGGACTCTGAGGGTAGATGACGATGAAGCCATACTGCTCGGCCAGCTGTGCATAGGGGGATCCTGTGTAGTATGCTTGTGCGGTTCCGGTGCCTGATAGTGTCAGCGACTTTGGCACCTAGTTGCATTAATTGTGCTCCACCTACAGTAATGGATAGCTACGACAATTCCAGGCTTAGTGGCTAGGTTCTTAGGCACATATATGTACATGAGCGTGCCAGAGGGGTTAGATCCGAAGTTAGTCACTTGCTGAAGCGATCCGCTGGTGACTCGCTTGACTACATCTTGCCCCGGTGAGGCGGACGATAGGGCCAGGAAACAAAATAGTGCAAAGAAAACAGATAGAGCTCTCATGGTGTCGTTCAGAAGACAGGTAATTCCGTTCAAGCAGTGGTCAAGAAACATAATACACTCAGGTCGATGGGCTGGCTGGGTTTTATCATACGAACCTGATTATCCGGGTTTTAATCCTAGCAGGGCAAGCAATTTTGGCTAAAATCTATTCTACAGCAATCGGACAAAAGGAGGACTGACAGGTGAGACCTCCTCAAACACTGGTATTGCTTAGCACAGGAATAGCGGCCTTTCCCCGCATTCCACGCGGCACCCATTCTGCAGATTGGCCGTGAAGAAGCTTATTTATCCAAAACAGCCTGCGTGGGTTCTGCAGCGGGAAATCGGTCTTCGGGCCGGAGTTCCTGAATCGTCAGTGCAATAAGGTTAATGTGCGAAAAGTAGCCCGCCAGTGGGAAAATTGCCTACCTCCTGGGTAATGTACAGTTACCTTGCAGATCCACCCGATTAAACTCAAGTCAAGAAGCCAAGGAAAACACGCGGTAGGGCTCGTGAAGAACTGCCCTTGTTGATGCATATACCACTTAGTGCCGGTACTCGGCATGCTCATGTCTCCTCGTTGGGCAGGACTATATGGAGAGTTTACATTGAATACCCTGTGACCTGGAGTGGCCCCAAGATTGGTGCTCAGGAATTGCATGGAGGTTGTTCTATCTTCCACCCTCATGCCAGATGCAGAAGTGTTTGGTCCGTTAAGGCTGACGTTTATCACCATTTCCTTCTGGTTTGTCCAGGGTTACTCCCAACTGCGTCATCATCGTGCAGATCTCCAGTTGTGAAAGCATTGGCCAAATGACCTGTTACGATATGTTATGCATAACCCGAATATTGCCAGAGTCATTAAGCTTTCTTGTCCCGGAGGCGATCTCAGCCCAAATAGAAAGTTAAGCTTCCCAGCACTGTAAATCTAGGTTGGTCTGGCTTAATTACAGCGGACGGTCCACCCATACAACCTAAACATGCATATCTATATTCATACTGTGTATCCACTATTAGAGCGATCGACGGCTCTGATCAATCATTGTCGACTAATACACAATATGACCGTCTTTCCTGTGTTTTATAGGCACAAGAGGTTTACCCCCATATGCTAAATAGAAGCATGCAGCGCAAACGTCCCAAGACATGGATTTCGACCGTCTTGAGTTCCCGAAAGGTGGTTACTTCGCCAGGCAGCGTAGACTAAGGATACCATAGCGAAACTTTTATCGGACTATTTGGACAGTTTGGCCCCAACGTTTGTGCCAAGTATCATACAGGAGCTGGACCTGTTGCTGACAAATACGGTAGTGTGCCGATAAATGTGGTTTACCAGTCCCCGTCAACGTATACGACAGATCCCACACTCTAGTGACTATCCTGAGCATCACCAGCGACGTTAGGAGGATCCTGGGATTCGGATCCCGCATCATCCAGTTGCTTGTTAGCTTTTTGGGCTTGTCTTTCGAGATAAGATACACGTGCTCTAACGGAGATGTTCTCGTCTCGGTAAGCCGGGTCAGAGTCAAGGCGCTTTGCGCAGACGAAAGTCAACACGGAGCGGCGCAAGGTCTCGACGGGGATTTTGGTTGGAATTTCGATAAAAATATCTTTCTTCCACACGTCGGCGTTGATCAGATAGCGAACGGGGAATGGAACGTCAACGTCAAAGTCAGCGGCATACTGATCGAAGACCACGTCACGCCAGGTTTTAACTGAGATTTCTGGTAGTCATAGCGAGAATCGAGCTGCAATATTGCTCCTATCTGATATTATGTGCTTTCGGGTCCTCTGTGGAAGAAGGCAAGGATACAGACGGGAGACTCGCGCGTTGCGACCACGTCAAGGGGGCTGATGCTTGGCGCGGGGGTCATATCAACCGTAGACTTCAGGTAGCAAGCCAAGGCTCAACACTAGGACGGTCTACTCCTCTACATGACTCTTCGATAATGTGCTGACATATGTATTGCGATTGACGTGATAGTCCGTGTCCTGCAATGCGGATACCTAGATAGGTTTATATTCAAGTGAGGAGACCTGGACTGGGCAATTTCCCTGGTTATGAGTGGGATATTCCAGAAAATGGTTCGCTATGACCCTTTAACTTGTGGAGCTATTTATATCTCATTGCTCCGTAAATGGCACTATCGGTTCAGCTGTGAGATTTCCCCGCGGTAAATGCCGTCCTAGCGAGCAATTAATTTTTGCCTTCCAGATGATTATGATGAGCGGCTTAGTGGCAGACTGATGGTTGCTATATAGCAGAAAAAGATACACGTCCAAGCCATAGGCTGGCCAGCCTCCATCCTTCAACAGCTTTCAAGTGGATGACCAGTTCTTATCAGTGCTGCAACAGTGGCTTCCAGTAGTTCTCTCACTCACACTTTGATCAAGAAAGTCAGAAGAATGGTGCTGTATTACTACTCAGATAACACCATGGTTCTCCTATGGTTACATCCATGTAAACTACAGCATTCTGTATGCCTTGTTGTAGATACTAATGCTGACCAGAATAAGCAAACTTCAACTTGACAGTGTCTAGATTAGTGTCCTAGAACAAGAGCCAAGACAGCGCATTAGCTCTTATCTTCAACACATCTCAGAGTGCTACACCTTTGGTAACGTTACATTTCGCTAGAGTCTCCGATCTAATACCTTATCTTGCCTAGCGCCTCTGGCCAAGCTGTCTTCCACCATTCCTTTCAGCAAGCCAAGCTCAGCCAACAAATGTTACGGTGTTCTGTGGTCATCCTTAAGGCTTCCCAAGTAGGTCACTTCACTTGGCTTGAGGCCATGGGTTCTTGACCCTCAGAGTTGCGGGGGTGGAACCAGTGGAGGCTTGGACGATGCTTAGTCCTTCCATGCGGGGTCAGGGGGTCGAGGAGCAAGGCTGACGCTGCTATGCTACCCGACTCCTTTCCTATCAGTCACACACGACTCGGAGCCTGTAATCCGGGGTGTATTATTGGACAGAATCTGGGGACTGTCAGCACGGAGACACTCGACTCAATACTGAATACTACCTTGAGGGGTTGGAGTGTAGTATCGGTTTCACGTGGCTATACAGGGAAGCTATTCCTTTCTTCGCTTATCAACACTGAGAACAGAATAATTTAAGATGTTTTCCCGTCGTCCACAGCCTCCTCGCTTTTCAGAGTTTCCATTATCCGCATCAGTACTACCTGTGCACACGCCACCATGTCTGAGGAAATCACTCCCCATGACCACGGTGAGAGCATTGACGCTCCTCCAGATCTACCAGCAGGATGGAAATACAGGCAGCACCGCATTTTTGGCCGCAACATCCCCTGGTATGCCTCGCCTAGCGTGCAGTTGTTGTTGGTGGCATTTGTCTGTTTCATGTGTCCCGGAATGTTCAACGCCCTGGGTGGCTTAGGCGGTGGTGGAAAGACGGACGCTACTTTGGCAGACAACATGGTGCGCCAGACGTCACTAGAACTTATAAAGAATTACATTGACTATTGGACAGAATACGGCTCTTTACAGTGCTTTTGCAGTCTTTGGCTTCTTTGGTGGTACTTTCATCAACAAGCTCGGTGTCAGATGGACGCTCGCATTTGGAGGGATTGGATATTGCATCTACGCCATCAGCTTGTTGGTCTCCGTCCACGCCAGCGTTGCCGGTTTCAATCTCTTCGCTGGGACATGGCTCGGTATCTGTGCCGGTCTTCTGTGGACCGCTCAAGGTACCATCATGATCTCCTACCCTACTGAGGAACAAAAGGGAAGATATTTTGCTTGGTTCTGGGGTATCTTCAACATGGGTGCAGTTATTGGCAGCTTGGTACGTCTCCGACTCGATATATTTCTATTCAGGCATCTCACTCTCAGTGACGGAGACTAACCTAGATTAGATTCCCCTCGGTGAAAACATCCATGTCAAGGCTAACATTACTGTCTCCGACGGTACGTACATCGGCTTCATCGTCTTGATGTTCGTCGGTGCCCTGCTTGCTCTCTGCCTCTGCAACGCTAGCGACATTATTCGACCAGACGGCAGCCGCGTCATCTTGATGAAGCATCCTAGCTGGCAATCCGAGCTGCTTGGCCTCTGGGAAACCCTTCGATTTGAGCCATTTGTTGTCCTCCTTTTCCCCATGTTCTTCTCTTCAAACTGGTTCTACGTCTACCAGCAGAATTCTGTCAATGGTGCTCACTTTGGTACCCGCACGAAGGCTCTTAACAGTCTACTGTACTTCCTGGCTCAGATCATTGCAGCTGTTATCTGGGGATACCTTCTCGATGTCCAGAGCGTTCGCCGTTCCGTCCGAGCGAAGATTACGTGGGTCGTTCTCTTCATCCTCACCTTTGCCATCTGGGGTGGTGGATACGCCTATGAGAAGACATACACCCGCGAAAGCGTCAATCCCAAGCTCAACCCCCAATTTGTCCCAACTGACTGGGAGACTCCCGGCTATGTGGGCCCAATGTTTCTGTACCTCTTCTACGGTTTCTATGATGCTGCCTGGCAAGCTAGCGTCTACTGGTATGTTTTGCTCTAATCACACTTCTCTGGTTTCTTTGACCGATGACAACTAATCAAAGCGAATAGGTTCATGGGCGCTCTCTCCAACTCTGGCCGTCGCTCTGCCAACTACGTCGGCTTTTACAAGGGTATCCAGTCCTGTGGCGCCGCTATTGTGAACAATCTTGACGCTCGCAAGCTGTCTTACGAGAAGGAATTCATCAGTAACTGGGTTCTCCTCGCCGTCTCCCTCGTTGTTGCTGCCCCCGTCATCTTCCTCAAGATCCGTGATCACATCGATGTTCAGGATGATCTTGCAGGCACTGACGAGACTATAGCTGATGTTCTTCCCGCTAACCACCCCGAGAAGGCCGTGGCCTAGGAATTGCATATTTACTTTCTTGATTGCGGGTTTGGGACTACCCGTTCTGCTCATTTTGGTAGTGTCTGATTTGTGAGATATAACCTACTGTCTCGTACATAAGATCGGTGATCTAATTATGCAAGTCCTGGAGTTATGTGCCAACTTACCTTATAATTACCAAGCATGCAAAAGAACCACAGTAGCGTCAGATATTTATATGGGTTGGGTATGTTTATAACCCCGATTCACCCATTTTGCGGATTGGGTGGGTTGGATTTGCGGATCGTCTACATTGGGGGTTGGTGTCTCAGGTGATTGGCCAGCGACTGCCAAGATATGATTATGGCTGACATCCATCAACAATGGCCCCCTTCCATGGTGGTCCATCCAGTACCTCTCCCTGGTAACCGAGTTTCCTACAATTCAGACATGTTGCTTGCAAGAATACTGCCATCCCGAATACCCCGTTTTGGACAGCGAACCTCACAGCGTTACCTGATGTCGCACATGTCCCCGTTCAGCAAGGAGCCACTTACCCCAGGCACGATGCTCGAAAGTGACTCTGGGCAAACGTATAGGATTAAAGAAGTGCTTGCTGAACGGAGAAAGCCCCTTTTATGTGGATATCGTGCGAGGTACATTGATCCGGAACCGCTTGAAGCCTCGTGCTAACCGCGCGGTAGTGCCGATGGAAGGGATTTCATAGCGAAAACATGATTCAGGGCGAGTTTGACTATCACCTGAACCTCCAGAAATCGCTGGCGACTTGCCCAAACGTGCGAGGGGTGGTTGATACCGTCAAAGATCTGGAGATGTTCATCTACCCGTACTTGTCTGGAGATCTGCTTCGTTTAAGTCAGAGAAAATTATCGGAAGATACGAGGAGATATATTCTCCGAAGTGCTTTGCAAGGCCTCGTCGATCTTCACGATAGGGATATTCTCCATAACGGGAAGTACTTACGTTCAGAAAATCACATGATCATGCTACTGACCGACTGCAGACATCAAACCCAATAATATTCTTGTAGATTATGTGGAAAGTGCTGAGGGTGGAGTCGTTGTCAAAAGCGTGCAAATCTCAGACCTTGAGGATACAGTCATTGTACCTAGAGGGAAGTGGCTGACTGGTCCACTATGCGGCAATGCAATATGGAGGAGTCCTGAGAGTTGGTGCCGATCACGCCAGAACCAAGCATCAGATGTTTTTTCTTTTGGGATCGTAGTATGACTCTCATTGCTACCAATCTTGTGGTTATACATTGCTAATTCCCGTTAGATGATCTATGTGATGGTCAATGAGATGGTCTTCCGTGTCAACGACGACGAACTAAATTCCGCGGATTCGTGGCGTCATATCCTTCGCCGGCATATATCTTACTTTGCGGACGAAGATGGCCTCAATGGGTTTCTCGAACATATTGGAGAAGAAAATCCATTTTACGACCGTTTGATAGATCTCGCCAACACCTTTGGGCCAGAGAATCCTAGGCAGCCTTTTGAGCGTTGGGGCTATGTAGAGGCTGATCTCAGAGACCTGGTTGGTAAGATGGCGAATTTAGACCCAACGAAGAGGATAACTGCGACGGAGGCGCTCCAGCACCGCTGGTTTAGCAAAACTGGTCTATAGCTTGAGTGCTGCCTTCAGATCAAGGCGGTTTGGCGCTCAGCACTTTCTCTAACCGTGAATCCACTTTATTTAATCTTTTCTTCTTCCCTACCATAGTCTTCAAGCCGGTCTGTCGTAGTCCTGCAAAAGGCACAACAGCATCTTTAAAGAAGGTCGGGTCTACCCATCTCTAGAACGATGTGAGTTACGGAATCCCAGAAGCATGTCCACGCAGCTCCTCTTCCGTAAAGTGAATACGACAAGGAAAGTCAACCCCGGGTCCTTCCGAATATCTGTAGCGATGTTAGGTTGCCGTTGGCCAAAGAAATATGTGCATGCAAGCTCTTTTGCACAGTAGTTTCAATCGAACCTGCCTTTCCAGTTAATCAAGGATTTCCTTAAAAGACATCCTTCCCAGGTATTGATAATAAACAGTATTGGGTCCCATCGTGTTGTGCCATGGTTGAGGTTGACGACTCTTTGTAAAAGAGGCACATCCCTAGCCCCCTCCTTCTCATAAAGGTACCGAATTATGGACTGGTGGACTGGTGAACCATTCATCCTTAGTCTCTAGTATTTGGAAGATCCAAGCACTAAGAAGGCAATGTTTTGATGTTTTGCGCAGCCACATCATGCCGCCACGATACGATCAGGCCAGTAAACTCCATTACTTGGGCATGGTGAGACTGCTCTGGAGATGATGTAGAAAACCAGAGGCACGTGCATTTCAGCCTGCAGAGCACAAGTGACAAGATGTTAACCAGTCATATCAGAGCTGGGACATTATGGAATTTTCATTGTATCTGCAGTCATTTTTGGGCATAATTGCCGACAGGTCACAGCCTAGGTTGGGATCAGCGGTTGACGAGTGCGAATAAATACGGGCGGTGCAGCCTCGGTCCATTGTCATCCCACACCCAACTCACCACTCGGAAGGGAATAAGATCGGGGCCTCGTTTGATCCACACCTACGGAGTAGTTTAAGCAGTATTCTTGAGCTTTTAAGATCATCCGAGTCATGTACTTGTGTCTCGGACGAGACTAACCAAAGCCGAGCGATCGCCGCTTCGGCCGAAAGCAAAGTAGGGCCCGGAGATTGACCACCTTTCTTATGGAAACTGCGAGTCACAAATACATATTAAGCCGAGTCTGCACCAGCAACACGTGGTGTAATTGAGCGCATCTAGCACACATCTATGTCTTGTTCCCGGGTCTTCAGTTTCCCCAGTCTTACTCTTGCAAGATTCAACCCAACCTCGAACCGCTTTGCTTCTTCATATCGCAAGATGGGTGAACAGATTCTGGACAGATATCAACTCCAACCGCTGCATTCAGACTCGGTACCATGGCGTCGACTGCCAGGGCAGCAGGTATTATGGATTGGCTGCTCGGACAGCGGGTGCGACGAACTGGAGAGCTTGGGTTTGCCTTCAGATGAGATCTTCGAGTACAGGAGCTTGGGAAACATGATGGTAGACGACCTATCTTGCAATACGACCTTGCGATATGCTTTGGACTCGTTAAAGGTGAGTTCGTTGTTCCTAGGAGAGGGTGCGACTAACCCAGCCAGATCCGGAATATCGTGATATGTGGACATTACGGATGTCATATTGCAAATGGAGAAGTAAATGCCGGCTTGCAGAAACCTTGGAGCAGGTAATTGTTACCGATAGATATTACTGGGGTTATGCTGACGGATAAGTATACTTGACACTCTACGTTCGACTCATCATCACACTCTCGACAGTCTGAGAGGAACCGAACGCGACCGTGCGCTGGTGGAGTTGAATGTCCTTGAGCAGGTGCACTCGTTAAGTCAGTCTGCTGAGGCTGCAGAGGCTTTGCAGAAGCACCAGCTCAATGTCTGGGGCATGGTCTACGACAAGGCGTCGAAAAAAGGTTATCAATTAGTAGAAGCATGACGGTGATCAGCTATTTGACCATCTTTTAGAAAATGAAACATAAGACGAAATCAAAAACGCATAGATAATTGAAAGAGGGAGCGTGGCTGCAGATCCATCATGATCCGAGTAATGCCATTGGTTGAGAGCTTTTAAGCCAGTCGGCAGAAAGCATGCCTCAGGCATACATATCTGGCCCCACGAAGAACGTCACACCATTCTCCGACCCAAAAATATTCATGGCGTAATTCCTCCAAAATCATCTAGAGAATCATTTCATCTCACACCCGTCCATGATGGAGCCCTCCGACCAAAAAGTGGACTCTGTCCCACAGTATCTTAAACAGTCGCATGAGCGTATCTTTGAGAACAATCGCGCCTGGGTCGCGACGAAAATGAAAGATGACCCCGCTTTTTTCGAGAAGCTTTCCGCAGGGCAGACCCCCGAATATCTGTAAGAAGCACAATGGCGCGTACATTTCACATACTTAAAAGACCAGGTACATCGGCTGCAGTGACAGTCGCGTCCCCGCCAACGAGATCATGGGTCTCGAAGCCGGGGAGGTCTTCGTCCACCGGAACATTGCGAACCTGGTCCCCAACACAGACCTTAACGTGATGTCGGTCATTAATTACGCCGTCCGCCATCTGCAGGTCAAGCACATTGTTGTCTGCGGCCACTACCACTGCGGCGGTGTCAAAGCCGCGCTGACGCCTTCGGACCTGGGGCTCCTCAACCCCTGGCTTCGGAATGTGCGCGATGTGTACCGTCTGCATGAGCGGGAGCTGGATGGGATTCAAGATGCGACTGCGAGATATAAGCGCCTCGTGGAGTTGAATGTTATCGAGTCCTGTAGAAATGTGATCAAGACGGCTGCGGTGCAGCAGAGCTTTCATGAGCGGCAGTTCCCCGTTGTGCATGGCTGGATATTCGATGTGGAGACTGGTCTACTTAGGGACCTGGAGATTGATTTTGAGGAGACTTTGCGGGATATCAAGAAGATATACAATCTTGCGCCGGGTTCTTAGCACTCGCTTTGGAGCATGCACCAACCATATACCATTTTCAGTGTCACGTCAGTTAGAATTTCCAAACCTAGTGGTAAGACTCGTAACCGTGGAAAGCTCCGACATTTGTACCCGGAAGTTACCTTGCTGATACGGGTGCCACAGCCCTGACACTGGATTTCTACCTTGATGCGGGCGTGAAATTTACATAGATCAATAGGATCAACAGTCGCATGAGAGGCAAGAAAAACCAGTTGACTAGAACGGCATTGTCAAGCCAGTTGGGTCTACTCAAGAGCCATTGCATACCAATGGAGTGGGCACACCGTAGTATCATGTATGTTTGCAATCGGAGGGAGGACTATTGCGATGACACATCCGGGCAGGCTGGTATTCTGCATATTCGAGTGCCGCGGCAAACAAGCATTATCTTCTGTCACTTCACTGCCCGTAAATTGACGAGGAATCGATCAGCAGAATGCAGGCCGCCAAATGCTGAATACAAATGCCGGTATTTGAACAAGCGAGTCTAAATTCCCGAGCGCATCTGAGGCCTTACCGAAGCGGTGGTCTGCATCATGCATGGCATGGGATCTACGCCAACCCCGGCCAAATATACTGAAGACTGATCCTCCACGACATTGAGACTATCTTGTTTCGTGGTGAAGATAGCTATGATATGAGCTTTGGGTTAACTAATTTGTTTCAACTTGTTACAGCTGACCGGCAACCAATATTTGCGTATCGTGTCATGCTACGGCCAAAGTCGCGGAAAATTGGAGGCATATGCCCCCGAACCAGTGCATTCATTCTTCTATCTCTTTAACAATCACTATAGTCTAAGAACAATTTTTAACCACCACCCTTTCAACCCTATAAATATTGGATTAATATTTAGATTTAGATTACTATAATAAGAATCCCATATATTCCATGTAAAATTATTATTATTTTTCTAGAGGTATATCTATTAGGCCTAAGACATGGGAGATATTATATTCTAAAAGCCGTTAGAATTACTCTGTAACCCTTTCAGGTCATAAAAATCAAAACTGACCAAACTACATCTAACTATAGTTAGATTCCACCAGGGTTGGGCTCACCCGAACTTGGACCAAATGCAACTCTAAAACATACTTATCTATTAACCTTGCTCTGCCTTATTTATCAGTTTAAAAAATTTGAAGTATTATAGGATACTGATTGATAGTCGGAGTCCTGATTCAGACTATGCTAGTAACATATGGCTGCCTTAAAAATGCTGGAGACTAAGTGGGCTTTATATAGTCGAAGACTCAAGTTATAGTAAATTGATTAACTACCTGTAGCCGGTTTATGTAACAAGCTGTACAACATCGCTTCTATCAGTACCAGGGGTAGGGTATCTAAGCACTCTGGTGGTCTGCTGCTGCTTCTGTAGCATGAACCAAGCTTCGTAGAAGCTTATTTTCTCGGCGCAGAGCATCAGAATCAATCTTAATGCCTTGAAAGTCCAGCTGCGTGATGGCGAGGTCCAGAACTGAAACCAAAGGTTCTCCCTCTTCTTGTACCTCTGCTGCTCTAGGAGATTGAAGAGGATTTCGTGAAGGCCTTGAGGATGTTCGGCTCAAGCTGCTTGTGCCCTAATTATTGTTTCGTCATGAAAATAGCCGAGAAGAATCATCCTTCGGCACTAATATGTTATTCTTTGGAGCTTGAGACCTACAACCACTTTCTTCAAAAAAAGCGCCCAGTATACTCGTCAGAGGGATCAGATCCACTATATTCATGTTCGAGTATGGAGATGATGACAGCAAACCATAGGCCTAGTACAAGGGGAACAACCTGATGATGACTTGAAAGAAGCTTTTTCCCACACCGACATGATGGCTTAAGCTAGAATGACAAACGATCAAAGCGGTATGGTAAAATTACGTAAATGATCCAGATATAGATTTGCCAACGCTCTTCCTATGCATCACTTGATGGTCCATCGACTCTGTATTAATGTAGATCACGTCATACTGGTTCGAAAACCCATTGAACTGAGTCGCCGTTGCTGTGGTGTAGGCTTCCGGGGATAGTCAGTCTTAGGTTCTATGCCGGGCAGTCTGGCATGCAAAGACTCACCACCCATATTCTTGTACTTGAGCCAATCACCTATGCGGATCTCTGAGGTCATGGGCACATCTTTTGCAACACAATCCATGCTGTCGCAAGTGGGGCCCCAGATCGTGTATCGATGCTCCTCGAGCTTCCGCCGAGTATCATTGCCGTGGCTGTGGAATGGCCAAGTGTATGCGACCAAGGATGGCCGCACAGTTTCTTTCTCAATCAGTACGTTCATAAAATTTCCATATACCCCGTCGTTCTGGTAGAGCATATCTGGCCTGTCGTGATCATCTGTACCGATGTGACGCCGTCTGGACAGAATCTTGCACGCAAGGGTGTAGGCGCTGCGAACATAGTAACGACCCGGCTCGGCAAGCAAGCGGACCCCAGAAGGAAACTCTTCTTTGAGCATTGGTCTCAGAGTACATGCAATATCTTCCAAGTTACAGTCCTGGAACCCTCCACCAATGTCCAGAAGGTTCATGTCAAACCCCAGGCTCTTGCCATATCCGAAGACAATCTTGGCATGCCGGATGGCGTTCACATAGGCTGATGCATTGGAGGCCCCGGTTCCTGAAAGGAAGTGGTGAATACGTTGGGAAACAATGGCCCTGGAAGCAACGTACCAACATGAAAACTCACCCCACACACATCTAACCCTAGCTCACGTGCTCGTTGCAATAGAGGCAACGAGGCCTCAACTGTGGCACCGAACTTCTCCCCCAGGTCTATCAAAGCATCACTGTCGCTGGCATAAATTCGCAGGACAAGTTCTGCATTTGGTAGAAAGGTTCGGATGGTATCCAGCTCATCAAGGTTGTCAAAGGTCGTTCGCGTCACACCTGTTCGAGCCGCAAAGACCAAAGAGGAGGCAGATTTGCAGGGATTGGCGAAGATGATGCGGCATGGATCGACCCCTAGACTAAGAACTGTACGTAGCTCCTCTATCGAGGCGCAATCAAAGCCTGTGCCCAGGTTTGCTAGAAGTTTGAGTAGATTAGGATCGGGGTTGCATTTCACCGCTGCAGCCGCCGACAATTAGCGTCAAGACGAGGGATGTCAGAACTTTGGATGGGAGGGGGCACCGACCATAAAAAGGGTGCACGTCTGGCAGGTTCACCCTCCATCGGCGATGCTGGCGGATAACCTGACCCAGATCCGCGACAAAAAAGGGCTCGTCAGCAATGCCCCAACCATCACGACTGCTCAAACTAAACAGACGAGTTTGAATCGCCAAATCAATCAACCGCTCTGTCGAGTCCATTACTCCGCAGTGAGGTCTGGCGCAAAACTGGTGTACTATGGTTGGTAGCGATGGCCACCTTTCTTATGGCAGTACATGCTGACCCACCGTTCATGCACAGACCATGATGTCGCTGAATCCCATTACGACATGTACGAGCAAAATGAGGTACAGAACTGTGGCAGTTCAGTACTTGCAACCCAGGCTGATCGGCCTACGGGGCGACCAGAGTGAACGTACGAAATCACACATACGAGGGTTCAGCCAGCCACTGTCTCTCAATCGTATTTTTGGCCAATTCACACAAATGGTGGCATCCCATCGCTCGTTCCCTGTATTCTGAGCTGTCAAAGTGGTTAAAACTGCAATCCAAATCACAAAAAGCAACCATAGCTGAATGAATATTGGGGCTGGACTTCAGGGCGCTGTATCCTTGCAGATCGTCACCAGATCGTCTCTTACGCATCAGCCACCTACGCTTCAACCTTACCAATAGCTCTGTTGCGGATCCTTGGGTTCCCCATGCGTTCTCTTGTCGCAGCCAAGGAGGCAAACAAAAGTCACCCAAGGATCTGCAGCATGTCTCCATTGCCTAGAACACCTTGAAGAGATTGGCTGGTACATCTCGCGACCAAAGCTGCCATCCGCCGCTCATCGCAAAAAGCAATCGGGTCTCGCGCACGCTCTGATGAGCAGTTTTGATTGATCCTTCTGGTCGCACTTCGTGATGAGTGAGGACAAGGGCAATCCCGGCCAAAAACCCGCAAAAACATTCTTGTCGATCACCTCTTGGCAACCCCACAACAGCATCAGGAAGGAAGTCGCCCAGGCTCCCTTGGCGACGACAGACACCCGGCTGGGAAATGTTCCCAGTCAAGACCTATCAAACCGCGGGAATCGTACACAGTGGCCCCTTGAGGCATTTATGCACGTTGCAAATATTGTAAGTGGCCCCGAATTGACCAACTCCTACAGCTGTACGGAGTATCCTTCTGCATGCCTGGTTTTCTGGGTTGTGACACCTGCCAGAGGCTGGATATATGTGTTTGCTTCGAAGCAAGCGTGCCGCCAACTGGTCTTCCACCATCTTGTCTGGCTGTGATTACTGCCCGACAATCACAATCAACTACTCCAACTTCGACCATCAGATCTCGAGCTCAGATTTGACCAGAGTATACTAGCTGAGCAATAAGACTGCATAAAGACATGTTATCGAACGCAGACTCGAGGAGGTTGGCGCCATCGTGGCGCTCTTCTCGATGGTTTATCCTCACCGTCGTGTCCGTCTCTTACATGACGGTATGTCTGGCCATCGACACCCCCGTTTGGCAGTTTCACTACTGACAATCGGACTATTAGACGCTATTTCTCTATGGAATGGTACGTGGTGATCAGGCTCATGCAGTATGCTCCTTTGCTCAACGACTTTTAGATCGTCCCTATCATGCCATCCGTTCTGGTGGCTCGCGCAGGGGTGCTACCGCAGGATAGTATGTATTCGCCCCGCTTCAAATGGTGTCAGTGATTGGGAAGGGGAGATCACTGACACTTTCTTCCGATGGCTAGAGGTCTACTGGACTAGTATTATGCTCGTTGCGGAAACAGCTGCAGCATTTTTCACCTGCCCCGTCTTTGGTTACTGCGTTGACCGAACGGGGCGGCGCAAAGTTCCTTTCCTGGCTGGCCTCGTTCTACTCGCTGCGTCAATGTGCCTTTTCACGGTTGCACGATCTGTAACAACGTACATCATTGCTCGACTCTTGCAAGGTGCATCTGCCGCCATGGTGGAGGTCGCCGGTCTTGCACTCTTGAAGGATGTGGTCGGAAAACAAGGTCTCGGGGAGGCCTTGGGATATATGGGAACAGGAAGCATGGTCGGCCTTATAGCGGGCCCACCCCTGGGGGGCCTCCTAAACAAGGTTGGCGGATACTATGCCGTTTGTGCCCTGGGATTTGCTATTGTCGCCTTGGACGCGGCACTGCGTTTGGCTGTATTAGAGAAGGGTGAGGTAGAGTGCGGCAATAATTCTGCACGGTACAGTGCTATTCCTTCAACAGATCCAGGAGACCACGACGTGGCTTCGGATGCAGATACTACCCATCCACCGTCAGGCTCAAATGTGCAACGGGGTGACGCTTTTGCCTCGCTGAAATTGCTGAAGCAACCGCGAGTCGCCATCACGCTTTGGGCACTCACGGTTGATGGGATTATTATAGGTGCTTTTGACGCGGTAAGTGCTCACAGGGCCTCAAGAAGACGCGATGGATTTCTGACCCAAAATATCAGACCGTGCCCAGCTTTGTGGAGAAATTGTTCGGATGGGACTCGTTTGCAGCCGGTCTGGTCTTCCTCGTCATGGCGATACCGTCGCTTTTGGAGCCACTGTTTGGTAGGTCGACAACTGAGGCCAGTAGTCTTGCCCACCAAAGAACAAAATGCTGATACTTCTGTAGGAAGGCTGTGCGACCGCTTTGGGGTCCGCATCATGGCAGTCATTGGGTATTCATTGCTGACGCCTTCATTGGTTTGTCTTCAGTTTGTGAACCATGACTCCGTCTCCCAGAAGATTCTTTTCGGCGTGTTGGTTGCTTTCTGCGGCATCTGCCCCGATCTCGGGCACCCGGGATTGTACGTCGAGTCACAGATGGTAATCGAAGAGATGGAACAGCAGTCGCCCGGAATTTTCGGTGAGAAAGGGGCGGTTGCTCAGGCTTTTGGTCTGCAAACCATGGCTAACTACGCTGGCCTGGCCATCGGTCCCATCCTGGGTGATGCTCTGTTTGACAACTATGGGTGGAAAGCTGTAGCTTGGGCCTTGGGGGCACTGTCTGCAGCCATGGTCATACCTTCCTTTTGGTTGAGTAATCGGACCTATGGCCATGAGCCTGAGGAGACGGAAGAGGAAGAGGAACACCTGACAGTAGCAGCACCGACCCCCTATGGGACCCTTTGAAGCGGTTAGCATCATAGGTATCTAGAACGGGACCAGAGTAACTGATGAACCCCTCATCAACCACACAACCATTCCCTCAACATCCTTCGTATCACGATTGGCAAATCATCCTGTCATTGTACCAGGACTACGCATGCAGCTATTGTTTGGTGGAGCCGATTTCAGCTCCCCACTGCCGCGGACACCCTATTCTCTCAGCGCAGTTGATTCTGTGGCTCAATTAGGTTTTCCTTTCAGCTCTGTCTCATTATTTTCAAACTGAAGATCCCGGATGCATCAGCTCTCACCCTCAGCTACAGCTCCTGATTGGCCTTGGGTACGCGGGGCTGCGTGTGATCTATGCATGATCCCATGTCTATCCCGCCAATTACAGGCTTCTCATAGCGAAGAATGCATGGGCTACATTTTATGAGACTTGCAAGCGCCCTTGGGGTTCAGCTGAACCTCAAATCAAGGAAAGCTGTTATCGTACTGCTGACTGGAGAGATTTTCTGCGTGTAGTTCCTGCCAGTGGGGTCCGGAGGCAGCCGACATACATACCGCACACACTCCTTTCATGTCTATAAGAAGCTCTTTTCTTCATCCGTGTAAATCGTCCCACTGCGAGTTGTGCATCAGATCTATCCCGCTAAAAGATATTCCCGCGTCATGTTGCCTCCTCTGGAAACTGGTCGCTTCTTTTTCCCGCCCGAGTGGCATCCTCATCTTGCTACCATACTTGGTTTCCCATCCCGAGCTTCGACTTGCGGCGAGCTCCACGATGAGAACTGCAGTGAAATAGTCGACCTTGCCGCTGCAATCGCAGAGTTTGAACCCGTCCGGCTGTACGCGCGTCCAGAAGACGTATCTGCTGCCCAGGACCTTGTCAACCGCAAGTTAGCCGACCCCTCCCAAGTGAGCGTCATCCCCACGCCCATCAACCACTGTTGGGTACGCGATACTGGCCCGGTGTATGTTCACGACGCATCGGGCGAGTTAGATCCAAAGCAGAGACTAGCGATCAGCTTCGAATTCAACGAATGGGGCAATAAAAACGGATGGGAAGGCATCGATGGGGATTACCGATTCGCCAACCCTTCCATGTCGCCGAAATCTTTGCAGGAGAACACAGACTTCGCTCGCAATGTCATCGAGAGCGACACCACCCCATCGCCCGTGCAGGTGGTCAAATCACGCATCCGCACGGAGGGCGGCGGTCTCGTCGTTGACGGCGAGGGCACCTTGATTGTTGCCGAGAGCTATATGGTCTGCGACCAGCGCAACCCGGGCCTGAGTCGTGATGAGATCGAGGCAGAACTGCGCCGGGTCCTTGGCGTGGAGAAAGTTATCTGGGTTCCTGGACGGAAGGGACTCGACATCACCGACTGCCATGTGGATGCTGAGGTGCGATTCATCCGCCCGGGTGTCCTCGTCTGGTCACGCCATCACCCCAGTGTCCCACAGGTGTGGTTGGATATGTCCCACGAGATCCGGAACATATTGGAAAACGAAACAGACGCGAAGGGCCGGAAATTCGAACTGCATGCGATCGATGAGCCTGGTCCGGAGGACCTGGGCATTCAAGAGCACGACGAGTTCGTTTCTGGGTACGCCAATTTCTATTTCTGCAACGGAGGAGTGATTATTCCTGGATTCGGCGTCGAGGAGTACGATCGCAAGGCGAGGGAAACCCTGCAGGCGCTGATGCCGGAGCGCACGGTGCGACAGGTGCAACTCAACGCCATTCCCTTAAGTGGTGGAGTGATCCACTGTGTGACACAGCAGGTTCCAATGCCAGCAGCGTAGATGTTTGCTCTATCCCTCATCGTGTTCCCATGCCTTTTCAAGATCGACGCATACTTTTTTGATGTACGCTACCTTTGGAGCCAACCTGTGTCGGCTCGACCAATCAATCTCTCATGCGAAGGACATTTTTCTAGTTGGGAATTTTGTTAATATAGCCCTACGGGGTTCAAATGATTCCTGTTACATTGTGCTATAGATTCGTTCACAATGGTAGAGGTGCAGCAAAGTGGGATGTATTGGTGGGGAAGCACACCACCGCCCATACTGCGAGATATACAAGTCGCCCGTCAGAATCTGTGTATAAAAAGTCCATATTCCTAGAGGCGTTCTAGTACCGTATGTTTTTAGATCGAATGAAGAATCATACTATGCCAGTTCCCAGTCCATGTCCGATAACATGTCCAGGTCCTCCGTGCCCGCTAACACTGAGGTATCCAACAGTGCCTAATCACCCATGCCCTCTTGCATCCTCATTGGTACTTCCCTTGCAAATGTAAATCCCGCAGCAATCAACACAATATCCGCTCCAATTCTGGTTCTTATCACGAGAACGCTTTCAAATCAACCGTGTTTGAGTATCCTGAGCGGATGTTTTCACGCACAACCGTTCCGTAAGCTCCGCGTGATTGAGCAGTTCAGGCGCTTGAAGGAGGAAATTCCACTGAATCGAGAGATGAACAATCTTGAGAGTAGGGCTTGTTCATGGGATCCACAGTATGAGAGAAACAGGTTCACTGATTCCTCGTATCACAAGTTAGAGCCAGTGTGCCAGATACTGTAAATCCTGGTCTAGAAAGGGGTATTCATGTATATTTGCGCTATAATATAAGCCCTTAGCGCGTACTCTGTGAGACTTGCATGTGCATATATAAAACTCTATTGTACTTTATGCCTTCTTTATAGTCTATGAAATAACTACGAGATATCTTTCAAAGTCAGGCTTTCTCTTATATGAATGCTATCTTATATCAAACTCATCAGGTCTAGAATGGTCAGTCTTCTTCTGTTAATGTAAGGAATTTCCCCGGCTTATAACTATAGCAAGTTCAGAGGGCAGAGCAGGAAATGACGAATTTGCTCAATACGGGATACTCAATCATTAAAAGTGGATGAAGCCTTGAATCTTTTTACTACATCAGAGAGCTCACATTTTGCAATTTCTTCAGCTGCAAGACGACGATGATCTCAATATGAAAAAGCAATTATGTCGATCAGTTAAGCGGTCGCTTGAATCGGTTGAGCAAGGCGATGAAATGCCTCCTTAGAAATTCCCGCGGCCACATAGGAATCCTGTTTTATCAGTTCAAAGAAGGGATAGAGACAGTAAGCTTCTTCTTGGGCAGATAAAGGAGATCTTTCTACACGCGATCTGCCTATTTATAGCTATCCAGTCAATGCCAGTTTTCTTAAGCGCTAAGGTCGCGCTGTGAGAAGTCTCATTGAAAGGCCTGGACTAACGTATCATCCAGCTCGACACACGAGTTACAGTTTATTTCCTGATACAGCACACGTTCAGCCTTCCACTTAATCTGCTGCCAGTATAAACTAGGTGCTAATCTATGCCTTATTCCATATCCTCGGCCGAGACGCTATTATTAAGTCACCCTCCACTTCATTATATACAGCACATAGACGGACGTTCATCATCTATTACTCTATCATCAGATTCATGGTCAAGGGAGCGTAGTCGACCTGATTAGGATCAAAAAAGCAAGCAAATGAGATGCATCACACCCCTTGTATTCTTGATATCTAAAGACCAGTTTCCGCCTAGCGCTACCTTTATTAGTACTCTAATACCTACTAGATAGGACATGCCCCGGCGACCTGCTGCAAAGCTTCAACAATGTAGGTGACAAACTTTCTGATCCTGCAGCTATACAAGACAATGATTTAATTAACAAGGGACGGACAAAGCAGTTGTCATACTATATAATTATCATATGATGGAGCATGACTGGAGGACATCATCACTGATGTCATCCCCAAACTCAAACAGTCCGCATATGTGCCACCACCCAAACCCATATAACTAGCCAGCGTCCGTTTCAATCAAATAAGTGTTGAAAGTATCTAACTGTACATTAACCATAATTCAAAACCCTCTGTAAATATCCCAAAATGACAAAGGACCTGGTAAGCCTCACGACGAAGTGTATTGACCCGAGGCATTGTTCCGTTCTTACTGGATACAGACCTTCGATATCCATTTCGACAACGAGCTCGCGCACGATTACTACGGCGACGGCAAGAAGTTGGCCGAGAAGTATGAAACCTAGAAATCTGCAGTGCAGTAGCTAATCCGGACTGCAGTCTTCGCGAGATATACCACGATCGGAACCTCAAGTTCCCGGACGTTTTTGATTCCACATTGACCACTCCGCCTGTACATTTCATATCGTATGATTCCATTTCATAAATGAATCTGGAGCAAGACAGTGCTGATAGTTATCTCCTGCAGCGTCGAAGCACCGGACGATGTAAAGATCGAGGAACTGCAGAATGTGGAAGTGCCGCCTGGACTGCATGTTGATATTATTGACTTTCAGATGGAATAGCTAGTCGCTAAGTCAGACCTGTACGGTAAACTTGTCTAATTTAGTATGCTGGATATAATCTGAAGGAATCACCTTTCGTTGGCTAATTATTTTTAGTGTTTATGAAGATCACTGCCTAAAGGATCCTCTTGGGCTGAATCTCCCATTCTCATTTCGGGGATACCTACTAGAACTACTCCGTATGTACGAGCGTAGCCACCGCCAGCGCAAAGTCTAACAACTGACTTAGGAAGGTGAGCTAAGCATGGCTAGCAAATCAATCAGTGAGACAACTGAGCCGTGTTTCAATCATTCAGCCTCAACGGTGGAGTGGCAGATTGACCTGCAGTCAGCACTAGTCCAATTGACCTTAGCCCGAAAGCCATGTGGCGCCTGATTTGAGGCTCATTCTCTGTTGGATCTCATGATAGGCTTCCAGGCTGAAGCCGATGCGGAGCTGAACCTAGTGCTTACTGCCCATTTGTTGTCGCATGTACATTAGACGGCCAGCCCCTGTTTAAAAGGCGAGCAGAGCTCGATAACATGACAACAATTTCTATAAGAAGTCAGCGCCTCGTTTTGGTGACTGAAACTCAGCTACCGTAGCATAACAGCAACAACAGCATCATGTCACGAGCGATCGACAAGCTGGCTGAGCCAGCGGAGAAGAAAAAGAAGAAGGTCATTGTCGCCAGCTGTAGCCGGTAGGCAATGCCTTTACCATTCGAATGCACGATAACATGTGGCTGATCAGCGTCCAGAACTGGGACGCTTGGTCTCTACTTTGCAATGAAGATACTTGGCTACAAGCCCTACCACATGTACGAAGTGGCACTAGTGCAGGGCAAACAAGGGATGGCAGCCCTCCTAGAGGCCGTAATCGCGGAGCACAATCGGCTATCAGGCATCAAACGGTTCGACAAGGCTGACTTGGACAAGTTGACAGCCGACTATGATGTACGTGTCCACATACCCGATTGCGTTCTGGATACTCACCATGCTATAGTGCCTTATTGAGATCCCGAGTTTCCTTGGCCCAGCCCTCCTCGACGAGTACGCACAGGACCCCGAGGTTAAGTTCATCCTGACGGAGCGGGACCCCGATCGGTGGGCCAAGTCGGTCAACGGCACGGCGGGCTTTGTCGTCAAGGCGGCCGCTTCGTTTCCGTTGAACGTGCTCAAGCATTTCGACAAGGAATTAGGGACCTTTCTCGCTCTCAACACCACTCTGTATGCCGTCGTTGCTGACAGCACAAAGCCGGGCCAGCCGGGTAATGAGGCGGCTCTCAGGAGGAACTACGTAGAGTAGTAAGTGCCCTGAGATATAGCTAGACGGCGGAGAATGCTGACATGGAACTGCAGTATCAAGGCAGTGAAAAATACGGTTCCTAAAGACCGTCTGCTGGTGGTCAAGCTTGAAGATGGGCTGGGATGGGAGCAGATTTGCCCGTTCCTGGGTGTGCCCATTCCCGAAGAGAAATATCCGGGCGGCAACGACGCCGATAATTTTAAGGGGCTTGTGGAGGAATACTTTAACGAGAGAACCAGGGCCGCTATGCTCAGGTTGGGGGCGCTACTGGTGCCTGCGTTGGGTGTATCCGGTTACCTTGGGTGGAAGTATTTTGGAAAATTAGCATAGTTCTTGGTAACCTGTTATTCCTTGTAGCATAAAGCTCTTGGCGCTATTCAGTAAATGATAGCCTTCCCATGGTTCTCGGAGAATGACAGCGTGACCCATGTCGACATCATTTTTAATCTGTATTAGAGGCACTATTCTCATTATTTCCTTTTCTTAACAGAATTGTTCTCGAGTTCGAGCTCTGCAAAATGGCAACAAGCCATGACTCTTTGATCCTCCGGTATTCCGGCTTGGAATTACCTGACGAACAGTCTTTCCACAAGCACTTAGTAGCGAAGATCTTCGAGGCAAGAGCAACAAAAGATGTCATGTACGCCGAGCTTGTTTACGACAACATCGCTCCTTCCTGGATGGAGAATGTCCGAGAGACACTTGAGCGGACAAGAGCTGGCTTCTGGTAAGCAAGTATCGTCAATGTAGCAGCATACAAGAACGATAATGCGAATAACGTATTTCCCTTATTAGCAAGAGTTATAACCCCTTCACTCTGATCCTACGAGTTGTAGCCTCGGCGTCATCTCTGCACAATGTGGACCAGGTTTGGGGCCACCAAAGCGAGATCCAATGGCTTGTCTCCGGGCAACTCACTCAAAATGAGTCCGACATGCTGTATACCACAGCAAATACCAGTAAAGCGATGCACCTCCGTTCATTCCATCTCATGCAGTTCTAATTGCTAGAAGTTTATGAATTCCCCGATGGGCCATTTGTTGGCATCGAGAAGGCACCCAATGTAGCAATCAACGTGCCAAACGCCATGATGCCCAGAATTGTCTTTGAGAGCGGCTGGAGCGAATCCCTCAACGGACTGCGAGAAGATGCAGGCGAATGGCTCGTAGGAGGGAATGGCGCCGTCCAGGCTGCCGTCATTATAAACTGGACCGCCAACCGCACAACCCGCCGTGTCCGCGGTGTCGTGGAGCTCTACACATTAGACAGAAGTGGCATGCCACGGCTCCAGCAACGCGAGGTGCGGGATATGTTCTTGTTAATCATCATTGTGTTCTAGATAGCTAACGACGAAAGAAGCAAATCTTCCCGGTTCCACCGGGCATCCAACCAGGTAATCAGGCAATAACCCTGACTCGGCGGATGATTTTTGGCCAGTCGGCCAGACCTGGCGCAAATCCAGGGGATATTCTGCCTCTGGACATCGATAGACTGCGCACCATAGCACAGTTTGGCATGGCAACGATGGGGTACAGCGCTGCCTGATTGAAGACTAGCAAAACGAGAATAGTTTAGCGGCAATATTAGATGTTCCCTAAAGCCGAGCATTGAGAAATTAACGGAGCCAGTCACTATCAAGTTCAATGAACAAGGGTTCCCGGCAATTCGCTAGCTTATTTGTCAGTGAAGGGGGACATTCTATCAGCTAGATACAGTCTACATCATACTTTTCCTATCAGGGCCTGGCTGTTGCTTACAAGGGATCAGTTTGTATGCTAGCCCTGTCGGCTAATCTCCTAGCCGCGAGTTACATTGTAAAGAAGTTCCACATTATTCTGCTGCGTTCTACAAGTCCTAAAAACTTGCTGGTGGCATTGCATGCTGGGTTCGGGCAGAGAAGAAGTTCGGCCACAGACGAAGCGTGTCCAGGTTTGAGAAATCTACAATAAGGATGACAAGAATTGGTCATCTACAGTCCTGTTGAACGAGGAGGTTCTCCATAGTACTTGTGAATTATCACGATATTTGTTCCGCAGAGCGGTATATAATGCTGAAGAAGCATTGAATAGCATACACAACACTATATCTGGAGGATCGTCTTCTTGCCTTTGCTCCTTGAGAGAAGTAACTTTATGGTGTATGTCGTGATATAGATCATAGCGAATCCACACGCACCGGGGAATAGTCGAGTGATTCCGACATGAACATTCTGCACCTGGAGGTTGATATTCTCACCAGCTCACCTATGATGGCCACATTAACTAGCAAGGATAGTCGATCTTGCTTGCATTGCGATTCAGATACCAGGCCAATTGCGACTTCCACCAGTAATGATGGCCACACTTGACAGCTGTCACCAGAGCTTCGGCATTAACTACAGGCTGGTCAGCGAGTTCCTCTCAATTTCAGCACAAGCCTTACTCTCAGCTCCCGTCCAGCTCGTATGCGTATAGTCATTCAGCGGGTAATACGGCATGGTAGCATTGAGCGACCCGAAAGCCTGCCAGCGATTCACCGCATATTTCGTATGATCGATATACTCCACCCCTTCTTCCTCGGCCACCTGACCTCACTTAGTTATAACTCCCCAAGCTCCCCTATATCGGCTTCACATACCTCACGCGCATAATCCGCAAAAGCCCAATCCCGTCGAAGCACATCCCCCGTCCACGACATGACCGGAACCATCCCACTCAGCACCGGAACACCACCAGCCTGCCTTACATCCCGGATCATCCTCCGGAGGTAATGGCCAAACGTGTATACTCTTTCCGTTGTCCCTCCGGTAGCATTACTAGCCACAACGACGCTCTCCGGCCCAATACCAGGAAGCGTCGCTCGATTCTTCACGTCCGTCTTCGGATCCCCGTTATCGTTGTGGCCCATCTCGATGAGGACGAACGTGCCTTCTCCGGGGACGATGCGATCAAGTAGAGAAGCCCAGAGCCCTTCGTTGATGAAGGAGCGGGTGCTGCGTCCTCCGCGCGCGAGGTTCGTGATGTTCAGGTCGAAGAAGTTGTGCATGTAGTAGCCCCATCTAGAGAGTCAGTAGGTTTTTGTGGCTATTGGGAGGTGAGCTACCCTTGGATTAGGCTAGTCGTGCCATATGGCATCGTTGTACTATCTGAACAGAGGAGGATTTGGCGCTGGGGGCGGGTAGTTGGTGCCGCAGTGCTCATGGACGCTAGGCCTGCTAATAATGTGGAGGCACAGAAGAAGGAGTTGAGGCTTTTCATGTTCGTCACTTTTGGCTCGAATTTTAGCTTTATGGTATATATCGACAGAACTGTTTACGTCTCCGTCGGAATCACAGCCAAAGTCGGAGGATATATATCATAACGTCCTATCTGGGCGATGACAACCCCTCACACAATTTGCGTATCCCCATTGATCCTGCAGGAGTTCCCTTGGCCCGGTGGACTGAATCTATCGCGAAGGCGTCTTCCACCGAAGGATTCTTGCTTCCCGTCTATTGGTGTCGCTCAGCGCGGGGTCCCTATAGCATCATAACTTAGCTCCTTCAGCAAAGTCCGGGGTAACTCAATCTAGAATAATCCCCGCAGGATGATCTCGGCATGATTATTAGCGGGGGCTCGCTAATGGATCTTCAGGCCATAATGCGGGGAATCCGGGGGTTCGGAAATCCCACCAATCTCGAGACTATAGTGTATCTGGGCTCGGTACAAAAGAGGCCGAGGATATCGTTTGGTCTCAAATTGACATTGTCTATCGATGGCGGATTACGTGAGGTCAATATCGTTCGAATGAGACTAATGTGACTGGATGTGGGTAAATCGCTTTGTGATTTCGTCTCCTCGACCACTCAAGAAATAGCAAGCTTGATAAAGCAGATGAATCATAATCTCGTTCAGTAAACTCGGGAGTATATGTAACGGGTAAACGCCTATAGACGATGCCTCAACGGCCTCAGCTCAGGCTCAGCCACCGTCTCCCCAGTCAACGCCCGGTCGTTAGGGTCATAGGCCGGCTCCTTTGTAACCGTGGCCCTGATCTTCCTCCCGAAATATTCCACCTCCACCGTTTCACTGTCTCGAATCGATGAAGGAAGCCAAGCATACGCAATAGGATTCCGAATCGTATACCCAAACGCAGCAGTGGTAACATATCCCACAGCCTTATCCTTCCAAAACACAGGCTCCTTACCCATCACCATCGACCGTCCGTCGTCGATGGTCAAACACCGTAGTCGACGGGTAGGCTGCCTCCTTGCGAGTCGCTGCACCGCAGCCTTACCCACGTAATCTTCTTGTTTATCCACCTGCACGACGGAAGCCAAACCCGCTTCGAAGGGATCATGCTCGCTGGTCATATCCACCCCCCAGGTCCTGTATCCCTTCTCCAGTCGTAACGCGTTGAGGGCTGCTCGTCCTGCGGCAATAAGACCGTGCGGTTGGCCCGCGGCCCATATAACATCCCACAGGCGAAGTCCGTACTCAGCGCTCGTCTGAATCTCCCAACCGCTTTCGCCAACGTAGGACTTGCGGAGGACTGTGACGGGGAGGCCCCCGAGGGTGGTGCGCTTAGCGTGCATATATGGCAGCCCGGTATTGGAAAGGTCGTCAGTGGTTAACGTGCGAATGACGTCGTGGGCGCGAGGCCCCCAAAGACCAAGACAGCAGGTATGGCCCGTCACCTCGCGCACCTGAACCCACTGCATTGGAGACTTCTGGCACTGTCGCTGAGCTTCACAGGAGAGATACGCAAAGTCAGTCGCGCTGTTTGCTCCAATCTGGAACATTTCCTCGCCGACCCTCGTCACAAAGATATCGCTGCGGATGCCACCCCGCTCGTTTAACAGCAGCGTATAAGCAATCTGTCCTACTTCCGGTACACAGCCTGTCATCAACCGACACAGCATCGCCCTCGCCCCCGGCCCAGACATCTCGAACCGGTGGAACGAAGTCATATCATACACCGCGACCGCATTCCGCGTCTTCCACGCCTCAACCGCGACAACAGGGGAATGATACCTCCCCGACCAGGCATCCCTCTCCACAGGCCGCCATTCCGCCGGAAGAAACCTTACGAGCTTTTCGTTCTCGGCATACCAAAACGGCCTCTCCCACCCGCCCAACTCAAGGAAGAACGCGCCGAGCTCTTTCTCCCGCGCGTAGAACGGACTCACGCGCAGCTGCCTGGGCGACTCACGCGGCTGCAGCGGATGCAGGATATCGTAGATCTCGATGAAATTCCGTGAAGATGTTTCAGCCACGTATTCACGACTGAGCTGCACCTCCTCGAAGCGGGAGAGCTCGCATTCGGATAGGTCGATGCGGGACGAGCCCTCTACCAGCAACTCGGCTAGTGCGCGCGCGACACCAGCCGAGTGCGTCACCCAGACTGCTTCGGCGACGTAGAAGTTGTCGAGAGTTGGGGCGGGGCCGACCAGCGGGCCGCCGTCGGGCGTGAATGAGAAGATGCCGTTGAAGCCGTCGGCGAGTTGGCATGTTCGCAGCGCAGGGAGGAGTCTCTTTGTTTCGGTCCAGGCGGGGGCGAAGTCTTCGGCTGTGAAGTTCAGTCTGGACGGCATGGTCTTCTCGTCGACGTGGCTGGGGGTACGGCCGAGCGAGGACGCCTCGATGGGCATCGGGCGGTGGCCGTAGTAGCCAATGCCGTAGGCGTCGCCATGCTCGCGGTAGTAGAGGTCGTGGTCCTGGTGGCGGAGGATGGGGAACGTGGCGTTGAGTCCGTTGGTGCGGTTGTTGATCTCGCGGCCTGCCAGCGCTGGGACGGGGGTGGTTTTGGCGTACTGGTGCGCTAGGGGGAGGAGGGGGATGGGCACGCCGGCCATGGCGCCTACCTCAACGCCCCAGAACCCTGCACAGGAGACTACGATGTCCGCGCTGATGACTCCGGCGGAGGTTATGACGCCTGTAACGAGATTCCCTGTCTTTTGGATACCTGTGACCGGCGTCATTTCTAAGTAGCGCACACCTGCATTTCGCGTGCGCTCGATGAGCAGCTGTGTGGCTCGTGCTGCGAGCGCCAGCCCGTCGCTGGGGATATGCAAACCCCCGAGCACGATTTCCTCGTTCAGAAGTGGATACATCTTCACGCATTCGGCTGGACTAACGAGCCGCGCTTCTATTCCCCACGCAGACGCGTACCCATGCTTCCGCTTCAGCTCCTCAAGTCTCTCCGGCGTGGTGGCGACCTCCAAGCCACCGACCTGGTTGAAGCAGTTCTGCCCGTCTTTCTCGAGAGAAAGCAATTTCTCAACCGTGTACTGTGCGAAACGGGTCATTGTCTTGGACGGGTTGGTTTGAAAGACTAAGCCGGGAGCATGCGATGTCGAGCCACCGGGCATCTGCAGCGGGCCCTGTTCGACGACGGTAATATTGCTCCATCCTCGGGAGACCAGCTCATCGGCGAGGTTGGCGCCGACAATACCAGCGCCGATGATGACGATGTGTGGTGAGGGTGCCATGTTTGCATTGAGGACTAGCTCTTGACTCTCATGGTCATACTTGTATATACATGATGTAGTATAGTCATCTATTACTACCCCGCAACTAGATAGATAACCAACTCCGTGCAGTGTGATGGTCATGCTGGACGAACCGCGGGATGCGGCAAAGGCAACCGTATCAACCGACCAGATGATCGGCCATGGAACGGCAGCCGGGATCCAGACAAGAGGAGTAAAAATAGTTCTCTTGCCTCTCCTATCTAATCATTTTCGTCATCGAAACGTGTTCATGTGGGGTTGTGAGGGGAAAAGTTTGCCGCTTCGGGAATGGCATTCCTCTGCGTATATCTTGCATTTTTACTGGTTCATCTACGTTATTTTTGTCCACCACAGCTGGCACTGCTGTCCTTCAAGTCCACTTTAATATGTACGACCGGAGTGAATGTCTTAGTGGTTATACAAATGATGTGTGTTATCTTCCACACACCTGGCATTATCACTTTCGACATTATGGTGAACGACTTAGGATTCATCATGCTCGATATGGCGTTGCTTTCGGCTTCGGAGTTATGGATCGCAGACCGTGACAATGAGGCGACTCGAGAATGGCAAACGGCGTTGTACAACGGCAAGTGCTTCATCCTATATCGAATCTTAGCTATACAATCTGCGTTGGGGCTCATTGTAACGATGGGGACTCATGAATTGCTTTGGCTGTCAATGCGGGCGGGCAGTCGCTTTGGGATATCGTCTGGTAGTTGCTGCGTTTGTGGTATTCGCTGGTGGGAATTAGGAGTTGCTCTGAGCTGTGATCTTGCTGGAGGGAAAGACATTATGTCGCACGGGAGAGACTCGCTGAGTTCAGGTGGTGCATTCGTGGCTGATGCCAGGCTGTAAGACGCGTATCGGCAGGCTCATTAGTCCTAGTCCTAGAATATAAGCAGTGCACAGTCTGGAGGATCATGGAGTGATCAATCACAACTTCATAACGCCTGGCGCTTGTATGCAGGTTATAGATTTCCCAGATTCCACCACGCCGAACCTTCAATGTCACCTATCGCCGGAGCGGACGTGCTATAATCGAGATCATCCACGTCTCCAAATGGCGCCGGATCAGCCCATAGCCAGGGCGTGTTGAGCATAAGGCTGTCGATCGGAGCTACCACTGCGTCTGGGGGAGGCATAGACCGTCGAGCTGTAGCTGGGCTCGTATCGCTGTCCTTGGACGAATTCGGGGCCCGATACAGAGGCATAGGGACGCCCTGGCCGCCGTCTGCGGTGTTGACGGTTACTTCAGGTGATGTCGTCACGATGATTTCGAGTGTAGAGCTTTCCTCTGCGTCGTTTCTGGTTGCGGAAGCACTGAGTGAGGAATGCAAGAGGCTTCCAGACGGGACAGCGGGATAGGAATCGTCGCTGCAGGTGAACTGGAGGATATCCCACATCAAGGGGATGTTCAGATGGATCTTAGACGGAACCCAGCTGTCGTAATCTACGTTCTCTGTGCCGGCTGCAATCCGCGTCATACGGTCAAGAGATCGGTTCTAATCTGTTAGCCTCGACTTGGCCATCAGGGACGGGAACATACCAAAGATGCACAGGCCCGGGAAAACGGTACAAACGACCTCAAGAACACCCTACAGCGGGCTAGATCCGCACGGGACTTGTACTTTAGTCTTGGGTCTCCAGCGCAGCAGTAATACAGCTGCACCGTCGCAGCGATCGCAGCCACATGCGCGAAGAAGGGATCGGTCAGGCGTACGTCCTTGTCCGATAGCATGTCAATCATACGCACGATCCATGTTGCATGTAGAAGTACCAACTCCGACGAGCGGCGCCAGAAACTATTCGGAATGGCCAGGTTGGGGTTATGCCGCGAGGCCATGATGTACAGGAAAGGATGGTTGAGCACGGTGAGGATGGCATGGTACATGAACTGTAATTTGAGCCAGGGGACCCAGTACGCGCGGTTGACGATCAGTTCGTCCGGCTGTCGATCGTAGAATCGTACATGGTCGTATCGATGGCAAAGTGGTGTTTGGTTCTCGATTTCTGTCAGGTCGGAAAGAACCATGGAATACATTGACTCGTGACGCCAGGGCTCGCGCAGTCGATTGTTTGCACAGTCGGACACATATGTGCGTACTTTGCTCCAGACCCAGCCAAAGTGGATCGTCATGCTCCAGATGCCAGTGTCGTCTGGCGTAGCGCAGCCGATTGTGTCTCGCGGCAATGGGGGAGGTTTCTCGGCGTCTCTTTGTGGTTCTCTGCCGTTGCTTGCGAAATAGTCCACCGGACGCCAGGTCTCCGAGGGAATGCTCAGCAGTCCGGTCTGACGGCCATACGACTGTTCCAATAGCTGTAGACTCCAAAATAACCTCTTCTTCCGCTCTATGTGGGGATCTCCCGGAGTATAGGCGGACTCTGTGTCGAGCAGAGCAGACCGACAGAGCTGAAATGCAAGTCCGAGGTGAAATCGACCAAGGTGCATATCGCCATCTACTTCAATCAGTACCTCGCATGCAGCTGAAGTGCATCTGGACACCTACCAATAAACGAAGAATACGCCAGCAAGCACAGAGCCTCAATCGTACTCAATTCCACCGTCCCATTCGCAATCCGCAGCATAATTAAACTCTTCGCCGTATCCGCATGGTGCTGCCCGTGTTCCCCCTCGTGCGAGAACCGCGCCGTCAGCGCAATGATACTACAGATGAGCTCTTCCGGTAAGGATTCCAGATCCCCATGTTCTTCAAAATTAAAGCACCAGACGGGCTGTCGGTGGCAATACTTCATGTACAGATCGACTGCTCGGGCAACGGCCAGCGACGAAGGCTGGGGACTGGTATCATCAAAAGTGAGATTAGGGGGCGACGGGTCGCTATAGCTCGAGTCGCGACGATCGCGAGGCTGGCTACTTTGTGTGAATCTTGCCTCTGTGAGATCTTTGGCATCTTCGAGGACTGATTCCCTCCCTCGGGTTGGTCTGCGCCAGCGTGAGCAATTGGTCGAAGCAAATTGAGGTGATACATACATGTTTCCTTTTAGGATGAGGTTTACTTTCTCTTCGAGCTCGGCGAGTCGGTCCTTCTGGATCTCATTAGCGCGGTTCATGTGAAACTAGAGCCTGCGTACAGATTGGCCACCTATTGATCCTGGCTTGGACACGGGTGGGTAGAAACACGACTGGTTAAGCCGTACACAGCACGAGCAGGCAGGCTTCTCTCCAGGACATCGAGATTTCTTTCTCCTTTTCACATTCAGTCTTGATTGTAGAGAATATTAGCGAGGTGCTAACCTGCAATTCAGACACGCGTGGTTGGAACGAAGTCTTCGCCGAGTGCCTTCCGGCGGGGTCATTATTTATTAATAGACACGATGATTATATCGAATGAGCTTAAATATGTCAAGACGAGCTCGTAAACTATATGCACCAAATATTTGAGCAATAGAAGAAGATGACGATGATGACATTCAAGGCTCGCTGAGGAGCGAGATCAACCATCCAAGTAGGGGACGACAATCCGCGGGGAAGTGAGCATTGACCCCTGTAGGGCAGCATGATTGGCCTCGTGATATCGCCCTGATTAGACAACTGTCACTAGATAAACCCTGGAAAGCCTACTCAGTTAGTTCTTTGTAACGGGGAAGTTTGTCCACGTCGGGCTAGATCTTCCATAATGCGCCCTAGCAGTGGCAAGATAGGACGGAGTAATGGCCTATTGGACGGCGGATCAAACCATAAGAATGCTATCAACGGGATACACCAATCAGGTGGAAACAAGATGACTATCTCTGAAGTTAAGAGAAGCCGGCCCCGCATTCCCCTCTCTTAGCTTGTTTGCTGGTATCCCTGTATTACTAAATGCCACTATCTCCACATATATCCCACAGCCAGTATGTCAGAATATGGCATGCTCATATAGTATTGAGATAAAATACTTACATAGCAGGATAGTGAATACTAACTTAGATATATACATCGAATATGCAGTACCGCTGGTATGGTACCCCTCTGGTAGTAGGTATCTTGGCTGGCTATTTGATTTCCCTGCCTATGGGCTGTGGCTATATATAGTTATATACTGTTGCACGCCGAAACTTTTTATATTCCAGCTGAGAACATATTTAACTTTCAACCACCCTGTCTACACCGCTAAAATAAATGTAAAGAGTGCTTCTATAACTGAAATGACAAGGGAATTTGAAAAGCATAATATTTCTACCTAATATTTAGTTTACCACCCCTGAGCATTGATAACAGCCTTCACTCCGCGACACCTCATCACAATCCTCTTTCACCAACGCCACTCACACTCCTCCCACAAGATCACATTTGAGCGTGGAATGATTAACACACTTGGATAGGGAAGAAGCGATAAATATATTCAATAGTAAAACTTCATTATTCATATGATCCATATCTAAACAGTCTCATTACCAACAAATATTAACATGCCAAATGCATGGAAGAAAGAAAAGAAATCACCACGCAATAGTCGCAGGCGGCTGCACGCACTCAGTCGCCTGACAGCTCAGACTAGAGCAGAACGAAATATCCTTCTCGCTGACGGTCGCAGTCTTCGGCAGGTTCTGCCTCGCGGGCCAGATCTCCTGCTTGGCCTTTTGCTCACGCTCGTAGTGCTCCACCACGAGATCCCGGACGACCTTCTGGAAGTACAGCGGTCCTTTTTCCATTTCGGGGTGCAGCTCGCCGTTGACGAAGACGCCAGCATTCAGGTTCTTCTGTGTCAGGTCGCAGAGGTACTTGTCCTCGGACATGATGCGCTTGTAGATCTGGTTGATTGTCTCGAAGTCTTCATCTGAGGAGTTCTTGTTGCGGTAGACTTCGTACTTCATAATGGATCGGGTGGGCGAGAGGGGGACGAAGCGCTGCATGAAGAAGAAGTGGGGCCTTTACTGGGTTAGTTGGGTATGCTGGATACGTGAGAGGATAGGACTTACGAGACGGTTATGGAGGCATTGGGGAAGAAATATGTGCTGGCGGGATTCAATCCGGCTGCAACCTGCTCCGGCTTGCTGCGCCCATCGTGGATAATGCCGCCGTCCCTGGTTTCGACGGAGTAGGCGCTCAGATCAGCAATGGACGGAATGTCAGGGTGTGTTGTCGCGCAGTGATAGCACTCGTTGTAGTTGTCCGCCAGAATCTTCCAGTTATAGTCGCCCTCCTGCTCCCAAGTGTGGTCAAAGGTGTACTCGTCCCACTTGACGTGCTCATACCGGGGCAGCAGGTCCATTCCCTTAAAGTCATCCTCCCAGGCGACCTCGGGTATCTCGCCAGCGTCAAGATTGACCCAGATGAAGCCGTTGGCGTCGATATGCACGTGGATCGGCAAAAGGCCGTTCTTGCTCTTGTCGAAACCGTCGAGCTCCTGATAGCCCGGCGCCTTGGCCAGCTTGCCGTTTAGCCCATACGACCATCCGTGGTACTTGCAGGCGAAGATGCGGGATGTTCCCTTTTCTTCAGTGACAACGGGGAATGCACGGTGGCGGCAGACATTGTGGAAGGCGTTGATGTTTCCCTCGCGGTCCTTGACGATAACAAATTGAAAGCCGGAGACCTCGTAGCGGAGCCAGTCCCCGGGGTTGGGGAGACGTAGTTTGTGGGTGGTCAGCAGCCATTTGCGGGAGAAGATCGCCCGGCGCTCTAGCTCGAACATCTCCTGAGAGGTGTACCATGAGGACGGCAAAGCGCGCATGGCATTCTTCTCGCCATTGGCGGAGGTGGAGCCAAGGCCAAGATAGTTCCACAAGGAGCCCATTTTGGTATATGGATAGAGTAGACGTTTTCTTCCTTAATGGTATGACAAAGATGAGCTTGCTTACTGTGAAGGACTTCTCAATCGAAGATGAACAGACTTTTATATAGCAGCTGCACCCACGGAACGCTACCTCTGTACTCCATTATGTCGTCTCCAGACACTCGATAAGCGGAACCGGTTGGAGAACCGCAGGATCGGAAGGAATGACAGCGTCAGAGGACCGAGACGGAGGTTTCAGCCTATCTGCCGGAGTCTTGTGATACCATCGTGATGCTCTCACAAAGTTGCCACATGTTCAACCAGCCCGGAACATTATGGACGTACGCTTCTCGGAACTGGACGATGTGAACCGGTGGCGCCGGACACGGTTGAGCTCCACCGAGGCCGGTTGACTACCGGTGCGGCAGTTGCTAAATGTTGATTATTGAGGTGTGAAGATTATTGGGGCGTAATCATTGTCTGAGAGTCCAGACTCGGACGGACGTAAAGCTTGTTGACTGACCTTACCAGAAAAAGGCATGCTATCCTTTTGTGATGAGTGGTCTGACGGAAAACCAACAGTGGACGGCAGTAATCATGCCAACCAGTATGACAATATTTGTAAACACTCTTCAGGGACTACCTATTTGCTCTCTTTTCCATGGACTCGGTAATTCATGTTTTCCAGCTTAGTATGGCGTAACCGTGTTCGTATCCTGTAGGGTTGAATCATGCCATGTCTGCTCCGATACCATGATAGCTAGTAGGGTATACAACTATACTTCTGTAATATTATCCTGTTGTTTCAGGGAACAAACTAAGACAGTTTGAGAAACTTATCATTCCTACCCTTGTCTCATGGTCCCACAAGGCCACGAATTTCTAGCTAACCTCCTAATGAGACAAGACACTCGATGATCATCTCGGAACGAATAGGGTCAAGATCTACAAACGGAGTATGCCAACTTACTGCACAGGGATATCCTACGAGCAACCGCACTACCCAGATAAGCATAACCCGAAGCCCCATACAAGGTCCAATTCCTCCCGGCTACAGCTGTCCAGCTGTATAGCTATAGCTCCTGTGGGCCCGGCTCACGAGCCGTGCCAAGCCGGTTCGGCTTTGTGCCCGATCCGGCTATCCAGCTCCCCACCTCCAATGAGGAGACCACAAGTCATAATACTATCATTTTCCCACTCAGAATTCCATCCTTGCTATCGAATCTAACACCATGGACAAGAATCAACGCGTTGTCATCGTCGGCGCAGGCGTCTTCGGCCTCTCCACCGCCCTCAATCTCACCCAGGATGGCTTCACCGCGATCACAGTGCTGGATAGACACATGCCGCCAGTCCCCGACGGGTCAAGCAACGATATCTCCCGCGTGATTAGATTCGACTACGGGGATCCCGTATACGCACAGCTAGGCAAGGAAGCGTACGATCTGTGGAACACCAGCCCTCAGTATGCGGATTCGTTCCACCGCACGCCGTGCGTCTGGACGGCGCAGCGGACTGGTCCGGCTGGTCTTGTTCAAGTCGGGGGGTCGGACTTTATCCGGAAGACGAAGGAGATCCTGACGAGGATGGGGGCCGAGTGGCATGCCTTGGCGGATGCGGCGGAGTTGAACGCGCGGTTTCCCGCTGTCAGTGGGACGCCGATCGGGGAGGGATTCGAGGGGTTCTATAACAATGCGGCTGGGTGGGCGGATGCAGGTGTTGCGATTGCGGGCCTGCGGGATCGGTGTATTGCTGCTGGGGTGTCGTTTGTGACGGGTCCTCATGGCCAGGTTACGGAGCTGGAGAAGGGCTCGGACGGGACCATTACCGCAGTCAAGACGGCTGATGGGGGACGGATCGCAGCAGACAAATTTATCCTGGCGACGGGCGCATGGACGGCTGGCCTGATCCCCTCGTGGAATTCAATGGTGGCGACGGCGCAGATTGTGGGCTTTGTGCGGCTTACGCCGCAGGAGGTCAGGGCGCTGAAGGATCTGCCTATTATTTTCAATCTCTCGACTGGATTTTTTAGCTTCCCTCCGCACGAAAAGACGGGATACCTCAAGGTCGCTTGCCACAGTTTTGGATACACATTGTCGTCGGACCAGCAAGTATCCTCACCACCCAGTCGGGCTATCTCCGCGCGGGCAAACTTCATCCCCGCGGAAGGTATGCAGAGACTGCTTGCAGGTCTCAAGGAGATCCTGCCGCAGCTGGTGGAAAGGGGTTTCGAGAAGACATGTTTGTGCTGGTATAATGAGACGCCGACAGGCGACTTTATCTTCGACTATCATCCTGACCATCCCAATCTGTTCGTCGCTACCGGCGGGACTGGGCAGTATGTACACCACCGAATCCTTACCATGAGAAACTAACATCAGTGCAGTGCATTCAAGTTCCTCCCTAACATCGGAAAATACATTGCCAAGTCTTTTCAGAGACAATTGTCCCCGGAGTTGACCGAGAAATGGAGGTTCCATACCGAGTACAAAGACCGTTCGCGGGAGGACATCTTCACTGGGGAAAAGAGCCGGAAGGGAGGAGATGGCAGCCGTGGAGGTCCTAATAGACGGGAATTTACCCCTGAGGAACGAGACAGTCTTTTGTCTTTGACGAATGCATTGGCTGTACGGCAGGCCAAGATGTAGATATAGATCTGCTTATCAATGGTAGCATGATTTACGATTGTTCAGGTCAGACATTAGAACATCCAGCTCATAGGCAGATGAGAGGGAGCTAATCACGCATCGAAGATTACTTTCATGTATCGGACACATGAGAGTGGCCCTGTGGTGTCGAAAACTACGGTAGAACCTATTCTTAACAGCTGCCTATAGAATCCATTCATGTTGCAATCAATACTACCAAAAGCCGATTACAAACAGAAGCAAGCCATAAATACTGCATTTGCGGTAACAAACCAGCAATCATCATGGCCCTGTTCCCATTTAGTGTACGAGACATGGAGCCTGAGCCCGAGGCATATGTTTCACCAGGGTTCAAAGTGCCCTCAATCTCCCGACCATATTGATAGCTGAGCGCAGTTCACGGTGAGCCCTCACTCATCACGCTTCTCAAGGTCGTATTTGGTGTAGTAGAATCGCTTCTCCAGATCTTCATCACGCTTCTTTGGGTCGTAATGGGTGTAGAAGAACCGCTTGTCGAGATCTTCATCACGCTTCTCAAGGTCGTATTTGGTGTAGTAGAACCGCTTCTCGAGCTCTTCATCACGCTTCTTTGGGTCGTAATGGGTGTAGAAGAACCGCTTGTCGACATCTCCATCACGCTTCTCAAGGTCGTATTTGGTGTAGTAGAACCGCTTCTCGAGCTCTTCATCACGCTTCTTGGGGTCGTAATGGGTGTAGTAGAAGCGTTCTTCAAGATCGCCAGAGGCTGACTCGACTTGGTCATTGTTTGCGACAGGGACGGCCCAGGCAATCCTTGAAGCTCCAAGGAGAGCCAGAAGGTAAGAGAGCTGCATATTGGTGATGAGATCAGGCGGTGCTAAGGTCTTGATGGAACTGAAGAGAGAAACTGGATGATGGAAGAAGGTTTGACGAGTAGAAGACTGGTTGTGCTTTATATAGAGTGAGCAGCTGGTGTGCCCGTCACATCTGAATGCGCTTGGAGTATCACAGCTTCCGATAGGGATAGCATAGCGAAAGGCTCTGGCTGCATTCTGCAGGTGGCAGGCACTCGGTCTCTGAAGGATTCAGTCGTCATCATGTTGCGTCCCCATGCATGTGGCAATGTGCCTTCAGCTGAAGTAGCCTATACTTCAGTTCCACTCGTTGCTCAACAAGAGGCGGCCTATCAGGGTTTAGAAGAAGAGAGGGGATGCGAACAGATCGGCACCATATCAGCCAGCCTCCGTACTCTCCTCTGAATTGATCGCCATAGATCAACTGTTGTCCAGCATGTTTCTGTGGGTGCGAAGATGGATGAACTACTGCTGAAGAAAGAAGGATGTGATCTGTCTATCGCAGTTTAGCTTTGGCTTATTGCTATGTGGGCTGAACTACAGATACATTGCATATTCCACGTCACTGATCTACAGGCTACTCACAGAGTAGATATTGAATAAGCCAGTAATAACAGGGGTCTATGTCAATTCCTCGATTCTAGTCACATCGGTCTAAACTAGATTAAATCCAATTCCATGTATTTGAGTGTAGATCAATCTCGATTTTGCCAATGTGCGAACACGATCTCCATTGGCGATCATACACCATTCTAGGTAGTGATAAACGTCGGCACGGATCACTCTTCGGCTTTTTTGTCTTTCCTACTTTGTTTGTGTTGCAGATGTCCCTGTAGTTATAGACCGTACATTTTACGTAGTCCATAGAAAATCCCCGCGTACTAGATTTAAAGTCCGAAGGACAATTACTCTCCTTTTCCTCCTCAATTGAGACTTTTTGAGCGTCCTCGCCGCCATGATCTTTTCAAGAATCTTCAAACCCTTCACTGGGGAGCACAAATTTCAAAGCCTCAAATCAGAGGCTGACGATGACACTGACATCGAGTCGGAGAACCTCCTGCGGATCACACATGGCGCAAGAAAAGAAGGCACCTCAAAGGCCTGGATCTACTTTACTATTGCAAACGTAGTCATCCTTATTATCACGGCTTCCTTGATCCTCAGTATAGGTACCTTTCGGACAAGTGAGAAAAATGCGGTCCTCAGGCCGATAGCATGGTGGTGTAAGTCTAGCTCCGGTTCATTCTCCTGATCGTGGCTAACCCGTCGAAGCGCCCATCCTCGACGAGATAGAAATTCCAAGATTCGAGACAAAGTTAAACGGGACACTCTTCGCTAAGCCCGAGGTCTCAATAGCCCGAGAAGAGCCCGGCGCGGAGAACGACGCAGCCTGGGGGCAGTATGAAAAGGTCCTGACTCACGTCGTCACCCGCGAGCAAATCCTCAAACTGGGTAAAGATCCGGAGACCGTGGCTCGCTTCGCCAACGATTACTGGGGAATGGGCGATGATGCCTACATGGTACAGATGGATGTGATGCATGTAAGTATCTCTCTCGGGTTCCAATAGGATTCATGATAGTGATAGAGCGCAGCAAATCCATTGCCTTAACCTGCTCCGCAAAGCAGCTTTTGCCGATTACCCCGGCTACGAGCCGGAGTTAGACGAGAAGGACAAAATGTGGTGGATACACCTCGGTCACTGCACCGACATCCTGCTACAAAATATCCAATGCAATGCCAATACAGAGTTCCTGACATTGAACTGGGTGGAAGACCGCAAGGCTCCGTGGCCGGACTTTAGTGTGAATCGCAAATGTCGCGATTTCAATGCGCTGCTCGACTGGCAACGCAGCAATGCTGTTGATCCGGACAAATTTGACCAAATGCTAGTTCCAAAAGACGCCTTTGTTTGGCCTGCGCCTTGGAAAAAGCAAGAGACGGAGTTGGGTGAGAAGCTAGGTCAGCATCATATGCAGGAAGGTCTGGGCGATATGCATGCGCATCACGGCGCAGGGCATTAGTTAGATGTGACGATGACGACTATTGCAGAGACATTGACATACTATTTTGCTTGATCAAGACTAGACTCGTTGCTTTTGGACCCATAAAGGTATGCGCATGCTCCATAAAGTTAAATGCGCACGTATCACACTTGACTAAAGAACATGAACTCTAACACGCACTGATCTAAGCGTATGTACAATACAATATTAATATGTGATAAGCGGGGAACTGTTGTATGGTACATGATCGCCTTCACGCCACCTATGCAGATCCTTGAGTGTTTAAGGCAGTATTGAATTATGTGATACATCATGCATGAAGGATTCTCGTCCGCCTTCCACGTCCACTGCCCCTCCATTGCCCACTCGATCTGCCGAACTGATGAAGATACGGATACGTCATTCACGGAAGGTTCTGTACTTGTATGAAAGACCATGTCTCGTGTTCCCATGAATATTACAGCTCTCTTTTCACTCTGTTAGGCTATCCAACATGGTAGGGCATGTTGTTCCGCCAGACGATGACCACCAGCTCAGTGGTGAAGATGCTCCATTCCTCTTAGAAGATCTCAGGAGCCAGCCTGGGCCTGGAGACGTATCTCCCGACGATTCAACCTCAGACACTACTCTACCAGAAAAAAGCCGTCGTTGGCTGGTGATCGCCCTGGTTGCGATAATGCTCACCTTTGAGATCGGGGGTCAGATGATCCCAGGTCCCATGGTGCGCATTATCGAAACCATCGTGTGTGATGGCTACTGGCGTGCACACGACTCGAGCCGGCTCCCGGCTTCGGGCCATGTAGCAGAGCAGCTGTGTAAGATAGAAGAGGTGCAGGCGGAAGTCACAACTATCAAGGGGTATTCAGATTTCCTCGAGGGTCTACTCTGTTCGTGTCAATGTTCTTGTCCGTTAACATAATCTCGTTGTCTGACCATGGTACAGGTGTCATCTGCGCTATCCCATACGGTTTATTGGCAGATCGATATGGACGCAGACGAGCCATTCGTCTTACCATTCCTGGATTTCTCCTGAACGCAATCATCACTAATTCCGTACTGTGGTTCTCTGATACCTTCCCTCCCCGGGCTATCTGGCTCGCAGCGCTGAGCTGGACCATTGGGGGGGGACCAACTGTTGCAATGGCCCTGCTATGGACAATGTTGGCCGATCATACGACAGATTCAAACCGTCCGATACTCTTCTTTCGGGTTGGAGTTGTTGGTGAGATTGCTACTTTCCTCGCCGGCGCGATAAGCGCGCAAATAATGGCTTTGAACCCTTGGATCCCGATGATGATCGGCTGTGGAATTGTTGCTATCGGCCTCACCTGTGCTTTCTTTTTACCTGAGACTTTGAACCATTGCGTGAAGAGGAAGTCTTCAATCCACGGAGATAAGCCAGTTTCCTGCATGGGCGGGCTGATTTTCGATGAAGAATCGTCCTACTGCAGCCCAAAGGTTCTCCTGAAACCGTCCAGACATTGTCTTATCTTGGGCAAGATTCGACGCTTCCTCAACCATGACATCTTCATCTTTGACCACCGGCTCATGTTGCTACTCTTCGCTTTTGCCGTCTCCGAGCTCGCTCGGGGTTCCTCTGGGTTCCTGGCTCAGTATATCTCCACACGCTTCAGCTGGACCCTAGCACGGGCCAATCTCCTCAAATCCTTCCACACAGCTGCTACCATCCCCGTGTTCCTGTTCCTCCTTCCTTATCTCTCAACACACGTTTTGCATTACCTGTCGCTGCGTGGAAGGGATCTCTACCTCGCGCGGATAAGTATTACTTGTCTAGCTGTCGGATCACTTAGTGTTGGTCTTGCGCCGCATATTGTCTTCTTGGTCCCAAGTCTTTGCCTCCATGCGGTTGGGGGAGGATTCCCGCTTGTCGCACGCTCTCTGGCTACGGCGTTGGTAGAGAGTGATAAAACAGCAAGGCTCTACTCGACAATCGAGATATTACAGTCGGTGGGAAGTGTGTTGGGGAGTCTTTGCTTTACGAATGTATTCACGCTTGGGTTGAAACTGAGCGGGGTATGGGTCGGGTTGGTGTGGATAATGAGCAGTCTGCTCTTTGCATTGGTGGGGATCATACTTATGGTGCTTCGAGTATAATGCTGTTAAATTCAGTCTTCCATAGGCATAGCGTGATCTGTCCCTTTCGCAACTGCTAGAATAGAGTATGATCTTGATAGTCTCATTCATGCCTTGTTGATCCGGCCAGAACCTCATGTAGGCTTTCTGCAGGCAACGACAGCAGCTTATTCGCGCTCTCCTCGCTGTCCATATAGTTCCCACCATACCCCTTGACACAGGTTATATACCGCATAAGCGCGGGGATTCCACTATAGTCCCCCTTGGCCAGCTTCTCCAAGGCAAGCCGCTTTTCCTCTTCCGCATCGTGGTAGGTTACGTCCCACTTTGCTCCCGTCACATCTTCCAATGAAGCGAGTATGTCCCTCTGCGAGACATTAAATGACTCGATAAACAAGTACTTGTTGGAGGTCCGTTCCGGACTCAGCATCGCATTCTTCACAGCAAGACCTACAGTGCTGCGAGTCGTCGCCGACCATCGATTCGTGCCATGGTCCAGAATCGTGGCGTGTCTTCTTTCCATGTCGAATCCTAGGAAATTGGTGACGGCTCTACTCGGGTCAGATTTCTTTCCACAAGGACGAATTAGTGCGACCGTCGACTTACATCTCGAAGAACGGTCCTGTCACAAATGCCGTCCAACTAAGCCCGTCCCCCTCCTTGCTCTTCAAGTACTCCACTATCTGTCTCTTTGCCGCGTAGAATTGCGGGAGCATCGCAGCCGCCTGGTCATTCCGCGTGTCGTGGCCAAACTCAGACGGCACAAAGTGTTTCACACCGGCCTTGACAGCTGCATTTATCACGGCCTTTTGCTGGTGTATGGCTTGCATGGAGATCGTGCAAATGATCGCATCCTGTCCGGTAAAGACCTTGACAAGCTCGGTTTCGTCGTAGTTGTCGCTGACGCGATGGACTGGGATATGAGGCGGGAATGTGGACTTGGATGAGTGACGGCTCAGAATGGAGATTTCGAAGTTAGGATCGGTATCGAAAGCAGATACGATATGTGGCCCGAGATGGCCGCCTGCTCCGGCGACGATAACTTTCTTTATAGGGGATGACATAGAAACTGACGTTGATTCGAGAGTCAGAAGATGTTGGTTGCCTTTGAAAAGAGTATTGGATATATCTTACAAGCGTTCAAGCTTTTCAAAGCCGATATCGAGTGGAAAGTCACCTGCCTAGTGCTGGGCTGTTCTGCCTAAGCCAGCTTTATTGTCCTGAATTTGTGCTGAATATTAGGCGGGTTCAGCAATTGCGTTGGTGAATTGTAGTCCATAGCTCTAGGGGACATGCACTATCTTGATTTCTAGGCACAAGGAGGGGTAGTTATGACGATCAATTCGTCACACGGCTCTACCTGCAGTGGATAGCTCTTAGTCTTTCTCGTGCAGATCAGCAGATGTAGATCTATTGAAGATCAGCCTGGGAACACAAGAACATGATTTACAACGGGTCTAGATCTGCACTGTGTGTTAAAACTCATGTTACACATCACATTATCTATTCTGTCGATCAAAGCTGGTAGCGTACTTGACGGCTTCGGTCTCTAACGCAGACACTATCCATTTCTTCCCTCGCGAGTACGTGAGACGATAAGCTCACTGTGGCACCATTGTAGAAGGACGATAGATACAACATAACTGCTCAAAGTGGACTTCTACATATCCATTGTCCTGTTGTATTCAGGCAGAACCCGCTTAACCATCCACTCCGATCCTAGGACCTTTTCAGCAGTTGGTTGCTCTCTAGTTAAAATGCCAGCGTTTGGTGCATTAAAGTTAGAATGGTAGCCATTTCATCCCTATCAAACTTATTTATGTAACTGCTCTTCCATTAACATTTCTGCACTCCTTCCTTAAATACCTATTAATCAAAGCCAAACATACTAGCCATCCTTTAGACACCCATCATCATCAAAGAATCCACTTTATTTCCCCCAGTGCTCTAACCAGCTTAAGGTGTGAAGGGGCTAAGTAAGGTTATGGCCAAGTTGGATCAAATGGGTCAAATCAGAGTCTAGGACGATGAAGATGATAGAAATCATAATGGCAGCCTTTGCTACCTTGCCTGAACCGACCCTAGACCACAAAGAAGAGAGTTGGTGAAGCTTTGCTGCAGTGGTGATAGGTATTAAAACATATGACTTGTATTAGAGGGTTTCCGAGAAGCAATTTTACGCTTATCCAAACTCTGCCAACTCATGGTAATCAGGGTTTCTCACACTGTGCTTGCCGAAATTGTGAGATGCTTGCGAGTAACCAACACAGCTGTGATCTCAACCCCTTTTATATTCAAACCGCAATGAAAACCCTCATTCTAGCTGCATAGTTGGGGCAGACATTACGCTAGTAGATAGACTAAGGAACAACAGCCCACACTCTTACATATCTCGCTTAATCAGTGCTGCATGGCCAGCCCATCTCTCAGAGAGCCAATACCCGACGTCATGCGTAGCATACAGAAGTCTATGCCTAGCTCAACATGTTTGTGGTCACTTCAGAATGCGTGCAAGTAAGCGACCATGAGGACGTGGTTGGCCAGGGTGTCTTCCGAGGAGTTTAGGTACCTACAGGGGACTCTGGCTGTCGCCGGGGAATCGGAGCACGGCCATTCGCTCACTCCATCCCGAACCGACTCCATATTTCTCCACTGTCTCCATTCTCATCGATTTTTGCTCAAATCAATATGGGTGAAGTGCGCGAAAAACATCAGTTTCTCATCAATGGACTCACTCGTCTCTTCGCTCTATTTATCAAAGCGCATTATATCGCCCCTACTGATGTCCTGTATCCAACTCAGGACGTTGATGTCGGACGCCTCGAGAGACTCGGGTTCGAACCCGAAGTGATTGATCTCGTCCAACTCCTGCCAGCCATTAAAAATGAACCAGTCTGGGGATATAACGATGAAGGAATAGAAATGATTCCTCGTGCCAAGCTAGTTAACTATCTGAAACAGTGCGAAGCAGATATGGCTCATGACATGTTAGAGACCCTGCGATGGGTCGACCATACAGATGAGGATACGCAGGGGGTTTTTCCTCCGTCTATCCTTCGACTGACATTCCCTGGTTTTTATGGAGTAAATGTGCTATATGATGTCCATGACCGTACGTTTTCTCTCATTGAGCTTCATTTTTCATCAGCTGAAGATCCAGCTGACCTCTGCGCCAGAGACTGTAATGGAATGGTGCCATCTGAACCAAAAGCAATGGCAGGACTGCCCCCGCCGGCCATATGAAGACTTCTTCTCAAAGATCTTTGAGAAATTCCGCACTCTCGAATACGTTCCTTTTTATGATCTGGATGACGGAGCGGAAGTCCCTATACGCAAAGTCAAGGAGAATCCTATACTATTCCAGAATATTTGGCCCGGCGGTATTCGCCTTCCTACTGATCCTCAGGCTGCTGTTCAGCAATGTGGGGAGAAACATGATGGCCGGGATGGCATACGCCGTGATATTAACGAATGGAGGGCACTACAGAAGCTCTATCGCGACGCGGGCTGGGAGACTGAATTCAACGGAGAGCTATTTGAGGATAGACGAAGGAAACTGTTACAAACAATAGACGATCTCCAGGGCCAATCCAGTGAATGGAGCATGATTCCACCGGATAGACGAACGGAGGATCAGCGAATCGCTGAGCAGGAGTTTCGTCAACGTCGGGAGGCATTTTGGGCTGAAAGTGCTGGAGAGTACTATGTTTAACATTCTCTGTGTCTCCTGACTTCATATCGCAATTGCTACGCGCTCTGGCCAAGAAGAGGGCTTCATTTCTCTCGGTATGATAGACTGAAACTCAATCCTTTCTTCGACCCGGACGTGCAAGGGTGGACGGACTACGCAGTTTCGACAGAAGACGGTAATTAAGGAGTGCTTGAGCTACGTCTTCTCACAAATGGATGTTGCCAACTGTTGCATGACTTCTTGTTCTATGGTGTTTGTCTTTATGGCTTCGGCCATTCTACGTACAGCCTAGATAGAACAGCGATTGACTACTGGGACATGCCTAAACAATCTCACTACAGGGCATAAACCAATCCCTCTTCAGGGCGCACTTCACCATTCGAAAGTCGTTCCCATCCTCCATAGATTCCATTCTCTCCAGCAATGCCCTGTCCCCAGACTAACTGCATGTCTGGGATGGCGGAGGCACGGTCCGCTAACCATTCCTTCCACCTGCGCGAAACCTTTCCGAAATATGTTGCAGCACCCTCCCGGTCGATGATTGTGTCCTGGATGCCAGAAGTGTTGTACTGTATCTTTCCCAACGATTGCATAGCTGCACGGGCTGCCTGCACTTCCTCCCTCGTGTACACCTGAATAGAAGTCAACGAAAATGCCTCAAGAATCATACGCACAGACTAACCTTCTGTTGACTGCCCACCTGCAGAATGACACTTTTGCATGACCGAAGCGCCGACTCCTGAAGATTCTGGCATATCTGAATGAGCGCATTCTCCCGCGCCCCGCAATCTATAATGACGACCTTTGACGGCTGCAGACTCTCAATCCATCCGGTTGCTTGGTCGATTTCCGTATATGCCACTGCCTTGGAGATATCCCCCCAGCCTTTTCTACCTGCTACCTGCTGCAAAACACCAGGCGACGAAGTAACCTGTACTAATCCCAGCGGTCCGCTCGCCCTGGGCCGGTCAAAGAGACACCATGAAAGGGAGCGCGCAGTCTTGGTCGACGCCCCCAAAACCACCACAACTGCAGACGAGAGGTCTGCATCATCCGCAGACCAGGGTAGTTTGCTCGCCGCGCCGAGAGGATGGACTGGTTGTCGTACTCGCGGGTCAGGAGGAAACACATACTCACTCAGCAGGTATCCGGCGACCCAGACCCCTCGGAAGAGGGTACTCCACGCTCTCTCATCCAACTCCTTTTCTTCATCGGAGGGTACCAGCTCGTAGTGATTGTATATAGGCATCAGCTGTTGTCTGTGGCTGCTAACCTCCACCCAGTGGCCGTCTGGCTCGCTACGTTCCAAGTGCAGGAGAGTGGGCGACGTCGCGGTAGGCCAGTATCCCCAGATGAAGGAGCCTGGCGGGATTCCGGGAACATTGCTTTCGGTGACGGTGGCGTATCCCCATGCGGGGACGATGCCCCAGGACGACTGATCGTTGTATGGAGAGGGCGCGGCAGGTGGTACCGGGTACGTCTTCCACCTGTGGCTGTCAGTAAGCACAAAGGATATAGAAGCCAGGTCAACATACCAATGCAGTAGATCTCCTCCACGGGCGTAACTGAGGTTGTTGGAAGTTAATCCTAGAAGGATCGGTCGCGCACGGAGCGACGAGGAAGGCAGCTTTTGGTCTACTGATGGAGGAATATTCACCACAGCGTGTTGCCGGTTGTCGGCCTTGCAGACAACGTGGATCATCCCCGGGTTTGTAGCAGCGGATTGCATTATCACCGGGATTTGATGAAATAATTTTGGTGTGTGCGATGAGAAGTGGCTGTAGGACTGAAAGGACCAGGCTTCCTCTCTCCAGGCTTGTCGTCGTATTTTTCTTTATCTGATCCCTGCCACTCAGCCCACTCCCCTTCTTAGTCGCCTGAGGCGGCCGATTAAACCCGTAGCGGCGGAGGGTTGTTTCAGATACGTAGATGTCAGATTTTAGCCCGTCTGGGCCAAAGCAGTGAAACTGAGCTGGCACAATGCTCAAAAGCTGCATCTGAATCACTACTGCTGGACGATTCCGGAGCAAATATCTAGAAAGATGACATGAAGTTGAGAATGCGAACCTGTCTGCTTATATATGCGGTGGACCCTACAAATAGCGCCAGCATCTTAAACCCCTGTCCCTGAGCTAAACAACCTGTTTTCCAAGAAGCTGGTACATTCCTTCCTCAAACAACTTCACAAGCTCCTGTGCTCTCGGATCGGCGGGGGGCAGCAACTGCATACCAATGACACCACACAGTCCTCTTGCCCGATCAATGAACTGGAAATGTCAGCAATCAGCACTTCAAACCTAGATCCTACGGGGAAGTTACCCAAAAAAGGTTCGGCATGCCGCTCCAAATCATAGTGCCCTTGGACCTTCTCGTTCGTCCCTCGCTCTGAACCAAGATACCGCCCAAGGCCCAGTCATATTCCGCATCTGAGGGGAAGTCGCCGATGAATAGCTTTAACTTCGCTGGATCCTGAATAAGGGCCTTCTGCGCGGCCTTGCTCTCCGCCGTCAGTTGTGGCTGGAAAAACTGATCAGCAGTCTCCTTCCGTAGCAGCTTCCCGTCGTTGACAAGCAACGATGTCAAAATCTTCATATAATCCTCGAGATTGCCATAGGCACCTTGTCCGCCAAAGCAATCCTCCGCCCCGTCAGTAATGTACGGGCCTTTGTAAGGTTCTACGCCACCAGACGCAGTTCTTGCAGTCATGGTCGCCAGTTTGCCTTGAATAGACGGATGCTTGTGCGGCCAAAAGGTGATGCTGGTGATATCGAGAGGTTCGAAAATGTGCTTCCGAAAGTAGGACTCCAGTGTCTCTCCTGTGACTCTCTCCACAACTTTTCCTGCCCAGTCAACACCCGGGCTGTAGCCCCAGCCAGTCCCTGGCTCGTACGCTAATGGGTAAGCGAAGCGTTCCACTACAGTCGACCCAGTTTGTGGGGCCCGGTTGTTCATGGCCCCCCATTTCTGGAGCAATGGGTTCATGGCACCGTAGGCAAGGCCAGCGCTATGGGTGAGCAAATATCGCAACTTCAGCGGGTTTGTCCGTTTCCGCAACTGCGGTTCTCCGGTTCCCTCGTCAAACCCTAAGAGCACCTCTTGCTCCGCGAGTTCGGGGATGATCGGCGACATATCGTCGTCCAGGTCGAGCTTCCCTGCCTCCACTAACTGCATCACTGCGATACAGGTGATTAATTTCGTGGCGGAAGCAAAAGAAAGCACTGTGTCCGTTCGCATCAAACTTTCCTCTCCATCTCCAAATGTGCGGCGACCAAATGTTTTTGAGTAGTTGAATTTACCTGTAGCGGTCAGTGAAGATCAGATACGGCCTGGGCAGACGTACCAGAAGTATCCCTGCCTAGAATAACGGCACCCAGGATGGAGCCATTGTCTATCGCATTTTCAAAGACTTCGTCCAAAGAGGCCATGGCTTCGGTTTTCCTAAGCGCTCTGCCGTTAGGATCTTGATAGTAGTATCCTGCACGTCAGAAAAGGAGGGCTATGGTCGTTTCGTAAGTCAACCACGAAAGATGTGATTATAAATCAATAAGGATGAAAGAGGGTTCTATATACTTCGACTAAGATAGTTAGTTAACTACCTGGCATGAATATTTGTCAGCATTTCCCCTCAGGTTGATGTGCCCGCATGAAAGCTCCACATAGTTAACCTTCAAGGCTTTATCTAATACAGTATAATGATCTAGGTAATGATTTCCATCAATCGTATTCTGCCACAGGAGGCAGGCAGCCACCATGTGTGGGCTAGCACTATTCATTTATCACTTACAATTCTTATTCGATATGGCATTCTGCCAGGCACGTCAGGCCTCTCCTTATTTCAACTTATACACATAATTTGCTCTATTTTAACCGGGAGGCTCATTCAAAAGGAATCGCTGCATGAATTTGACTTCGCTCCTCAGCATGCGGGCCAATGCCTCGTACCTGATACATGGTAGATGTCTCAACCATGCACTTGACGCACCCTTTCTAGGACAAAAGTAATTGTTTCTTCGGTCTCAATTGCATATCCGGATGCCAGCCATTACCGGATACTCCTTTGATAGCAAGGGGGACGAATCCGAAAGACACCAGGAGATAGCTGCAATAGGAGTACACTACTGTGACAGCAAGAAGCTGGAGATAGAGTAGGTTTCTTATTTGATGGCATGCAACCCCCTAGCATCACTTGCTCATATATAGCCACATATACCAAAAACCGCTATATAGCGGCAGTGGGAAATTTGAGGATGCGACCACCCCTGTAGAAGGTGGCGTGTTAACACTTCTTAATACAAGAAGATCCCCTTTAGATCACACCCTGTTGTCTTTGATAATTTTTGGCTTTATTGGTGGATGATTAAACAATGACTTCATTATATTATAAGAAAGTCCAGGAATATCTTGCCATAATTGATATCGATACTATTGTCAGAGCCAGTAATGAAGATGGATACGTTATCGTTAAAGGTTCTATCTATAAAACCAATGAGGAAAAGAACCCAAATAATATTAAGCCTAAGGTATAAAGGATTAGTATTATTGTTTCAACCAGCAATAGCCCAATACAGTAAGGGTTTTCAGCTAGCTTCAGGCTAACGTCCATGATGAGGTAGTAGGAAACGACTTCATATAGATACAAGCTACGTGAGGACGATTAGCCAAGGCAGCCAGTGTACAGGGTACCTCTTCAATGGGCGTTGGTGATTGAGCTCCATCCATTACTCACCCAATGATTGCCAGTTTTACGCTACGTAGTGTTGTGGCTGTTACAAGACCAGTAACTACAGGCTCATGAACCAAGTCAGGCAATGCTAGTAGGAAAAGAAAGACTTGACTACATGACAGACAAGTCTAGGTCATTCTATAGGTGGTACTACCAAATTTCTAAGCCATACCAACAACATTAATCAACCTATTGTGGATGCCTGACCTCGTCATTACATTGAACGTAGCCCAGCATCCAATATCCATCTTATTTCCACTATCGCAAGGCTTCCACGCAAGTTGTAAACTGGACAGGAAGGTATGGCAAGAGTAGTTGACAAACGAGGTACTATAGCTCTTGAGATGGGACGTTCAGGCTGCAAGCCTCAACAGGGCCTGGATACGACCGGCTGGGTATTCTGCTACCCGTCGATCATTATATTTACTGTTTCCACTTGATAAAGACAATTGGTAATACCTAGCTCGGCTTTTTCTTAGCAGTTATGTCACGGCAAGCCATAGGGGCGGCATTATGGATATTGAGACCCCTGCGGATGCTAGAAGGCCGTGAACTAGTAACAACCAGGTACGGGTGAAACAGGATGACGTGTCTTCTTGCTCAAAACCGAATTTGTCTTTCCAAAGAGTCCCTGCTGTTATTATAGCGGCTAATTCTATATGGATGCAACATACTTATTTGGGTTAGAAGTCCATTAAATGGCTTTACAATATGTAGCGTTTATCATTACAGACCGGGGGGGCAACTTGCGTCGGCGAATAACGCGTAAGGAACATCTGCCCAATTACGAATCCCGCATGTATGTTGGTCTGAAGCCCTGGATCTCCTAAACCATCAACTGCCTTTCGCTATCAAATTAATATCAAAGCTGTAGATAAACAAGTAGGTAGGCAGATTCTATGAAGCTTAGGCCACTACAAGCTGGAACCTACTACTAGTGATTCCTCCAGAGATTATCGTCTGCGGAATCATTGCAGTGGCACAGCTTTGTTATGAACCATAGTCACCCCGAAATTAGGACCATTCCACCAAATACGCGAACACTTACTGGCAATTCGTTCTTCCAATTTCAGTACCACCTAGCGTGGAGAAGCGGTTGTGGTGTAGATCAGACTTTCTTAATGGGTGTTCATGCACAGAGGTTGGCTATTGATATAAACAAACTCAGACTGAAAAAAGTCTCTTTCCATATACCTATGGATTTTATCTCCCCATCCGTGCTACATTCCACTAATAGCAGCTTTTAGTTCTCATGTACACTTTACTAAGATCCACTATGCTGACTCTGCGGGGGCATAGCAGGCGCTAGCCCCATTAGTTAGGGGTTGGCGGGCCGCGGGCGCTAGGGTCTTGTTATAGGCCTAGGAGATAGTGGTAGTAGCCATTATATGAATACAGTCTAGCGCCTAGAAGATGAGTGAGATAAATTGTGCTACCCAATAGGTATGTGGAAGGATGACCGGATATTACTAGACTATGATCGGATTGAGCATAAGCAGCTTCGTTCATAAAATGGGTCATCTTCTGTAGTAGCTTCATGATATTATAGCCAACCAGTAACGCCATTAGGTAGTCAGGAAGAATCTAACATCCTTCCGTGGTTATTTCCTAGACCTCAAAGCTGGCTCACCATCCTTTTAGTGCTTTCAGTGCTCTCATCTCTGTCTGCGTTGCTCCTGACTGTGCTTATGTTTGATATCAAGGTACTCTCTCGGCGGCGACTCGGCCTGGACGATCTGAAGGATTTGGGCGTTGAATGCGAGTTGGGTTTCTTGGAGTTTGCTGTGGAGCTCAGCTCCGTCCCCTCGGACATATGGACAGTGTTCATTCCTAGGGCGAGACTGGTGATCACGCGGTAGAGACTCGGGATGCAAGCGGTGATGATACTGATGTTCATCATTGCCCTAGACGTCTGTTGTTAGATTCGATATAGTCCCACCGTACAGGGGAAGGAAACAGACTGGTTGCAAGCAGTCGCGCTGACGATTGTCCCTGTATGCACACTGGTAAGTGTCGATGCAAACACTGGAGAGGACCGCCATACAGGTTGAATCGGTTGAATTGAGGTATTGCGTCAAATACGTCATTTGGACAATATTCACGACAATAACCCTTGGCTCGTTAGCAATATCCCTAAGTGGCCGAGTTTAAGCCCACAATGAACGAGACGCAAATGCTGACGAAATCTTGAGGCGTTGGACTCGAGGCATTTGCACATTCCATAGCATTACAATTGGAAGGACGACCAGAGCTGCGTCGAGTACCATGTTAAGAATCATGATCGGGTATACGACCGCACCCTAGAAATCTGAGCAACAACGTTCAATGATGCTTTTGGTCGGGGCGTACGGGCCAACCTTTCCTATGCAGCGGCTAGGCGAATATTCCCAGTACGGGGCAGGGCATTGAAAAGCAGTCCCGAAGAGCGCGAGCAGAGTCCAGACACCGACTCCAATCTGTACCATGAGACACCATCGAAGAACTGACTTGCTTGGGCTAATCGAGCGGATGAGATTGCCGGTTGACACTTTGGACAGTGCGAGCACGAGGAGCAGGAGAAGCTCGGCCGCGTAATTGAGCTGAAGACATGTCAAAGTTAGCATATGAGGTTCCTGACACCACGGGATGCGCTTGATGTACCTTGTTATATGCATCAAATGAGTCACTGGAAACCTCACTGCGGTGTTTCCCCATGCCATGATTGACGGCGACCTGGATCAGAATACTTTGAACGAATGCAACAATCTGCGCTTGTTAGGGTCATAAGCTGGCTCTAGAGGCAGTTCTTCGTACCATGCAGATCCAAATTGGAATGTCAACTGAAGGGACTGAGCGCTTCAGATAGAACATCGACGCGATCTTAGCCAGCACCACAATTAATGTACAGGATAGAAATATAAAGGTGAAAAGTGACACGATCGCGCCATGATTATTTGGCGTAATCTGCCCCAGCGGCGGCAAGAGAGAGGGCTCTGCCATGGCAGCCGCAAGATGGGCAATAGCAGCAATAAGAAAGTCAAAAAAATCACACACTTCGATAAAGTAAAGTAACAAGACGCTGGCATCAATATAAAGGCATTTTGGCCATCTTTTGAGCCGGAGAGGGAGAATCTTGGGCAGTCAGACCACACTCTGGCCCCTGTGCGCTTGCGACTCCAGGCATCCTAGTCCAGACCCAACCTCAAAAGGTCCTTTTCCGATAAATGGAAGAGATTTTCAATCGCAAATAAACTCTAGCCGATTCGCAATTTCAAATTGACCGGGGTTGATATTAGTCCGCGTATAGCTACCAGGATGCGCGCAACGGCGTCATGCTAAGCCAGGATAAGCGGCCAGGGTGCGTCGCACTAACTCATAGGTATGCTCTCCCCCTCCTTTGCCTCCTGGCTGGTATTTTTCCATTTTACCGCCCCTTGCCACCTTTTGAGGCATTTCTTTTTCTTCTCCCATCAAACTCTCCTCCGCCCATTGTGTCACCACTTTCCGCGGACACTCTCCATCGAAGATGGATAACAACGGGATTGAACTGGCGTATGGCCATGGAAACGGGAATGGCTTCAAGTCGCCCCAGGACAATATCTTTGAATCAAAATATTCTCGCGAAAATGGATACCAGCCAAAACCGCGCCTGGAGGTATGCACAAAAGGAAGCCAGCTGGCCTGTAATCTAACCGCAAGCAGAGATATCTCGGTTTCCTGCCCATGCTGGCATTCGCAGCAACCCTCCAAGCGTCCTGGGAGGCTATCGGCGCAAGTATGTTCGCTGGTTTAGAGAACGGAGGGCCTGTTGTTCTCATTTATGGACTCATGCTGGCGATTGTGGGTTCTCTGGGCATTGCCCTGTCTCTGGCCGAACTCGCATCAATGTGAGTAAACTGTCAGATAACAGATGACTGTCTGCTGATCTAGTAGTACTCCTGTGGCCGGAGCCCAGTACCACTGGACATATGATCTCGCACCGTTTGCGCCTCGATTCCTGAGCTTTATCCAAGGTGTGTCTCATAGCGAGATACATGAGCCTGGCTGACCAAGTATAGGATGGATTACGGTATGAAAACGTCCACAAAAGCTAAAACGATACTAACAAGGTAGATGTTCTCCTGGTGGGCGAACGTGGTCACCTCTCCCTACCTGATCGGCACCCAGATCCAGGCTCTGGTCATTCAAAATCACCCAGAATATGTTCCCAAGCCCTGGCACGCGACTCTCATTATCTGGGCGGTCCTTCTTATCCCTGTGGCTGTGAATATTTATGCCCGTCGCCTTCTATCGCCAGTCGAGGTAATTGGCGGTATCATCCATATTCTGTTCTTCCCAGCCGTCCTGATTACTCTGATCGTCTTGGGATCCCGCAATTCTTCAGAATTCGTTTGGACACATTTCGAGAACTCCATGAGCGGCTGGAAGAATGACGGGGTCATCTGGTCTGTGGGTCTTTTGACCGCAGTCTACACTCTGGGTGGTACAGAACTGTCTTCCAGCACAACTATGTGCTTTTGCGCTGACAATTAAATAGGATTCGACGGAGTCGTACACATGGCGGAGGAAGTCCGAGACGCCCCTCGAGCAGTCCCCCGATCAATGGTCTACAGCGTACTGATCAACGGCTGCGTTGCTCTCGGATTCACCATCGGACTCATGTACACAATGGGCAGCCTGAGCGACGCCCTCGAGACTCCCACTGGCTATCCCATCCTCGAGATCTTCTACGCAGCGACTAAATCCAACGCCGCCGCCTCGGTCCTCATGATGACGCTCGTCCTTCCGGGCTTCATCGCACTCTTCAACGGCCTCGCCTCAGTAACCCGACTCACCTGGGCCTTTGCCCGTGACGAGGGCCTCCCCTTCTCCGGCTTCTTCGCGTACATCTCCCCCCGCTACAAGATCCCGCTGCGCGCGCTTTTCCTCGTCGCCATGATCACCGTCCTCCTGGCGCTGATCAACATCGGCTCCACCACCGCGTTTAACGCGCTCCTGTCCCTCACCACTCTGGGGCAGTACATCTCGTACCTGATTCCGGTGATCTTCCTGCTCATCAAGCGTCTGCGCGCCCCGCAGGAGATCCGGTGGGGTTCGTTCCGTCTGGGTCATTGGGGAGTCCCCATCAATGTCTTTGCGATTGTGTATGGGGTGTATATTATTATATTTCTTCCCTTTCCGCCGAATTACCCTGTTACGGCGAAGAATATGAATTACGCGGCGCCGGTGTTTTTGGCTGCGCTGGTCTTTGCAATTGGTGACTGGCTTGTCCGAGGACGGAAACGCTGGCAGGGGCCGATGGTTAAGGTGCGAGCGGAGTAGATGATGCTTATATACTGTTTTTATGAGTAACTTCACTTCTACTGAGATGCCTTCCGTTATCCAACTGTGATTTATTATGTATAGATGAATTTGCACCTAAAGTCTAGTCCAATTCCACTGGTCTAGAGTCAAAATCAGTATGGAGTACAGAAACTCAATCCCACATTTTGCCAGCCAAATCAGCCACTAATCAATCAAGCCTGCTAAGAGTCCGGTTCCCGTCCCTTGGCCTTAATACGTAGCTTAGTTCTTGTGATCCCTGCCTAGTCTGTGCTTTAGTGTTGGTGATCCTTGTCGGCACGGTTCGTAGCGAGAATAAAGTCCACCAATGAGCTTGCTATCATCATATGACAGCGGTTGTATTCATGAATTACAAAGTAGGATGTATTGATAAAGGCCAGTTTGCGTTATGATTGTCTTGTGGGTTTACCCATAGTCTGGTCATAGCTGGCAATGCTCAATGAAAATGATCAGGGTGATGCACTTCTTTACCTGTTCACTAATTTGTAACTGCTTTGATTCTGAGAGCTTTCACATATCTGTTAGTATTCAATTGGGTTCAAACGCTCTGTTATATCCTTCATGCTCTGGGCCCTGGCATGTTAAGGGTGTTTTCCCCATATATCGCCTTCGAGCAGACGAACGATCCTCAATCCATGTGAAGTTATGTCGGCGCTCCTAGGAATCAGTTTCCGAGCAGAAACTGGCATGAGATCGCCGTCCCAGTAAGCTATCCAGATTTAATTGACCAATAGACGAATATCAGTATATCAAAGGAGATCGTCTACTTTCTCCAACAGGACGCAGTCGATGGTTCATGTCATTGGTTGCCAGTTACAGAGTGCTATATTGTATCATCCAGATTGTTGACCATGGATCCTATCTCCTGTGTATATGATAAGAGTAAAGTCATGGATGGCCTCTATTCCCCAACAAATGTAATAGACCCGGGGTGCTAGTGCCCCAAAAAGCTAATCAATGGATGTGGAAGGAGGCACGAAGCAACTGGCATACGGTCTGGCGGACCTGGTCTAACATCGCAGGCCTATGCATCCGATCTTATCACACAGTTCATCAGGCTAGCCGCTAGCACATCTATTCCACTCCGGGTGTGCAAACATAAAAAGAAGGATATGGCCTTCACTATCTTGCTTAATAGCGTATTTCTAAGAGCTTCCCTGTAGAATCTTTAGTAGATGTTCAAGAGAGAACTTCTAATAATAATATAATTGTTGTCCCCTTTCTGCTTAAAAGGTTGTTACAGACTTCCTGTCTCTCGAGAGGGAGCGGGGAAGTTAGCATATTTTCACAACTGTGACACCCCTTTTGGCCGCAGTCGAAAACCTCACTCAATTCAACTATACCTTGTTCAACTCTTCATAACTGAATACACAGTTTGTTTTATCGCGATGAAGCATGCGCCAATAATTGTAGATTGACTCAAATTGAAGCTCAAATGAAGAGAGAATCGCTTCTCCAATGAAGCCTATATCTAGCTCAGCGAGGAGCACCTTTCCGACCATCTGAAATACGAGGAATGGCCAATATTCTTCTTGCTGGATGTGGTGCTACAACTATTCAATCAGTGGAGCGAATTGGGTTACCAACTTTATTATACGCCGCTCTGATGTGAAATCCTGCTATTCTCGACGATTTGATTATCGAGATGCTAAATGCGAAGAGCCTAAGATTATTAACGAGTGGTTTGATCACGTACAAATCATAAGAATGCAACATGAAATTGCAATTTTAACTTTGATGAGACTGGCTTCGATATTGGTATAGTAGGGACTGATCGAGTGGTTGCTAGAGCTGATTATGCAACAGCTCATGGATTACTGTGGAGCGAGAGCCTACCCGTTTCTGAAGGCATGGTCAAAAAAGAAAAAAAATCAATTAGCAGCTTGCCACAAACTTCTGCGCCATGATTCCAGGCTGGGCCGCCCAAGATGGCAAGGTGAATCATATTGCTGAGCTATGTGTCGTCCGTGACATGCCATTCCGCGAGACAAATATGCTCCCCTATCCGCAAACCTGAGCGAGGTTATTCCTGCTTCTCACAGACCACCATAAAGGGGGAAGACAGGGCTCCCAGGAATAGTCGGCTTGAGATGGGGTCATGTACCGCACAGGTTGTAGTCGGCAGGATTCGTGCCTCCCCATCCTCGACGACCTTTATAACTTCGTACTCCTCTTTCACGGATGATACCTCTGCGTCACGTCTCTTCTTTTTAATCGTCACCACAGTAGAGGGGGCATCTGTTCCATAAGGGTCATGGAAGGCCCGAATAAATTGGTCATGATCAGGAATAGTAGCGGCAAAGATGTTCCCATCAGTATCTATAGACAGATTATCGACTCCCATAGATAAAGATATCTCATCAATCTGGACCAGCTGCTGATCGTGTACCACCCGGTGGACGGTAACGGTGCCCCGGGCAGAGTGTGCGATGTAAATAAGGCCTGAAAACGGGTCCCTCGTGATGCCGTTGGGGAAAGAGAAGTTCTCCGTGGCAGCAAAATGACACTCGCCTGTATCGGTGCGACAATAGGAAATGCTTCCACCAATCTCCTTGTCTCGCGAAGGGCTTACTTTAGTGTTATGGTCATTGGTGAACAGGAAGCCTCCTTTATCTTCGTCGTCATCAATGACAACTAGATTGTTCGGCGAGATAATCGTCTCGCTAACAATGGTTTTGACATGCTCCAGTTTGTCACCGTGATGTAGATCGAGATCGTACACATCGATAGTCGAATTAGCCCCTACTTGGGTTGCGTCTAGCAGGGGTGCCCCAGTGAACGGGTCCAGGGGCGGCCGGTGGTTGATCAGCCAGAACCGCACCCGGCGGCCCTTGTCGATAACGCGCGCGTCGAATCCATGTAAATCCAGTGTCTGGATATTGCCTTGGCTGTCGCGGAACTTCAATTCCCGCACGCCATGTAGGCCATCAGCCCCCGGCTGGTCGATGTCCAGCACGGTAATATGGTCGATCCCACCGCCGCCTGCTGCTCGCCCCGCAAGGTCGTAACTGTTCCCACCCGGGCTCCAAGCCACGCGGACCATTGGATTAGCGCAGGCAGCATACACCCTGCGACGTCCGGAATCGAGCCAGACGTCCTCGCAACTCTCCAATAGCGGGTGGCGCATTCGGCGACACTGATAGTCGGGGAAGTCATCGAGACGTTGGATGGCTCTCCCAACTTTCGGGAAGAGATTGGCCGCATCAAGATGAATATGGACTTTGTACAGCCCTATAGCAATCGCTAGGAGTGCAATGAAGATGGTCTTGAGAGGAGCCATCGTTAACAACAATACCCCGGGTACATGTAGAGGGAAATCAGGAACGAAACAGAGGGGGTTATGGACCTTAATTGTCAACTTTTTGCATTGGGATCTGGTGTACATCCCGCCGGGATCTCACCAGAGCTAGAGCACTGCAATACTCACTTTCCATTAATCAGCTGCGCCAGATAACTACCATTTTGCTCGGCAGATTGGCGGATAATGCCAGATCATCGACCAGTGATCGGCCCTCTCAGAATCTGGGCAAGTGAGCTCTACCCTGGCCTTGCACAAACGAGGCCTTTCATCCACATATTTCATTTACAGCCCAGTCCATTCTTAGCAGCACAAACTTTGTATTCCCGCTTTTTATGAAATGATACTGAGTTCCTCTAGAGAGGGCGCTTTAACCACAAACAAGGAGTTCGCTTAGCACAAATTAACATTTAATATTCCTGTAAAAATTAAAAAATAAAAAGAGGATGTGTGCACTAGTTTGCCAGTCTTCCTCACTGAATGTTTTCATAACTCTTTATTACTAAAGTTGTCTGGTTAGCCTCTTTTTTGGGAGGTCCAACAGACAACCCCTTAGCAATCTTACGCATTATAGGAGATAAAATGCTTCACTGCTTTTCATTAATGACCTAATCTTAAGTAATGGACTGACCCCAATACTGCTGGCTGTCATCCGAGCAATACCTAGACATAGCCACCACCATGGACTCATTTGGGAGTCTGAAGGGCCCTCAGATGAGGCGTGGACATCCACGCCGCCTCACGCCAGAGATGGTCAAATCCCTTTATGAATACACCATAGAGAAGCTGTATGTGTATCTCGATGAATCGGTTATCTTCTATACCATGTTCTTGGGACGGAAGTGCCACCATTCAACATTAGTCGTGCGCCAAATGAGAAAGTTGGTCCGCAAAGGCTGCGAAACAAATAGCCACAGAGCACAATGCAGATTTACACGATGTGTATGTCCGAAGGTCTCATCGAATTCTCTAACTCTGAAGATGCCATTTCTTGAGCAGATCACTGTCGACGGATTGTTAGTTGGGTTAGTTGGTTCTGGTCTATGAGATTCAACAAAATAGAGGTTTTTGACAATTAAACAAAGAGCGAACCCGTGTCTTTATAGCTGCCGTGAACTCTCATCAAGTTAGAAACGATCTTGGACCTCAATCCTCAAGAACTCAACCAAACTGACTCTGTAACAGACGAGACAAACGAGATTGACAAGATTGACGATACGATCATGTTGCAAACATCTGACCTACATATCCGATATTTGATAAATTTCTCGAAAGCCCCCTAAGCTACCTGGTTTAAAACATAGGGTTTTGGTTGTAAACCTCCTCAATAAACTCGTGCCTTTTCACAGCCTCCTCAAAATCACAAAGAATACTTTTGTTGCCTGCAGCAATTGCCTCGTAGATACGAGCCATGTTCCTATGCATCGGACTCAGTTCGGCAAAAGTCCCTTTCTGAAACTCGATTTTCTCCACTTTATCGGTATTAAAGTCATGAAGTTCAAAGCTAGTTGTACCGGAGACCTCGATAAAGGAATTGGGACCCGATATTCTGATCTCGCCCTTCTCGCCGTAGATACTCCACTCAAGTCCGGGAGATCCTTTGAATGGTGCTCCGCCCCGAATAGAGGCTGAAAACACAGCTCCTGATATCAGCGTACCTTGGATCATAACATGGTCTGGGTTTGTCTTCTCGGTGTTCTCTTTGACAACGGAACCGTCGGATTTCACAATTTTGACGACAGGACGTTGGTTCGAAAGGAGTGATTGAAAACTTGAGAACTCGCCAAGAGCTGCAATAGATCAGTACATGCCAAGGAGGGGCGAATGCTCAGAGGCTTAAGGGTTACTGAAGACAAACCTTCACAAACAGTGTCAATCAAATGTAAGCAGGGAATTGTAAGTAAGGATCCACCACTATTTCGGTCCAGGAGATATGTCTGAGACTCAAGCTCCGTTTGTCCACCAATCAAGCCTTGACCGGTGATTGTGGTGCTAAGGACTTTGCCAATTCTCCCCTCTGCTAGTACGCTTTTCAAGGTTTCCACGGTAGCTTCAAAACGGCCCTGGAGCCCGACCGCAGCGAGTTTGACATTGTTCTGTTTTGCGACAATGAGGAGCTCTTTCGCCTCCTCAAGGTTCCGCCCAAGCGGCCACTCGACAAAGACATTTTTGCCAGCCTTCAGAGAAGGAAGAATAGACGTGTAGTGACGGTCCACGCGGGTAGCACAGACAACAAGATCGACATCTTTATCATAAGCAATGTCTAGTGACTGGTGTCAGTGACGCTATCTTGCCCTAAGTCGGGAGTACGAAAAAGAAACATGATCCCATACCTTGCACATTTCCGTAAGTCTTCACTCCCTCTGCCAGCCCTAGATCTTTGACACTCTTCGCAGCACTTTCGACCGAAGAGTTACAAATAGCCACAATCTCGAATTTTGAGTCAGGCATCTGCAGATAGGGTAAGTGAGCATTAGCTGCCCAAGCACCAGGGGAAAGCCCTATAATACCAACGCGAATTGGCGCCATGGTATTTGAATAAAGAATAACACAGTGAATGTCTGACAGAGGAGTACGGAAAATTCAGAGAATGGAACGAGGGCGGGCCGACCCTGCATTCTGGAGGGATAGGTACAAGCCTAGCTGAGCTGTCCCATCAATATGCCTGTTTCTGGTGCCGATCTGTAGGAGACCCGGTGGGAGGCCCGGTGGGAGACCGGTGAGTGACCGGCAGCTTAGAAATATTGCCCTGTAAGCAGCCAATAGCGGGATGCTAGGCAACGACGAGCAGAAAATATCTTATTGTCATCTACTCCACGGCTGGTAGCGGAAGAGACCTTCCAGTATTGGGTGGATGAAGAATTCTTGGCAAGCCTCCGACGGGGATCGTGGATAGACGGACAGAAACACAGCACAAAAAGAAACAGAGATTTGGACACCTACAGTTTAGTTTGTCCAAGAAACTTCTTGACTCCTTCCGCTGTAAGCTCAATCAAGGGAACCGGAGGTCCGCCGTGGGGATCCTTTTGGAGAAAGATCTGAAGGTCCTTGCACTGGAGACTTAAAAGCGCGCTCCGCCGACACACGGTAAACATAGCTAGCGAGTTGAACACACATACTTGGATGCGCTGGAACCCTAGGTGGAACTTCTTCTCCTAAGTCGAGAGAATAGTTTCGTTGAATGGACCGATATACACCGGTATCTTCTTTGCGGGCTGGGTATCTAGCCCATTCTCGTGGACAAGATATTTGAGTCCATTCTTCTCTTTGAGTGGCCCAGCAGACTTAGTTAAACAGGCCGTAGATAAAATATATCAATTATCTAGAATTGGTTTGACTATGCAAGCTGCTAACAGCCATAACTGTGAGTTCGCACCGCTGTCTGCTAGGAGATCTCTGGTGGGACATTTCTGCTTGAACAAATAAATGTCAACCGCGGATCAGCAAATAGTCCAACCGCCAGTGAACGCACTGTTGGCGGGGCATCAACCATTGTCCTGTTGTCTTCTGTTATGACTGTACACAAATCCCGCGGCTAAGCCAGTAGCACTGCTAGACTGATGCCCTACTCAGGTAGACAAGAGCGAGAGCTGGCTAAAGGCATTGGAGATTTTTCAAAAGCCGAATGACGCTGTCTCTTCATGTAACTGATCTGAGTACGTGATATTGGAAGTTTGACGATGCAGCTTTTGTGTAGCAGAGAACTTTAATTTAGCGATGAGCAGACGAGCGGTCATCGCAGTGGCTCGCTGGATGGGAATGGTTTCGTCACAACACTTGACGTAGGCATCCTCAAGATGGCGGAGGAGTTCCTGAATATTATCCTGTCTCAAACCCATACCCACAGTGGCGTCTGGCGGGAAAGAGTGCTTTAGTGTACTGATATGACGGAACAATTTGAGTGCCTCTGCATTGAGGAGGGAAAACGACATCTCCGACCAACCAGTTCTCGGTGGCGGCAGCGTCCGCAAGTCACAGGAAAGATCGACGTCGTTTATGTTTAGTGGCAAAGACGTGTCCGATGTATCGCTGATTTCCCCCAACCCAACGCCATGGTTCTCCATGGATCGCCCTTCGGGGATACAAATGTATCACCAAAGGCGGCGGCGGAGTTCCGATTCCAAAGGGCTCAGTGAAAAATTCTTGCCATCTCGGTGTAAACCTAATGACTGTGCAAGGCGCAGAACAAGTCCATTTAGCGCCCACTCAGAGCGACTGCTATCGTATACCCGGAGGCTCGCCTTTTTGGAAGGAAACACGTTAGTGGTACCGCCTAGGAGAAGAGGGACCAGAGAGACAGACAAGATATAATGTGAGCACTTGTAACAAAGCAATAGCCAGTCTGTCTAGAAAGTTCGCCGCAGCAAGCGCCTGCTCAAGGCTTTCCCAGAAATTCTTAAGTAACTAAACCTTTGGGACGCCAAGCAGAAGAGCAGCATCGGCAGCTGTTAGACTGGTCATAGCAGCAAAATATATAGCGGAAAATAGAGCTTCAAAGTTCTTGCAAGAGAGACCTGGGTTATTTAAAGCAGAATACAGTGTGGCGTGTACTGAAGGAATGTGCAATATTTTGATAACAGGATCAACGTTCTTGCAGAAAACTCGCCATAGCTCTAATGCTTGCCAAGGGCTTGGAGATACACAGACTCCGTAGTCAGTTCCATATGGGACTGAGTACGCATTTAGAGATTTCAATCGAAGGCAGTGAGCCACTGTGTCAGTACTTGGCTCATCAGGGTCAGTGGCTTCCAACAGGGACTGGAGTTCTAGTTCCTTATTCAGACAAACTACTTAGCTCACACGGATCATAGGGCATATTGAGGCGTTTCTCGTACCTGAGATAGAATCTGTTGAAGAAGCGCCTCGTTGAAATACCGGCTCGTTTCGCCGTCTTTTGACAGGACGCCAGCAGCCTCATACTCGAGATTACTTGACAGTTGAGGGTCGCAACCAATGCTGTCCGCTGATTGCCCTGGAGAAAATGCGGCAATGGTTCTCTCCACTCGGCTGATACGGCGCAGGATTTCTTCCATGGCGGGTTCCTTCGTCTGTCGGGATCGTTTACGCCGCTCGGGGTAGATACATAGGATATCTGCACGGGAGCAGTTTGAGCAAGGGTGCGCCCTGTCGCATCGTACCTTCCGACGACGGCAGAGTGCGCATGAAATGTCCATCTTCGTAGAATGAGGTTGCGCCCCTGCAGGGCGGCCTCTGTCTAAACCTGACGATTTGAACGCGTCCCCTTCGATGTTTTCCATGGTTGACGAAGGGAATATTGGGTTTCCACAACAGAAAGGAGCGTTATGATATGCACGGCTACAATGGGAGCTGAATATCTTCAGCAGTAGCGCATTGCACTGAGGAAGCAACTAGCGACCGCCACAGAGGATGCAACACAGCACTGTCCGCAGTGGCAAACCGCCGGAAGCTTGTGGGCCAGACTTCAAGTGCGGGGCTCTTCATACGGAGTAGTACTCGGAGTACTTACTTATCGAACGACCTTCTCTAGTGTAATGCGGTGTCTCGGACTCACGGAGAGTCCGAGACGGCACGGGCTGGGGTACCAAGGTAGCCACAGTCGCCAAGCCGAAGTCCAGCCGTTTGCGCCAATTGTTATGTTCCCTTCGTATTTGGTGAATACTTGGCCTCCGGTCTCGAAGTGTTTCAGCTCAAGCGCTCGCTTCGCGCAATATGCTTTGGTCAGCTAGACTGCCTCATGGGCAGCGAGAAGAACGGCCTTTTTCGATCTGAGGCTGTTTCGGTCGGATGATAATCATGGGCCCGACCTGTTTTGACGTGATGCGCAGCTTCCATAGCCCGAGGGACCGAGCCCACAAGCTGCCTACCGTTTCCCAGCAAAGTAGTCGTATGAAGGACGGCTATGGCTCGTCAGGGATGCTCAGTGCGAATTGTCCTGCTTATATCTAACCCTGTAACCAGCCAAACGCCCTTGAACAGGGACATGGACGGAGCGAAAATGATCATGAGGGTGAGCAGGATGTCCCTACTATAGGTAAGGAGCTTGCTACTCCTCGCCGATATCTTGTGGGACCTTCTATTTATATAATTGTCCAGACACAGCGATTTCCTCGGGACGCTGGAGCCACCCCGACGGGCCTTGGAATCAGGAAGACATCTCATCCGCTCCTATGCTTATGGATATCCTCGACAGTACCGACTCGTTGTACCCTTACACCCACACTTCCATCGATGGAACCATCAACCATGATCCGGGCGACCTGGAAGGCGCCTTTCACGCCCTGTCCGATTCAGTACCTCACTACAACCTGTGCAGCGGTGGCGCCAATACCTCGGGCCTGATCACACCCACATTGACCAACCGCAGTACCTGGCTGGACGCACCGGATGAGACCAGAACAGGAGCGGCGACCCCGACGGCCCTTGCTCTGGCAGACCTGCAACAGTCCTCGCTGGAAGGATTCCAACCGCGCACGACCGCCCTCCAACGCCCCGCCGAAGCCGACCCGCCACGAGCTGGTGCCGGCGATTCACACCGACGCTGGCTGCTGAAGATTATTGACATCAATGTCCAGCTCTTCAATCACCTGCAAGCCTCAACTGGCCCGTCTGGCCCTCTCCGGAATCGAGACCAGCTGAGGGATCGTTCTGGCCCAAGAAGCAGCAGGAGTAGCACCCTCGATGACGCCATCGGTCTATCAATGCGACTGTTTGAACTTCTCCGTGAGCTGAGCGACTTATACGGTGAAGAGACAGACGGCCAAAGCACTCCCTATGACGAGGAGATGGCCAGACGAGGAGGCGGAGGAGCAGAAGGTCCAACCTGCCCTCTCGATCCGGGATCGGTGCTCATGATCCTCTCGTCCTACATGCGCGTCCTTGAGGCCTTGTCCGACCTGCTACAAGCGGTGAACCAGTCCACAGCAGACGGCGCCTCGGCCCATGCGCGACTCGACCTCCCCATGATTACCTTGGGAGCCACGACGCTGAATCAGCACCCGCGTCTCTGCCTGGTCGTTTTCCTAGAGACAGTGGAATACATGCTTGGGAGTATGAGTGAGCACCTGGGCTGTATTGTGCGCTCGACCGGGAGGTCCCTACGTGCTGGCAGCGGCGGGATTGTCTCCTGGCGGCTGGGAGGGTCGCTAGAGAGCTCGCTGCGCGACTTTCGGGTGAGGGAGGGATGTATTTTCAAGGAGATTGCGGGAATTCGAGCCCGAATGGGGGTCAAAAAGCCGGGGTCTCTAGACAGAGGGTAGAATGTTATGATTAGACTTAATGCATTTGGACGCTATGTTTACAACTAATCTGTACATGTCTATGAATCTTGGTTTCTATCCAGTATATCATCATCATCATCATCGTTGTCCTCGTCCTCGTCCTCGTTTTCGACATATGAGGCATCAATTCATCCGGGCTCACGTTAAATCCAGCTTAACTCCGTCAAGTATTAATCCCGGTAGAATCCGAGATCACTACTGCCCTGCACTCGGGTCCCAACTACGTCTGGTTTCTGAATGGCTACCTTCTTACTTCGTAAGTCTTCACATCCTCGTTTTGATCCAGGCTCCTAACGCGTGCGTAGAACCGTTTTTATTCCTTTCTACGGTCAATTCGCCCAGGTTTTCGGACGCAAGTGGCCCACCATGGTGGCCTGTCCATCTTTACCCTGGGCAGTGGCATCAGCGGCGGTGCCAATTCCACCGCGATGCTCATTGCAGGACGACTCGTGCAGGGCCTCGGGGGTGCGGGCATCGGGTCCATGACAAACCTGATCATCAGCGATCTCGTCTCTGTCCGCGAGCGGGGCAAGTATCAGGGCATTATCTTCGGCACGTTTGGGATTGGTATCTCCATTGGCCCAGTGATCGGGGGGGCCATTGCGCAAAGCGGACACTGGCGATGGGTGTTCTGGCTGAACCTGCCTCTGGGAGGTGTGACACTGCTACTGCAGTTGATCTTTCTGCAAATCACTTACCGGAAGATCTTTACCTTCAAGCAGAAGATCAAGCAGATCGACTGGATCGGGAATCTGCTGCTAATCGGGTCGATGGTTGCCATCCTCATCGCCCTTTCCTGGGCAGACACCAGGTACGCATGGTCGAGCTGGCACATTCTCGTCCCCTTGCTTGTTGGCTTTGGCGGGATGTTTGCCTTTCATGCCTTTGAGGCAACCAAATGGTGCAAGGTGCCGACGATCCCCGGCCGCCTGTTCACCAACCGCACCAGCGCCGTCTGTCTCATCAACACCTTCCTCTCCTCCATGCTCACCTTCTGGCGCGTCTACTTCCTCCCCCTCTACTTCCAGGGCGTTCTGCTCGCCTCCCCACAACGGTCCGGCGTACTCCTGCCCAGCGTCCTCACCGCAGCGCCGGCAGCCATCCTATCCGGCTTCGCCCTCTCCCGCTGGGGCCGATACAAACCCATCCATCTGAGCGGGTACGCGCTCATGACCCTCGCCACAGGCCTGTACATCGACCTCGACGCCCACTCCAGCATGGCCAAGATCGTCATCTACCAGATCATCGCCGGCGTCGGCGGCGGCATCCTCCTAACCACCTTCCTGCCCGCGGTGCAGGGCGCGCTCCCGCAGTCGGACGTCGCGCCCGCCAGCACCACATGGGCCTACCTGCGCGCGTTCGGGAGTATCTGGGGCATCGCAATTCCCGCGGCGATCTTCAACAGCCGCTTTGCGTACCATGCGCGTGCTGTCAGCGATGAGGGGATCCGGCGCGCCCTGTCGGGCGGGAATGCCTACGCGCATGTCTCGAACCGGTATATTTCGGGACTCCCCCAGGAGACTCGCGATGAGGTTGTCGGTGCGTATCTGGCGGCCTTGAAGAACGTGTGGCAGGTTTGTATCGGGTTTTGCGGGCTGGCGTTTCTGCTTACCTTGTTGGAGAAGGAGATCCCGATGCGCACGACGGTGCAGTCGGACTATGGATTGAAGGAGAAGAAGGGGAGGGGTGGGCCGGGGATTGCAGAGGGTAAATCTGAGAACCAGATTCCTGTTGTATCCGGGGGAAATAAATGAACAGCAGTTGGCATTCCCTTTGGGAATACAACCACTCTATTCTACTTTTAACGCAGCGATTATCGCCATGAAAGAGACAATCTTGCATCTTCGGACACATCAAGGTAGACCTTGCGCAGGGGACATACCTTTTCCTCAGGCGGAATCCTGGACGCTTCTGACATCGATAACCGTTGTTTGCTTCCATTCTTTTGGACCCTGTTACGAAGATTATCTTCTCCATAATATTACGCTCCTTTCGCCACACTTTCATAGATATGGAACTGACGGGCTGTGGTATACGAGCCTATATGAAGATCCAAGATGGAGTGCGGAATACTAGCTCATATAGGTCGGCCCAGCGAGCTTATTTAAGAATCTGACAGGATCGTGATTAACAACAAGCTATTACCCCTAGAGCAAGGCTTATTTGAGTGACCTACCCACTTCTTGTACTTTGTGCTGCTATGTATATCCCCAGATCAGTACCGTACCTCCATTGAATGCCTTAATAAATCTTTAAACACCTATCATCTATGCATCTAACCAGTCTTACCTTCTCAGGGCCTTGGCGTCTCCCACTTTCAATTTAACCAATATTCTCCTCAAAGCTGCAAAAGCTGCAAAACTGACATAGTTATGCTGCTTTTAGAGCTCTAGCTCCAAGATACCAGACACTTCTGGTAATTGCCCCTTTATTTGTGTATCACTGGTTGAGTATGTTTAACCCGATCTCTACCACCAACTCTCCATCATTTCTACGTCAGGTCATTGATGGCATGCTGATTCCCTGGTAGATCTATAGTTACCATGACCGAAGATCATTCTCCCTTACAGCTAAGCACGGTTCTCGTGACTGGTGGCAGTGGTGGTCTTGCCAGCCAGATCCTCCAGCTCTTCTCCCAGCGTGGCTGCAAAAGTCTACACTCGATTGGCCTTCGGCAGCCTTCTCATCTTCTCAATGGCGTTACATACATTTAGGAGACCTGACAGACGTCCACGCGATGCGCCAGATCTTCCACGAGGTCAAACCTGACGTCGTAATACACACCGCAAGTCCCAAATTCGACACACCAAATCATATCATGTATAAAGTCAACGTTGAGGGCACTAAGAACTTGGTCCAGATTGCGCAAGGGTCTGGAACACATTCCTTTGTCTACACGAGCTCTGCGAGCGTTATCAGCGACGCGAAGTCTGATCTGAAGAATGCCGATGAAACCTACCCCGTCATCCTTGGCGACCAGCAACCAGAATTCTATGTTCACACCAAAGCTCTTGCTGAGACATATGTGCTTTCACAGAATCGTCGATCGGGAGACACATCGCCCCATTTCCTGACCTGCGCGATCCGGCCTTCTGGTATTTTTGGGGTTGGCGACCTGGTCGTGCTCTCTGGTATTCTGAATGCTTATTTCAGAGGTCAGACGAAGGTGCAGATCGGTGATAACAAAAACTTGTTCGACTTTACTGAGAACACGAACGTGGCGTACGGTCACTACCTTGCTGCCACCGCGCTGGTCGGATGCCAAAAAGACTTGCCTGGGGACGACACCAAGGTGGATGGTGAGGCCTTTTTCATCACCAACGACGAACCTCGATGCTTCTGGGACTTTACGCGCCTGGTTTGGGGGTATGCAGGGGACACAACGCGCCCGGAACAAGTATGGGTGATCAGTCGAACATGGGCGTTGCTGCTGGCAGGATTGTTGGAGTGGATTTTCTGGGCTCTTTGCCTAGGCCAAGCACCTCTGACAAGGACCAAAGTTCGGCTCAGCTGCATGACAAGGTATTTCTGCATTGACAAGGCGAAGAAGAGACTCGGGTATAAGCCTCTGGTAGGGCTTGAGGACAGGCTAAGGACTGCGGTTGAAGATTGCCTTAGACGGCGGATGGCAGCACAGAGCACCCCTCTAAACCCAAGCAAGGGGAAGGAAAAGGGGCAATGAGTCCAGCCTTGTGTATCTCTTCAGAAATGATAACCAGGCTGTATCATGTACGATTATGGTTACCTTACGGAGGCGTGTTTCTTTTCTTAGACATACCTTTTAATTGCAGATCATTTGACCTCAGTTTGAGCTTCGTACAGGGACGTGTACCTAGCTAAAGGTGCTTCGCTTCGCTTCACAATGATAAGGTGCCAGGCAGTCTGAAAGCGCACACGTAATGAATATATACATAGACTTACTCTGAACAATCTTTGACATAACTTGTCAACATAACTGTCCCACTCTGCTCCGGTAGTCAGGCTCTCAAACCAGGCTATGTCTACGCGCCATGTAATGGAGAATACTTTTATTACGGACAGTGATGGTCGCGAGTACTTACTGCGTGCTGGGTCTATCGTTGTGATGCCTGCTACCGCTCATATGGAGGGAGACGTGTGGGGAATCAACAAGATTGACTTTGACCCCGAACGCTTCCTCGATTGGGAGGACCACAAGGCTAGCCGGGATCGAAGGTTGATCTACATGCCGTTTGGCGGTGGGAGGCATCTTTGCCCTGGGCGAAACCTTGCTAAAGCGGAGATTCTGGGCTTCATAGTGATGCTCATACTTTCTTTCGATATGGAAGATGGCGCAAACCTAGAGCAGCCGATACGCGTTCCCACATTGGAACCAGCGCGACTTGGCCAAGGAGTCGGGAAGCCTGTTTACCTCAGGACTGGAGATAAGTTTCCTGTGCGACTGAGGACAAGGAAGGGGTTGGAGAGCGTCAACTGGCGGTTTCTGGCATAGAAATATCGTAGCTACTCCTAAAATCACGGAATTGACGTGCCATCCGGCACTGGGCAATTCCTATCACCCCTAGGCCTACCATAGCCGAATTGAATGGGCTTAGGCGTTAAGCTACTGACAATCCGAGGGATTTTCCATCACTAATTCATCACTGACACTGTGCGAGTACAGAGCTCAAGTGAATTCGACGTGCATTAGTAGAGACCGAGCAGCGGAGGTGGGGATGAACGGCGGCCCAGTATAATATTGAGGCGCGGCTCGCATGTAACGGACGACCCGGTTTAGTAAAAGACATAGAACCTTTGTTGCGAGCCGATAGCTCCACGGAGATACAAGATGTAGTCTTGACGTGATACGCAATATCCTGGCCAGTCGGCTATAGATTGTGGGGGGCCTGATTATAACCTGCCCGCCCAAACAGGCTGTATGCAGTACTTTGCTATCTGTTTGAAAGAAAACGCCGCCAATTATATAGCTCGAAATTGTCTTCTGGGTTGTCCTCACACTCGTAGTGTACTTGAGTGTTAGTGTGTCCTCCATCCCCCTTCGCCTTATCCACCGATCCATGTGTAATGTCAGTGGTAACACAGTATTACACTACGCTAGGAATAATTGTCTAGGGTCGAGTGGTCTTATGATTGACAGTTGGATAGTAGTGGGTAGGCTTCAAACAAGAATACTCCGTTCGAGATCGTCCACCACGCGAGGCATATCTAAATCATGACCTAGATTGCACGGCGCAAGACGAACTTTCGAGACATGCATCTCGAGTACTCCACCACCGGTTGGGATGAAGCCTACGGCCTAGGCTGTGTTGCGCCGAGGCATTATCAGCAAAGTGCTCCAGAAACAGATTTGTAAAATTACCCATGATTCAACAAAGTTTTCATCTTGCAACACAGAGTATGGCACGCACAATTCTCACATTAACCAGAGAAGGCTGTGACGGAGTGCCGTACCAGACTTATCAGGGTTTTGATGTGATGCTACCTTTTTGACCATGGGTCCAGTTGCTAGCCATTCTACTTAGTGATCCCACAGCTGGCCTATCCTAGACGTACTAGCTATGATTCTTCCACAGAAGTCTAATATAAGATGATCTAGGGACTATCGGCGCAATGAGTAATGGAAAGCTTAAAGTCATAAAGTTGAATCACTTCCTTTACACTGTTTGTAAGGTCCATTACCGTTATTTCTGTTTGACCCAGCACCGCCAACATTCTCTATTTAACCAAATAGCATATCGCACTGTGTAAAGCAGATATGGGATTGATTTCCCTGCTTGTGCTATCCATCGTAATCTACTGCGTCTTGAGACTACTGGAGGTGAAAAGGTGCAAGAATGTAGCCACAGAGGCCCCTACCATCTATGGTTGGATTCCCATTTTTGGGCACGCTCTGGGGCTGCTACAATATGGCGTTTCCTATTACCGTATGTTGAGGTGAGTGATTCTAAGTAAGCAGTTTACTCTCATACCTGACAGTGGTCATATAGGGAGACAACCAATATGCCCATATTCACACTGTTCCTAGGATTTCAAAAAGTATATGTCGTCAACTCGCCGGCACTCATTTCCCAGATAAATCACCATCAAAAGGTCATCGACAGCAATCCTCCCTTTCTGATCATTGTCATGGGGAAACTCTTTGATTTCCACAAAGACGATCTGGCCGAGCTGATGAGGAACCCCAATGAGACCGGGTCGCTTCGACGGGAAACGAGGACAGTTGAGCACAGTCTGCTCGAGCGTGGGGCAGCGCCTCTCCATGAGATCTTTACGGCAATGATTCAGGAAGTGGCTCTTAGGCTAAACAGTCTGGCAAGCAAAGGCCCCGCCACAATAAAACTTAAGTGTTGGCTTCGAGAGACGATTACCACGTGTACCGCCCAAGCTACCTTTGGGCCCCATAACCCCTTTGCACAAAATCAGAGCCTTCTCAACGACTTTTGGTACGTTTCAAAAGCCAGGGTTGAATAATGGAGAGACCCCCTGACTCACACAAAACAGGCATTTTGAGAGTGGGATCAAAGGGCTCACAATGGGCATATTCCCAACATTGACAGCGTCAGGGCCAGCAAGAGCCCGGCATCGGCTGGTGCAAGCCTTTCATCGCTTTGTCCAAGGCAGCTTTATTAAGAGAGAAGAGACCTGCGAGCTCGTCCGACAGATCGGTGAGGTAGCACATCGGCACAACCGGGGCACTGACTACCTCGCTCGATACTACTTTGGTGTTTTCAGTGCCTTCCTCCTGAACACTGTCCCAGTCACTTTCTGGACTATCTCACACATCATCAAGAATCCAGATTTACTAGCTCGTATTCGTACAGAGCTGGAGGATGTCGTTCAGGAGTTTGTAGATGCTGATGGCATCAGAACGAGGGTCCTGCATATTTCCACGATTAGGGAGCGATGTCCGCTTCTTCTATCGACTTTCCATGAAATCTTACGCTATGTGGGTGCTTCAACTAGTACACTGGTCGTACATGAAGACGTATGGCTGGATGACACATATTTGCTCACCAAAGGCTCCCTTGTGCAAATTCCCGCGACAGCAATCCACTCCGATCCCAATATATGGGGACCCGATGCGGCGAATTTCGATCCTGAAAGGTTGCATGCCGCGCCAAATAAAGTACATCCATCTGCCAACCGGACTTTTGGAGGTGGCAATACCCTCTGCCCCGGCAGACACCTGGCTTCGGACGAAGTTCTTGAAATCACTGCGATGTTTTTGTCTACGTTTGATATGGGCTTTGAGGCGAAGCCAAGTTGGCCGCGACGGGACGAAACGAATATGTTGTCGGTCATTAAGCCAAGGGATGACTTATCGCTCAATTTGACGCGTTACCCTCATATGGAAAAGGTCCTTTGGGGGTTTGAGACATCCTGACTCGGAAAATGCGGCAAATTTCAGGCTTATCCCCTGTCTGGCACAGTGGCACTAAGAGCCATTCTAGCACGGTGCATTAGCACATGCATGAGACAGATAGTCGGTATTAAGCTTTACACAAATACGTCTCTTTGTAGTCTGTAATGCAATAAAAGCGCTCGGTGTCAGTGAGGCAAATATGGACTGTCTTATCCAATTCTGGATACCATCATCCATGTAATATGCCCCACCAAGTGGTTGCATACTTGCAAATTAGTTAGGCCCCCAAGGTCACAAGCTAGCATGATTATGGTGTATATCACTAAGTAATATATTCTTCCAGGATTAAGTCAATGATAGGATGTTGATCTGTTAATGTAAACAACCGTCACACAAAAATAACCCACTGCCTCCGTGCTTAATATGTTATACTTATATATCAGCTCTTAAGCATCAGCACCTATTGTGGTTTAAACTTCATTCTACTAAGTTATATGGTATGGCAGTACAAGAAATTATCACAATACTTTTAAAGCATATACACTCAGCAGGCTTAATGGCATGGCTATTACTTGTGCTTTTTGTGGGTAGTGTCATGTTGACAATCAGGAAGTCATTGTCCACCAATGGTGCGAGTCACATACCACTCATCGATCCACGAAAGTCCTATGACATCGGCGGGATATACGCCAAAATTGACTTCATCCTTCACGCTCGAAGATTACTTGCGCTTGGGGTCAGCTCTGGGCGGCCCTTTCGGCTGTTGACCGATCTTGGGGAGATGATCGTATTGCCAGCGTGTTTCGCCGCCGAGATTCGCAGTGATCATCGACTGAGCTTTGCTGAGGTTATTGAGCAGGTATGCCTATAGACACGGAGTACACTGGCAATACCTTCATATATATATAGATAAAATTTTTTTTTTTTTTTGGCGTAAGGTGATCCCAAACTGATTGCGAATACGGGATCTAGAACTTCCACTCGCGGTTCCCGGGCTTCGAAGGATTCCGTATGGGGACCACCGATGCTCTTCTCAGTCGTGATATTGCAAACAACCAGCTCACGCATACTCTCGGTATGTACTATCCTGCAGAGACATATATAGGTCTTGCTCATGAGGGTAAGAATACATTAGAGAAGATAAGCTAACCTGTTTCTAAAAAAGCTAAGGTTACTCAAGCCCTCTCAGATGAGTGTGCCGCTGCACTGAATGATCACTTTCCGGCCAAAGAAGGTCTGTGTGAACCCTGAGGTACATTAATCCTGTTTTCAGCAGAGACTGACCAGAAAATCGCATGCCAGAATGGAGTGATATCTGCCTGCGGGAGCACGTTTTACAGCTCGTTGCCCGACTCTCGTCCCGCGTTTTCCTTGGCGATGAGGGCGCCAACAACAGAGCCTGGCTCAGGATCACAACTGAATACACTAAAACAGCGTATATTGCCGCATATATGCTGCGACTGTGGCCGCCTTTTCTTCGGCCCTTCGCGCACTGGTTCCTCCCGCATTGTCAAAAGTTGCGCGGTCAGGTAGCTGAGGCGCGACGCATCATCACCGGGGTCATTGAGAGGCGCCGGGAGAGCATAGCGGCTGCAGAGCTGGCCGGCCAGCAGATCCCTCAATATAACGATGCAATCGAGTGGTTCGAGCAAGACGTTGCAAAGCAGGACGGCCGGTATGACCCCGTCGTGGCACAGCTCATCTTGGCTCAGGCGGCGATTGAGACGACAACGGATCTTCTGACGCAGGTTATTCTTGACCTGGCACAACACCCTGAGCTGGCAGACCCTCTAAGAGAAGAAGTCACCAAGATTATCCGCGAGGGAGGCTGGCGAAAATCGTCATTATACGAAATGAAATTGCTAGACAGCGTCCTGAAAGAAAGTCAGCGTCTCAAGCCATTAGCCATGAGTACGAGACGCTTCTTAGCTTCCCAAGCAACTATAGATCCGTTACAGTAATAAGACTGACAATATATCAGCATCGATGCATCGACTTGTTCTCGAAGATATCACCCTGTCAGATGGAACTCGTCTACCCAAAGGAAGCGTCATTGGAGTCTCTGTGGACCGCATGTGGGACCCCAGCGTTCACGAGAATCCGACTCAGTTTGATGGTTTCAGATTTCAGCGGATGCGCGATCATCCTGGTGGCACAGCCAACCAGGCTCACCTAGTCAGCACAAGTGTGAACCATCTGGCGTTCGGCCACGGGAAGCACGCATGTGCCGGTCGCTTCTTCGTTGCCCACGAGACCAAAATAGCGCTGACCCATTTATTGCTCAAGTACGACTGGAGAATTGCTTCGTCTTCTATTGATGCGAGACCCATGGAATTCGGACTCGTGCTTCAGGCCAATCCAAAAGCCAAGATCTCTATTCGGGCACGGCAACCGGACAGCGAAGGGCCCATTCGAGCTTGAATGACCGTAGCGTCAAGATTTGTATCATTTTGCGTGTCCAGAAACCTTTCTGATTCCCGTTCATCTCTATTTGCAAGCACAGCATGCCCCCTAAACCTCCGTCGAGACAGTCTCCCCACAATGCCCTCCAGGATCTATCCATCTTCCTCCTTTGAATCTATGTCAAACCGGCGTGAAGCCTGTGGACCAAGCCCAGCTGACTCAATCGATGTGTACTCAGTAAACCCAAGGCAGTATTCTCCATCTAACGATCCTCTTGTACTCCTTCCAGTCTTCACCATACTTCTTCGCACACATGGCATCGTCTCGACGTTCGCGGTGTATTAGCAAGATTGCAAAGTAGAGGACATAGAAGTAGGTGAAGATCATTCCCCAGCCGGTCGCCGGTCCTTGGATAGCCACGCGCCCATCCAGCATAGGAACCGCCTGCGAGGCATCAGCTAATACACTGCCCGCCGGTAAAATTATGTAGCCAGCGAGTCCCGTAGGTAGGCTGAAGGGTAGTGCCTGCAGCCAGTCCCCAAAGTAGTTGATATGTCTGGAGACACCCCACCACCCGGCTGTGAGGAGCCGTGTTCCCCTTTTGGTTTGAATGTAGGATAAATTGGCCATGGCTGGGTTGTTTGGCTGCGTGCGGAAAGCGTGCTTTTGATTATTAGCGGCCTTGAAGATAAAGATGCCTAGTGCAAATATAGCACTGACCGCCGCAATCCTCAGCCAGCCAAGATGCACAGGATAGGCCGAGAGGTAGCGGCATTGTGTTGAGTAAAGGAAAGGTACCCAGACGAGGTCACCGAATGAGAGCATGAAGCCCATGCCGTCAGTAGTAATATCCATCATAGTCAGAATGCTGGATTCGTTATATTGGCTGCTCAGAACATAATATGCTTGTACGGCAGTCGTGAACATGATGCTATCAGAGACATAACCATAGTTGCGATACTGCTTGGCTAGAAAGGCAAGATCAAGCAGGATCCACCCAGTCAGACCAGGACAGACTTCGCACCAGGTCTTGATGTCGACTTCCCCGAAGATCGGCAGAGTGACGCGAGGATTAAGCTCCCGCCCAATGAAGAAGTCATAGATCAGATTACCGGTAGCACCGCCGGCAGCCAACTCTCGAAGGTCCCGGTTTGGATAATTAGTGTCCACGGTAAAACTATAGGCATAAAGGAAAGCGGAGAGTGCATAGGAGATGAGGATGTTCGCTGTCAAAAGCTGGACATAGTTGTCGGTGATGTAAGACCAGAGGGGGAAGTCGACGCCTTGAAGGCAGGTCCCTGCAGCACAGATGGCTAGAGTAACCACACTTGCAGGGAATGCTTGAGGGTTCTTAGTCTATGCAAATGATCAGAAGAGTATGTGGCGGGGTTCATATTTACCATTGAATCGGTACGATAGTGGACGGCCATGGTGTATCAGCTTAGTGCCGCATACTTGTTCGGCAGGAAGAATTCTCCAGAGAAGTAGCCCCCAAATATAGTAGGAGAGAGTAATAAAAGTCACTTCCCAGCTGAAGAAATTCGTCAGACTCACATCTGCTTTCACCTTTTCCCAGGTCAGGGAGCGAATGTGCAGAAGGGATGGGATTGGACAGCCAGCAACATCATTACAAGCAAACGTAAAGATGTACAGCAGCAATGGCAAGCCAAAGGTGATGGCCGCGGCACCCAGGCTGTATGAGACCAAGATGTTAGCTCTAAGTTTAAACTTGAATGAAGATGGTGTTCGCTTACGGCCCACCAAACTCGTATTCGGCTCTCATTGAGAAGTTCAATCCTATCAGATGCGTTTCACGAAGTTTTGAATTGCGTAGGAGTTGCGATCAGGGACGGCTTCCTTCAGGGATTCCTGAGGGAAGAATCCCTTCTTAAAAACAATTCCTGGACGTGGCCGTATCATGTAATCACTAGTCATACCCCTGGCCAATAAAAAAAGTCGTAGCAAAAGTACTTTCCCCGCCTTGTTTGGAATAGCGTACGGGCAGCAGGAATATTGTGTTGACGCGTACTTGCGTCAAGTTTGTGCTTTTCGCGCACCTCTGCACTGTTGACTCTAGCCTTACAGAATACTGTTATGTCTTGGCATCCGGGAGAAGTGCCTCTCGTCGTTCTCCACGGTAGATCAAAAGACAGAAAAATTGAAACAGAGAAACCCGAGAAATAAGGTATGTTGATGGCACGTATCCCTGGTACATACAAGCTGACAGGCCCTGTAGTACAGAAAGTGAAACGCGAAAACAGAGACCAGAAACCTATGGGATAGTAGGAGCAGAGCACCCAGCAACCGAAGGTAGTTTACTTACAGAAAAGGATGCTTGTAGAATCCCAATTTTCGCATCAGTCGTTCGGGAAAGACTAAAAGGAGAGGGTTGCAGCTATTTCCACTTCTTGAGACGACATCGAGTGAGGACGGGCTGAAATTTTGGCCGCATTAGACGTCGGTATTGTAAGAGACATTTCCTAGGTTATCGATTAGAATGTACACAGCGCAACATGTAGGTACAAGGCAAGACAGAATGAACTAGTACGTAGTAGCGAATTTTATGCGAAGTAGGAGCTTGCGGGCCTTAGAAAGGTGGCAGAGCAATACAAGATGGAGGCCTGAAGGAAGAGGCATCGAGGCTAAACTCAAAGAGGGCCTCTTGCGGAATCGGATGGATTATTCAGCAGTCACCAATCACCATAAGTTAGTAAATTATTAGAGTCGATTTCATGCCTGCCTGTCTGCAAAGGACAAAGAGAAAGACAAAGAGAAAGAAGGTCATCCTGCTCAGGACAACACAAAATGCCCATTTGCAATGTTCAAGGCTCTCCAGACAAGGAGATTGCTGAAACCATCAGAGATGATATTTTAAATCATTCAGACGATACTACATACGAAGCTCTCTTCATTACTGCTGGCCTTGTCAAGTATGACTACCACGTTACCTGTGAAAACTTCCCCGCTGTGTGCAAAGACCCAGCCTACATCAGAAGGATATCTGAGGGGCCTTTTAGTGGTGCATAACTGAGTTACAGCGCGGTTTCGGTAACTGCTCTGGAACATCAATACCAATGATGTGGGAAATATTCAGATCATGATTTATCAACAACCACCTTATCAAAAGCTTAGAAAACATAGACCAGGAATATTCACATGTAGTCTTAGATCATACTTAAATTAGAAGAAAAAATATGCTGAAATGCAGAAGTTAACAACATTCCACTAAATATAGAGTCTTTATCGGCTATAAGCCAATCACAGCAAGGAAATTAAGTATGGTATTGTTCAGAGCTGAAGGCTACCCTGGCTATAACTAGACTAGTATACAGAAGAACTCATTGAAGAAAGGAAAAGGGATAAACAATCAGGTGATGGTCTGGTGAGTAGCTTTTTCCTAGTTGGTTATCATGCACTTATGGCTTTTTCAAAGCATCTATCGCCTTGCTCAGTGAAGCGCCAGCTTATATCCACTGTTCCTCTAACTATGCTACTACTTTTTGATAGGGATCCCTAAAAGAAGGATTCTCAGCAGCAGCCAGTCTTCTAATCTTAGTAATGAGAGTCTTCCTTCAAGAATAGAACTGGCACTCAGCGGACTTTCAGGCCCTGAGCGCCAGCCAGAGCTATAGAGGTCATCGAGCCTCTCAATTAATGGTTGGCCCTTGAGCCTAACAGTCCACTCTTGCCACAGGTCTGGGATTGTTCAAATGGTCCTTGACATATGATATTGCGGTACCTGTGAGGCTTTCTTAAGTGCCATCACAGGCAGTTGAATAGGCACTGTAGGGCTAAAGGCAGCTCCTCCTACAGGAGGAGGAATAATCTGGCTTCTAGGTACAAACTGGCAGGTAAAGGTGCCACCAACAGAGTCGTTAATAGCACGGGTTAGTTGTTCTATTCAGCTTACCATTAAGCCCTCTAGTGAGCGGAGGGCTTAAGAATAGGTAACCTGTCCACTCTAAATAACTGCAGTCATTGTACAGAGCCAGTCATTCACAGCTAGGACTGCCTTTTGAATAGCAATAGAATGTGGATCTTCTTCCACAGCTGTAGTAATAGCCCCATGGACATCTAGCTCAAAGGCCTTGTACTCCGCTGTCTCCAAGAGGGGGTCTCGGAATATTGGGTGGCCAGGGAACTCCATCCACCAGAGTACAGAGTCCTGTAGGAATACAACCCTGAGCCTCTGCAAGAGCCGTAGAAATCCACCAGTAGCAAGGTTTGGCTCTACTCTTTCAGTCACATCTGCCCTTTCTAAATGTGCTGCTTGCCACCTATCCAGGTCTGGCCACACGCGATTTAACAATGCTAGTGGAGGGCAGATAGTCTCTTGAGGTAGGTAATAGCTTGATGACCAGTCAGGGTTAAAGTCAGCAATACCATGCATAAAGGCTTAAGGTAGAGTAGTCAAGTAACAGCCAGTCATTTGATCTGCATTCCAGCGACCACCACAGCGAATCTAGGGGCCAGAGGTTAGCTAAATAGATAGAAAATAGCAGAGCTTATTTACCTGATCTTCAGAGACCCTGTTTAGCTCAGCAAGCCTAGCCCCAGAGACCCATCCTGCGTGTGTCACCTTAGGGCTCTTGATCCCTGCCTCACTATATAAGCACTGGGTCCAGGATGCTGCTATGGTGTCGCTCAGGGATTCAGTAAGGTGGTTATTGTCTCTTTTAAGCACTTTGATATTGTACCAGTCTTGACTGGTCTAGAAACAAGGGAATGACTCTCCAGAACAGTGCCATCTCCAGAAGAAATAGGTGGCCAGAGCACCTATGAGACAGGACCGGTAGTCACGATGCTGTAGAGCGGCCCCCGACTTAAGTCAGCCATGTTGGTTTGTTTTACCCTGATCCAGCACAGTGACAAGGCACCAGCCTCTGCCTTTTGGCCCCTCATTAGGCAGGGACATTAAGAATAGATCTGGCAACTCCATCAGCAGGCAGTTGCTTAGCCTTAGAAGCATGGAGTTGCCAAAAAGAAAGCATAGCTATGTATGAAACTGCTGCTCAACCTGATTCTGCCCTAGGCACTAGCCCCAGACTTTTCTTGTAAGATCAGGTATCTGAGAGGCAACGTACCCATCTTGTATAGTAGTCAGCCCACAGTCTGTAAACTCATCGCGCCGGCGTTGGTGCTGGCCTTAGGCAATTGATGTCTTTAGAGTAGTCATAGCTACTCTCTATGGTCGCGCTGCATTATAGAGCCCTGATGAGGTCTGATGTGCCCATAGCTCATTAATAGCAGAGCAATAGCTCCGCACTGTATTGTATATGAGTACAAGTTCAGAGCAAGCCTCATCATCATCATCATCATTGCCCTCAACAGACAGCTCTCCAGATGCTGTAGAGGGGGCACTGGTCTTTCCCCTCTTCCGCTTAGACAGAGGCCCTCTTAATGTCAGCTCTGCTGCTGCTGCCGTCCTCTTGCGCTCCCTCTCTACCTTAAGCCTCTGTCCTCAGCGTGGAGGGCGATTGGCTACTTCATCTTTAATAAAGAGGAGGAGCTTCCCATCATCAACATAATCTCCTGGTAGGTATCTGCCGCCCACCTTGAAGCCCATCTTTCTACACCAGGCCTAGGACTTCAAAGTTAGCACTTATAGTAAAAGTTAGAGAAGTCTATACCTACCTTCCACTCCTTTTGCTTTAGCTCATAGTTCTTTGTTATATTCTTAGGCCAGTGAACCCTATGATACTCAAGGACCTCATCAAGAGCTCTCCGAATAGAAATATCTTCCGGTCGGGGAGCCTCAATCTCAGGTGTCGCGATTTCGGGAGCCTGTATGGGAGCTGTCCTTGGAAGGAGGCTCAAGAGCCAGTCCATAGCGCTATTGACGCTGACAACCAGGTCAGCAACACTGCGCAAAAGCGCATCTGTTTCTGTGACTTTACTCTCCATTGGTCAGTTGGACTCGATGTAATGGTAATTATGTTATATAGACAAAGGTGGTGGTGGTGGATAAATAGAGGTTGGATGCTCATACCTACGCGTAGCTACTGAGGGCGGACGCGTTCCCAGACCTCATACATCACTTTTAAGCGAGTAACTGAGCGATAACTACATACAAAATAACCCCTGCTTCTGAGGGCTCTAGCGTAACACGGACCTCATACACCACATATACGATACAGCCAAAGGCCATTTTGTAGTTTGGTCCCCAATATTTTGGAGCACTACAGATACCTTATACGAGGCGCCGCATATGAATCCAATCCATCTGACAGCTTTTAACGGCCACGCGCAAGTGGTCCGGAAATTGCTTGCTGGAAATGAAAGAAATATAAATGAGGGAGATGATACAGGATCAAACGTATTGATGTGGGCCTCACTGAATGGGCACAAAGAGATTACTGAACTGCTGCTGGAACACGGAGCTGATGCCAACGCCCAGGGTGGAAAGTATGGCAATGCATTGCAGGCTGCCTCATCTAGAGGACATGACAAGATTGTGCAGATGCTCCAAGCAGTAAATCTACCTGCGAAGTGGACACCTTGTGATTTTCCTTCTAAGAGGTTAAAGATTTCTTGATCCACAACCCATATCTCTTGAAGTGCGCTTTAGTTATGCTCACCTTTGCGTATACTTGCCGCATTGCTTTCCTTTCTGTTGCCTGACTATTCTGGGCTCTAGATAGCAACAATATTTGTAACTCCCATATTGTGTCCCGAATGTGGTCAAATCTTCCGCACTCAGGTTCCAACAGTATACTGTGAAAATCCGCCAAATATTCAGCTTTGTAAAGATCTTGGCTTGAGATATGCTATCCAGAATCCAATTAATCCAAGGCGATGGATAACGGGCCTGTTTTTGTGATGACCCAGAAATATGGTTCTCTACACTTTTTTTTTCACCATCAAGATTGACGATGTAAACGGCGCATTGCTTGGGATGATGAAAACTTTGTAACTTGTTAATGATGTACTGTTTACTGCTTCAAGTTCCTCCGTGCTCATTATAACAGGCCTTATGTCATATTGTCTAGCCATTTCTAATTCTCCCCTACAGGGCGGAAGGGTATCCATTTCCCTCTCTTAGAAGCCATCTGCCAGGTCATGGTAATGTCCAGGCAGAACTTGCTTGACCTCGGCTAGTTTGTTTGACGATGGAAGATTTGATAGAAAAGATGAATCTCCACTTTGTAGCACTCCCAATATTGCTAGCCAGTGAAAAGTCTGGAATGGGAATGGCAATGCACATACCGAAGACCATTATATACTGCGGCGAGCCCAGAGTTACAACCTCCTCCGCGTCGATCCGGAAATCTTTCTGCTAGCTTCCAGCATATTCTTATAACCACAATAGATCCCCAGCTGTGAGAGTACATCGATAATCCGCCTTTACACCCCTCTCGCATGCAGATGGAGACCAAGCTGCATGGGGAGATTGTTGCTCTGTTTGACAGCCCGGGTATAACATAATTAAGACAAGATCTCGACAGTTCGGATTTCCTTCTGTTCTACTTTGGTGTCATATTCGGTCAATAGCTGTCTCACCGAATGAGTAAGATGTGGACTTAGTTCCTCGGCCTCGTTCAGGTAGTCCACCTGGTTCAGATTGAAGTGTTTGTTGAGAATCTTTATGTCTCTCTCAGTCCATTGTCCAAACGCATGGCCACAGGTGTATAACTGTTTAATTTCCTCCTGCGAAACTGGAATGCCTCAGTGCAATTTCTCTAGATGTCAATGGGACGGAAATCTAACAGGCTGTCTAAAACGTCCTCATACTTGGATGAAAGTGCACGATTCGGCAGTCCTAGCTAGACTTGGAGGCCTGGTGGGTCTTAAGACGTACGATGACGCACCAGGGGAATTTCAGCCAGATGTTTGAAGGGTTAAAAGTTCTATAGAGCAACCTGCAGCAATGTGAAAGGTGCGAAGCAACATCCAGATCGCTCCCAGGGAGTTGATAAAGGCTACAATTTCAGTATGAGGGCGGAGTAGATGGCATTTTAGCTTGGATTACGGCTCTAAAGCGTAGAATGAAGGTGTCGGATTCTTGGTAATCTGGTAATACGATTACGCTTGGAATCAGAGCATGTTCTTGTCAAATTGGACGATGTTTTTTCATCTATCGGTTGTCGTCTGTTGTTCTATGTCCTTCCCCCTATAATGAGCGACACGACCAGAAAACTCTGAGAGCTGGTCGGAATAGTCTAACCGAAAAGGGTAATCTGAGTGAGTGTAAAATATACCATCTGATACCAAAGATACAGTGCTTCGACAGAAGGCCGTCGGCCGCCTGCTGTCTCCGTCGACCGACCGGCATCTCAACCAGCCAAAACTAATTCAACCGTCTACGCGGGATCGTGCGGGGGAGTTGATCATATTTAAAAACAGCCACGATAATAACGGCGAAACTCGGTAGGCGAGGCCTCCAATGATCACTAAGATGGACGCTTGCGTCACAGACCTGGAGTGCTGCTAGAAGAGGACACGGCAGCAGGGCAGGGGTCGAGTGGGGTCACTGGGTGCGCATTATTGATGTTCAGGCTGTTCAGGCGATCAGGTGAACCGAGTGAAGAGGGTGAAGACAGGGCGGCAAGGATACTAAACAATGAATTAAAGAAACAAAAAACATACAACAGCCGGGATTCGCTGGTGGTCACCCACCCAACTACTAACCGGCCGGCGTGTGGCTTAAGTACGGCTGAGCGGACGGGAAGCCCTGTTTTCCACACCCTATGGTCGTATGTGCTCGTTCTGAGATAGATCCAGCTTGTGTCAGATAGCCTTGCCCAGGTCTGGGAGATGACTGCTTCATCTCTTAAACAGATTGTAGATCATTTATTAATTCTGCAAACATCCACTAAACCCTCGAACATATCCAAGGGGAAGGGCTCTGCGCAGACTACCAAGATACTTGGCAGGACCTCTAAAATCGATGGGGACCATTAGAACGGCACAAATACTGAAGTGGAAAGATACTAGGGCCAGAATAGCCAACAGCTGGAACAAAAACAGCCCTTTATCACCCTGACATGACGGGGAGCGCTAGATACTTATATCCAGAAAGATGCGGAGGGGGCAAGAGCTCTATTCTCGATCAGATCCTGCTCCAGAACTCAGTCCCATCTTTTACACTAATGGGAGGGTGATCAACAAGAAAGTCGGGGAAGCAGCTGTCCAACACCGCCCCAGGGCAGTATAACGGTCGTCCCTGGGCAGTAATCCCATGTTGATAAAGAGTTAATGATATTCTTGGACAGTCAGGCCGCTATATAAGTGATAGACAGTACACAAATGGTAGGACAGCAGATCATCAGCAAAACTACTAAATAAGATAAACTCTGGAGACTATATGTATAAGTTACAGTACACTGGATCCCTGCTCATCAGGGAATTAAGGGTAATGAACTCGCAGATAAGGCAGCAAAAGAGGCCGCAGGATGGATTCTTAGACCCTTAGTACTATTTGCGCATGAAGCACATGGATATCCAACATAAGCGGCGAGGAAAGGTCCAAAATGTGGGGATAGTTAAGGTGAAATATGTACTCACTACAGCAAAAATTGCCGATGGCCCCACCAAGCCTCTTGCATGAGACTGATTTGAATGGTTCTGAAGAGGGCTAGGCATTGAATAAGGTACAGGACTCACTGAGATTGAACTAGCAGACATGCCGGCACCCTTTATTTCTGCTCAAAGGTTTTAAAAGTTTTTAACAGGGCCTTGTCAGCTCTGTGATAGGTGGTTGCTGGCACTTGTTGACTCACGATAGCCATCAAATTAAAGAGTTGTATATCATGTTGACTAGGTTATTCTGATTGAAATGTGGGTTTGTGCTTATATGTGTATATACGCAGTCCACCTGCCCCTCATGATGAGAATAATAACTTTATACCTTTGGACCTACTTCAACATGGATTTGCGAATGCGAATGCGAATATTCCAAAATCCTATGAATTTGTATTCATGCCGAACTTGGTTTAATAATAATGAAATGAAAATGAAGAGTACTTTAAGATCTCCATCTTAGGCAGGATTGACAGACGTTGTCTGACATACAGCAGCACATATTTGACTCAGCTCCAAGATTGTATTACATTGCAGCGAAGGATCAGATTAACAATATAGCTCTATTGCGTTTAAATCATATACCAGCAGAGAGGATCGTCTTTAACTGAAATAACACAGCCGGCTCAGTCGGCTACTAAATAGACATAGAAACAAGGGCGAGACGAGACAGGCAGATAGAAGTCAGCAAAATTATGTGGTCTTCACTCTCTAAATCTCGTTGGACCAATTTCTGGTCCTGGATGAAGCAGTTGCTCCAAATCAGTCACATTTCTGCCGTCCACACCGTCAAATTTCTTCCTACCCTTCTCAAAAGCCTCTGGATCAATATGTTTTCCAAAGAATTCCAGCATCTTTGTAATTTCCTCCGGGCTCAATTGCTTATAATCTATTACCTCGCCACTGGAGCTAAAACTGCGGTACACTCCATCAGTAGCGAGGTGGGTGAAGCCTTGGCCCGATGGTGAGTGTTTGAGGGGTGGAAAGGGCGATGGCTCGTCATCTTTCTATTGTGGTGTTAGTATCGTACAGATGCAAGCTGTCAGAAATACTCTTACGATGCAAGACATGATTCAAGTGATCTGTTTGTGTGATATGGTGGATCTCTTGATTGTGCTGTATAGAGAGAGGGTAGTCGAAAGAGGTGAAGACTTCTCTGAGAGGTGTGGCTCGCCTGAGGGGAAGCTGATTCTTAGAGCTAATGCAGAGTGCAAATGATCACATGCCCTGAACAGGGGTATAAGAGAGCCTCTAAGCTCCTCGTTGACTAGGTAGTTTCCTGATTATACACATGACCTCATTAGGCAAATGTCTCACATGTCTGTACTATACCTTCCCAACAGGTGCATTGGACATCTACTTCTTAATATACTCATCTTGCCACAAAACCTAACTTAATTTTTTGTTTAGAACTATCACCTGCGAATCCATAGGATTCCGATACAATTTGTCCATCATTTTTCAGTGAATTATACAGTCATGGCACTCAGTCAAGTACAATAAATGGAATTGGTAGGCAAACCAACTAGAAAACAAAGTATGGGCAACAGGTGAAGGGTATTCATAGGCAGCTGATTAGTTGAAGTGCACACTCACTGAGAGTGAGCGAACAATGTCTGCCTCAGGCTCCCAGGTGTCGACTCCTGGAACAATCATTGCACATATAACCATTTTAATCCCAACAACCCGATACCCCGAACCCTTCACACCCTAGAGATCCAGCGTACACCTTTTAATTATCTGTAGGAAGCACCAGCCTATTTAGAAAGGTGGCGAGGTGCGAGGGCAACAGAAAGTATGCTTTCACTAAACGCAAACACCCGTTCCCCCTGGAACGACAGCATCCAGCCGCGCACAATGTGAGCAGCCCAAGAATCGGCAAGCTGGATCTCTAGTGCAGGGTTGGCCTCTGCAGTACCAGTCGGCCTGTTGGAGAGGGTTGGGGTCGCGCTTAGACTGGAGTGGCTCACGAGGCATGGGGTTTCGAAGCTCAGCAGGAGGGTCAAGCAACTGTTTCTCATCCGTAACTTGACGTCCGTCGACGCCATTGAAAACAGCGTGCAAATGATCCTCTTCCTTCTTCCATGGTTCTGGAAGGTTCCTGAGCAGCTGCTTAAGCTGGTCGTTGGTCAAGGGAATATAGTCGATAACGGATTCGTTCTCGTCGTAAGCTCGTGCCACTCCGTCGTCGGCGATATGGACATATACATGAGGTCCTGATTTCAAGTTGCCTATGGCCTCGAAAGCACTGACGCCCTCCTGAGCGGCTAGCCCGGGAGCTGCGAGTGATGATGTTGCCATCAGGCCCAGCACTGCAAGTAAAAATGAACGCATGATTGACAGATAGGATTTCGTTTGTGTTCGAGTTTGTTTGTATAAAAAGATTCTCAGATTGAGCTTGTGAATTCAGTGTTCGTTTTAGCTCTGGAGAAGTCAACCACATCTCCTGGATGTCAATCAAAGTATTTATACCCATGTTGCCCATAAGATATGCCTGGACTCGCGCAGATGACTGAGCCTCTCGGGAGCGTGAAATCCCAGGTACGGAGACTAGAGTCACCTTCGGAAGGTAGCTGATCCCAAAGCTGATTTGCTCAAAGTCCATGCTGTCAAGGCGTTGGAGCGGAAGGTCCGGAAGTACGGATGAGGGGTATGACTGTATGATTCTTTGTGCGCTGGCGCAATGCAATGCACTGCCAGCGGCCTCTAACTACTCCGGAATACTACATAAGATAGCTACGCATTAGTCTGTTTATGGGGACCCTGGGCAGGCACCTCCCAATCTCGTAGGTAGGATTCAATCAGACATGGCTCGGAAAATGAGGCGAGCTGAATCCCGAGGCATGTAAGAAACCAACAACCAACAAACCAACAAACTAAGTCCTGTCTGGATAGGGTTGAATGATAACTGAATTAATCAGAGACATACTAAGATGCAAAGGGCAAGTCAGTCATCAGTATGGCCTGACATTTTTTCCCAAATCCCTTTCTGATTCATGCATTTCATCTGTTATTGACAGGGGTTCGTGAGCTTCTTTTTCTCCCGCCCCGTCTCTCTTCTTCTCGGCACATACGGGAAGAGAAGATGGCTAGGATTAGTTGATGCTTCCGGACGATTTCCATTATTGGCTGGAATCTTAAATCCTCAGACTATGTATTCGGTTCGCGAGATATCCATTTAGTATAGTAAGGGACTTGGTGTTCTCAATTGGGATAAAGAAAGTACTATCTCTGGTCCTTAGATACCTAAGACAAACCAAATAAGACTATTATAATACAGGGAATGATTCTTGCCCTTTTGTATACTGCCACCTATCAGCCAATAACAGATCTTTGCGATTGTTGGTGGGGGCAGTGGAGGGTAATGGTCTTTAATGTCTGGAATAAAGCATATACAGTTTGAAAATAAGTAATAGTTATGCATGATTGACATCGAACTCTCACCATGTTACCTCGTGCGCTGGGGCCAAAAAGCGGAACCTAGAGAAGTGTCGAGCACTATACTAGACTAGGTAATTCTTTGCCCCAATCACAACCTAGATAGGAGGTGCATGCTAGTCCCAGGGTCCTAGGGCATACGTCAGGGCAGGAGGAGAAGTGATGTTTCTTACCAGAATAAGTATAGTGAAAGCAACATATATGTATAATGATCATGCTACAATACTCCTCCACAATTCCTACCAGGGTTATAGCATGGGTAGTTAGATGAGGCATTTTCATTTTCCTCTTCTTTCTCCCGGTGAAGCAGCTATTTTATGGTTGCATTCTATAATAGAGATATTATTCTTTCAACAAATATGATCGTGCCCCTCTGTTGTCAGTGATGTGAAACTATCCCTTAGGGTCCATTAGCTCTGCAACTGAGCAAGTACCTTGGGAACCATAAGTGATGGTTTTAAGCTTAATTTTGTGTAAAAGTTTCTTAGATTATAGGCTCTGGATAAGGTAACCACACCTCCTCGCATATCAATCAAAGTATTCATACGTATGTTGCCTATATAAACCAGCGCTTGGATAATGCTGTGATATTCACTAAAAAGACTGAATTATGTATTAGAGTCCGTAAGAATCAGATTACTATTTTATTCTCCGATTTGTTATTCCTATGCCTGTTGCCTGACAACTTGGCAGGGGTGTAAGCTTCGAAAATAAGCACTACGGAAAAGTACCCTGTTTCTCTTAGCCTAAGATAAGATATTGCGATCCCATCCCCGAATTGCTTTAGTCACCTTATCACAGCGTGGGAGGCGGGAAAGAGGGAAGTTACCGATAAAAAGTACAATTCCTTGCGAACTAGTGCAACGCCAGCGACCCCCTCCAACGAGAATACTACAGTCCGGGACGCAACATTCTGCGCGAGGGTGCGATACCTAAGCATTAGCCTGTTGGATAACATGATAATCTTCCGACTCTTACATGTTACATCCGAGACCGGGAAGCAGAACCTAGAAAAGTCTCAAGCACTATCCCAACTAGGTGGCTCGTTGCCCCAATCACAACCAGGCTCGGGGTATAATACTGGTCCCATGGCTTCAGAGCGCGAGTCAGAGTAGGTATGGAAGTGTTGGTGATTCTTGGAAGGTGTTATAGAGAATGTAATAAATATGCATGATAACTGTGCTGTAGTCTGAACTTAGTAAATGCTCCTCTGCAACTCGAACTAGGGTTGTAAGATGTTGGTCAGATGAGGCTTTTTTCCCCTTCTTCTTCTTCTTCTTTCTCCCTCTAAATCGCTTTAGGATAGGGGAGGATCATGGACTAAATTGTTAGTTCTGTTCTGTGTTTAGGTGATAATAAAAAAGAGAAATAAATGTTGGTTAATATCTATACTACGGCACAACCACTCCCCTACTGTCAATAGATCAGACAGACAACACATATAAAAAGGCCAAAGAATCCTCGGTTCTGAGTTTTATTCCCAAGATCTTTATCCATCACTCTTAAACATTATTTGAAAGTTCATCAGAAAGCCTCTTCAAGATGCATCTCAGTACCGCCCTCTTTTCTGCTATCGCGCTCCTTGCTGCCACCCAGGTTATTGGAGCTTCTGTCGAGGTTCCGCGCGATGTAGCCGCTATTCAAATTGCTACGTCCCCTTGTTAGTCCCTCTGATCATGTAGTACAAAGACATAATATTGATATCTCATGCAGACTACGCTTGCAACTGTCCCAATAACTGCAAGCACAAGAAGGGCTCCGGTTGCAAGTACCATAGCGGTCCTAGCGACAAATCAAAGGTTATCTCTGGCAGTAAGTATCTTGTCCCTACAATTTTCACATCTTATAGAAGTTACTAACTAACCGTGATCGCACAGAATGCGAGTGGCAGGGCGGCCAGTTGAATTGCATTGCTACTTAGATTGCGTCTGTCACGAGGAGACAGTTGCGCCTGTCAAGGAGATAGTTGCATTTGCTGAGGAGAGAGTGTGGATGAAGAGCTAGTTGATCAAGTTTTGTAGTGGTGCTGCAGCATCCCAACTATTGTCACTCATTGAAAGATGTTGAACTTTCAAGCAGTCTTTGAATATCAATACTTGTTCCGGAACATGAGCATTAAAACACCTCACATACCTAACCGCCAGGCAAGTGAGGAATAGGCCTGATCTCCAGGGCGGCACGTAATCCTTAGGATATTATTCAATTAGGCCTGTTGCTTGACTACCTATATGATGCGTGTCTTAGAGCGACACGACGGGAAGTTTAAGGCCACTACGCTGTAAAACTCTGGATTGGACCGCTTAACTATTATGACTATGCTAGGAAACACCAACACTTGGGGGCTGTGATGGCTGTTGTGACTACTCCTACTGGAAGTGTTCTACCCAACGTGGGAAACGCTGAAGCTACGTCAAGTGGATCGAGATTGAAATCCTAGGTTGGATGGAAGAGCTCTCTGCCAGGCTGGTGGATTCGTTTATCAAGTAATAATTGGAGGGCTAATCCTAGTTTAATATGCGTCCAGGCAGACTAAGAAGTGAGTTCCAAGTACTATTGGTAGCACTAACCAGGGGTCAAGATTCACGGTGATTCATCCCAGGCTACAATACATGGATTACTGGGTCAGAAGGAGCGCCTCTTACCCTGTACGCGCCATATTTGCTGCGACACAGGCAGCTAGGCAGCTGTGTAAGATACCGAATCCACCCTTTTCGGTCCTCGCCAGAGGGAGTGCGCAAAGTTTCCAATGTTTACGAGTAGATTACTTTCGCTGTGCAGGCCTGATTAATCTACCTTTATGTAACTTTTTTCCCGGTCAAAGCCGAGACTAAATGACATTGTATTGCCCAGCATATCTAGGTTTGGTAGGCTATCCTTCAACAGACCATATAGCACGCGGTTTTCCAAGGTAGAGGCAGACAGATACAGACAGGAATGAATTCATAAAGCAACAGATTAATCCTGAGTTGGAGGGGAAGACAGTACTAGTCTCATAAGATCGAAATATTACGCGAAAATAAGAAACGCTTGATTAGGAAGCGATGTACCATGCAGTACCTCTAAGAACCACTTGACCATAACAGGTACAAGATGACTGATCTTCGATCAGTCGCATCCAGCGCCCCATATGACAGACCGTGCAGGGATTTTACGTAGACAGCTGTTTTTAAATATAAAGCCAGCAGTCTTCCTGGGGTATCTAGAAAGTCAAGCAGTATCTCTGAGTAATACAACACTGATCCGTCTGCCCTTCGTATCTAGCCTTGACAGCAGGCGTGAGGGTACCCATTCACATATGGCACCATCCAGGCTCCTAAGAAGAGTGTTACTTTCAGTGAGGTCTCTTTGCTGCCTCTCCCGCGGTCAAGAGCTCGTGGCCACAGGGCGGAGAAGGGCAATCTACAGCCATGTGTCTTGCTGCCTTCTCCCGGTCACACTCTGTGGGGGCCTGGTTGTACTGTATTTATCCACTTCACCTTCCAATATTTCATCCACTGATTTGGTCGCGACTTAGTGTATGGTTCCTCCTGGACATGGTCCTTGTCGACAGGCTCATCCCTCCCGTGCATGCGAATGGGCTGCAGCGGATACGAGACAGCTGGAAAATGCCATCCGATTCCATTACAGCGCTATCCCCCTGGCCCAAGGACTTTAGCCAGGGCATCACACCTGTTCAGTGCCATTCACATAACGACTACTGGCGCAATGTCCCGCTGTTTGATGCGCTCACCGCTGGTTGCGTGGGCGTAGAGGCAGATGTATGGCTAGATAAAACGTCCAATGACCTACTAGTAGGCCACCGAACCTCGTCCCTATCAGCCGACCGCACTCTACAGTCTCTCTATATCAAGCCCCTGACCACAATCCTTACCCGGATAAACCAGGGCGCCAACTTTCCCGTTCCCAGGTCCGGAGTTTTCGAGACCCTTCCCAATGCCAGCCTGACACTCCTGATTGATGTCAAGACCGACGGACATACTTCCTGGCCCGTGGTGATGGATCAACTAGCCCCCCTGCGTGCCGGTGGCTGGTTATCATATTGGAATAGGACCGGCGATGGGCTGGCCTGGCGGCCGATCATAGTAGTGGGAACCGGGAATACTCCATTTGAGCTAATCAATGCTGACGCCGAATACCGGGACGTGTTCTTTGATGCCCCACTGGATCAACTTGCAGATAACGCCAGCTTCACTGCCAATAACTCTTACTACGCAAGCGCATCGTTAAGGAAAGCTGTCGGGACCATCTGGCCCTGGGGACCAAGCAGACGTCAGAAAGAGACCATGAAGAGGATGATCGATACGGCCGCGGCAAGGGGATTGGTGTCGCGATTCTGGGATATACCCGGGTGGCCGGTACATCTGCGGATGAAGCTCTGGCGATTCTTGGTGGAGAGTGGGATTGGAACACTGAATGTGGATGAGTTGTTTGAGGCGACGCAATGGATTCGGGATTGGTGCACTGGTGAGGGGTGGATGCAATGCTAAGTGATTTGGCAATTTGGGTCGCGGCGCTCGTTGTTTTTTCTTGTCTTGCACTTAGCACTGTCTTACTGTATAGTTGTGATTCGAGGCTCGAGAAGGCAAACTACAGAGCTCTATATACAGAGTATTCTCCGTAGAGAACATGTTGATTTCCGTCATCCTGTATATAACCCTCAGGTTACAGTTAGGATGACCTTTCCCTAAGTTTATTGGCAATCCAATCCACTGAAAAGTACCGAGCTTGTCTCCACATGGGTCTCATGAGCCCATCCCATTGCTGGGCCGGTGGAACCGGAGCTAATCGATTCATGAGAAAGTGAGCAGACCAATGTCACTTCTATTACCCTATATAATTTACATAGTCTGCTTATATGCATAGGAAAGTCTGAACTGGTAAGCCATAATGCTTTTCCTGGGGTTGATCAACACCAGAGTCTACTGCAAGTGGCCGGCATGTATTTAAGGTCATCCGCAAGAACTTGGAGGGCAATCTTCCTATATTAGCTATTAGACTTAGATATTCATCTAAGGATCTTTAATACTCACTTCTAGTTTCACATACTGTAAGAAATAACTCTTTCCCTCTTAGCTAAATACCAGCTCTGAGTTTAAATCAGAATGTTCAAAAACCTAAAGGATGACGATGACCTTCAAAGAAGAGTATGTCTTGAGTCCTTGTCTCCTGAGAAAGGGCGAAGTGGTTGGCACCATTGGCTAGCATTTTGTGCTCTCTTCTCTAATTCCGGCTTTCTATACTGATCCCTATCACGTAGGCCAATACTGGGGAAGCACTGAAGCACCGATATAAGCCTACTGCCTACCTTAGTATCAGAACTTTTACATCGAAAGCTATAAACATTTAGTGAATGTGATGATTGATAACCTGCTGCAAATAGTTGTCTAGCACATATCTTCCTCGACATCGTAGGCCAACGGCTTCTGGCCTAGTCCTAACCTGCCAAGGCCGAAATAGCTGTACACCGACAAAATCCCGGAAGTTGCAAGTTCCTTGAGCCACAGCTGCCACGGACCGATCTTCTTCCTAACGCCGCCATTGCGTTCCGCCACCCTGTGCATCTCGTTCACACGAGGCCGTCGCTTCTGCTCATACAATCTGAAGACCTCATCCAAAGAATGTGGACAAGCAACAAGGAGATTCGATAGCACGAATATATCTTCCAGCGCCATGGAAACACCCTGGCTGGCATGTGGTGGCATTGCGTGCGCTGCATCCCCAATAATTAGACACCGGCCTCTCCACCATTTGCCACCCGTGGGGAGGCGGTAGACTGGAAAGAATCGGAGCGTCTCAGTATGCTTAATCATTTCCTTCATGGTGTTGCCCCATGATCCTTCTGACTCTTTAATCAAATCGAGCACTGTGGACTTGATGTTTTCCACTTGCTCTTTCCCGCGTTCCTCCCAGCCGTCGCGTGTGTCACCGCTAGCTGGCATGGCGAGCTCGCGTGAAAAGAACCAGTAGATCAACTCACCGCCTGGGGTGCAAGGTGATACGGCCAGGAGCCCATCGGTGGTGAGTGTCGCGTTCAGACCACTAAGTGACCCAGCAGCGATGGGTAGATCAGAAGTGGGAACCAGGGAATATGCATTCGATATGCCCGAGTATTCAGGCGCCATACCGGCGTCCACGTAGATGCTGCGCACTGTCGAATGAATCCCATCACACCCTAGGAGAAGGTCTGCGTGGTCACTGGAGCCATCAGAAAAGGCAGCGGTAATGGTTTGATCGTTTTCCACAATGTGCGTCAGGCGCTTGCCGAAGTGGATGGGGATGTCCGCTCTACGAGCAGCCTCGTACAGGACGTCCATCAGGTCCGTCCTGCGGATCCGTAAATAGCCGAATCCGGTCTTCTGTCGACTCCATGAAGTCATGTCCATCTGGCCGATGATTTGCCCCTTGATTCCATGCAAGGAGAGAGTAGAAGTCTCGGCCCCTCGACCTTGCAGGGCATCCCAGAGACCCAGCCGATGCAACAACCTCAGCCCATTTGAAGGAATGCCGACTGCACCTCCAAGGGTACTGGGCTCCGAGCGGATTTCATAGATCGTAGGGGAGATGTGGTTGTGCTCATGTAGGCGTAGGGCAGCCAGAATCCCCGCGGGACCGGCCCCTATAATGATAACCTGCACGACTCCATATCAGATATATCATATACTCCACAAAGCAAGTGTACTTTGGGGTGATTTTACCTTTTGTGGCGGGTTCATCCTTTGAGGTTATGTCCGAAGGTCCTGAAAAGATGGAGAAATGTGAGTGAAACAAACAAAAAGAGGAAAGCGAGACACATCTGTGAGTTGCCATGAAAACAGGGCAACTGTAGTCAATTTATCTGAAAAGAATCATGCTACTGATCTGATCAGATCAGTTCAGAAACTCCGAAACCTCGGTATCCGACCCCGAGAACTCGGCCAATTCAGCACGGTGCCCCGATATCCGAAGTTCCGATACCACTGTGACATGATGATATCTAAGTCATGGTGTGGAAGTTTGATGTTTGTTTTCTATTACAATGCTATGCGAAATATCTTGGCTGGTAAGCAATGTAATTGACGATTACATCGATCTCTTCGTCAAAGACGCCAATCAAGAAGGATCGAAGGTTCGGGAAAATAGTAGTGAATAGGTCCATCAAATTAATTGGTTTCCGGATACACATGATTCCAGATACTAAATCATCGCCTAACAATCCATGGCTGGCGGATGTCTATGTATCCCACTCACAGGCTCGGTGTCGTGCTTGGTGGATTCTGGAATCAGCACGGATGAAAAGATGTAAGTTGGTTGCCTCTTGTGTTGGAACGTGTTATTTCCTTTTATCCTCTCCTACCGCAAGACCACATTCCACTGAATAAAATGTACGATTGAGTAATCTGGATAATGTCGGAGAGGAAGCTAAGTTAGAGGCCTTCACCTAAGACATGCTCTAGATAATAGATGTATCCAACGCAACGCCTAGAAGAGGAAGGTTGCGTTTAGCTTCTGGGTTGGCTGGGTGATGGATGATAAAATCAAAAATTAGAAGCACAGCTACCGCTCCAGGGGACCAGGCCCAAGGTGGACTACTCTACGAGCTTTCCCTTGAATCATGAGCTGCAGTTTACGAATACCCTTGGTCGGGCCCTGCCGCTGATCGCTTGGGATTCGATGCCCGAGGCGGCGAGGAAGGGTCTAGAGTACGCGAATTTTGGGTTTGCGGTTGTGCCGTTTAAGGATGGGACTTTCCAGGGACATTTGGCTGCGGCTGCGCTGCAGTTTTGAGGGGCATGCGATGGGGTGAAGTCTAGCAGGGGTTTTTAATAGAGATATGTGAATATATTACTCCGTAACTCCGTTCTTCTTCCGGGTTAGTCTCCCAGCCCTACGAATGAAATAGATAAAATTCTTTGCAAATCACCATTATTAGCACGCAATATATGCTGAGCAACCTGTGCGAGACGAAGCCGAGTTCTAGCACCACGGTGTCTATTCAATGTAGGACAGAGCATTTGCGTTGGTCAGAAATTAATCCTGAGGATCACATCTTATATTGTCAGCCAACGCGCCGCGGCCAGCCTCTCTGTCAGTATTCGTCCATATTGCGAAGACCGAATCGGGTCAGCAACAGGTCTTCATTCCCAAGGACAAGCAGAGACCCTAACCGGCCGTTTGGCAGCGGGAGCAACGGCCACAAGAGGCCCAACCCAAATGAAACGTTCAGCTAAGTAAATAGCATCCGTGGCCTGTCTTAGTATTAGCAAGCCCTCGCTAAGACTGAGCAAATAATATCAATCAAAAGTGAATCTCGCAAAGTCGACTACATGGCTACCCCGACTACCACCCGAGATGTATCTGCCAACTTCCATTTTCAAAGTCGCAGCAGATCCAGGTGGGTGGGAATGGACACCACCGTAAATATATATCCATGGGGAGACTCCCATGCCGGCATTGGCGACTCATTAGCCGATCAGCATATTTTGGTACTTATGGTCTCCGCCAAGCGCATGACTATGTTGACATGCTTTCAATGTTTTCTTCCCTTGACAATGAAATCGATGGCGGTATATTCATCTAATCGTCCTAAAATAAGCAGAGCGGTATTGCTAATCACTGACAAATTATAAAAGACCGCTGGTAATCAAGAACTGGTCGCTTAGCTCAGTCGGTTAGAGCGTGGTGCTAATAACGCCAAGGTCGCGAGTTCGACCCTCGTAGTGACCATTTTTTGCTTTTTCTTTTTGCCCTATCTGCGTTAGCCCACCTGGGACTTGAATATATTTCAGACTACTGGCTACAAATGCAGTATAAGAACAACTATGTCTGTAATATCTGTCCAATTGTGCATATGCTTCTGTACAGCAGATATATCGCCAATGCATAAAGGATCGTACAACGTGTCTTCGTAATTCGTTTAAACTCTAAAGCGCAATAATGAGTAAGGAGGGAATTATGTGAGAAGGATATTATCAGTAGGCAGGGTATGAATGACCCTATGGGGGTATAAAGACCATTCCATAGGTGACACAGAATCAAGTGATAACATCAAGCGGTGATGTCATCAACCCGCAACGCGGGCATATACTGTATATCTATCCCGCAGGACGGTGGACTCTGAGCCTGGGAGCGTAGTAGCGACGAAACTTAACCAGCGGTTTCTTTCCGTCGGGTTCCTGAGAAGAGGAAGCCATCCGGAGAAGACCCTCTGACCGTTGTCGACGCGCCATAGCTTTCACAGCGGCGTTGATCGTGCTCCGGATGATGGACGATGGGCTTTCGCTGGGGATTTGAGAAGTCATGACCGGACTGTCATCCTCGTCATCCTCGAAGTAAAGTGAAGACATGCGTTTGCGGATATTGTGGTGTGCTTCCTCCATGGACCTCCGGAGGAGACTGTTGTGCGCGACGCATCGGCGTAGATCGGGGTCCTTGGCTAATGATTCTTTTCTGAGTTTGTCGCGAGAGATGATGGCTATGCGACAGGGGAGTATGGAGATATTCTGTCGGGCCATGGGAGGAATCCGAGGGTTTAATGCACGAGTGGCATTGCGGAGTAGGTTGGTGGCGGTTGGTAGAGCCTCGAGGGACCCGGACATGTTGACCGGTTGGCAGATAGTATAATGCTTTCAAGTGTGAATGACCGAGATGCTGTTCATCCCTGATCCCAGGAACCAGGGGATACTTTATACTTCAGCCTCAGGGGCTACGGCAGAGTTTGAAGCTATAGAGCTTGCACACTTGTATGCGATGAAGATATTGATCCCTCGGCCTCGATCTTCGGCCGAAGCGGAAAAGGATACCGAGGGGTATGGGACCGTCTTGGCCCGAGAGGACCCAAGGCTCATGCTCGATTGGCAAACTCTATCTTACTCTGCAGCATCGGCGCTGTCCGGGTGGCGTGTAGATTGTGTCATAGACTGGATATGCGTTCTCCTTCAGGAAGGTCGTCAGCAGTTCCTTTTACTTGGCAATCTCTGCAGCTTATCATTTGCTATTTCTGTCCGGAATTCTGCAATCGCCGACGTAGCTGTGGGGATTGCGCAGTTCTTCACGGATCGCCGATAGAGCAACAGTTTAATATATTGTCGAGAGCTGCCATCGGAAGATGTCACTGTATTCCATGGGTCTGTTTAGCCGGTGCCTCAGTCTCCTTGTTCTTCTCCAGAACCTGCCCAAAATGGAAGATCTTGCGGTGCATTGAAAGAGTCAAGTTGATCTATTATTGTCCAGGTTATTACTATCATTATAGAATTATCATAACAGTGATTATGTACTGGTCAGTATCATGCCTCGGATATCGCTGGTATCTTGCACATGTTCACACCAGCGCCAACAAGACCAAGCCCAGCAACAATGTCATCACCGGTCTGGACCTCTGCGAGCCATTTTCCTTGTCATTAGATGAAGTCTTTTCAGCTGTCACATTCTTCTCGCCCATTGCACTCCCCACCCACGCATTCCAGTTGTTGTATCCATGATTCTTCCGGCAGTCGGTAGTGATGACCTCGCCCTTTATCTGGGCAATCTGCTCGCCAGACCGTGATAGCGTCACCTGGACCTCCCCCGTCATCCCGTCAATGGGTACACTTCCATGATACAGCCCTTTCTGGCCACTGGGCGTATCCGACCAGCTGCCAGTCTTGCTAGCCCCGCCAATACTCACCGTCACGTCGGCCGCCGACTCCAGCAACGCCGAGTAGAAGATCCTATCCTGCATGATGGTCCTCGGGCTGGTCGTGTTCGTCCCTTCGACACTCAGCTGCCCCGGCGTGGTCTTCCCACTCATACACGCAGAGCCCGGATTGAGCCGGAACCACGAGACCACCCCCTCCTTGTCAAAACTCGCATTCTGCCCCCCACTCTTATACAAATCAATCACATACGGCAGAAACTCCCGCCAGCCATCATGCGGCATCCCCTCGGCATAGTTGAAGGGCGCATCCCCCACCGCAAAAATCCCCAGGTCGTCCTCGTGCATGGGGCCGATGTAGTGCGACTCGCCGTAGTCGTTCCAGGTGATGATCTCAACATACTCGGGCGCCAGCTCGAGCACCTGCTGCCAGCGGTCGAACCAGAGGTCGTCCCCGCGCCAGGCCCAGTTCTTGTGGAACACCGGCAGGTTCGTGTAGAACCACGGCGAGACCGGCATGATGTACGGCCGCCCGTCCAGCGCCGCGATGTACTCCTCGTCCAGCGTGGTGTTCATATCGTGTGCGCCGGCGGGCCATGCATGCCAACTCATCAGGCCGTCGATGACGGGGCTGCTGGATGCGGCCTCGATCCCCAGCGAGGACCAGTCGGGGATGAAGAAGAAGTCCGACTGCGCGTTGTGCCTGACGTCCTTCCAGACGTCGGCATTCTGGCCGCCCTCGAAGGTCGAGAAGAGCGGCTTGTCGTCGTGATGCTTGTAGTATGCGCTGCCGGTGGCGTAGTTGTCGATGACGTGGACGATCTCGTCGGTGGGCCATTGGGGGCCCTGGCCCATGTCGAAGGAGAGGAACATCTTGAAGTTGTGCCGCTGGGCGACGGTGAAGGCGTCATTGAGGATGAGGTCGTAGTTGTGCAGGCCGTAGCCGAGGTTCAGGGCGAAGGCGTCGATGTGCGCGGCCTGCGCGGCGAAGATGTCGTTGGCCCATGTTTCTTGCGTGAAGTTGATTGCATTCGCTACCTGGTCGATATTAGTTATATCTAGATAGAACTGACATTGTTGTTACCATGAAATGGGCGAATACGGCTTTCGCCTGTACATGGCTGATGGTAGCCAACAGCCCGAGTAGCGTCCACAACTCCATGGTGTTGACATATGCTTCGCCTCCTGCCTACTGACTACGATCAGGACGATCGGAAGTTTAAGAAGAAAAGAAAACGGACATGCTGATCGTCCTGGTCAAGATACGGTAGGAAATCTCTGTTGTGATCTGCACAGATCCTCGATCAATTGATCGCCTAGCACCAATTGAATGCCAACATGGCATTTTATCTTGAGATCATTTATATCACATAGCGGTCAGACATTCCAGGAAGCTCAAGACTGAAAGTTAAGGTTCTTCCAATGGAGGTGCCCCGTAAACTACTGCATATAATCTTTAGCAGCAGAACAGACGGTCAAGCTTGCCCTATATAAGTTTGGCTTGAGCCCCATTCGTCAAAAGAGAGTCGCCAGCAGCATATTCAGAGTTTGCTAGTGGCAGATCCGGCAGAAACTTGCATAGAGTAGGCATTGTTGTTGTCGAAACCATATCCATCTATCATATGCAATATTCTGCCTCCCTTGCGTCTACCATTTGGATCCATGCACCACGGCAAGAAACGAAAAGTTTGTGGACAAGCAATTTCCTCTGAATAATGACTTAGAAACCTCACTTGAAAAGAAATTCAATAAGTGCAGATACTATGCACTGAATGACATCATGGAATACCTCCATTTCACACCGTTTCCAGTCTCTGATGCCGAACCACGGTTCGGAGAACCTGTCAACTGCCCTACAGCGAGTGGAGACAAATCTCTGGTTCATCTTTAACGGAAATTGCTACCGCTACCTCAATTCAAACATCTAGACTACATCCTCCAGAAGGTGGGTCTTCGCTTATATTCATCAACCGACTGTTCTGGACTACTCCGTACGGATTTGTTTACCGCCAGTTCGTCATGGTGCCCAAGACCTCTCGTACTGGAAGCGGTCTTAGGTTATTGACATACGGCCAGCAGCAAGCGAATAAGCTATGGCACTTCATAGGAGAGAGACAATTTTTGAGATGAAGAGCATCACGCAAGGGGTTTTGACTATTCACATGCGCCATTACAAACCGCAGACATGCATGCAGTGCAAAAAACTATTGAACGTAGCTTTTCATTTCAATCGAACAGTTGCTATGGCCGCTAACGCGCACTGCTAATCAACACACCGCATGAGTTTTCCCCGTCTTCCCTTGAAGCGAATGTGTCTCGCCCGGGTAAACCGGATGATCGGGCTTCCCAGATAGCGACTGCCGAGCAGAGTGTCTAACGTATCCGTCAGCTTACGATATCAGTAAGTAAGCAGCAGGACATACCGAATATACTGCTCGATCATCGCCCGATCCATCTCCTCCAGCGTCTTCATCGCCATCTTCATATCCTCAACCAACACATTACACCGATCCATACTAAAGTCCTCCCGGAGCACAATCCGCATCATCTTGAGCTGGTTGCTATGCGGCGCCATCGTGTACGCGGGTATCACCCACCCACGCTGGCGGAGGACATGCGCCAGCGCATATTCATCCCAGAGTCTATTCTCGTCGGGTGGGAGCCGGTACGCGACGAGCGGGAGGCCGCCGCCTGCCCCGTCGCTCATGATGGTGAAGTTGAGTTTCTGCAGCTCTGCGGCGAGATGGTCTGCGGTGCGGGTTAGGTTCTGCATGATGGAGCGGTAGCCGTGTCGGCCGAGCCGGATGAGCTGGTAGTACTGGCCGATGATGTTGGAGGCGCCCTTGGAGAAGTTGAGCGTAAAGGTTGCTTGCTCAGTGCCGAGGTAGTTGACGTTGAAGATGAGTTCTTTAGGGAGGTATTCTGCTGAGCGCCAGAAGACCCAGCCTACCCCGGGGTAGACCTAGGACTGTTAGGGACGTCTGATAAATAGGGATTTGTACCTACCAGGCCGTACTTGTGGCCGGATACATTGATCGACACCACTTTTGGCAGCCGAAAGTCCCATTCTAGGCCAGGGTTCACGAACGGCGCGACGAACCCGCCGCTCGCGGCATCTACGTGGATCGGACAATCGATCTTCTTCTGGATCAACAGGTCGTTGATGGCTTTGACGTCCTCGTACTGGCCCGTGTACGTTGTCCCCAAGATCGCACAAATGCCAATGGTATTCTCGTCCACCAGATTGACCGCTTCTTCCGGATCAATCACATACCGCGTCCCCGTGCAATAGACATATTTCTCCTCGACATCAAAATACCGCGCTGCTTTCTCCCAGCACACCTGCACCGCGCTATTCATCACGATATTCGGGTGCGTGCTGTCCTTGCCCTCGGCCTTGCGGCGGTTCTGCCACCGCTTCTTCATCGCCAGCATGGCTAACATAATCCCCTCCGAGGATCCGACAGTCGATGTTCCGATGGCGTCTTGGACGTTCGGACCGTCGGCGGTTGGGGCGTGAAGAAGGTCCGCGATCATGTTGATGCAGCGGTTCTGGATGTTGGCTGTTTGCGGGTATTGTTCGTAATCGATGAAGTTTTTGCTCATCGAATCGGTCATGAGGGTTTGGGCTTCGTCTTCCTATACGGAGTATGCTGTCAGTAACAGGTACCCTTTATTTTGGGGTTAAGGTGATTACCATGTAGGTGGTGACGAAGCTCGCTAGACTAGACTGCGTCAGCATGCATAACCTTCGCATGGAGGACCTACTTGAGTAATGGATTCCCGTCAAGACTCAATTCATCCTTGATTAACCGGTACGCGACGCTCGCTGGCATTTCGCGCTCTGCCATTTCATGGTGCGGCAGATCTTGCGCTGCGAAGTGGGTGCCATAAACATAGTCGGTCACTTCGGCTTCTCTGGCATGGTGGCCTTTGGGGCGCTTTTGCACTCGACTGATGTGTACCATTTTGCTCAATTGGTTGGATATTATAACTTATTAATTGACATAGGTACTACATGGTACTGGATTCGAGTGCTCGTGAGGTTTGGTACCTTATGATGTAGATTGGTGCCGGGGTGCGATGACCTCACCACTATGGTCAACGGTCATAGAGATGCAAGTAGTCCCAAATGTGTTGATTCTGGTTTGTCATTGAATGTTATGCGGCTTACAGTATGCAGGAGATTCCTGCAAGTGTCTCGAGCTCTGCTGCTTCATCTCCAAGACGAGGAATGAAAAGGTTGATGATTTCATCCACTAGTCATAATGTATTCAATTTTTCACTAGAGATCTGTTCACATACGTTGATAGTTCAGGGAATTATCAAAAAATAAAAACAGTGAGAACATAAACAATATTTATGGAGAAGAAAAATAAATATTGCGTGATCAATGAACAGGATGAAAAACAAAAAGAAATAGGTGAGGTCGTGCTCGGAATCGAACCAAGATTGCCAGAATCAGAATCTGGAGTGATAACCATTACACTACACAACCCACTTCTTGAAAGACTTGCACCATATTTGCTTTATATTCCAAAGCTGCAATATCGCATCAAATTTACATCTTTGTCTTGAAGACTCTTGTGGAAAGTAGTCAGAATTTCAGGCAGGTATTTTGACCCTCAATTGCAGTCAAATAGTAAGATACCTATGAGCTGGGACTGCCTGTGCTGGCTCCACTTGAGCAATCCGAACTGAACTGTTTCCCTAGGATCTTTCTATTTTTATCATGCTATTGTTGTACACGTATCTTCAATGGCCAGGAAGCAGTACTACCTGACGAGCTCTACAACTGGTAACTTGTCAAAGCGGGGTTTATCTTGGAGTATCCTTGTCTCAGCATCGGCAATGTGGTTTCCCGTTCAACGCTTCAGGTGATATTAACATCTAGGCTGCACATTGACACGTATAGAGGACATCATGCAATCCCGAGGCTACTTAAACACAGCCATCCCACATCTTTCAGTCCACCAGCTCAATCGCCACACCAGTCATGTCTTCTCCTCGTCAGAATGGCGTACAGACGTCTTGCGAGCCTTGTCGCAGGTCAAAACTACGCTGTGACCATTCCACACCGACATGCCAGCGGTGTGTTCGCCGCGGAAAGTCAGACGTCTGTGTTTATCATCCCTCGCTTATGACTCGGAGCTGGTATTCTGATCCAGTCTCCTCGCCACATATGCCTGCAGGTTCAGACAATAATTGGGACAAGAAAGCCCAATCGGCCACACCACCTAGGATCTCCAGACTGACGAGCTGCTTTGGCGTGTCCAGCGAGAACTATGAGCATCTAAACGGGATCCTCGCGCCGCTGGCGACCTTGGAGCACAATGGGACCAGCTCGAGTCCAAAGCAAGTTCAGCTGGGTGCGCGGCTACTGCTGACCCTGTTTGAGAATCTGTCGTTCTACGAGACTCTCACGGAAAATCGTTCAGACAATTCACCAGAAGGTTGCGTTGTCGGCCAACAGCTCGTCCGTATTATCTTTACGGCCTTGAAAGATAACCACAGACTCCTGGCAAATGGCCAGGATGCAAAAGAGCGGTACTATGAGAACCTGCTAGGGTGGTCCCAGAAACTATTTGCCGAGACCTCGCAGTCGATTGAAGTCGGTCCGTCGACGACACCAGAGGAATATCTTCGTTGTGTCTCCAATCGATGGGAAGGCATCGCGCTGGTTTTCTCCGTCGTGGGTCAAGGTGCCCTGCTGGAGAGAGACTGGAAGTCTGTATCTCAGTTAGCAGGTGCTGCACCAGCCGATCAAAGATCGCTGGGGATCCTTGCGGCCACTGCCGGCGATACTTGTCTTCAATTTTGCGACTGTTCAGGCATAATCCATGACCCGCTGGGTTGGCTGCTGTATCAGCATACCCATTTGCTAGCTTTGATCTATGGTAACAATGGTATGATCTGGCGTCTCATCTTGGCAAACTGGTTTGCTATGCTGACAGGCACAGATTATCGGGCGTGGCGAGCACTGGCCCAATTGGCCACTGTGGTATTTACTCTCGGGTTCAACCAGTCCAAGGTCAACGCGCGCATGCCCTTCTTTCTGGTGGAGCTCCGTAAACGCCTGATGGCTAGCGCCTATATCATGGATAAGCAGCTGGCCACTTTCCTGGGACGACCACCTCAGATCATCTGGAGGTACTGCGATGTGCAACTTCCTCTGGATCTGCGTTACGACGAGATCCTTGCGGACCCGGCCACTCGAGATGCCGCCGTCAACAGACTGGACGCGAACGGTTGGAACAGCCAAGGCATCATCCAAACGGCCCAGTGGATGCGAGTTTCTCTTCTAGTGGGCTCAATCAGAGAGCAAATCCTCGAATTGTCGCTGAGCCGCTGTGTTGATGACCTTGCCCGGAAGGCCAAGTGAGTTCAAGACTCAAATCTGCAATCGTCTGGCCGTTATTGATAATGTCTAGGCAAGTGTCTGATATCTCCTGCAAAACTTGGGATGAACTCCCCGGTTTCCTTCGCTGGCGTCCTGGCAGTGCCAGCTCCGAGGACAGTGGCAGTCTCCTCATTCCTCTCTATCTTGACTTCCTTTACAATGATTTTCTTCTCTCCCGGCTACTGGTCAGACGCTCCCAGACCGAATCGGACGCCTTGATCAATGTCTCACAGACTATCCTGGGCACGGCTCTTGACCTCATTGGGAGGGAGATAGCATCGGGAACTGGAACATACAACATAGGGTGGAACGTAAGTCCACTTCCCAAACCATAAACCGCAGCTTCTCACCAACGCAGGCGTCTTCATTTGGCATCCCGGCTGCTGGCGTCCTCGCAATCGAGCTGCTGTGCCAAAGTGACGGATCATCACGGTCTACTCCATCGATGTTCCGACGGCCTGAAACCATCCAGAACCTGAGCGTCTTTGCATCCTACCTCCAATACGTCGTTCTACCACATGAGGGAAATTATGAAATCTGCCAGCGTGCGCGCCGTATCCTTTGCCGCATCCTCAACCAGGCCTTATCGGTCAATCCGCCGACGTTGCCCTCTAGTGTACCTACCTCTGCGGTAGCGGCGGATTGGTTGAATGGGGAGTCGATCTTGCTGGACGATGGGACAAATCTCCTGGAGTGGATCGAGAGTCGACTTGATTAGCCGAATAGCTTTCGCCGTATGCATTGGAAGCATCTACCTGGTCTATAAGAGCTATATAATGAACACCTAAGTGTACCTCAGCACTGTACTTCAGCACTGACACTTCCCGAACCCTGTCAATAGCAACTGCACAGGATCATGGTGCTTCCTACCTCACTCGGCGCAAGACTGACCGATTGAGATGCTCAGGAGACACCGATTTGATCCCCCCAAGGTGCAGAGTGAGCTCCAGATCCGCAAGGATACTTCGCAGGACATGCGAGACACCCGCCTCACCCGCAATAGCCAGTCCATACGCATACGGCCGCCCGATCAGCACCATCTTCGCCCCGAGCGCCAGCGCTTTAGCGACATCCGCACCACCCCGGACCCCTGAATCAAACAGCACCTCCAACCGGTCCCCCACCGCATCCACAATCTCCGGCAGCACATCAAGCGAGCCGATGCCCCCATCCTGCTGCCGCCCCCCATGATTCGACACCACAATCCCCTGAACCCCGACCTCCACCGCCCGCCGCGCATCCGCCACGCTCTGGATCCCCTTCAACACAATCGGCCCGTCCCAATGCGCCTGCAAGAACCCAATCTCCTCCCACGAGTGGCTCCGCCCAGGGAAGATCATATGTGCCCACTCCGCCGCCGCGACACCCATATCCTCCTCGACGTCCACCCCATGCCTCTCCCTAAACCGCCTTCGGAACACCGGATCCGAAAACCCCAGCTCGACGCCGATCTTGTCTGCCCGCAGAAACGGGTTATACCCATTATTCAGATCCGACGGCCGCCAGCCGAGGATGTACGTGTCGAGCGTGACGACTAACACTCTATACCCTGCGCACTTCGCCCTCTGAAGCAAACTCGCCGTAATCTCATCGTGCTCGCGCAGCGGCCAGTAAAGCTGGTACCAGCGCGCCCCGTCGCCGCTCGCCGCCGCTACATCCTCGATACTCGTCGACGAGGCCGTGCTCAGGATATACGGGACGTGCTGCGCGCTTGCAGCCTTCGCGGCCGCGACCTCCCCGTCGCGGTGGAAGATGCGCTGGACGCCGATGGGCGCCACGGCGATGGGGTAGTCATATTCGTGGCCGAGCACTGTGGTTTTCAGGGAGGGGAAGTCGGCGCTGACGAGGCGTGACGGGATGAGGGCCCATTTGCGGAGGGCGTCGCGGTTGTTGGTGTCTGTTTCGCGGAGGCCGGCGGAGCCCCAGATGTAGCTGTAGCTGTCGGCGGAGAGGAGGTCTCGGGCGTGGGTTTCCCAGTCGTGCGGGTTGAAGCTGATGGCCGGTTTGATGTTTTGGAGGCCGTTGGCGTAGACTTCGTTGCCGTAGGTGTGGGGGGCGTTTGCCATGTCTCTACCTTGGTTTTTAGCTGTAGTGTTGTAGGGTTGATGTACTTATATTGCATGGAACCACGTCATTGCGCTAGATAAGTCTCGCACGGAATGACTGAGAATGACGATGTCAGCCAGACCCGCACAAGCTATCTAGCTTGAGATAAACAGAATTGACAAACTGCTTGAGATGATAATCAACTGATGGTCTAGAGCTGTATTGCCTGTTTGTTGCTGCCGACCAAACCGGACGGATCGGGCTGACCCACAGCATGATGCAATAATGGGTACGTCCTCTACCAAGTGCTGACTTGATGGAAGTTGTTCCGTGGTATCAGTAGGATGATTCACTGTCTCATATTATGTTAATCAAAATTTGTCTCTCTGTTTATTGGAGCTTTCCAGCTGCATACTAACTATGGGTCAGTATATATACTTATGTCAATAGAAGTGCTACTCCAGGCCTATTACATTCAACTAAGGAATGTAATGGTTGCAGACTAGAGATGAGTATCAGCATGTAAATGTTTTAGAGAATAATTACATTATCCTAGACGTTTAGATCCCTAAGGATCGTGCAGCAGCAGTCAGAACTTTAGCTAGGATATATTCTTATGTGAACACAAGGTGACAAAGTCCAGGAATCCTTCTCATCCTACGTCCAATTCTGCGCAGACACCAAGTATCACTGCCGCCATTCCCTTCAAGTGGAGTCTTATTTAGGCTGACAAACCTAGCAAGAATCAGCCATGCCCAACTCATAGATGACACTGTACTCACCCCTAGATCCGGACTGATATATACACACTTAAGCCCAGGGCAGCACACTCCAATCGGACCAGCAATTGTAGCACAGGTCTGGTCTTCTGGATGGCACACATACTCATCCAGAGGACTCGGCGCAGCCAGAGCCATAGCAGTGAGGGATATAAGCAGGTAAATCAACTTCATTCTGCGTATTGTCAGTATCCACTGAAACATAAAGAGAACATGACCTACTCGAGAGTGTAAGTGATAGTGAAGGATGCTGATCAGGATCAGAGAGTTGGATGGGAGGGCTGGACTTTATACCTGTTGACTGCAGCTAAGCATGCATCCCAGCGTTACCTCACCTAGTCGTACGGGCGAGACAAATTTTTGCGCTGGATAATTAATATTACATGTGTTTACGCATTGCATTCCAAAGCAAAGGAAAGAGACATGAATATGAGGGATATTTGTCAGTGCTTGCATGGCCTGACTGTTATTAACGGCATGCACCAACGGTCAATGGTCAGTGGTCAGCGGTTGATATAACTGGAATCCAGCCCCAAATGCATCATTCTGTCGGCCTATATAATGAACTAAACCATATTTGGCTGGATGCTTTCTATCCTAGCCTTTGAATTACATACTGCCCATTACTAAAAAATGGGGCCAGAAAAAAAAGTGGACTCGCCGGGAATCGAACCCGGGACCTCTCCAAGACCCATTGCATATGCGAATGGAGCGTTATACCCCTAAACCACAAGCCCTTCTTATTGGTATTTGCTTTACATCAGCAAAATATATGGCACTTTAGCATACAAAAGTACCAGTGTCTTGGTGAGGTTGTCTTTGTTCCTTGAACTCAGGATGTTAGGCCATATGAGACTGGAGTGCTACTGCTACTGCTGTCTGTTGCTGACACTGTCTCAGGAAGTTCATGGGAATTGGAATCAAGACCTGCAAGGTTGGAAGCAAGGGGTTAGCTACTGATCACACAGATGCTGTCAGCTAAGGGCATTCGATTGATGTGTAACCACTTAGATATACTGGTCGTCTACTTCGTATATATATTGAGTATGGCCTGATGTACCATTCTTTTTACCTAATCAGTGTAACCTGGGTTCGGTCACATCAATCCAATGGCTGAGACCTGCATATATCCATACACTTAAATTTGAACATATTGATTGAATAATTTCCTAGGTATACATCGTATCTCGTAATGACCAAACAAAAACTTCAATTTGGGGTGGTGAGGAAAGACGAGCACCACTACTGCGGCAACTCCTCAATCCTCACCATCAATCCAGGAGGAACCTCTACCTCGTAGAGTTCCTCGACAGTCATATCGTCAGGTGCTTCAACACTGAACCAACTTAGTATGGCTGTTCTGTAGAAAGGTGTTTCAGGGAGGCCTACGTCAAGTACTGCACCGGGGGAGAGGTGTCGCTGTGTTCAAAGGTATCAGGGAAGACGAGGTCTTCGCCTTCGTAGATTTCGCGGAGGCTATGTGACCGTCAGTATGAATCTAGAAAGTGACAGTGAGCTAACGCACTGTTCTGCAAGGGTTTTGCCATCGCCGAAGCGGGCGTGGGCTTGTTCATTGGAGAAGTAGACGTCGAAGCTCTAGAGACGGGTCAGCGAGGTTCCATACTCGACTGCTGGATCTGACTGACAAGGTCCTTGGTCATTGTGGTGGTTGGTGGATGCAGCAGAAGGAATTGAAGGTTCTCTGGCTGATTGAGAGACACGCGACCGCAGGAATCCCTTTATAACTGTTGAACACCCCGCAAAAGATGACTGATGACAGACATGCAATGGTCATTGCGTCTGGAGATGATCCAGATAAATGGTTTGATGGCACGCAATCAGATGGTTGAGCGATATTCTGTATATGGACTTGATTGGATGTGACCTTTGGTGGTGAGATCATGGATACTTCATGATGGCTTGTATTGGTCAATGGACGGTGATTTGCTTGCGGGGAAAGACTGAGTTGGTGATGATCCACGGGTGGCCTGAGTGATGATTCTAAGTGGTGAGATAATGGGCAGATCTGGGGTAATCAGTTGATGTATCAGGATATCTTCATCAATTGACTTTCATCTCAAGACTCATCCTAGAGTGGTACATGAGGTTAATAGTAATTGGTTGTACATCATCAGTCGTTTATGGAGAACAAACTAAAACTCACCATGGTATGGCCACACTACACAATCTAGTTTATGTATTTCTGTTAGACTACCTTATCATTTTATGCTGTCTTATCTATCCTAACTCTAGCTTAATTATGTTTATTTATGCCATCAGTGGAATGGTTACACTACAACTTGCTGGTGTCTTAGCAAGGGATAGTTAAGCACTCAGCATGACCATGTAAGCAATGACTCTACCCAATCAGTTTCAATCATTCACATCTTCACTAGGTACCTAACTACGTAGGTAGACAATCTATCCACTATCTCTCTGTCTAGCGTTCAGCTGAATTAAAATCAATAGTCGGTGGGTCTTGCTCCAATTGCTGGGCAACAAAAGGCCGCCAAGGATCATCACACAGAAAAAGCAATAATAGTAGCAAACATCAAACACTTCATGCAGCTGAACAGGCACGACTGCATGTCCAGTCTTAAATCAACGGATGTCCCACTGCTACCTTATTTCATCTCATAAAAGTCATCAATGGACCTCAACTCGCTATCAGCATGGAGCATCCTGCTCACACAATGGCTTCTCGTCCAGCTCCTGACAGGATGGACAATCGCCTTCACACAGCCATACTCCAAACTTAGACCGGCTGTCACTGTACTTGTCATCGCACTCGCCTACTCCTTCCAGACTCAAGTCCGCCAGACCTTCGCCGAGACTCGCGCGCGAGGACCCCTAGCCGCCATGTGCTGGGTCAATGTGCTCAACGCGATCGACCTGTTAATGTTGAGCCGGGTCTCGTTCGACGAGCAGATCGCATGGAAGACGAAACTCAGTCAAAGCAAGACTGCAGACAGTAGCTACTCGAGAAGACTCGTCTGGTCCATCGAAATGGCCTTCAACTACCGTCGCGTCAACACCCCGTGGCAGATCCGCGCTGTCTCCGCGTTCGACAAGTACAACCCGGGCTTCGTCCCGGACAAGGTGGAGTTCCTGCGTCAGTGTGCGCTCAGAGTATGCGGGTCGCTGCTTGTGCTGCATTTCTGCACTATCGATGCGGGGGATGCTCTTCTTGCGGGAATGGTTTCCGAGATCTCAGACTCCAAGAAGGTGTTACTCCCTACGTGGGAGGAATGGACTGCGCGCCGCGCGATCGTCCAGATGCTATTCACCGTTTCTTTTGGGCTCATCACGCGAGCGGCTATACTGGGAACGTATAGCCTCCTCGCGATGTTCTGCGTCGCGGTGGGCGCGTACGAGCCCGTCGACTGGCCGCCGGTTTTCGGCAACTTGGGCGATATGTACTCGTTGACGCGGGTCTGGGGGTGAGTGATTTAGTGATCATTTTCCTGCTGTGACTAGACTGACGGAAGTAGAATCGCCTGGCATCAGATCCTACGTAAACTAGTCACATCCAATGCGGATTTCTTATTGTACGACGTTCTGAGACTCCCGCAGGGGATTGTTGCCAGGAGTCTCCGGCTGATCATGGCGTTTGCCACGTCGGGGTTAGTCCATTTTCTCATGGATCTCGGCTTCGGGGTATCTCTCGACCAGAGCGGAGCGTTGTGGTTCTTCTGTCTGCAGATTCCGGGCATCGCGTTCGAGAATCTGGTGTGGTGGACTTGCCATGGAATGATCAATGGGATGGGTTATCGTTGGAGAAAGGCTATCGGATATGTCTGGGTAGGCCTTTTCTTTCTGTGGGTGACTCCCGTCTGGCTGAACCCCATTATCCTGCGATTGTATCAGGATGGTCAGAGGATACCGTCTCCGTTCTTGGTGTTCAAGGGTGTTTATTCTCTATGATGCGCCTGCCTCTACATTGAAGATTGTTGGCTCTATAGACATCGAGTTAGTGTCAGTAGCATTATAGATACACGAGGTTCCACGATCGACAATACAGAATGAGAACAACCAGATACTTGTATACGACCGCGAGTAAAGGACTTGGGTTAGATATGTAACTAGCATCGGTTGGTCCTCTCAAGGCTAGTCACTGCCTTCGTGGATCCAGCAAGTATCAAACTCCGAAGCCATGATCATTCTCCTCCGTACACTCCCATAGCCGATTCTCACCCATCAAGACAGCTCTACGTTAGCGGGATCATATACTGCTAGTTGTTCGAGCGGGGACGAGATTGTCTACTCTACTGGTTCGATTAGACGAGGCTCAATACAGTTTCAGCTTTAATTAGAGGGTCACGGATGTATCCTCAAGTAACCCTTTACTCGACTACAGTCAGTCTCGCGTCGGTGACTAGCTTCTACGCCATTTGAAGAGGAGGCCGGATACAGCAGATGTATGTATAATTATCAAGGAGGCATATTAGCAGGATACGATCCCACATGCTGATTGTTGAGCTGGAATATGCGCGCGTGCAAGTGCCTCATTGACAGCAAATCTAAGATTGAAGGAGCCAGAGTACGAACAGAGTGAAAACTTTAATCGAGATCAGTCTAGAATAGCCCTCAGGGCTGAGTCTGAAAAGGAATGAACCGTTGCTGATCAGCTCCACTACTTCGATGGACGCAAGTTTTAGCGCCAGGTTTGTCACCAAGCAAAAGCTGTGATAACCAGTAAACTTGTATTCCGTGCGTCGTATGACAGCTCACAGACCTTATTGACGCCATGCTGAAGGCATTCGTATCATCAGGCACAGCCTCAGCCTCATGCCCCAGGCGCCAATGCACAGAAACGGCGCAAGGCTGCACAAGGCTCAATAAAGGAACCACAAATTCGGAAAGGGATACGACAAGCGAGACACTAAATTAGATCTGGCCAGAGCTGACGGAAAATCCTCCCTGAAGAGGAAAACAAGGAAGAAGGTTGAGGCTATTCCATCACTAGCCCCATCTGTTCCAAAGGGTCTTCGACACCCATACGAACTCATCTCCACTCATCTCCATTATCACGATGTTTACCTTTCTCCAATTACTGCAGGGCAGAAATCACGCAAATCAGACACCGCAAGACCCCATTCCTGTTGGTTCCGATCTGTCGATCTGCGAAATACGAGAAATCACTTCCTGTGGCGCTTTCTTTGACCAGTCAACAGCGGCAAGGCACTTTTCTTCCAGCCTGATTGGAAGGCCAAGTCGAGAGGAATCATGCCGCGACACGAGCTTTAGGCCAAGTGACAGTCATGAGGCTGATCTCAAGGCTATTTAAATACAGCTTGCGCAGCCGCTCTGCGCGTCTCCTCTCTCCGTCAACATCACAAAGACCAGAGCAGCTTGTTCGCAAATAGCAAAATGCGCCTCCCGGCCATCATCCCCTCCGCCCTCCTAGGCGTCGCCTTCGTCTTCGCCGTCATCGAGCTCGGCCTCGGCGGCCACATCGCCTCCGTCTCTACCGGCTCCCGCAAAATCCCCGTCTACGACTCCTCCAGCTCCTGGGGCTACTCCTACAAGACCATCAAGTTCTCCGTCCCTGGCATCGTCGCCTTCCAGATCTTCACCGCTGTCTGGACCATGCTCGTCTCTGTCGCCGCGTTCCTTCTCCCCTGGTTCTTCCGCGTCAAGGCCGCCCCCGGAACACGGCTCAACACGATCATCACGGGCGCGCTAGGCGGCGTGTACTTCGTGACGATGGTGTTCTGGCTCGCGTGCTTTGCGGACATCGCGGCCAAGCTGGATGGGTTGGGCGCTACGTCCGATTACTATAATGCGGTGATTGCGTTTGCGGTGCTCTCGTGGTACGTTTATTTTTTCACATCCGTCTAATTACCCCCCGGAGAGGTCAACGTGGCTAATGCAAGTGAGCAGGCTGCTCTTTGTCGCGCTCTTCGTCATCGTTGTTCTTGCCATGCTTGGGATTCTGGAGTGTGACGCCCCCGGATTCGCCGGCATGAGGAAGAGGGAGAGGGCTGCGACGCAGGGAACCCAGATGCAGACAGTCGAGGTTGCATAGATATGATGTCGTAGTTCCTGGCGAGCGGCGGTGGATTAAGTTCATGATAATCCAGCTAGCCTGTCACCAGGAGATGAGAGAAAAGTGTACGCTGCGGAGATGATGTCGACGGATGATACCACCATATACCCATGCTTAATTTAATAATTCTGATATCCAATCAATTATTTCTTCACTCCTGTGCATCTGCACGTTGTCTCATCTCATCCTATGCTTCCACTCAAAATAGTGCTTTTCTGATGTACCACATATTGCGTTTATCCAACCAGGCAAGAATCGGTTCGATCTCGCGGAAGCTGGGGGTAACGAATATCATCCAGTCGAATAATGAGGATATTATCGGTCTGCTATGGAATGCATGGATTTCCGCCCGTGATGGAAATGCTGGTGGCTCATTGGAACTCGGAAAAGACCTCCGCTGTGGGGACCCCGCCTCCAAGGACGAGATGCGGAATCGGTATTCTTCTCGCAGTAATCCCAGGAGAGTGCGCGTGCTGTGACAAGGAGGATTGTGACCAGCACAAGCCTTTTCTGTTTCTGCCAGGAACACAGCTGATACAGACGATGATGTACAGCAGATGGCAATTGAGCCGCCTTCTGGTTTCGGTGTGGTGGATTGACGCTTGCCTCTCGTCCTCGTCAATCGAATTTCGATTGATTGAATGAGGACGCGAAGATCAGTCCTTGGTATCAACGTATCGATCATTGTGTTGAATCAGACGCAGTGAATCGTACAAGACGACAAACATAGACCTCATCCCTTGTTGTTGTTCGATACTCCGACCGCAATAACAATTGAGAGTATGAAAATCACCAGATTCACCTGTATCGTTAGCCAACTTTCACTCAGGAGAAGGAAGCATACCTACCAGACCAATAAAAATCCCTATCCAATTTAGCTCCCAACCCCCTGCATAGACCTTCCCATGTGCGACAGCGCTCTGCTGCCTCCAAAACCGATGCGCTCCCATCAGAGCGACTAGAATGGCAACCACATGACAGGTAACCGCAAGAGGTATCCCAACTCTATAGTAACCCAGGCGAGCATGGTCAGCGGTCTTGCTCTGCAGACGAAACAGCTGAGCGATGAACACACCCTGCATGGCAACGGTGATCGAGGTACGGATATACGCCAAGAATGTTCGTTCCAGCGCTAGATGCTGTTAGCCTTCGAATTGCTTTTGCTTAATACCATTCTCTGGTGGGACTCCGCAGACGGAGAATGGACCTTGAAAATAAATTCTATCCAATGCGATAAATCGAAAATAAGCATACGTACCAAAATGGTCACGGTTGCTCTTTTGTGGCACCGTCAAACAAACGTTATTTGCCCAGAACCGTTGAATGTAGCCCAAGACCCCCTTGCGTGGCTGCCGACTGGAGCTGCTCCGGGATACCGTGCGACGAGTAGTGACTCGGTATTCTGCCGAAGATATCGATCCCGATGACAGATCATCCAGCTGGTCATCCTGAGTCGGAATTTGTTGGAGTTCGAACCAATCTCTCCTCTCTATGCCATGGCCGGACGGTCGCGATGCCTCACTCTCGGTCGGCGACTGCAATCTGGATTGGTGAGTGCCGGAAACGGAGGAGGTCGAGGAGTAGGGCTCAGCGGAAGGCGCATGCTCGGCAGAAGGGTTTGCCATTATTGTCAGGAAAGATGAAGAGGCTTATGCGATGTTGTCATTGCGGGCTTGGATGATGCGATGGGGAAGGAGAATGAGTGGTGGATTGTGTCTGGGGTAGAGAGCGAGCTAAGTACAAGACCCATCTCTGTTTGGGTCGGCGAATCTGGCCGGTTCAGGCAATAAGGCACGGCCATTGATCGCCGACCCATTTAGTCCCAGTTCCCACAATTTACTTGGCAGACGATATCAAGTGTTTTTCTGGTCATATCGGGGTTTGTACAAGATGCGGTGTAGACACTCTACAGTCATGTCCACGAGTTAGTTAATTGTAGGAATGAATTCCCGAGCGTTGCGCGGACATTTGACAGGTCAAGCCACGACCACCCTCCTTGCAGACACACATGGAATTCCCCTGAAACATGGAATTGGCCTGGATGAGGTCATGACCAAATTGTCCGAAGCTGCCCTGATCCATACTCTTTTTAACTACTCCAGGAAATGCCATTGTTGGTCACGTTGCGGTGGCGAAATACGTTCCATCTCCGGAAACGGAAAATTTTTGAGATTGCTTGTTGCGTTGTACTCCGTAAGTGTGGACATAGGGGTTAGCAAATGAAAAGAAAAAGACGACGATGGAATAATACTCCGTGCAAATATAGATCAGAGAAAATATGGATAGGTCAAAAAAAGGAGTGGAGGAAAAAAGAAATCTCCCCGACAGGGAGTCGAACCCTGGTCTCCCGCGCTCGTTCTCGTTGGAGTGACAAGCGGAAATCATGACCGTTAGACCATCGAGGATTTCTTCGTGGAAGGCTAGCATTTTTGAACTTTATGAAGTCTCTTTTGCAAAGAGAGGAGAATCCTACGAGGATGACCATTTTGGACCTCCCTTCTCGCAAAAACCAGTGCCTTTTCTGTTCTATCTCATAGAATATCTCCAGATCTATCCTGTTATATCAGAAACGTGCTAAAAATCAATCGCTGGCGTGGCTGACTGGTTCCCAGCCACTACTCGTCCACCTTCACATTCCCCATATATATTTCCACCACCATATTCTAGGTTGGCTTTCTACCCAGATCATGAAATTCCAACCACGCCGACTGCTGCTTGTTAGACAAACCTCTACTGGAGGCGGAGCCTCCCAAAACAGCGCTGCCTTGAAAAATCATTCCCGAGGACTTGACCATTTCGGTCATGATCGCACTGATCACTCAGTACATCCGTCAACTGGTTTCCTGCGGTATATGCCCTCCACAATTAGAGTGGAAGTGTTTGATTCCATGATTACTCTGAATTCGAGTTATCAAAGTTGGTGCTGTCGAGAAAAAGATCCAGGCGTCAATTTCCTCCCGATAGGTGCACGTCATATTCTTATTACCTGTCGCAGTCACAGTGGAGGCAACCACCTGGGTCTCTCTGATCCCTGCCTTCCCCACCAGGAACATTGATGAATCGTTCCATGCAGAAAGTCCTTCGTTTCTAGTGTGAATGGAACAACTCCCAGCCCGCCAACGATTTTCTCTGGATCATCAAGAGGGGGTACCTCCACCACAAACCTCGAGGCAGTGATCTTAGTCAATGGCCGCAGCAGAGTTAGCAGGGGAAGCGGCTTGTACCATGTCCCCCTGTCGAGCGAGCGTAAGGTGACAACAAGATCCTCGAGTGCCTCGATACCCGCAAGGACAGCGCATGCATGTTCCCAGGATGAAATAACATTGGCGACGATGGCCCGATTTTCAAAAGCTTGAATGTCAAGCCGGATATATCGTATTGATGCAAGTCGACGAGGGACCATACACAGTGGTAATGCCTCAACCGTAAGCGGGCTGTCGAAGTGGAATCTATTCGATTCATAGAGGAGACCAATCGCCTCTGTGTAACTGTAGCAATGAGCTCGGCCATTACTAGCCAGTATATGACTCCGAAGGAAAACTTACACTCTGCGACAGCTGCAAAGCAGCGGTAATATCTGGTTCTGATGGGGGCTCTCACCGGGCAATCGCCTTACCACTGTGCCGTCTTCGGCCAAAGGAGGGCAACAGGAGCTGTGGATATCACTTTGCACATCCACCTGTCGGTTTAAATTCCTGCACGGCATGCTGCATAGTCTCCGATGGGTTCGCCGGACATGGAGCGCATTCGACGGCACAAGAATCTCGCGATATATCATGCTGCGGATTTCAGGGGCTAGCTTCTTGAAAAATAGGGACTGGAGCTGGTCGTGACATCGTTGCTGCACATCCTCCAGCTGCGGCCGGAGAGGAAGGGTCAGAGAGCGGCGGGAGCGTGACAGAGCGACTGGTGGATGGCCTCCAGTCGTACGGATTTTCTTCACTATCTCCGTCGGATGAAGTGCATACCAGAGGCCGTTGGAGATTAAGGTCGCTGCCCAGAAGAACCACAAGCCGATTATAAAGAGGGCGACGAGGACAGTTTCCGCTGTTTGTTCAGCGACGGACCTGACGCTCATCCCTAGTACAACATTTGTCGCTGTTATCGCCAGGGTCAGTTCTTGTCGATATGACAGTGCCTCAATTGGTTCAGAATATTGGATATGATACGAATTCACCAGAGAGTCTGCCTGGGATCTGCCTGGTAGGCTTCCCTCGTGTTGGTCTTGGCGGTGGCCTTGGCCGTCTGCATCTCAGTTGCTGCAAAAAATCAGAAGAATGACCAAATTTGGTCAAAACGTTCATTTCTATAAGCGGAGGATAATACATCTCTCCCCGTGTCTGTTCGCACGAGGAGACTAGATCTTCCATAAGCCGAGTCATCAATCTAAGAGACCAGGACACACAAGACAGTAAACAAGAGGCCAGATAACAACATCACCATGGCGAAAAATGACAACCCACTCCTCTAATCTGATCCAACAACATAATGCTCTCAAATCTCTTTCTAGCATGTCTACTATCCAGCATCAGTATCACCGCACATGCCTCTCAGACAGCTACTATAACACACAACCATGAATTCAAAGCAGTCCAGAAATCCCCCAGCGTCATCATCACCGGTCCCTCCTCCCTCAACATAACCCACCTGCTCGCACACAGACACACAAATACAAACTCACCCAGATATAAATATGAATCTGTTAATCACAACACCTATCGCCCCGGCGACACAACCTTCCACAGCTTCGCCTTCTCCCTCCAGGAAGAATGGCAGTTCGCGCTGCGGGGATACTACAATCTCGCGCGGTTCACTGCAGAGCCCCCCGGCGCCGACCGTCTACCAGGCTTAATCTGGGTCCAGGAGAATCAGCTCTACGCTCGTCTAGTCACTGGAACGCCTCATGAGCGCCAGATGAGGACTTTTAGTCTAGGAAGTGTGAAGCTGGGGAGGTGGTATGTGGTGTCTATTCTGGTCAAGTGGGGTGTTGAGGGGAATGGAAATCTCCAGTTTTGGGTTGATGGGGAGAAGGTACTGGAAGAGTTGGGAGTAGATACGATTATTGATGATGGGCGGCTGTTTCGGTTTGAGAGTTGTGGGTTGGGGAGGTGTTTGGGGGTGTAGATTATGCTGGATTGAGAGAAGCGTCTGGTTATTGGAGGTGTATTGATTGGTTGAGATGGCATTTCGGGATCATAAATAAGTTATTTGTTTTAGGGAATCATTGATGAGTGTATGTACTTTCGTCTTCAGCGAAGCACCGCATTGTGCAAACCATAAAGCTTTTGTTGACATACAACACATATCTAGAAAAAGAAATGGCAGCGAGGCCTAAACCTTACTATCTTCATACCGCGCAAGGCTATTCCTTCCCGTCGCATTGAGAACATAGAATGGTAGGATAGGCTGCGCTGTTTCAGGCGACAGCTGCGGATCGACGATTTCCCTCTGGCGTGGCACGGACACGGACACCTGGTCAGGCCCTTCCAACGGAGCAATGATCGAAGTGGACATATTCGGCATTGGAGAAAGATGCGGCGTGCTAGGTCTGAAGAGCGGGTGGATGTTCTTCTCAATAGCCTCGAGGAGGGACTCGCGAGCAGTCTGGGTGGGAGTCGGCATGATGCCTTCCGCGCTTTCCTCATTGTTGGATTCAGGACACCGAATGACGGTGTCGATGGATGGAGTCGATTGGAGGGGCTTTTTCCTGCTGCGTGCCTGCAGAAAGAGCGGCTCGGGGTCTTTGCAGGTGTAGTAGTTTGGGAGTGGGGAGCGGAGGATGCTTGTTCTGACGCTCATCTCGCTCTGAGGGGATGGTAAGGGGTCGAGGAATGAGGGGACAGGTGATAGGAGGGGGTTCCTCCATTGTGGACTCTGCGGTGAGATGAGGTTGGTCGTTGAGAAGACCGAGTCGGCTGTGCGGCCGATATTAATGGGTGGGTTGGACACTCGACCGGATTGGTTGTCGAGGATGTTGGAGAGGACAAACGAGAGGGCAGAGAGGAATCCTTGACAGTATGCTGAGATCGTCCATACGACGGCATGGGCTATGTTCAGAGAGAGCCACACGCTGCTGGACGAACTCTTTGGCCTGCTGAAGTAGAGGTGTTGCACCCTCTCACCGCTGATGATGGCGATATTGATAAAGATGATGAGACAGAAGAGAGCTCGAGCTCGGAATTTCCACAGGATCCATTCCGTCGTTTGAGGTTCGCTCTCAAAGTATAATCGGTAGGACAGAAGACCAACAAGTATGAAATTGACGGCTGAGAGAGATACGCTGCTCCATCTGGTAGGGTTGGGTCCGTTTGATGGGCTCTCTTGAAGCATGTAGGAAGTAATGGAGATAGCAAGATCAGTGAGAACGGAAAAGGCCGTGATACTGCCTACGAGGCAGACAAGCATGGTTCTTCCCATGCTGACTGCAAGGGTGTATAATAGGATACCGAGATAAGCAATGTAAGCAATGGACGGATGGATAGAATCTAAGGTGAACTCCAGATTGAAAATCACTGAAACGGAATGTTGGAATCAATGAGAAGGCGTGAGCATTATCATAAGCCTTTTCAACAACTCGCGACATTAAAAAATCGAATTAAGTTTGCAAGTTAGCGAAGAGAGTCAATGACGACTACATCGCATCAAGATCTAATCAAACTCAAGCTTGGTGACAGAGAAGGCAGTCTGAATTGCAACTAGAGGTAGTCAGGCTATATAGACTATGATGGACAAAACCTTCTCTCTTCGTCTTCTGAGTTGTCCCTCTTCATCGGAGCTACGTGCCATGCTGGTCCAGACTCGAGCTCCACTTGAAATCGGAGTTACTGATTTTGACAGAGACCATGCGGTTTGGTTGCATATTCCCTGATTGAATATCAACGGTGTGGTGGACATCGGCCAGTGAGAATTGCCAACGGGCATCCCGGCTCATGAATCAGGGCAGAAATTGGGTCCTTCATGACCGAGTCCAATCGGGTCTGCTGCCTATTCCTTAGTGTCTCTTTTAGTCTCTCTTAGCTTCTGCTTTGTGGGGTCAACGGGACAGAAGCTCGCCAAATGCCCCGCTTTTACCGTTGGGCATGCAGTTCATTGCTAGTATTGAGGTTGTCGCTGGAAGCTTGGACAATGAACTGCGAAGTCTTTCAGGAACACAGCATGTTCTCTTTTTCTCGGGAGATCGATCTAGACTGCCTCTCTAGGCCTCTATTGATGTCGGAGATCAATCATCTTCTCCCAGAACAGGAAGAGCATGAACCAGCTGCTTCTAATCATTATCCACTGGCTTTTAGTGCGCACGAACATGACAGAAAATGATGTAATGATTATGGGGAAATGCAACCATAATAAGGTTAATATTCCCGTTCGGTCAAATGTACCTATCCAAAATCGGCCATCGTATCGTGATGATACACCATTAAGTAACGAACAGATGATAGAGTTTACTCAATCATCAGCATGGGAGTGGCAATCGTACTTTATAAGCCCAGAGTAATACGGATTTCTCAATCTACTACGTATTACTCTCCATGTATCTGGTCCAGCGGATTCGTCATATCGAAAACCCATTGGCGAGATACAGTTCCCGACTTTTACCTCCCTGGAGGTTGAATATTATATTCTACATGAATTAATGATATGCATCCTAGTATACATATCTCATTCAATACTAACCTACTTCCGCTGAACAGCAACATCTATGAAACATGCAAGCAAAAGTGGAACAGAAGCACATCGCTAGATACAAGAAGAGAGAAAAACTAACCGTACAGACAGCCGAAGAGAGGAGATTCATCCATACAACTAGTCTACCGTCAATTCTTCAAACCCATCAAATGCTTGACCCCAGAATCAACCATCCACCACGCCGTCAACTCATGCATCCACTTGCCCACCGCAGTCTCCAACGGCATCACCCCCTTCTCCCCCTTCGGCTTCCACATCAACGTCTCATTCATAAAGACTATCTGATCGTCCTTCTCCGTAATCGTAGTCACCAAACGACCGCGAACAGCCCCCATCGGCTTCAGTTCAAACTCCACTTTCCCCGGCGTCCGCAGAATCACCCGGTAAGCGCCGCAGACGAGATCCCCCTCCTTGAAATCCAGGCGCTCGAGGTTCGCAGCCTTGAAACTGGGCTTTTCGGCCTCTGTACTCATCGTTCGCAGGATATACGCTTGCGGCAATCTCGTGAAGCTACTCATATTCCGCCGCATCAAGCGGGTGAGCAGTTCCTCAGTCGGCAGAGCGGGGAGTTTCCCGCGTGGCACCGATATCGAGGCCGAGTCGTAGACGGCTACTGTCTGCTCGGTGAAGACCTCATCGGGGGCGGTGGTGATATTGGAGGATATTGAGCGCGGAAGATGTCCGTGTTGCGCTTTTATTGAGATGCGGGATTTGAGGTTCTGGCGGAAGAGGTAGACGCCCACGGCGGTGGTGCCGAGAATGGCGGACGTTATAGGAATGAGAGCTTTCATGATGTGATGCGACTCGGCTGGTGAAGAAAATGGAATGTTTGCGAAAGTGGGCGAGCTCGTATGGATTAAATAGAACGGGTTACGGAAATGCCAACGTCACGAGTCCGAATACGAGATCTGGACGCCAGCATGACCCACTCGCATTCTTGACTTTATTGTTATGCTGCGAATGATTGGTCCATATTCGGCCAAGATGAAGTGAGGGACTAATTTATGTCCATAAATTATCATAAGTGATACATAACTGTATGAAGATGCATATGACAACTTATACATATTTCTATAAGAGTGGATGAGCAGATGATGAGATTAGATAACTTAATGACACAAGGGAGAAGATTAGAGCTGTTAAGGAAATGATTATAAGATACAGATAGACAGCCCATGAACTGGCCTCTTGCCAATAATGAAGAGAACAAAATCGTCTACAGTATCTAAAACATAATGGGAACATATCTGGAAACCCGGTACCTCGTCTAGAGGAGTGAGGCATAGCATACATCAAATTCTGAATGGCCTCATCTAGAATTCACATTACAGACATACCCTCTACTGTTCTCTTCGTCTCTAGCTACAATAAAAAAGCTAAGCAAAATTCAAGACGAGCTCATTTGAAGGGCTCATGGTGAATATCTCTTATCATATGTGCCCATGAAGGACACAACATAGTGGATGTATACTAGCTTGTAGCCTCATTCCAAGGTGAAAGTGAGAATTCAAGGCATAAGCGTGCAACCTCTATCATAAATCTTCTTCTATGAGCATCATCTTTCGTCTCACCTATCACACTTGTGTTCCTCTGGATCTCCTTACTAAAACAGCGATAGAGTTGCAACCTACCCATACATGCAATATGGCCGCCCCCTCTAGAGTGCACGCCTCGAAGTTACTCCATCTGCCGACTAAGGTCATCCAGCTTATTGTGGATCACCTGTGGCCCGAAGAAACGATATCGCTTCTCATTGCAGTCCCAAAGTTCGCCAATCTCGTGACTGCTGAGCAACTGCGGTATCAAGACGAATGGGGCTATACCATATTGCACTGGGCCGTTGATAAGAACGCTGAAGCCATTGTCAACCTCTTTGCCAGACGTTGTGCTGAGGACCAGGTGGCTACTTGCCAGGGCTATACGCCTTTACATCTTGCTATTTCTGAAGGTCGCAACAAAACTGCTAAAACGCTTATCAATGCTGGTTTTGACTTGTTGGCCCAGGATCGACTAGGAAGGACTCCGCTTCATTGGGCCTGTTCTGAAAGCTGGAGGGACAACAATTTTACTGAAAACGTCCAGCTCATGCTCGCTAAGGCGGCCGACCCTTCGGTTGTCGCGGAATTCAAGGAAACACTTCTGCACGCCATTCTTGAGGCTGAGCTAAACCCCAACCTCGCAGTTGTCCAGATGGTGATCGACGCTGGGGTAGGCGTCAACGCCTTGGACATTGATGGGTTTTCGCCTCTCTGGTGGTCTGTTACCAATGGTCATGAAGATGCCTTTGAACTTCTTCTCACTCATGGAGCGGACCCGCACATACAGACCTATCACGGAACAATTTTACATGAGGCGGTTGCCTATGAACGAGAGAAGCTGGTGAAACGCGCCGCGGAGCTTGGGGTTGATCTATCTGTGCGGGACGGCGAAGCAAACGAGACCGCATTAATGCTGGCTACTCGTCGTGGACTTGACAAACTTATTCAGATGCTTAGGAATGCAGGCGCCGAGACCTGAATATCGCATTAAATTTTATTTCATACGCTCTCTTCCCGGGGTAATCCCAACGAGAGTCGACATGGCTACATTTTCTGCATGCTTTTGTTATCTTTACGATGACCTCCGGGTGAGTGCACATTTATGCGACAGCCACTCATTAAACACAAGAGTCAGGGTGTCTCCGGAAATTAATAGCTGCTGCTAGTATCAACCGCCTCGGCTCACAGCTTTGATAAATGGTGACGAAAGGACCAAATAGTAACCGAATCAGTTCAAAATATGATCTATCACGAGTCTCCTCCGTGAAACCCTGAACACGATTCATTTGTAGATATGTTGAATCAAGTCGAAACCAATCTTCCTAGAGCTAAAACGGATCTTCAGTTCCTTGGGTAGAACTGTGCCTTTCTATCATAGCCTTTAGTTGAGACACTCCTCCTTCGCATCAATAGCAAATGAGTAGTGATTGTCTTGTCGCCAACTACTCGACGACAGCCGCACTCCAATTCATAGCCTCCATTACAGAAACAGTGGTAACAAGGCCCGCGGAGTGATTGATGGAATATTGCAGAATTGCGTTGCCCCGTGACCTCCTATTTTGCTTTCAGGGATTGAACAACTATATGATCGATTTTCTTACAACCCCAGCTAGTGCCAAGTGAAGACCCAAGCAGAGACGTTTTCACTGACACTGGTCATGATTGGGTTAAGGTGATGCTCGGTCTCCAATTCATGGGAAGTTGAGTATCCAGACTCGTGGCCTCCTGCATGTTTTGTATGCTTCTCTCTCTCGGCATTGGTTTTCTTCAGGGTCTACGCGCCTTATTTCTGAAGGAAACCACCTTTGCCACTCAGTACCATTGATTCTAGTTAGATTTGGTTTCATCAGAATGTCTTGGCCAAGACTACATACACCGCTAGCCATGGTTCTCGAGCAGCTGCGTCCAGGAAAGTGCAAAGAATCAACTCACCATATCTTTCCTATCTATTCAGAACAAGGCCTTAGATTCGAATGGTCTTCATGAGCAACAGAGACGAGACGGACAAACTGCACAGTAGACTTGTCCTATGTCCATCACATCTTCTCAAGGCAATATCTTCTGCACGGGATAATGCCGTCACGAGACATGCCCGAGCGCTGTAGCCATCAAATATACCAATCAATTCGGCCCGCGTGAGACACGCTGCAGGTGGTTATATTAAGGCGGCAGTCGGATGCTATCCCGAGCTCAATTGAGAAAGGAGATAGTCCACCACACTGGATGGGCTCATCTCATAATGCTGTCTACATCCGCTATGGGTTAATAGCTCCGTGACGAAGGCGAGCAAGACATCTGCTTAGAAACCACTAGTTCGAAGGCTCGATACCCTCCAAATGTCGGTGTACTCAGTCCCGCTGACTACTCGTACCAAACGAAAGTACAAGAGTAGATGAATATATGTATCCACACTCTCCGGATTCAGATACTTTGAGTAGCTAGAAGTGTGTCAACATAAAACCACATGACAAAAGGTGTCCAGGACCACGATTTCTAGCTAGTAGAAATGGTAGAGTGCAGTTTATGCCAAACAATGTGGCAGAAAATATGACAGCCATAACCAATAGGAAGCACTCGGCTCATTTTCTCTTTTATGGCCTCGGGTAAATCAGTACCGAGTACTCCGTGAGTACTTTCTCTGTCGACTACGCCCGGGCTAAGTGCGCAGGGATTTCTGTTCTGGGGCAGATGAAACACAAGAGTCTCTTGGCAGGCGTCGGGGGGCTTGGCACGGAGACATTGCTTCATCGGTGTGATTCATGGCTTATTGAAAGGATCATATAGGTAATGCCAAGAACCTGCTTGATTGTCTCGTCCTGCCGTGTCAGTTGCCTTCTAGTAAAACAATCCCTTTGTCACCGGACTGTGCGGCTGGTGTTCCAGATACTAAGGACTATAGCTAGGTCAAATATTCATGGTTTGTTGATCTGCTGCTATGTATATCTCCAAAGAAACCAAGCTCCATGGGAAAATCTCGGTATCACATCCCATACGGGGAGGGTCCGCTTCTCCACAGCCCCTGCGCTAGAACCATCTAGAGTATGGGCCACTGAAACACGTCCGACCGTAGGAGATTATAAGGGCGCCAAGCATATCATACGCCGATGTTGGCTTTCTGGGTTTGACGGAGCGAAATCCCGTTGTTGTCGCTGCTGTCGACTTGGAAGTGCCGCTGCACCTTTGCCCTGCATAGATACTCCACGGGTCTTGCATATTTCCCCGACTTCCCAAGAGTTGGCGAGTGTGCTGCAGGATGTCCCTGGAAAAAGTTGCATAACAGTCTCCAGTGATCGTCTTCAAGCCCTGCACAATACGAGTCAGAATCAATATGCTCCACCAATGAGCGGCTTTCGGGCGATTGAGTCCTCCAACGGGGTGAGACTAATATACATTAACGCTGGCTATATGGGTCCCTGATTCATTAATCACAGGCAATATGGGTCCCTGAGTCCCCTGACCCAGGTGACAGTTCCCAACTGCTTTCCGCTGGTAAACGCCATGAGTGCTTGGCGTCATGGATCAGGGCTTCGGGATGTTGTTGTCAATGGCGGAAATGGGGTTCATCACCGCCGTTTCACTTTAATATTTGCTTCCTTAAATGTAGAGAACAGGTATCGCAGTGAGACATACCAAGAATACCATATTGCATTGCTTTCGGGATATCCTCAGTCCGGACAGTATAAATTCAGCTCGTCTGCCACCGTTGTCCTCCTCATCACCACGCTCATCTCATCAACACTCCAGACAAGCAAATCTTCCGACTCGATCCATCAATCACCACAATGTATCAACCTCTTCTTCTCCTCCCTCTCCTCCTCACCTCGGCCTTTGCCACCCCCCATGATCCCACCACCCACCAGGCCCTCGACAAGCGCGCCTCCTTCCCCATCCCCTCCTCCAAGGGCAGCGTGACCTACTCCTCCCCCAAGTCCGTCAGCGGCACCTTCGACGGCGGCCTGAAGACCTACGGCCGTGGTGTCAAGTGCAGCGGCCAGAAGGAAGGTGGCGACAAGGACGCCGTCTTCATCCTCGAGGACGGCGCCACCCTCAAGAACGCCATTATCGGCGCCGACCAGATCGAGGGTGTCCACTGCAAGGGCTCCTGCACCATCCAGAACGTCTGGTGGACTGACGTCTGCGAGGGTATGCCCCCCCCCCCCCCTTCCCCCCGGTTCCTTTCCTTTTCGCAATCTCCATCACAGCCTCCGGCTAATGTAATCTAGATGCCCTCTCCCTAAAGGGCAGCGGCAGCGGCACCCACCGCATCATCGGCGGCGGCGCCCGCAACGCCGACGACAAGGTCATCCAGCACAACTCCGGCGGCAAGGTGACCATCCAGGACTTCACCGTGCAGAACTTCGGCAAGCTGTACCGCGCCTGCGGCAACTGCAGCAAGCAGTTCAAGCGCACCGTCGAGATCAGCGGCGTCAAGGCCTCCAGCGGCAAGTCCCTCGTCGGCATCAACTCCAACTATGGCGATACTGCGACTATCTCTGGCTGTGCTAGCAGCGTCAAGGAGATCTGTGTTGAGTATGAGGGTACCGACAACAATGACAAGGAGCCTAAGAAGAAGGGTTCCGGCCCTAGCAACGCTTGCAAGTACAAGGAGCCTTTGTCTAAGTGCTAAGCTGCTGCGCTCGGTCTGAGGAAGGGATGAGTTGGATGAGTTTAAGTGGCATTGTTTGTGTATATACACAGTATCAGCCAGATAATAGTAGCTTCTAGCTTGGATTTGTACCAATACCAGAGATCTCAATAGAAGAGCGCCCACTGTTCTTGACACGGTCGCGTTCAAGAAAACATCCATTTGGACAGGGGAGATAGACTGGAGGAACTCGATAATCTCAAGCATGTATTTGTTGTTCCAAATGGACATCCGTCGTGTACGCAGCCAAGTAGATAGGCGGATGTAGGCGGATTGACTCACGGTATGATGTTTCAGCAGCTTGAGTAAAGGTACGTTTCCTCTATAGAAGAAATGCTGTATCCTTCAAGCAAGGACGCTCGACGCTCGACCGCTGGAGAGAAAAGTGGCTGGTTATTTTGGGCATTCGGGCGATCAACCGGTCATCATCTGCATCTAGATTACTAATGTATCTAGGTCAGTGGAAACATGTGCTGGCCTTGTTCTTTTATTGAACACCATTTCAGTTGACCGTCTGCAGGAGCATCCTTCCTATGTTTGGTTTGCCACCGACATCTCCTGACGTAAATGCCATCAAAGTCCTTTAGCTCTTGCAAGAGCGTCAGGACCGCCGATCCGTCTTAGCGGCCGAAGACAAAGTGTCCCCTTACTGGGTCCTGTGGCCCAGCTGTAATCCGCTTGTATCTTCGACAGCTGGAACTGACGCACATTTGCTGTTCGAGCAGTTCCCTTGCAGATAGGATGGCGATCGGTGCTGAGAACAGGAACTGACTGCAGAGCTGAAGACCTTGTTGCATGACTTACCAGCTCTTATGGGAGTTTTATTGTCAGATTCTGATTAAGGTTTGCAGGAAATGGAGGGACTTATAGCCTCACGTTAGTGAATGGACAAGAGGCTCAGAGTACCAGAGACTTGAGCGATGCCACAATACTGAGTGTCGGGGCCTAACGCTGAACAGCGACATAGTCTGCTGGATAGTTGGGGTCAGATCCTTACTGCCGACGCTGAGACCTGGACTGAGACATCCGTGTAGCCCCGGTTACTGACATCCGGGCCTCGCGGAGAGACAATGATCTCGCTGATGGCGCTCTGGAATCAGTCAAGTTGCATATTGCATTCCAGGACTTCGGAGAATACGTAATTATGCCTGAAATCTGGAGCCACATTGATCCATTCCCTGTGTATGACATGCTTGTAGCCAAAGCTTTGCGGTGTTGCGCCTGCAGCTGGATCACTTGACCGCTACACAACTGACAGCATGAGGGATTAGATTGGCTTTGAGCTAGTATTTGTAATTCGCCATACCTGAGCCAGTCCTACCGAGGATGTGCATTGACTTCTTGACGTCTCCGGGAATGAGGCTGGTCGCATTGCTGAAGCCGCTCCACGCGACTCGGTCACGACGAGATACTTCGAAGATGACAGCAGGAGAACATAAATGCTATTCGACAATGGAACCTGTCATGGCTGAATAGCATTTCAGACACGAGGATCTGTGAGAGGGCTGAGGTCACAATTATGGTAAGCTTACCCCTTGCTGACCCATTCCCGGTTCAATATATCAAATCGCTTGGGCCAAGAGCCAGCGACCATCCCCTTGCTTCATCACATGTCCGAAAGCCATGTCTAAAAGCTTCTTGGTGCTTTCCTAGATCGATAGGTGCTACACCGCATTCTTCAACAGCCGAAGAATGTGCCACTGCCCCAGTCTCCGACGATTAGAGTGAGCAACGGGGTGCGTTAATGGCTTCACGGCAATTTCTCATCCGAGAATGACACCCTCCTTACTCCCAAAGAACAGAGCAAGACATGGCTTGCATGAGGAATGACGAGAGCCTTGTTCCAAGTCCATCTCGAGGATGGCAGGCGTCAATGACATAACGCTTCGACCCTCAAGCATGGTATAAAGAGAGGATGCATCCACGACCAGAACATCTTTCAACACTCACAATCACAAGCACAAGCACAAGCATAAGCATAAGCACACTTGCAATCACAATCACAAACTCAAGCAACCAGCTACTACCAGCAAAATGCTCGCCCGCACCATCCTCGCCGCCCTCGTCAGCGCCGCCTGCTTCGCGACCGTCAACGCGCAGACCTGCAGCGCTGCCAACACGAAATGCTGCCAGCAGCTCCAGGACCCGGATAACCTTAATGCCGATGCCTTGAACCTGCTCCGACTGTTGAACATAAACCCTAATACCTTGACCGGCGCTGTTGGTTTGACCTGTAAGTGTCTGACTGAAGTCTATCCTCCTCGGCTTTGCTAACGAGCCCAGGCACCAGTCTTGTCAGCGGTAGCTGCAATGCGAATGCTGCGTGCTGCAGTGGCAATAACTACGTAAGTAGACACAGCAGAATTCCATCGAGTGGGATGCTTACTTGATATTAGAACGGACTCATTGTTCTTGGCTGCACCCAGATCCAGGTGTAGGCGGCGTCTGCGGAAGGTCCTGGTATCTGGTGAAGCGAGATGCTTGAAACGGTGGATGATGAGTTAGCAGTTAGGAGATAAGTAGTAAATCAAGAAAAGGTGCTCAGTTTTCTGGGCCAATGAGAGGGTCTTTCGTAGGAATTCCGAGAGGATCTATCCAATAACGTAGATAACCCACGATCAATTCATTGAGCACCCCTGGCCAAAGCTTAAACACAACTAGATCTAGAACGGATCGGCGTGGCTAGAACCGTCGAGCGGGGACAGACTGACAGCTCATCTGATTGGGCTTCAAGGAGATGCAAGCGTCATAACGAGATATGCCTCTCGGAGGGGATAAAATCAGCTGATGCTCCGGTACCACCTGGGCAGACTTCATATTTGATCCGTATAATCATGCCGACAAGACCAACAACTAATTATCACCTATCGTCTTGTATGTTTTTTATTGTGTAGATTGGCAACATGGCAAAAGCGGACGCAGTTCACTCGGTAAGTTGCTAGCAAGCAACGGCCTTAGAGTTTGCGGATTCGCCACACCTCGCCCTCCACCATCATCCTCCACACCAAGTGTGATGAATCGACAATTAACAAAGGCCTTTAGTACCTCTGTCCAAAGGAAAACACCGTGATCATCCAGCCTGAAGATGAGATCACGCATGCCGGGACGAAGACGATGAAGCCTGCGCGGGGGGTTGTGCTGGCGGTTGGCACGACCAAGGCGCTGGGGAATGGGGGGAGGCATGCGATGGACGTGAGGCTGGGAGATTTGGTTATCTATACCAAGGTGAGTTGCTTTTTCGACTCTGGACAAGTTTGGGATGATACTGATGATGGGTAGGGAAAGGGGAAGGAGGTGAGGGTTGATAATGATGAGTATTTGCTTCTGGATCGGGATGAGTGAGTTGTCCTGTTGTCCTGTCGTCCTGTCGTCCTCTGTTGATTCTGATCTGGTCTGATGTGAGCAGGATTCTGGCTGTTACCGATTGATTGATATGATATGATATGATATGATATGAGTGTATGATCGATCTCTTGATGGTTATGATAGCTTGTACATCAAATGATACCTTACCTATACTCTATCCAATCCACAACATTCATATAAAGAGCACCTGCTATAAGACAGACATAAAGAAAGCACTAACCAGACAACTTAATAACCCCCTCCACCATCTCAACCAACCCATCCGCAACAACCTCCAAGCTCTCCCTCTCAAACACCTCCCAACAGCCCTCCCCCTCAAGCACACCACAATACGCCCCCCGAAACCCTGCCCTCACCGCAGCAGTCACATCCCACAAATGCGCCGCCGCAAACCATTTCTCATCATCCCCCCCAATCTTCTCAATTGCAGCCCGATAAGCCCCCAACGCCGGCTTCGCAACCCTCAACCCATCACAACTCAACACCCTCTCAACGGGCATCTCAACCCCCGCCCTGGTAAAATACCCCCGGACACGCTCCACATCCCCAGTCGTCAAACAATACACCTCAAACCCCGCGCTCCGCAACTTCTCAAACGCAGTTACCAGCTCCGGACGCAGCTGTAGAGACGCATAGCCGGCTATACAAGCATCCCGCTCCTCATCTGTAAAGACACCGCGTGGATCGGCCACACCAGCCATGAAAAGACTGCGGTAGAAGAGCGCGCGCATGACGTCTTTATAGGGGCGATAGGACTCGGAAATAGACAAAAAGGTGAATTCGAGTTCCGCGGCGGTCATCCATGTGTAGCCGAAGTGTTTGGGGGTGATTCCATGAGAAGAAAGTTTTGGGCCGATTGTGGCTGCGATGGAGGCGAAGTAGGCGTCGAAGGAGACGCAGGTGCCGACCACGTCGAAGATGATGTGTTTTGGCATTTTCTTGGTAATTGTGGTGTTGATTGTAGTTGATTCAATGCATTTGTTTCAATTTATTTGGAGAAGTGATGAGTGAGGGGTGGGTTGTTTATGTGGACCTGATCGATGTGGGGATGCGGAGGAGAGTGATGGTTCGTGGTCTTGGACCGGATCACATCCGGCGGATAGAGATTAACATGTATGATGCATCTGGCAATCTGGCTTATCGTGTCGATCTGGATATAGTTTACTGATCAGATGTTCCGGTCCACATCGGAGCATTATCGGAGATTACTTCCATATCTCTTGGAAGTCTTATCATGGAGTGCAATCTCGCAGTATCAGTTTGTTATTCATAAACACATGCATTAGATCGAAGACTATGACCATAGAATATTCAAGCGCCTCCACCAAGTCCTCCTCTTTGGCTCTGGCTCAGGCTCGTCCCGGTACACCTGGATAAACGGCCGGATGGGAATATCCTCCAGCGGCACAATCGCCGTCTTCCCCCACAGCTTATACCCAAAATACAACCCCAGAATGATCGGAATATTCAAATACGACGAGACAAACGTCTCTGTATCCCAGTGGCCCCGCATAAACGTGCTATACCCTCCAGTGAACAACAGCAGTGTAAACAATACGAGCGCAAACCACGTCAGGTACGGCTGCAGTGGCGCCGCCCACGGTAGCTCCTTGTGCCGGTCGATTCCCTGCTTCCGGCACCCGTACTGGAACCGCAGGTAGATAATGCAGATACACATCCAGTTCACGAGAGTTGAAATGGAGACGATGTCCTGCAGCCAGGTAAAAACGGTGCTGGCCGAGTTCGACAGCGTCATGTAGCCGAGCCCCATAAAGACGCCGATCAGGACGACAGCCACATACGGCGCCCCGAACCGGCTGGCCCTAGTAAAAAGCCTAGGGGCGTGTCCATGCATGGCCAGCCCGAAGAGGATGCGAGAGCCACCGAGCATATTGGAATTCCCCGCGGACCAGGCAGAGGTCAGCACCGCCGCGTTAATAATAGATGGGACGGCCTGGATGCCTGCGCGCCGGGCGGCAATGACAAACGGCGACTGGGACGCATTGCCGGTAGACCGAAGCAGGGTGGGGTCATTGGAGGGAACCACCATGCCGACCATGAAGATGGACAGAATATAGAACAGAAACACACGGGCAAAGATCCGTCGCGCCGCTTTGGGGATTGCCTGCCGCGGACACCGGGTCTCCGCCGCCGCGACGGTGATGTTCTCCATCCCAGAGTACGCGTACAGCGCGTTATTGAGCGTCGTCCAGAACCCTAGGAACTGGCCCCACGAGCCCGGGATGTCCAGGTACTGCACGAACGGGCCGGGATTCCGCCAGTATCTGAATCCGATGCTCTGCCCGTCCGGCCCGCCTCCACAGGTGATCACCAGCGCCATGATATTGATGCCGATGATGAGCATGATCTTGATCATTGAGAACCCGAACTCGAGCTCTCCGTACACGCGTACAAACAGCAGTGCGGTCGCTAGCATCAGCAATCCAAACGTCGTAATCCAGATCGCATTGTTGACCGTCACCCAGAACTCGACGATGACGGCCGCCGCGGAGAGCTCCGCGGGAATCGAGACTAGGTACGAATAGACCTGGTTCCAGCCGTTTGCAAAGGCCAGCGCCGGGTCGAGGAAGAGCATGGCGTAGCGGACCACGCCCCCATTCAGCGGAACCAGAGCCCCCATCTCGCCGACGGCAAACACAACGGTTGAGCCGGCCAGGCCGACGATGGTGTACCCTAGTAGGGCTCCAAGAGGCCCCGAGCGGGCAATGGCACGTCCAGAGCCAAGGAAGAGTCCAGTGCCAATGGTCCCGGCCAGCGCAATCATCTGGATATGTCGCTGGTGGAGACCCTGTTTGACCAGACGGATCTCGCCGAGATGATCGGTGGCGGAGTCATTGTCGGGGAGTTGTTTTTCGGTGTCATGGAGGGTCTCTTTTCCAGGATCTGACATTATTGTTGGGATTGCTCTTTCAGATAGCATGTTCAATTTGAAAGTAGGTTGGGGACCTTGGGATTAATGTGATCCTGTGGCCAGGCCAGTTGGCGATATTTAACCAGTGCCTTATCTCTCTGCTCAAGCTCATCCGGTGATGGTTCAGCTTTGAGATTAGAGTGAGGTAGATAGCTTGCCATGTTCTTCCAATGAAGACGATGCATTTGCAATTCCTATCTCAAGGTTTTGCCTTCCCCTCTTTTCGTGTAGTCACTGCAACCTAAAGCCCTTGCTTCTGATAATAGTGACACCAAGACCAACCGGAACTGGACCGGATGGTGCACGGTCACATGATGATAAACCGGACTTGACCGGAGAATTGCAGATCGCATAATAAAAGATAAGAAAGGACCAGGGATTATCAGCGGAGAAAAGAGAGGAAGTGGAGAAGGTAAACCTGTGGAACATCGGGGCTTGACCGGAGTCAACCCCTGGTCAGACTACGTTGTCGCCAGAATAAGTATATATGAGACCTCTATGGTTGTCAATCGACCATAGTGATTGAGGACATAGAAAATAAGCAATGCCTACCTTTCCTCCAAACCCACTGGCCTGCTTCTGGCAGAACAATCCCCACAAACTACACGACCATCGCTCCACCGAAGATCTCCCGACGCACAGCGATGTCGTGATCATCGGCGCCGGGTATGCGGGTGTGAGCACAGCCTGGCATTTACTGCAGAACCACCCCAACATCAACTCGATTACGATTCTAGAGGCAAGAGGTGCCTGTTCTGGCGCCACCGGTCGTAATGGAGGCCATCTGCGCCCGGATCTGTACGGACATATCCCCACGTACATTGACCGCGCTGGACCCGAAGCAGCAGCGGAGATTGCCGAGTTTGAGATTGCGCATGTCCAAGCGATCAAAAAACTGGTCGAGAGTGAGCATATCGACTGCGATTTCAGACTTACACGGACGATCGATGTGTGGTGTAATGAGAAAGCGGCTGAGGGGGCGAGGAAGGTGTACGAGCGGATGAAGGGGCATGGCTTTGCGTATATGGACGACGTTGACTTTCACGCTGGAAAGAATGTAGAGGGAGTACGTCTGAATCCCCAATTCATACCAAAACTATCATACTAACGCGATCAGATCTGCGGCGTCAAAGGCGCCCTGGCCTGTGCCTCCTACACGGCGGCCACCATCTGGCCCTACAAATTCATCATGCACCTCCTCGCCAAACTCCTAGCTTCAGGAAATGTCAATCTCCAAACCCACACGCCGGCCACCGCAGTTACACCATCTGCAGATGGTAAATTCACAATCGACACCCCTCGCGGCACCCTCCACGCCAACAAGGTCATCCACACCTCCAACGCCTACGTCTCCTCCCTCCTCCCGCAGTACAAACACAACATCATCCCCTGCAAAGGCATCTGCTGCCGCATCACCGTCCCAGAAGGGCAAACCGCCCCGCTACTCACAAACTCCTACATCGACCGCACCAAGGACAACGTCCTATCGTATCTTATCCCCCGCGCAGACGGGAGCATCATCGTCGGCGGCGCGTCGGCGCTCTTCAAACCCCGTCGCGAACAGTGGTACAACAATACTGACGATAGCGTGCTCATCGACGCGGCCAAGGACTTCTACGACGGGTACATGCAGCGGACGTTCCGCGGGTGGGAGGAGTCCGGGGCGAGGGTCGACCAGATCTGGACGGGGGTTATGGGTTACTCGTATGACTCGAACCCGCATGTTGGGGCGGTGCCGGAGTGCGAAGGGCAGTTTATTCTGGCGGGGTTGAATGGACATGGGATGCCGGTTGTGTGGCTGGCGGCGGAGGGATTGGCGAGGATGGTGGGCGAGGGGGTTGGGTTCGAGGAGACGGGCATGCCGAGGTTGTTTAAGACGACGAAGGAGAGGATTGAGAGGGCGCAGAGGGGAAAAGAAGAGGAGGGAGATATTCTTGGGACGGGGTCGTTTCCTGCTACGAAGCAGTAGATAGATACTTAACCAGTTGGCAGTCGGTGCATCAGATATATATTTCCTACATTAGATAGCGTTAGTGTTTATCAGTGGATCATTACCCCATGTTTATCCCACCTCTGTTATCTCTCCCAAACTTAAGCTTCCCCACTGGAGATAAGCCCGCTTCAAGCTGCAGCCACACGCCCACACCAAAATGACAATCTTCACTGCATCCTTATTGAGACATAACACATAAACTATTCTCTTCAATACATATCAAGATAGAAAATGAGCTCATACCAGTCACCTTTACCTCCCGGCTCCAGACCGCAGTCAAGCACCGAAGCACCCGCACCACGACTCAAACGCCGCAAAGTAACCGACGAGAGAAAACGCACAGCCAGAGCGTAGGCCTACCTCCAGAATGAACCACCAAGAAGCAAGCTGACCATACAGCTGCGATCAATGCCGCCGATGGAAAGAAAAATGCGAGGGAGGAATCCCATGTAGGAAATGTTCGCATCTTGGCCGTCCCTGTCGCGTGCGCGGTATGCCCGTATCGCAGGATATAAGGTACGTCGTCAAAGTCACTAATCCGTACTTTGTGCAGTCTGACATTGCTAGCACTCGCGGTGCGTTTCTGGAACTGCAGGAGCGGGCCATGTACATGGAGCGAATCCTAAACCATGCGATCAAGGGGATTGCGCTGGATACGAAGAGTCTCAGGCAGACGGCGTTGTCGATTGAAGAGACGGAGAAGGAGACGCAGCCGGAGACGCAGCCGGAGACTGACGAGGCCGAAATGGCTGTGGAAGAGGAGTGCACGATCGATCCGGTCGAGGATACCGTTACTCGTGAGTTTTTTCTATTCCAGTGTACATGGCGGCGCTGACTGTAGACAGACTTCTCCGGGGAATTCTCCTACTGGAACTTTTCCATGCGCGTCAAGCGCCAGATTGAGGATAGGATGGCGGCTTCCGCTTCCCTGAGCCAGGTAGGTCTCTGCCGGAGCTCATCGTTCGTACTAACCTCTCCAGACACCTCCAAACCAAATATCAAACTACCCCCGAGCAAAACAGCTCCGATCCAGCTCGCGAACCCTCGCAGCAGCCATCTCCTGCATCCCCCCTCGCCACATCGCCGAGTTCCTCGTCAGCATCTTCTTCAAACACGCCGTAACTCACTACTTCTACGTCGACAGACCATGGCTCCTCGCCAGGCTAACCGCCCTCTACACCAACCCGGAATTCCTCACCAGCAAAGACGCCCCAGTCCTCGGCATCATCCTAACCGTTTTCGCCATTGGCACCCAATACGCCTACCTCGAAGCAAAGTCCGCCCCTGCCTCGTCCAGCCAAAGCCAAAACTTCTCCGAGGACGAGCTGGGGACCATGTTCTACCAGGAAGCGATCCGCCTGCTGCCGGAGATCATCGAGGTATCCTCGCTGGAGAGCGTCCAGGCTTGTTTGCTCTTTGCGGCGTATGCGTTGCCGATTGATGCGGCGGGGTTGGGGTACGTGTATATCAATCTGACGATTCGGCTCGCGATGCAGAACGGCATGCATCGGCGATGCGTGGGGGAGGCGTTTAGTGCGGCGATGATGGAGACGAGGAATAGGGTTTGGTGGACGGCGTATGCGATGGAGAGGTATCCTTTCTCTCTCGCTTTTTTGGTAGTGTCGCTGACGGAGTAGGAAAATATCTATTTTCCATGGACGACCGCTGGGAATGCTACGGTCAGATATTGACACGCATTTGCCGGTTGATTTGGGTGAACAGGACTCGGCAGGTCCATACATGCTTGCTTCAATTCATCTCACACATCACCTGGAGGATTTCTATAAAGAAATGTGCGTTTACGTCCACTCTACCATTAGACCGCAGACAACTAACAACCCAGATCCCTCCTCAGAACCACCCCAAAACAGGACCTCCCCATCCTGCTCTCACGGCTCGCCGACAGGAAAAACGACCTGGAAAAATGGTGGTCCTCGCTTCAACCAACAATCCAAAAGAACGACGCCCAGGCCCCAGTCGATCGATCGACAGCCCACATCAAACTCGAACACTGCCTCCTCCGCATGTTCATCGGCCGCCCGTTTCTCTTCTCGCGAGGCTCGCCCTCAAACCCAACCTCCCCAGCTACTCCCCCCTCAGCCACCGCGCAAAAGCCCACGCCCCGCCAGGAACTGGTGACCTGCTGCATTACAGCCGCCGCCGACGCAATCTCCATCTGCAGCACCCTCCGCGACAGTGATAGTGGCCCTGGCCTGGCGCGCGCCTCGTATATAGAATACAGCTCGTGCCGGGCAGCGCTGCTGGTGCTAATTGCGTACTCGATCCAGGATCGTTCTGATCATTTTCGCAAGGCGTTACGGGTCGGGTTAGATATGATTCGGGAGATGGCGGCGAGTGGGGAGTCGGCGAGATCGGAGGTGGAGTTGATTGAGGCGTTGGAGAGGGCGCTTGTGAGACTAAGGTTGTTTGATGAGGTGGGCAAAGTAGCCTCGGACTACGAGAAGTTTAAACAGTGGGAGTCTATGTGGAAACGGCAGAATGATGGGGATTGCAATTCCGTCGAAACGGTTGCGGGATCGATTCAAGAGCAAGGTTGGCCGACAGGCGAGATGGATCCCTCCGGTATGGCAGAGAGCAATGTGAATCTGGGCTCTTTGAGGTTGTTCGATGGCGCGGCTGAATGGGCTCTGTTCGGTGGGGGAAGTGCATTGCCACGGGAGCTGCAGCATCCGGAAACGCAGATGCTGGGGGATTTTCTGTCTCTCCATGATCCGAGATTCGACCCTGATCTGAGTCAATCGTTGTGAATTAAGACACCCTATCATACAGCACATCACTGGCACCTGGCTATTGTTGGCGACGTCTCTGTATCAAAATGCCTAGAGGAATGTCTTCCTCATCGTAGAACTCGGCTTCCTCGTCAACTCCAAAATCACGGAGGCGGTCTCCTTCAGAGTTCTTCCAGCCTTCCTCACCATCCTGTACTTCATCATCATCGGAAGAGTCACTCTCACTTTCGGAGTGCCGTTCTTTCGTTTTATTTTCATAAAACCGGTCATGGAAGCGTTTCCGACGCTGTATGTGATGTCCTCCTGAATGGCTGGCATCGTTGGAACGCTGGATATCCCGCGCTTGTACAGCTCTGTAATACGAGGCATCGGCAGCCGCAATGGCGGCGCTCATATCCTCCTGCTTTGCAGGAAGTGGAATGCGATCCGGGTCTGGTGGCGGCCATGATAGGTTGGGGTCTGCCCAGCATTAGCTGATCAGTTTTATACCACTTCCATGTACATTGCAATGCACTCACCCTCAAAGCCATTGACTTCAAAATCTAGACCAGTCGACCGGTCAGGAGTAGCTGCAAAAGGCCAGAACCAACTCAATACCTGGACGTCATCAGCGTTGCATCTCAAGAATCTTCCGCTGAACTAACGTTCGCGCTCCCGCCCATTCCGGCTTTGATATTCGACCATATGCCAATATCATATGGAAATTCCTGCTTCTTAATCCGAACCTGGATACCCCCCGGTCCGGACAGATATCCCCCAAAATGCCGAGCTCGTCTTAGCAGAGTCTCATGCCGTTCAATCTCCCACGATTCAATAGTGGTGGTATTAAGAGCTAGGGACCAGATGCTTCGAAGCAGAAGAATAAATAGTGCAAGCCATGTCAAACTGTTCACTACTAACAAAATGAAGAGATGGATCAGTTGTCCCAAGCTAGGGCCGAGATACTAAGGTGGAATTAGCTTGCACCAGAAAACAAGCGGACAATCTGTCCATACACTAGGGAGATGGCGCGATGCCCAGACTATCGAAGCTCTCTCGAAGAGAAGAGTCTCAAGATAGCCCATGCCTACTACGGCATAGAACAGAAACCTCATAAAATGAGGATATGTAAAGTGCGAAACGCAATTCGATGTCCACGGACAGTGGTGGTCCATCTTCGGAATGCACCTGCAAATCGTTAGTCGGGAACAGCTTTCGAGCCACAAAACCTCACCTCTGACATGTCTTGCAATGGTGCGCTCGCGGTGGCTTGAACGCCTCGCATCGACGACACCAGCGCTGCCTACCCCCAGCGCAATCCTTTTCCAATTGCTTAAGGTTGGACGGCGTCCAATCCTTGGGTATCCGGCCAGGATCTACAGTACATGCGCGGTAATAGCATACCCAGATGCACAGAGCGAAGATGTTCAGGCGCCAGAACTCTTGCGATCTTAGGGGTGCCTCCTCAAAATAGTAGAAAAATAACTGGGACGTGTACGCAAGAAAACCGATCAACGCGCAGACGAACGGAATCGCCAACTGCGAAATGTTGAACGAGCGACAGAGCATTCTGCTAGGGGCATATCCTTCTATACAGACTTATTCATTTCAGGGACTTGATTGATGCCAAAGATAACCGACCATGGCTTCAAGATAATTCTTCAGAAGTGTTGTTGATGCTGACCACGTGTGCAGGTGGTCTTGACTAAGCGCCAAACACGTGACTTAGATTCTACAAGAAGCGTGCGTGGAAATATCGACGGCCATTCATCCCTGCCATCTTCAAGCATACTTCGCTGAAATATATTCATCGAGTTCATCAGTATTTAAGTGGCGCTTATCAATAAAACATGAAAAGGATCAATATATCTAGAGGATGATCCGAGTATCCCGTCATCGCCGTTGAGGATGCCGATCACGGCCCTTCCCCAGACCACTGTTCGAGCAATTGGCTCAACTTCTGTCATTTCAGACCCCTGCTCCATTGTCAAGGAGTTGCTGGAGAATTCACTTGACGCACACGCCACTGCAATATTTATAGAAATCTCCCAGAACACAGTCGATGTGATCCAGGTGAAGGACAATGGACATGGAATTCCATCCGAAGATCATCCGTTTGTCTGTAGACGTGCCTTCACTAGCAAGATCGCGACAGTCGAGGATCTGAGGAAACTCGGCGGAAAATCGCTAGGCTTCAGAGGTGAAGCGTTAGCAAGTGCTGCCGAAGTTTGCGGAGGAGTGACGGTTACCACCAGAGTTGAAGCGGACCCAGTTGGCTTCTGCATTAAATATGGGAGAAATGGGGAGCTCATCAGGTACGTTACCCGGTAGGAGGCTTTGGAATGTGCTGACAATTGAAGTACTCAACGTGCCTCGCACTCAGTCGGTACAACGGTGCGAGTAACGGACCTCTTCAAGAACATACCAGTCCGCAGGCAAACAGTATTGAAAAGCGCCGCAAAGACAATAGCCAAGATTAAAAAAATCATACAGTCATATGCTATCGCTCAACCCACTATTAGGCTCTCCCTGAAGGTTCTTAAAGCTGCTGGCGAAAAGGCCAACTGGGTCTACGCCCCTGGAAAAAATGCCTCGCTTATGGACGCAGCACTCAAAGTTGCTGGCACTGAGGCCGCTTCCGCTTGCGTAACCAAGCAATGGCCGTGTGGAAGCGAGTCAGACGAGGAGTCTGGGAGTGGTAATGACTCCTCTTTTCAGTTGATGGCCCTACTTGCGGATCCTGGATCAGGTATTTACTCTGCCCATTGAACCGAAAACTTGGCTGATGAGCGCAGATTTCTCAAAAGTGAACAATGCGGGACAGTTTTTCAGTGTGGACGGTAGACCTCTCTCAGCATCTCGAGGCATTGGACAGGAGATCTCAAAACTGTACAAGACCTATCTACGAGCAGCTGCTTCGCGTAGCGGCGGTTTGCCGAACATATCAGATCCATTCCTTTGCTTGCAGATCCGCTGCCCGGAAGCCTGCTACGACGTGAATGTTGAACCGGCTAAGGACGATGTTTTATTCGAGAACCAGCGAGACCTTCTCTCGCTTGCAGAAGAACTCTTCAAGGACGTTTACGGTGAAACCCCTGATGGGGATGAGAAACACAAAAGCTCCTCCAAAGGGAAAGAAAGGATGGCAAATAATGATGCCTTCGAACTACTTTTAGCTCGTAAAGACAGCACTGAATGTTCTGTCGAAACCGTGAATGAGGGTAACAAGCCACCAAGCTTTGTCACGGCTAGCTCGCTTTTTCACATGAGGAGCAGCCCGAAGAATGGCCGACACGAACAGCGATTATTCTCCGATGGAAGTCCAGGTGCGTCTGGTCATACAGGAACTAGAGATTTAGAGGGCCTCAATCCATGGTCAGTGACACGACTGTATGTCCCTTCTGGAGCTCCGTGCCATAAAACTCCGTCGAGGGGGCCAGCAGGATCCGCAGGGCTGCCTCCTGTCGCGCAGGAACAGGATTCCATGTCTACGACCCATGCATCTCCGTTGCGCTCTGTCAGTTCTGCTTCGCCGAGTGCATCTACACGTAACTCGAATCGACTGTCGCACTCTCCAGCCGAGTCTCGCTCTTCTGCTTCGGTCTCCGACCTGACACAAACTTCTCCAATCACGCCATTACACGGTCCCTCTGTACGATCAAGAGCTTCGAGGCAGCGCGACAAAGAGCGTTACGGTAATGGTGCTCTCGATACATGGTTTGTGAAGACCACACAAGCATCAGCCCGTCAAGACCCGGTTGAGCAGTGTCCAGAAAACGAACATGATGAGCCTCCGTTGTCACAGCTAACGCAGGACCGATTCGCACAACGTGAACGTCCGCCGGTCACTTCAGACACAACGACCCCTCGGGGTTTCGTTGTGGCAGCAGGAAGCCCAGAACCATCTGAGGAGGAGACGAGCACGGTCGAATCGTCAGTCGTCAGCCGGAGTCGTGCCTCAGAGCCTGCATCGAGACGGCTTGACCAATGGTCTGTAAATCTGCACAGACTGGCGAATGCTGACCATAACCCCGAATTGGAAAGAGCACTTGACTTTGAGAAGCGCAAGAGAGAAGCGATCACAAGACTCCGCGAGCTGAGAAAGAATGCGTCCGCCGCAAATTCACCTCATGTGAGCAGATATCTTGCTGCCAAAGCCGCTTTGCAGCCCGGTGTCAATAACAGCAATGCCGAGCCAGCGCCATCGATGTCTGAAACTGACAACCCAAGTCCTCGTCTAAACCCGCATGATCCGAGGTCTTATCTCATGCGCAATAAAAGCTCCCATGATCAAAGGAGGCTTGCTTCAGATCCGGCCAAAATCCGACGAATTCAAACAAACAAGTTGCCATTCGAGAAGATACCTGACGGGTGGGAATTGCATGATTTATGCCTGGTGCAGCCTGCAGACATCCCTCTGATCTCCAAGACCCTTCGCAATCTATATGAACATGATCTATATATACGAGAGGGCGATATTTTTGCAGGGTTTACTGCCGCGGATCTGCAATCCTTAACCTTATGGGAGAGCCAATCGTCCTCGCTAGTCAAGCAAAAGTTTCGAACCACACAAGGTTCAAACATCCCTACGATTCAGATGAACTTCTCCGATCTACATCAGCATCTGGGTGATTTTGACATGGGTAGCTCATCTGCATCTACTTGAAATCTTCTCTTTGTTCTTGATAGCAACGTAGTATACTTATGACATGTATAGATATAGATACACCTCAATTAATATAAACCAACACCACAAGCACTCTTTCCTAGATAGAGGCAATACATTTCTGTTGAAGAGTACCGCTCTATAATTCTCATAAGTTGTGTATAACGATGATATCATCAAGTAGGCAATAACTTGTTTGGCAGATGGCCGCAGCGAACCGTTACATAATCCTGACATCAACACTTGAATTGACCTACAAAACCCCCAGCACACCACCATCAACGACGAGATGAAATCTTACTCAATCGACATAGCGATTGAATCGCACCGATATTCAAAATGGAGTCCGGCGCAAAGCCGTTGGTCGACGTCGACCGATGGCCATACGAACGCTCCCACCTCGGACTCAACACCACCGACGTCGGCATCTTCAAATCAACCATCCTCCCCTCATTCGCGCTCCACTCCAGCTTCTCCGTAGCAGCCTACGCCCTCTCCAGAGCGACCGACCGCGGCGAAATCAAAGACTACTTCTGGCCCCTCAGCCAAGTCGCCAACGCCTGGTGGAGCGCCGTCGGCGAACCAATGTACCACAACAACCTCACCTTCTCCAGCGCCATGAACGCCATCCCCTGGACCGAAAAGGTCCTGCTATCCTGCGTCACAGCCTGGGGCAGTAGACTCTTCTACCGCATCGTGTCGCGCTCGCTCGCCCGCGGCAGAGACGACCCGCGCTACGAGGAGCTAAAGGCTAAGGACCCTGGCTTCTGGAACTCGGCGCTCCTCAAATCGTATCTCCCCGAAGCGGCCTTCCTGACTCTCATCACGCTGCCCTTCACCGTTCCCTTCCGGATGAGCTGGTCGAGCGTGTCGTTCGACGCAGAGACCTCCGGCATGCTTCGCGCCCTGGGCGTCGGGCTCTTCAGCGCAGGCTTCGCGATGGAGGCGCTGGCCGATACGCAGCTGGAGCTGCACCGCAAGGAGCGCGATGATCTCTGCCGTCATGGCGTGTGGAGCATCGTCCGTCATCCAAAGTATGTATTCTACCCCCCCTGCTTATAAACGGACAAAAGCTAATGACCATGTACAGCTACCTGGGCGACACCCTCGTGCACCTCTCATTCGTTGTCCTCAACGCTGCAAACACATTCAACCCGCTTGTCCTGCTCGGTCCGGTCGCAAACTACGTCTTCCTACGGTTTGTTGGCGGCGATGCGCAGAATGAGGCGAGCCAGGAGGAAAGGTACAGAATGCAGGATCCCCACAAGTATGCGCAGCTGCAGGCGTGGCGGCGTGAGAAGAACAGCTTCTGGCCTGGGTTGTCGGAGCTGGCGAATCCGTGGACGTGGGCTGTTGTTGCTAGTGGGCTTGTGGGTGTTGTTGTTGAGGAGATGGTGCGTTCCTCGTTGGGTCAGTAGATTTTGATGTGTAATGTGTATAGTTATGAAGGAATTAATATGGTCCATATTTTCTATGTATCCTGGATGGAGTATTTATAGGGTTTGACAAATTTATAACCCTATTGGATAACCATCTGATGGTTAAGAACACCTCATCCTTGGGATGTAGCTTTTTATACAAAACGGTGAGAATTACAGATTCCTAGCTCCTTGTCGTGACTCGGCCGCGGAAAGATGTTGGAAATCTGCGCGTTGAAATGGAGGCGCATGATTATGCAGGTAGAAACTTTCAATAGCAGTCCCGGGAGTATATTGCCCTGAGCCCCTTAGATCGTCCGCAAATCCGGTAATATTACATCAAGCATAGAGCCATTCACATTAACTTCATCTTGATTGTCTAAGTCCAACAGTAGACCTCCATATACTACTGGCTAAACGCTTAATCAAACACAAAATATCGAGGTAGACATACATAAATCCATGGATATCTCATCCTCATCAATCACTGGCACCATTCCTCTACTGCGCAGCAATTCCCTCACCTGACCCATTCGACAACGCCACCTTCTGCGGCGCAGCACCCTTCTTCGACCTGAACGGAAGCACAATCACGAAAATGAGATACGCCAGGCCGACCACACCTGCAACAACCGAGTAGGCGATGACCGCGCCCTTCGGCGCAGGGTTGCCCGCATTCTTGGTAAGCAGGAACCCTAACCCGCCGTTGATGATGCCAAGGGCGATCAGGGTCCGGCCTAGCCAGCAATGCACGTATGCGAAGAAACTCTTCCCGCCGGTGCGTCGGAAATGCACATGTTGGAGTAAGCCCATGAGGGGCTGGAAGAGAACCAGCATTCCGATAACGACCAGCCCGATGATCGGGTGGTACTTGTCCATTTGGTTTGTATCGACGCCGAGGTAGACTCCCAGTCCGAGTCCCGCGAGGGCCATAGCCAGGGTGAAGAGTTGCAGTGGTGCGTGGATGCGCGAGACGGTCTTGGAGTAGGGGATAATGTGGATTGAGATAGCGAAGGACGGGAAGAACACGACAAAGGCGACGCTCATGAGGACGGCGTGGGCTATTAATATCGAGTCTGAATTGGAGGCTGTGGTCCCCGATACTGTCTGTGGGGTTGAGGCCGCGTTCTGCCGAGCGAACGGGTTTGATGCATCCACGTTGGCCACGCGGGCCTGTGACATACTAATGGCGTGCACGCCGCGGGAATCATGCCGCGTGATAGCGTACGTGGGATCGCTGGAGTCAATCGCGGGACCCTGCTTCTCTGCCCAGATCCAGCTACTTGAGCTGCTGGACGGATCCAGAGAGCCGCCGGTCCATTGAAGGCAGTTATTGCAGCGCACATTGGCAGTCATGTACCCGTTGCTGATACCAGTACCGTCTAGGAGCTCGATCTGCGCATCGGGGTTGTAGCTCGGCGAGAAGCGACCCCTGCCAGACCGGTGAGAGAGGGTGACGTTGTTGGCAGAGGCGGCGTACATGACGAACATGTTAGAGCCCGCCATCTGCGAGCCTTGGCCAAGAGCCACCCATTGATACGAGGCGGGTGCGCAGATCTGGAAGTAGATTGGCCCGGAGTTGGAGGAAGCTGTGCTTTCAGGTACTACCACGCTATAGACGATATCGCTCGCGGGAGAGAAAGAGTAGATTTGGGCGGCGGCAAGGGGCGCTATCACGTCAGCATTTATCCGGACGCACAGGTAGGAGATACGTACCAAGTGCCAGATGCAGGAGTCTACTCCAATGCATTGTGAAGGTCGATTCCTAATTATTACTGCGGTGGCAAGCAGAACTTGAGCAAGAGGGACTATATAAGCCCTCGGGTTTCACCCGAAGAGTTACCTCTAGGTATACCACCTATGATGATTCAAATAGGAAACATAAGTCGCCAGAGCCAATCCCACGGTAATCAAGACCCTGATTCAGTAATTGATCACAGTTAGCATAGCCACGCTGGTGAGTGCCACGATCCTTCGTCATATGGACGCTTCGCCAAGATGTTGGGTATTGAGCACTAACCTTGCTCTCATTTGAAGTAAAGAGGGTCAGACCGATCAGTTCCTCTTGTTGTCGCGCGTTCATCTCGATTATCTGGTCGGCTGCTATGGCGGTCTGCACCGTGTTGATAAACTGATAGTACGGAGTAGCAAGGTCACCCCAGTACCCCGGAGCAGGACTGCAATCATAGTAGCGGAGGTCAAGCTCTCCTTCGGACCCTGAAGTCGAAATCAAACCTGCCAAAAACTCGAAAAACACTCGAAAGCAGATCCAGGACTAGAAGTCCAGAGTCTTGCAAAGCCGCCAAGGACTGGATACGAATCCTTACGAATCCTCCGAGCATTCTCCGCGCAAGGGAAGGACCAGTGTCTGGAAGCGAGGTTGGCATGCCAAATTGCTTCCTCGGCCAAGACCCTGGTTTCCTTAGTCTCGACCAGATGATGGTCGAATAGAGCCCGGTTGATTGGCCTGGCTTGATAACGGTCTCGGTGTCAAAACATTATTGTCTCAGCTTCGCCACATCAGGAGAATGCATGGTAATGCTGTAGCCTGGAGCGTCAAAGGTAGCTTTAAGAGTGATAGTTGACAAGGGAACCTTATTCAACTTGCACAGCCTCAGCCACCTTAATCCTCATCCTGACCTCCCACAGCCTCCGGAAGCCTTCCGCGAAGAAAACAAGATCGTTAGCATGAATAGAAAAGAAACTAGAGCTCAGCTTAACTTACTCGGCCAATCATCGAGCAACCGTCCTCAACTCTATTCCCCAAGTCTGCAGGAAACTAAAATCCTACTCTGCCTACGTCATCTCGCCTAAGCAAAACGAGACCAAGATGAGTACCGTTTGTGATGATAATCTGTTCCTCTGATGGCCGATCAATCCGATTATATCCGGACAGCCTCACAGCCTATACAACAAAACAGTATGGTCGCTCAAAACAGGCATCCCAGGTTCTGCTCTTACTCTCCCAGAATTTTCTGGAAACAACTGCCGCCAGCAGAGGTAAGGGAGCCCCGATGTCCGTTCCCAAAGCGGAGAGCTGTCGATTGACAAACTGTTGCATGTCCAGGTCGCCCCGAGCGCACACTGCGGCCACAACGAGCGGCCAGAGCATGCACTTTCCGATCCCAGGTGCCCCGCAGGCCTGCTTCAGATACGCGAAGAGCTCTTTTGTGTGTGTTACTGTCATTGATCTAAGCTGTGCCGTTCGCGGGAGGACGCAGAGACTCTGCAGAGACAATATGCAGTACAGGATCACTGCGGAGCGGTAAACATGGCCAAGAATTATTCCCTTTTCAGGGGCGGCGCAAGACATGGCCCACTGCTCTGGCGAAAAGGCCGTGATCCGGCCTAGCAACGCCAGTGCTTTTCCTTCGGACTCGGTGGATGGTTGCGAGAAGGCCTGCAGTCGGAGATGATTGATCCGGATAATATCTGCTAAAAGTACAGGTGGACAGAGGAGAACAGGAAAGCAGCCGTCCCCGTACATCAGGGAGATCACCTCGATCGACCGTACATCCGAGCCCAAGGGTATGTGGTCGGAAGGCGGGCTGGTCGTATTACTGATGATTCCGATACTAGACCTGGTTAGCGCATGTTCCACTATCCAAGGAGAGATCTACATCATGAAATACAGCAACAAAGCTCTGAAGTGTGGAGCCGAGTGAAGGACCTTCTCCACTCCTCCCCGGAGGGTGATCATCTCCAGAGCTGCAGTGAAGTGATGACGCCAATTGGGAGAAGTAGATTGCCTGGACTGAAATGCTCGTCAGCGTCTGTTCAACGCAGGTAGATATTGGTACCCACATCACTAAATAGCAGCATCATGACCCCAACGAGCGTTTTGTCTGTACGACACTTGTCCGGGCGGCCGATCTCCTCCTTAAGATACCGAATAGCTTGTCCTCGATGCTGGTAATGCTTGGCTTCAATCTCCCGCAAATCGTTACGGCTGTTCCGGGGGAGTAGTCGGTGAAATCGGTGGCTCAGCGCTAGAGAGACAAGCGTGCAGTGGATCGGGGGTGGGATGGCTTGAAGACTTTCCATGGGAAAAGCAGTAATGAACGGGTTTTCGGCTAGCTGGAGCAGGCAAGTATACTCCGGTAGCACGCAGGTATTGTCTATTTATTAGAACATTGCTGGCTCAAGTCGACAAGCGAACTCACAATAATATGCAGCCTCCACGATCGCTCCAGGCTCAGTGATCAGTCGATCGCGGGGGACGCTCAAACTCCAAGCTTCGTCTTGGCTGTCACATCTATCTTCGGACACATGCTGCTTGGCAGTACTCCGTTGAACAGTCTTCTTCCGCGGCCGAGATGTCACCTCACACGTTGTGACCCACTTGAGCGGCTTCTTGTCGTCGTAGCCAGGACACTCAACCCCAGCAGTATAACATTTGCGGCACCCGGGGAGTGAGAAGTCGCAGACTAGTCGGCGGCGACGGCATTCCCAGCATTGCCGGCGTCTGTTTTGGGACGAAGCCATTGGTTTTTCCATCTCGGCTAGACAAGTAACTTCGATGAATTGACAAAAAAGGAGAAGAATGAACAAGACCTGCGTAAATGGTGTCTCTTGCAATTTATTGTCTTGAAGCAGACAAGGCTGTGATGACGCTGATGCCAAGCCACAGTCAGCTGTCGGCTGAATTGCTTGGCCATGCTTTTTTCCTTTTTGGGACGAACCCCAGATAGCATCATCAGCAGACAACTCCCTAATTACATTATCATCATAGTTGCATGGTCGTAAATACATACATGAACGTCAAACCAATTAATCCTCGTCGGATACCATCTCCTCCCTCATGGTCTCCAAAAACCGATGCATGACCGTCCTCAACTCCCCATAGGCAGCCAGAAACTCCTGACTCTGTATTCCGTAACTCTGCTCCTTGACCTCCCACTTAACGACCTCCACCCCCCTCACGTTCTGCCTGACCGGGTCCAAGTTCCACCGGAGCAATTCCAACAGCTCCGCTGGCGTCTTGCTCAAGCTCAACAGCAGCGGCACATCAACCTCAATCTCAATCAAGAGCGTCCTTAGCCTCCGCCCAACCGGATCCCCGATTCCCTTTGCCAGCGTCACAAGCCTATCCTGGAAGCCCAGGAGGTGTTCCAGCGGTGCCGTGGCCTCGGGCCGGAGGAGATGTAAGGGAGTGCGCTGCAGCGCGATGCAGAGGTGCATGGTTGTGACATAGCGGATTGTAGACGGGAGCGGGACATAGGGGGCTAAGATTTTGCCGCAGAAGAGGATATATTTGGCATCGACGATGACTTCGTAGGCCGCTGCGCTGTACCATTCGCGGATGGCTTCGGTGTGGATTGCATGGTTGGTGCGGAGGAGGGCGGGGCAGCAGGGTTTCCCGTCTCGTCGGAGGGGCGGTTTTTTGTTGCGGATCAGGGAGAAGTTGCGAACGGGAATGTTGGGGATCAAATAATGGTAGATTTGGAGGCGGACTTCGGGGGGGAGGGAGAGGAAGGGGAAGGGAGACATTGACCGTCACATACAGGATTTGGATAGAACGAGTGTTGGGACCTGGATTTTGAGGAATGACCGATGGAATGAATAATGAGCCGATCCTGGATTCCTGAGGTTCCAGGCTTTCCAGCCAAATGATAAGCGCCGGCGATAAGCTTGTCACCGCGGCATGCGGGGCTGCCTTTGATTGGTCTGTGCGGGGTTATGTCCGCCCATCGAACTCAGTGTGTATGTACTGTATCCCAAGTAGGAAGTATCTAAATAAGGCCGGGGCCGTGGTCAATTCCAATTCTTGAAATGCGTGCCTTTCCATTAAAAGGTTCTTCCAGTCAAAAGTAACCCCATTAGTATCCCCTAGTCCGTTTGTACTCATTGACCAGCGGTTCTCCCCTCTCCAATCGCCACATATTCTCCTTGGCAATATCCAAGGACCGGGGGAAATATTCCTTGCCCAGGGAACTAATATGAGGACTGATCCGCACATTTGGCACATCCCATAGCGGATGATCCGCAGGGAGCGGTTCTGGATCGGTGACATCCAGCGCTGCCCCACTCAACTCACCCGAGCGGAGAGACGCGATCAATGCCTCTTGGTCAACGACCTTGCCGCGTGCAATGTTGGTCAAATATGGCTTTGGATGTCCGGCGGGTATGTGTGAGGATAAGATGGCGAATTCTTCGGATCCGAGGAGATGATGTGTTTGCGCCGTTAATGGCACACAGACTACCAGATGGTCCAATCCGAGCCTCAGGAATGAGTGGATAGATGCCTTGTCTGTGCCGTGATGCCATGATACTGGTATTGAACCGTCCTTGTCGCCGGTGCCAGGGATAATGTATCCAGTATCGCGACGGGATTCGGGAGTGAGGCGAGGAGAAGCCGTATACGCGTGGACTGTCATTCCTAGAGCGACAGCGACACGGGCGACTGGATCACCGTCAGCAGACGTTTTATTGAAGCGGTCAATAGCAACAGCATACTCTGTCGTCCGATACTCCCGTATCCCAGAATGCCCACCTTCTTCCCAACCTGGTCATGCAGCCCATACATGTATTCATCCACGTCTCCCCAGACATGCTGCTTTTGATTCTCGTACGTCCGAACAAACCCTTTCGATGCTGCGAGCCAGTTCAATACAGTCCATTCGGCAATCGGAGGTCCATGAATTCCCGAGCTGGTGCTGATGGGTATCTTGCTGTCTTTGAGGATAGGATGGGCCAAGAGATGGTCGACTCCGGCCGAGAGGGTATGAATCAGCTTGATACTGACACGGTCAGTTCGCATCGGTAATGGCCACCCGGGTAGGAATACTGTCATGTATACTTACTTGGCAGAGTCCTCAATATTCGGCAGATTGGTAAAAGTCACAATAATGGTAGCCTTCCGCGCATATTCTAAGCGAAGAGTCAGCGTCTCCATTGTCAATTGGAGTGCATGACGAACCACTTGGGATCGGAGCCATTCTCTCCAGGTGAATGATGGTAATCTCGGCGGTGGGGAATTTGGCACGGATATCTTCAATTACCGCTGCGGGTAGGTCATGCATGAACGCTATGAGCAACTGCTCCTTGACTAAGCCTGCATCACCCATTTCTCTCGTTGTCAGGACTCGAGACCCGAGACGCTGAAACAGATAAGAAAGAGGACAGTCGACTCCCTAGAAATGACCAGGGATGAAAGAGGATTCTGGACGCAGTAATATCGACCCAACCAGTCTGGCCCAGAATGTCCAGATGAGCAATTGTCGCCAATAATTGCAAATATCGCGAAAGAGGTGAAAGAATCCCCATCGACTATTGCAGGAGATTTCCTTATCGGGCCTTATCCAGAAATCCCCACACTTGAATTACTAATTGGACGTCGCTAACCGAGGTTATCCTCATATGACAGTGAAAGATATCTCAAGACTATTGAACTGTTTTCTGCAGATACTGTAAGACTTTCCATTTCCAGATTCGGTCCAAAGTAGTGCTGCAACTTATCTTCCTGAGCATGCAAAAAGTAAACACCTAACAATCACTTATTAAATACTTACTAACTATAAAATATAGTCATCACACTCCTGCGGGCTTTTACCAATCAGGAAACAACAGAAGGCTATTATCTTTTATTTACAAGAGTATTTACTCTTGTTCAAAGAATGACTGGCCAGCCTGTTGAATTTAATTCTATTCATTCCAATGGAATTTATGGAATTATTGTGGATATGGATACAAAGCAATATACTGGTATATATTCAATCACCAGGTACTTACGAACCACTTACTAACTACTTAGGACTTGGTCAATATCTTCAAGAAATTGACCCTCTCCACCGACCAATATTATGGCAGTTGCAAGGAATCATTATATTTTGCCAGGTTCACTTCTTTCGTACAATCACTGAAGCAATTGGGAGTGCCAATAAAAGCTCAGGTGTATGGAGTCGAATGGCTGGCTTAATTGACTGCAAGTCGGAAGATGATTATGATCAACTATGCAATTTATTAATTGGTAAGTACTTGATAACTGCTTATCAACTGGATACTAACTGCTTAGAACATGAGAATGAAAAGGTCCAAGCATGGGCGGCACATAAGAAATCACCAGTTATCAAGGCTGGGTTGAATAAACATTGCTCTAATATTCCCATCTATATCTATGATTCTATTTGGAATCATACCAATTCAGCTGAACAGTCTCATCATAAGGCTAATGCAGCAGGAAGGTGGTTGACATTAACAGCAGCAATCCAAAAGTAAGTACTCAATAAATAATTAATAACTGATTAGACAATAACTCAATAACTGCTAATATTTTTTTTTTAGTTCTGCAAAGCTGGACAGACAAGACATTCTCCAATATATAAATCGCACTGATTTTAATATTCACCATTCATATCGAACAGCAAATATGGAGACAAATTATTTGAGACATATGGCCCGGGAAGGTATGTATATATATAACCGCATGTCTGATCCTCATATGTTATACATCTAATTAATTTTTATTATATTCACCACTTTGTAACTGCTAACAAACCACTTAACTATTACTTAGTGTCACGAAAACGCCGCCGTTCATCAACATATTTCTCTTCTAGTTCCGAGCCTGAATTAGGACAAGGGAGATCCCGTTCACAACCTCGAGGCCGAGGTAGCAGTCGGTGAGTTTGGTTTTCAATCACTTTAAAAAGGGTTACTAAGTACTTAATAAATAGTTCAATATCTTCTTCTTCTCAAAGTCTTCGTCGGGTTTCTTCACAGAATATATTAAGTTTTGAGCAACAGCGGCAAAGCATAGAGCTGCGAGAGCTCGAGCTTCAATTAAAGGAAAAAGAGGAACGGGTGCGAGAGAAACAACTTCAAAACGAGGAAAAAGAGCTAGAGCTGATGGAAAGGCGGGCAAGATTACAAAATCTTAATAATGAGATGCTCTAAATAAGTAGTTATTAACTGGTTTAAAAGTACTTACATCCTGTTTGCTGAGGTAGCGGTATATGAAGTCTGTTATGTATTGAAAATCCTATGTGCGCTGTAATTAAAAATATAAGTGGTACCAGACATGTGATCGGCTAGCCTAATCACATGACCAGTTTGGGGGCACCCGAGCTTCTCCAAGGGGCGGCTTACCTGTAACCTGTGATACCTGTAAAGGCAGGTTATAGGTCAGGTGCCGGGTCAGAAAAGCCAAGACGCCGCCCTAGTCAAGCACATGACTGACTTTGCCGCTTTCGGCATTAACAATACCAGGTTTTAATTACCCGGCATCTGACATTTATGAAATCATAACGATATTAAAAGAAACAACAATTACTTCTTGAGTACTTTCCAACTGATTATAGCATTTCATTATTCATTCGTAATTTCGCTCGCCGTTCCATAAGTTCCAACTCTTTTTCTTCGTTTTGTAGCTGCTTTGCCTGATTTTGCAGCTGTTTTTCTCGTATTTCTTCTTCTTTGTCCTTCAATCGAAGCTCAAGCTCGCGAAGCTCTAAGGCTTGTCGTTGTTGCTCAATGTTCAGTATATTTTGTGAGGAGATCCGACGAAGACCTTGAGAGGTAGATGACACGGAACTAGTTAAGAACCAGTTAATAACCAGTTGATAGCTGATTAGAATTACGCTTACCCTGAAACCCGTGATTGGGATTGAGATCTTCGAGGTTGTAATTCTTGTTGAGAATCAACTGATAAATGAGCTGAAGATGAGCGACGACGCTTCCGTGATTCTAAGTGATTTGAAATAATTAATGAAGAATGTCACAATGATCAAGATGCTGATATATTTTCTCACCCTCCCGTGCCATATGGCGCAAATAATTAACCTCCATATTTGCTGTTCGATATGAATGATGAATTCCGAAACAAGTCTGATTTATATATTGAAGAACATCCTGTTTGTCAAGCTTTGCAGAACTACAAGAATGTTATTAGGAAGCACTTAAAACTGGTTAGAAACTAGTTTTCAATCACTTACTTCTGAATTGCTCTTACTAATGTTAATCGTTTGCCTGCCGCATTAGCCTTATGATGAGACTGTTCAGCAGAGTTAGTATGATTCTGAATAGAATCATAAATAGAGGAAGGAATATTAGAGCAGCATTTATTAAGGCTAGCTTTAATAACTGGTTGCCTTTTATGCTCTGCCCAGGTCTGCACCTTTGGTTCTTCGTGTGCTGAAGCAGTTAATAGCTGCTTATAAACCAGTTAAGAAGTACTTACTGATTAATAGATCGCACAATTGATCATAATTTCCTTCGGACTTGCAGTCAATCAAACCAGCCATTCGACTCCATATTCCTGATCCTTTGTTATTGTTCCCAACTGCTTCTGTGATTGTTCGAAGGAAGTGAACACGGCAAAAGATAATGATTCCCTTTAATTGCCAGAATTGGGCGGTGGAGGGGGTCAATCTCTTGAAGAAAGCGTCCGAGGCCTAAGCAGTTAGCAAGTACTTTGCAAGTATTTTATAGCCAGTCACTCACCAGTATACTGTTTTGTATCCATATCCACAACGATTCCGTATATTCCAGTAGAATGTATAGAATTGAACTTGGCTGGCTCGCCAGTGATTTTCTGGATCAGAGAGAATACTCTTCTGAATAAAAGGTAATAGCCATCTGTTGTTTCTTGATTTGTGAAGACTCGGAAAAGGGTGATAACTTTTATAACTACTTAGTACTCCGCCAGGGTGTAATGATTATGAAGTACTTACTTTTTCTATGTTCACGCAGATAAGTTGCAAAAATAACCTCATTTATTTCCTTTTCTTGAATGCGCTTGTATGACATGTTAACTTCAAAAGAAGTTAACTGAGTTAAGAGCTGGACTTGCTCTTTGAACGCACAGAGAATCATGATTCCCTGCGGATCATGATATTTCTCTTGAATATATTCCTATAACTGATTAGTAACTGAGTTACAAATGCTTGACGACTGGTTTATAAGCACTCACCCGAATAAACGGATTTGTATTATATATATATGAAACCCCATTATAACCCTGACCTGCAGGGTATGAAAAAAGTCGTTGTTTCTGGATAATAGCAGATATGCGATCCAGATTGGAAAAAGATGCATGTATTTCTGCAGGTGTAGAGGCATTATGTTGAGAACAAAAAGCCTCCAGTTCTGGACTTCGCAGAAATTGAGCTGTTAACCAGTTAGTAACCAGTTTTGAAGTGACTAAAACATATTCAGCATGTACCTCGAGTGAGACTTGGGTTTCTCATCTGTCTGATTATATTCTGAACTCCTCTTAATATAAGCTCTGGTGGCTTATGTGGTGGAGGTGGAGGATGTTGATGGATTCCATGAGATGTAAAAACAATATAAGGATAATCTTGAATATCAACTGGTACCAGTGCAGTAAAAGTAACATCACATTTAAGATGTTCTAATCTACCAGGTCCCTGAATATGATCAAAATCTAAGTATTTTGTAAGTACTAAAGAATCAGTTTTAAGGTAATTCTTAACTACTTACCACAATGCTTTTGGCGTGATATTAATGGCTCAACAACAGCACACTCTTCCTGAGATGGCAGGATTGAATCATTGAATAACTGCTCTAGAAAGTCAAGATCAATCGAAGTATGACCTTTAACAGAGCTATAGTGATGTTTTTGGAGGAAGTCTGATGTTCCATT